TATTATACTATTTTAAATATTAAGATGAATTTTACTTATTTTAAATGTAATATTTGATTGTTATAATTTATTCAAATATAAAAAATATAATTGTTAAATAACCCTTTATACTAATCAATCACCATTTGAATTCAATTATTAGTTTTTAAGAATGTATTTATAATATAGATATGGTTACTACCATTTTTGTATATAAAAACGATAAAAATGAAATTGAATGAAATTCATTAAATATATTGATCAAATATTGATAAATTTTATTCTGTATCTAAAAAATTTAATAAATTATCCATAAATTATCTTACATTCTTTAATTGAGCTAATTAATGTTGATTAAGCTAACATTGAATTAAGAAAACTTAAGACTTGCAACTATATATTTAATATTTCTTTTTACCTTATATTATTTTTAATAATTTTTTATTCTCCAGAATTAACACCCCACAAACGAAGAAATTAATTCCCACAATTAAACTAAAATGTTACTTTTAGAAGTTAAGCCTACATATTAAATATCTCCTAAATTTTTTTTTATTTTATTCTCCTGAAATTATTTCCCATACAATTACTCAAAAACTATCATTCAGTTGAAAGCTTAAAGAAATTGATATCACCACTTTATTCTTGTAAAATTATTTTTTTGCTACATCCTAGAAACGAATAGATTAATCTTAACCATCATATACAAATATTGTACAACTGGTAATTATAATTTTTGCCACATCCTGTAAAGATTGATTCGTCATCAATTGAATAACATACTTAATAGACCGTGAATTTATTTTAAGTTCTTTTTTTTTATTTAATTTTATTCGGCTCTTATTGTTGATAGAGTTGCCTAATATTTTATTAATCATTATTCATAATTTATAATTTAACTTGCTTAATCGAATACTTATTCTTAAATGTTATATATGCTTTTAAAATTCTTAAAAATATAGGAGTTTTATAGAATAAACCTAGACTAAAGAAAAGCTATGGTATAAAGATGGCATTTTTAATTTCTATTTACAAAAGTATTGGTTGAACAGTATATATTTTTTCACAAGTGCTTTTAAATAGTAAAGATATGAAATATCTAATTTTTATTGCTCCATAGTTTCTTTCGATTAATATAATGACAAATAGATTATCTAATTTATTAATTTTCAAAATTTGCCATATATGTAATGGAGGAATCATATCGCCATTCTTTATATTTGATTCTTTGAATTCAATTACTCTTATAAAAATATTGACAATATACCAAAACTTTTCGTTCCAATAATAGTCAGAGAGCTTCCTTTTAAAAATTCTGGGTATTAGTTTTTGCCCTTTCTTATTTAATTTTCTAATATAAGGTATTTTTGTTTTAATTATCTTTGATATCTAATATTCAAATAGTAATAACCTTTAATGTGAATAAGACTTTTTTTTCCTTTAAAATGAACCAACTAAAATTATCACCAAATCAAATATAATTAGTTTTTACATAAAATGATTTTAATCTTAGAAAATTTTCGATCGAATTATATCATTAATAATAATGTTGTTTTTTAATATGTTAATGATTGAACAAAATATTAATATAAAGAATCATGAATTGTCCATTCCATCAAGATATTCCAGGAAACTATTAATACAAACATCTTTTTTCCTTGACTACTTCATCCCATCTAGATTTTTTTACAACATCTAAAAATAATAATATTATTCTTTCAACACTTAAAAAGTAAATTCAAATGAATCTTTTATAATTTCTCTATTATTCCAAATAAAGTCAAAGTAGTCAGATAATCCATTTATTGATACATCTATACCATCTTTTGCTTTTTAATATAAATCTGACAAATTATCTGAAGCATTTTAAAGCTGTTCTGGAATAGTTTTTGCAACAAAATTAGAAAATCCTTATTTGATACCTTTCCAAGAAAAATCCCAATATTATTCATCTTATTATTATTGTTATTGTTCTTGTTATTGTTCTTATTATTGTTATTATTATTGTTCTTATTATTGTTGTTATTATTGTTATTGTTATTGTTATTGTTATTGTTATTGTTATTGTTCTTATTATTGTTATTATTATTGTTATTGCTATTATTGTGGATATTATTTTGAGCTTTCATCTAAAACTTCTTAATCACAAGTATCTGATGTAAAACAACTAAATACTAGATAGATAATTCCAATAATAGTCCCAATAGCTAGACTTGGTAATAATAATAAAACTGCTTTCCCCATAGCCACCGCTTATAAAAATGAGAATAAGGATCCTGCTATTACATTTCCTAAAACTGATTAGAACCATGCTGCAATTGAGCCAGCTATTGGACCATATGCTGAGAAACCAGCTAACCATATTGCTATTCTAATAGTTATAAATGAAGCTAAAGACGAAATTGTTTGATATTAAAATGATATTGCTAATTGTTTTTTAATGCAATCAAATATTTATAGCTTATTATATTACTTACATTTTTTAATTTTAGAGGACTCTTCTTTGGCCAAATTACATCCAAGAATTAAAAAGATAAACAATATTGCAATTATTTTTCTTTACATAAATTAATGTTTTATATTTATAATAAATTTACTAAAAAATGATTCTAAATGTTTATTTGATCTGCAAATTATTAAAAGATATTAAATATATATTTTTAGAATATTTTAAGTACCTTATTTTGATACATTGATTAAGCAAAAGTATTTGAAAATGCTATTAAGTGCATTTAGTTGAAATTTTAATTAATTGTAACATTGATAAATGGATATATATTAATAATAATATTAATGAGTGATAAATTTCATAAATTGAGCAATAAATGGACGATATCTGAGAAATATAATGCTAGTCAAAACTTAGATTATAAGAAAACTATTGTAGATATATGTTCTTTTTCAACTGTTGAAGAATTAGGATTTTATAGGGAGAAAACTATTTATTCAAAATTGTCTGATATTTTAAGTGAACCTTAAAAATGCAAAATGTAGTAAATTTCTTTATAACAATAGATTTAAATAATTTAATGATGATAATGCAGATAGAAGCAATTTAATTTTTTTAAAATGATATTAAACCCTGGTGGGAAGATGAAAACAATAAAAATGGTGGATTAATTCAATTTGATATTCCAATACAACACCAGGCAGTTTATGATTCAATTTATTAGGATATTCTTTTATAAATCTTAGGATAAGCTACACAAGAATTTAGACATGTGCGCTAGATTCCTAATTTAGATTAATGGGTTAAGAGTCTTGGATAAAATTAATGCTAAACAAGATAATAGAATTAGAATTGAATTATGGATGGATATTGATCCAAAAGATTAAGATGAATCTATTCCTAAATTAATAGATTGGATTGATAGTACTTTGAAGAAACATATAATTGACATTGATTAAACTTAATTTAATAAAGTATCTCATAAAAAATGAGAACTTATTTTAATAATATATAATTTTATCGTAGATCTTTAGTTTTAATAAATAATTGATTTAACATGTTTGTTACTTGATGTATCAAATCCTTTTAATTGATGATAATGTTCCTTTAGTTTAGGAAAATAATTGATAATAAAAATTTCAATAAAAGAGCTCAAACTAATATTTCCTTATTAAATTTGAGGCATTTGAAAAATAGATTATGTTGAATAAGAAAATGCATTACCAATCTAAAAATTTCAAATATATAGAAATCGAACAATTTATAGTTAAATCAATTTATTCCTCAAATATTTTCTATTTCTATGAAACATTTACTTTTTGGAGTTGAATATTTATACAAACCTTGAACCATTCATACAGATATCAAAGAAGCCATTCAACCAGAATTTATAAGTTAAGTTAGATGGTTTACCAAGGAATGATAAAGGTTCTTAAAGGAAAATACTATTTGAGGACTCCTGTCGTAATAAATAAAAAGGGGCATTTGAAATTTACAGATAAAGTACTTTGAATGCACATTATAAATTAAAAGTTTACTGAAAAACCTTCATGATAAAATCAAGCTAACAATTAATATCAAATCATTTTTGAAATTATGAAAGAAAAGTAATCAATTATAATAAATTATTAGATTAAAGTATTGCTATATATATGATTTTATTATGAAAAATTTTAATGTTAAAATTTAAAAATAAGAATAAAATATAAGATTTAAGATAATATGTAAATCAAATATTTTCTAACAAATAAAATATCAAAAAGCATGGACTAATTAAAATGGCAATAGCAACTGTCAATGGAGATAATAAGACTCCTAAGAAGAAGTAAAGTATTCCAAAGGCAATTTTAGGACATAATCTGTATCTATGAAATCTAAATCCGCAGACTTTTCTAGTAAGTTCATAAGGTGCTACAATAACGAAGTAAATAAGGATGAATGGCAACAATGCTAATAAAACAGAGAAAAGGATAATAGTAAGTAATATTTTTGGTATGATCATCATAACTCTAAGCATCATAGGATTAGAAAATGGTTACATATTGGAACCTTGTCCTCCAGGAACTATGATTATGATTGTATTGATTAAATACAGACACATCCAAAAATATTGAAAATAACATAGTGATAGGATGAATATTTGCCTCTACATAACCAGCAGAATTAATATTTGCATTTATAACAAGTCATATGATTACATCCACCCTTTTTTTAGATTGGTGCTTTACAATTAGGACAATCAAATATTAGATTATCTTTTCTTGCTTATAAATATTATGCATCCATTGCTTATATACAATCTAATCCTTAATGATATTGATTTCCACATTAAAAACATATATTTTATCNGATAATGCAGATAGAAGCAATTTAATTTTTTTAAAATGATATTAAACCCTGGTGGGAAGATGAAAACAATAAAAATGGTGGATTAATTCAATTTGATATTCCAATACAACACCAGGCAGTTTATGATTCAATTTATTAGGATATTCTTTTATAAATCTTAGGATAAGCTACACAAGAATTTAGACATGTGCGCTAGATTCCTAATTTAGATTAATGGGTTAAGAGTCTTGGATAAAATTAATGCTAAACAAGATAATAGAATTAGAATTGAATTATGGATGGATATTGATCCAAAAGATTAAGATGAATCTATTCCTAAATTAATAGATTGGATTGATAGTACTTTGAAGAAACATATAATTGACATTGATTAAACTTAATTTAATAAAGTATCTCATAAAAAATGAGAACTTATTTTAATAATATATAATTTTATCGTAGATCTTTAGTTTTAATAAATAATTGATTTAACATGTTTGTTACTTGATGTATCAAATCCTTTTAATTGATGATAATGTTCCTTTAGTTTAGGAAAATAATTGATAATAAAAATTTCAATAAAAGAGCTCAAACTAATATTTCCTTATTAAATTTGAGGCATTTGAAAAATAGATTATGTTGAATAAGAAAATGCATTACCAATCTAAAAATTTCAAATATATAGAAATCGAACAATTTATAGTTAAATCAATTTATTCCTCAAATATTTTCTATTTCTATGAAACATTTACTTTTTGGAGTTGAATATTTATACAAACCTTGAACCATTCATACAGATATCAAAGAAGCCATTCAACCAGAATTTATAAGTTAAGTTAGATGGTTTACCAAGGAATGATAAAGGTTCTTAAAGGAAAATACTATTTGAGGACTCCTGTCGTAATAAATAAAAAGGGGCATTTGAAATTTACAGATAAAGTACTTTGAATGCACATTATAAATTAAAAGTTTACTGAAAAACCTTCATGATAAAATCAAGCTAACAATTAATATCAAATCATTTTTGAAATTATGAAAGAAAAGTAATCAATTATAATAAATTATTAGATTAAAGTATTGCTATATATATGATTTTATTATGAAAAATTTTAATGTTAAAATTTAAAAATAAGAATAAAATATAAGATTTAAGATAATATGTAAATCAAATATTTTCTAACAAATAAAATATCAAAAAGCATGGACTAATTAAAATGGCAATAGCAACTGTCAATGGAGATAATAAGACTCCTAAGAAGAAGTAAAGTATTCCAAAGGCAATTTTAGGACATAATCTGTATCTATGAAATCTAAATCCGCAGACTTTTCTAGTAAGTTCATAAGGTGCTACAATAACGAAGTAAATAAGGATGAATGGCAACAATGCTAATAAAACAGAGAAAAGGATAATAGTAAGTAATATTTTTGGTATGATCATCATAACTCTAAGCATCATAGGATTAGAAAATGGTTACATATTGGAACCTTGTCCTCCAGGAACTATGATTATGATTGTATTGATTAAATACAGACACATCCAAAAATATTGAAAATAACATAGTGATAGGATGAATATTTGCCTCTACATAACCAGCAGAATTAATATTTGCATTTATAACAAGTCATATGATTACATCCACCCTTTTTTTAGATTGGTGCTTTACAATTAGGACAATCAAATATTAGATTATCTTTTCTTGCTTATAAATATTATGCATCCATTGCTTATATACAATCTAATCCTTAATGATATTGATTTCCACATTAAAAACATATATTTTATCNTATAATTGACATTGATTAAACTTAATTTAATAAAGTATCTCATAAAAAATGAGAACTTATTTTAATAATATATAATTTTATCGTAGATCTTTAGTTTTAATAAATAATTGATTTAACATGTTTGTTACTTGATGTATCAAATCCTTTTAATTGATGATAATGTTCCTTTAGTTTAGGAAAATAATTGATAATAAAAATTTCAATAAAAGAGCTCAAACTAATATTTCCTTATTAAATTTGAGGCATTTGAAAAATAGATTATGTTGAATAAGAAAATGCATTACCAATCTAAAAATTTCAAATATATAGAAATCGAACAATTTATAGTTAAATCAATTTATTCCTCAAATATTTTCTATTTCTATGAAACATTTACTTTTTGGAGTTGAATATTTATACAAACCTTGAACCATTCATACAGATATCAAAGAAGCCATTCAACCAGAATTTATAAGTTAAGTTAGATGGTTTACCAAGGAATGATAAAGGTTCTTAAAGGAAAATACTATTTGAGGACTCCTGTCGTAATAAATAAAAAGGGGCATTTGAAATTTACAGATAAAGTACTTTGAATGCACATTATAAATTAAAAGTTTACTGAAAAACCTTCATGATAAAATCAAGCTAACAATTAATATCAAATCATTTTTGAAATTATGAAAGAAAAGTAATCAATTATAATAAATTATTAGATTAAAGTATTGCTATATATATGATTTTATTATGAAAAATTTTAATGTTAAAATTTAAAAATAAGAATAAAATATAAGATTTAAGATAATATGTAAATCAAATATTTTCTAACAAATAAAATATCAAAAAGCATGGACTAATTAAAATGGCAATAGCAACTGTCAATGGAGATAATAAGACTCCTAAGAAGAAGTAAAGTATTCCAAAGGCAATTTTAGGACATAATCTGTATCTATGAAATCTAAATCCGCAGACTTTTCTAGTAAGTTCATAAGGTGCTACAATAACGAAGTAAATAAGGATGAATGGCAACAATGCTAATAAAACAGAGAAAAGGATAATAGTAAGTAATATTTTTGGTATGATCATCATAACTCTAAGCATCATAGGATTAGAAAATGGTTACATATTGGAACCTTGTCCTCCAGGAACTATGATTATGATTGTATTGATTAAATACAGACACATCCAAAAATATTGAAAATAACATAGTGATAGGATGAATATTTGCCTCTACATAACCAGCAGAATTAATATTTGCATTTATAACAAGTCATATGATTACATCCACCCTTTTTTTAGATTGGTGCTTTACAATTAGGACAATCAAATATTAGATTATCTTTTCTTGCTTATAAATATTATGCATCCATTGCTTATATACAATCTAATCCTTAATGATATTGATTTCCACATTAAAAACATATATTTTATCCACATATACATGTTAGTAAATCATTACCATTTCCTATCACATAATTTTCACAATCCTATCATAAGAAACATCTTTTACTGGTTTTGGACACCATCGCACATTTTTATTTTGACTAATAATTTGTCTATCATAAAACTTTTTGTATTTTTCATACACTCTATCTGATACTAAAGTTTAAATTTATTCATCTGTAAATGCAATTGTACATAAAGATTATGGACAACCTATACTTAATACATTTCCTTTTAAAATATTTTGTGTTAAATGATATGACATACAATCACTACAAAATTCATGTCTACAAGATAAAGGTGCTATAAATTAATTCTTTCCTTTCTCAATATAACATATTGAACATTCTTATAAATCTTTTTAATCCTTTGATTATTCATCTACCTTCATCTCTAACTTTACTTCTGATTACCAAGATGAACAAGATTTCCTTTTTCTTAATATTTTTTTTTATCTCACTTCTTCTGTAACTATTGTTTTTACACCTTCAGTTCTTAATTCCTACGATACAATTGACTGCATTTAAGAATGTACTCCCTACCCTTATTTATTAATTGGTTATTGATTCTCTTATATTTGATGATAATTTGGTTCATCAAATTAACCAGAATCAATATAATCATTAGCTTAACATTTAAGTGGTTAACTCTTTCCTAATTTTGGTCCATGAGATACAAACAATTACTATTAGTATATTGGCAAAACTAACTATTAGTATTAAGGTTTCTACTATTCAAACTAACACATTTACTCATTCTGATCCATATTTATAAATTATATTATTGTACTTTTTACTTTATAATATTACTAACATATATTATAACTATTAACTAATTATATATTATATATTTTTATTAATCTCCCTTATATTCTAACCTATAATTTATTGTTATTTCTTTATCTCCATATTATTTTATTATTACAAACTATCTTAATATTATAATCATAACTTATCTTAATTATTCAACATTTTTGTTTTTGTTTACAATCTCAATATATACCTTTGTTTCACAATATTTACTAAAAGCTTTTAAAAATAACAATTATAAAAAATATTTAATTATGTTTCTTACCAAAAAATAAAACAAGATCAAAAATTATTTCTAATTTATTATTGTATCAATCTTCAGCAATATAACAATTTTATTATATATTATTTATTAAGTTAAATAAATATTTATACATTCTAAACCTAAATAGAAAGTAACTCAATATAAATTATGATTCAGCACATCCTTATTATATTTCACCTTAAAAACAGAATTACGATTGATACTCAAAGAGATCTTAATAAATAGTAGATGAAGCAAGCTATCAAGAATTTAGTCAAATCGTATTTATAAGGAAATGCAGGAATCAAATCAAACTATTATTAACGATCTTAGAGATTACATTCTATTAAGATAGTATATGCTTAAACAGAAAATTTTTATAATGAAGAATAAATTAATAAATGTATTTAGGATTGAAAAAAGATTATTTGCTTAAATCATAAACCCTATTGATTTATTTAAAGTGTAGGGTGATATAAAAAAGAATTAGAATTAAGGCCTGTTAATAAAAAATTTAATTCTAAAAAGGATCAAAATAAGATGTTCAAACAAACTCCTTATCATTTTTGATTTCCTTATTCAGCAGATATATTAGGAAATCAGGATATGTTTTTAGCAAATCCTATTAAAGGATTATTAAGTTTATGATGTGAAAGGAGCTGCTACTTTTTTATTTATGATATTTTCATCATCTGTTTATTTATGTTTAGATATTTCTATAAATAGGAAAGAACTATGTCATAATGGAATCCAAAAATAATAAAAACATTCTTAAATAATAATATTTAATTGATATCTAAATAATACTTTAGACTAAAGATGTTGTTTATAATATGAAAAAGGAATGAGTAAGCAAAAATATGAGAAGATTTAAAGTATAAGAGAATAAGGATAAAAAGATTTCGGAATTGGATGAATAATGAATTGATATGCATATATAAAAATATTAATAATGGACGTTGATATAAAAAAAGGGCGTCTAAAAGCAGTTCGTATAAATGGATTGATTAATGGAGTGAATTGTCATTAGTCTATTAGTTGGATATACAGTGTTTTTGATATAGTAATAGCATATATATTTGCATTTGAATTTGAAGATACTGGAATGAAGGTATAAAAATATTAATTCAGGAACTCCAATTGATATTGCTTACTATAATAGTTACATGCATAGTTTATTCTTGTCTTAGAACAACATTGATTGATCCAACAGATTCAGTAGTAAAAGAAGAGAAATTATCAAAACTACAAGGGTAAATTGAATAATAAATATTAAAGGAAAGAATATAAGACTCAAATTAAATCATATTGTTTAGTATGTTAAGCACATGTTTAAGATAAAACGAAACATTGTTGGAATTGTAATAAGTATTAAATAATGTTATATAGATGTGTATCGAAATTTGATCATCATTGTATTTGGTTAAATAATTGTGTTGGAGATTAGAATTATTCTTATTTCTTTATATTAGTAATCTCTTTAGTTGCACTTAAAATATTTAAATTAAGTTAGGATCTCTAATTGCTTTATATGCAAACTAATTTTCAGATTCTAATTTATATTTGTATTGCTGTAGATCCTCCTGTATTTATTGTTTTGGCATATTTATTATCTATGCATTTATACTTTAAGTAAATAATAATATATTTATTAGATATAAAAATATATCAACTTATGATTACATTAAATCTAAAAAGGATTCCAAAGATTTAAAAGTTAAAACTTAATAAAACATATAATAAAAATAGATTCAAAATGAAAGTTCTACTGGTTATGGTTAATTATTATCAACATCAAAACGTTTTGATTTAAAATCACAATTATCATTAAAAACTGGAGATTCAAAAAAACAAAATACAAATTTTTTTTCAAATAAATAAGATGAAGATAAGAAAGGAAATTAATAAACATAATAATAAATAACATAAATTCCAAGTTTATTTACTTCTAAACCTACTACTCCTGGAAATGAATAAGATAAAAAACATTAAGTTTAATAATTCTCAAAACCAAAAGATCTAGATGATTTAAAAGATAAATAGATATATAATCAAGTTATAGTTGAAGATTCAGAACCATAATTAAATGAGAGTTCTGATGATGATGATAATTGTGATTAACATTATGAAAAACATCATCATTGTCCTAATAATAGTCACACTTCTGATTTACATTATAATGATGAATAAATAAATCCAAAAATAGATTAAATTAATCAAAATGATTTGATAATTAAATAAGAAATTGAAATCAATCCAGATAAATAATCAGATGACTAAGAAGGTCTATCAAACTAGTAATCTCTTCATGCTTAAGAACCTCCTCCACCTTCTAAATGTTAAACATTTCACTTAACATCATAAGGAGATCCAAAAATTATTATCTCACTTAATAATCAAAACTAAATATCTAATAATTTTACTTCATGAAAATTTAGGAATGATAATTAATTAAATTATTTTTATTTAATTTATTCATAACTCATTTATACTTCTGCTAATATATTTATTCGTAAATATAACCAATTATAATTAGTTCAATAATAAAATTAATTTAACATAATTATGCTTTACTGTATAAATTTTTCATTCAAAATTTTTCTTATCTTTTTCTGCTCAAATGTATTAAATTAACAGAAGAATTAGTTATTTCAACCTTATTTCATAAATAAATTATAAAAAAAAGTGTAATGAATTATCTTAAATAAATTTTGGATTGATTCATTAAGTGAAAAAAAAACTAATTAGGAAGTATTTAATGTTTCATCTAAAAATAATAAAACCAAGCTGTTTAAACATCCTATATAAAATTTTATTAAACTATAATAATAATAATTTGATTTATTTGTTATTAATTTAGTTAATTTAAAAAAATTGTTTTATTAAAATTCCAATATATTTAAAAAAATTTAAAACTTAGGCTTTATATTTATTTAAAATAATTAGCCTCTCTTATTTAAAATACAGAAAACTTAATTTTGGAAAGTTCATCAAGTTATAATAATTTTTAGGTAAATATTTTAAATTTTAATTTTTTCATTAAATTTAACTCAAATTTTATTAATATTATTTGCCAACTTGATGATTCTTTAAATAATTGATAGTAAGTTGAAACCATTGTAAATGTAAGGATTAGGAGGATTTTAGGGATTCTTCAAATTATTCATACTTGCTGAGCATTTTAATATTCAAAACTTCACAAATCTATTTGTGACATTCTAATTAAGGTTTAAATAATAGATCAGGAAATGCACACAACAATAAACTTTATCTGAGTAAATAATATTTAAAGACAGTTGTTGTAAAATCTAAATTTAAATCAACTAAGGATAAAGTGTAGAGACATTAAGTTCTATAAGCATCTAGAAATGTCTTTATATTTTTTTCCGCACTCTAAGTATAATTAAACAATTTAATTTTAGCTAATTATTCAATTAAGAATTAATGATCTTCTTATTTATTATTGTTAATTTGATATTCAACTTAATTTAATTCACCTTCTCTATTATAAGATACTAAAAAAGTATCATATTTATTTTTTAACTATTTGATATCTTCAGAAATTACATTTTATGTAACATCTCTAAATATTTCCCATTCTTCCTTCTCTTTTTCATTTGAATAAAAATATGAAGAATTTCTATCTTCTAATTCTTTTCTTAAATGCATATTAAAATAGATTTAACCAAAATTAAGAGCTAAAATACTTAATGTAATTTATGGGGCGACGCTTGTATCAAATTCTTTTAGTATCCTTAAAGCAGTATTAAAACATTAAAATTTACTAATTTCTAAGGTTTTTACATTCTACATAGTTGTGGATTCAATAATTTTAATTTTAATACTTTACCTTAAGGGATCTTGAGATTTAAATTGATCATGAGATTTAAATTGATCTTCAGATAAAGTTGGTGAAAAGATTAAGGATTACATTAAAGCAGAGCCTGTAATAATATAAGTTGGATTTTATCTAGCTTCTCTAAAAAAGATTTTTTAATCTATAATATTTTATGTATATCTGTATCTCTTAGAAGAAGAATAGAAATTAATTATATCTTAATTACATCGAAGAAGTTTTGCTAAATCTTTAAAATGAGTTCTCTTAGATAAATTAAATTGAAGGGATCCAATTAATAGTTCTTTAAGAATAGGTGAAGAAATATCATTCAATTCCATATTTAAATTACGAAATTGTATATCTAATGAATTTTCTTAATAATCTAAAGGCTTCTTATAATACAATTAATAGAGAACACATCCAAATAGAAAGGAATCAATTTCAATTCCATAGCATCTATATTTTTTATTAAGTAATTCCGGTGGTAGAATTATTAAAGGACTTGTTAAGCCAAACTCCATAAGAGTTATTTTTTTGGATACCTAATTCCATAAAATATTGTTGATATTAAAACATCTTCCTGGAATATTATGTTAATGTAAATACCAAATTGCTTCTAATAGTTATTCTATTATTAATAATCATATTAATACTTCCTATATTTAATAACAGTTCTTAATTGCATTATTATTATTGACATAGTGATGACAGTAATTTATCAGTCTCATCATATTTAAACAATAATTTTTGTTTATTAATCATTTTAGTATGCTATCTTAAATAAAGACAATTAATAAATAAATCACACATTAAAAATTCTTCAGCTATGTCTTTTTTTGGTATGTACTCATATACTTTTTCACCTTCATAGTTTTTGATATTGATTTCATATCCATATGACAATATATTTGATTTCATTATTATTAATATTAATTTATTCATCGATATATTTTAAAATATATTCTACTGAAATATTTTCATATTAGTCCTCATTTCTCTAATGAAAAATAAATAATAATAACCTATTAATCAAAATAATAGATTATATTTTAATTGTCAATGAATTTTTAAATGTATTTAGTGAAATTCATCAAAATTATTTGAATTTAATATAATTTATATAATTATTTGATAAAAATATGCATAAACATAATGTGCATAGTGTATCTGCTCATAGAAGAATTATTTCATCCTCTATAAAACCTTCAATAAGCAGAATAACTAGTGCTCAATCCAGATCTAAATCTAATTATAAGCTTCTTAATTAAAGTCCTTCAGGATTTTTCTTAGAATCGATTATACCGGCCATTCCAGAAAAATTAAATATACCGTTAAAAATAATCGAAAAGTATTTTGAAGAAAGTTACTTATTCAACAATCATTATTAAGTTGTTTCTTCTTTACAAAATGTTTCTGGAGAGGTAAAAAAATATTTATAATACAATTTAATACAAGTTTAAGAACTTCCTAAATCTTATTAAAATTAAGATAAGGATAATAAGTTATTGTTTCGGATGTATGAAACTTTAATAAATTTAGATCAAACTATCATTTAAGATTTATTTGATAAAAAATAATAATAACAAGATAATTCAGATTTTAGAAAACATCCAAAACATTATTTTAGATTTGATGTATTAATAAAATGCATAGAAATAATGAATGAATTAGTGAATAGTATTTTAAAAGTAATAGATGATAAAGCGATTGCTATTTTTATTGAATAAATTTGGAAAGCCTTAGTAACAATTTTAGATTTGAATACTTAATGGTAATAAGATCGATTTCAATCCTTAGTTGATATGTAAATAGAAAGCTATAAGGAAAGATTAGAACAAATGAAAAATGAATATAAATAATAAGAAGAAAAATATCAAATGTAGTTAAGAGCCTATTAATTAAAGCTTGTAATTGAATAAAAGAAGAATGTCTCATTGAGAGAAGAAAATAATAAGATTTGTTAATAATATAATCATTTAGAGGATCAAATGAATGAATTTAGTAACATTGAACATGCTAGAGGTGATCTTTAGAATATTAATTAAAAATTACATGAAATGGATTTAAATTTTATGAAATTCAATAAAGAAATATATGAATCTCATTAATAAGCCTCAAATTCTATTAAGTAATTAGCTAAGTTATTAACTGTTAAACCAATTATACCAAAATCATTTATACAATAAAAATATGAACAATTAAATATATTTTATAGAGAACAAAAGCCTTTTGTTGGATTAATGATTAATCCATTGATTTCTTAAATTGAAATAGAATTTTATCATGTTGATTAAATCAACAAAAAATAATTAGCATCTGATTTCATTTAATTTGTATTTTAAAATCTAACAACTTATCCTTCCTAATCAGCAGTTGAATTATATACAATATGGATACATATAGATGAATAACAATATGTTAGTACTCGTATAGAATTATTGAATAAATTGAATCAAAATAATAATAAAGATTTTTACATTAGTGTATGTCAATAATTCTTAGGAATTAATTATAAATTTCCTTCATCTCATAAAGTTATTGAAGAAACATTAAAATATATTAAAATAATTGAACTTAATTTATTGTAATAAACATCATCAAATTAAAATTAACAAAGAAATAGCTTATTTCTTAAATAATCTAACATAATTGATTTTGAATTAGATATTAATTTAACAAAGTAATGTAATTATGTTCTATAAATATAGTTTTTCAACTATTCTACCTTAATAACTCTATGAATATATAGAATAGTCATCCAATATGAAATTGATTGAATTTACATATTAAACTATTAACTTCCTCTAGCAATAAGAAATATAAAAATGGAATTCACTTACTAAATTTTATCTAAGTAATATAAATAAATTTAGTTATCGTTTAGATTCGATTGAATAATTTTACAATATAGATTAGTTTTTAGTATTTAATTTATTTTATTATTAGATTTGGTAATTGATCATTATTCATTAAAGATCAATGATTAATAAAAAATAAGATGAAATAATAACAAATGAAGATTTTATAGAATAATTATATCAACTTTGGGTATAACATCCTAGATGTTTAATAAAACCAACAAATGAATTGTAATTAACTTAATCTAATTCTCCAAGTAATAAAAAAGTATAAGTGCAAACATCATAATAAAAATAAAGCCCTCAATTAAGAAAACAAGGAACAATGCAATCTGAAACGTCTCGTAAAAAATGATTGATTTTATTAATTTTTCTAAATATATTATAATATAGATAATAATCTAAATATATTATAATATAGATAATAAAAATGTAATAAAGTCTTATAAATGAAAAACTACTCCAATATCATAACAATTAGATGTCAGATGTGCTAAAATATTTATTAAACTCCAATAGTAAAATAATAAATCAATCAACTAAATTGCCTCCGTTATCGATATTAGGATCAATAAAGCATTCACCTAAAAATAAAAGATCAAGAATTTATTCATTGAATTAAGATAGCACCTATTAAGGAACATCTAGGATTGATTTAACATAATAAATTGAAAATGGAGAATATACATATAAAGAATTAACTTTAAAATCAACAGCAAAATGTCCAAAATTAAGAATGCCTGAATAGACTGAGAGATCAATAGATGGAAGTCCTTCCTTCTAATCCAATTAAACACTCAAGGTAATTCAAAAATGAATAGAAGTTTAAATATCCTTCAATGTTAGACTCACTCAGAGGCACTAAACTAAATATTCTTAACTAATATCTTGAGGATAATAGTTAATTATTCAGAGAAATTATATACAAGAAAGATCTAGAGAAAATGATATCCTTTTTAAATTATCCAATCTAATATTCATAAGAACTTAATGTAACTTTTTATATAAATTAATTAGTTACTTAAATTATTTAGTGACTTATTATTTTTTGTTGCTTATTTTGCTAATACTATCATATCCTTAAATAAAGCATCTTATTTATTTCATGATTGCTTAAAACTTTCTGAATTAAATAGAGATCATATTTTAAAAATTAAAATATTAATACAATTTTATGATATAGCTAAATAGTATTAATTCTTATTCATTTATTAGATTAAAATAATTTGAATAAGCTCGTAAATTTATTCAAAAAGCTTTAAATTATGCATGGGCTGATAATCTTGAAGATTATGAAATAGATTGCTATGATAAATTAGGAATGTGTTATTTTTATATGGGTAATATTAGTAAAGCTAATCATTTTCATACTAAATGGGCTAAATGTGAAGTTGAACCCAAGAATTCTTATTATAGATAAACATCTAAAGATTTTATTAAACTTTATGAAAAATAAATACCTATTTGTAAAGAGTTTGATGATATTATTTAAAGATATCTTCATATTCCATTTATTAATATAAAAACAGGAAAGATGTTTGATGAATAATCAACTATCAAATATAACAATTGTCTTGCTTAAACTATTTTAGATTAAATATAATAAGGAGTAGATTTTCTATAATTTTAAATTGAATATCATTATATTGATATAAAGGCTAAATAACATTTCAATAAAGCTGCCTTACCTAGAAGAGCTATTGAGATTATGTCTAAGTATGATTTAAATAAAGATAAATATATATTTGACCATAAAATTGATGAAAATCCAATCTATAAATTATCATTAGAGGAAAGAGTTAATTTTAGAAAAAACAAATCTTATTCACTTGATTAAGTACAAAAAAACATTAGAAAATTTATAGCAGAACAAAGAGAACCATTTTAAAAAAGTAATAAAGTTTACGTTAAGGATTCATAGAGAAAAGATCTTATTCCATAAAATGCAAATTAATTATCAATCAATTTTAAAAAGATGTTTCAAAGTGTTATTAGCTTAGAATGATTTCATATTTCTTATCTATGAATCATTATATGATATATTTAATATATTATAATATTTCAAATTATTTTTATTTTCATGTAAATAAATGATAAAAAGGCATCTAAAAGTAGGATACTAATTGAAATGATAAATAATTACTAAAAACCTGTTCAAGAGAGGATGCTTTTAGAAAAATCTAAATTAAAATCAATCTAAAAAATAGAGGAAAGGTATATCAAAAGTGAGACAAATAAAAAATATATTTTTCCTAGAAAAGTATAAGAAGATGAAGAATTTAAAGAATCACCAAAATAACAATAGTAATTAATCTCATTAGATAATATAACAAATACAAAGGTTTTTAAGGAATTGATGAATAAAATTTATTAGATTAATTCATCAAAACCAAAACCAAAGAATTATTAATAAACAGAATTCATCAAGAAACAATATTTTATTCAATCATAATTGATAAACAAAACAACTTAAAAATAATCAATTAAATTAAAAACTGAAATATCTGATACCAAATAACATAGACAGGATAATTCCAGTTTCAAATAAATGTCAATAAATCAATCAAGAGGATAATCACCTAATAATATACTTGAATTATCAAACAGATCTATAAGTTCCTAATTAACTAAATTTTTAAAATAAAAAAAACATTATCTTCTTGAGAGTTAGGATTAAAATTCATAAAGAAGCTTTGAATTAAAATAACAATTACTAAGCAAATCATAAACAAAGTTATAATAAAATAAAAGCTATGATTTTGTTAGATAATACTATAAAGTGAAATAGAAAAAGTGAATAAAAAGATTAAAAATGATTATAAATGAAATTAGATATTCTTTAATTTATTCTTAATTATAAAATGATATTATTCTAAAATTGTAATATAATATTTTGTATAAAGTTAAAATTATAATTTGGTATATATATATATATATAATTTTTATTACAATAAACATCTAATTTGTTTTTTTCGCCACCTTTTTGTTTGTTGAAGGGTGCTTCACCCCATTCATCATCACTATTATCATAATAATAATTACTCTTGATCTTTTTATTATTCTTGGATTTTGGATTAATTATTCTTGGTATAAAAATAAAGGATTACAATTACCCTTTTTATTATATGGCAGTTTAAGTAGCTTTAGCAGCTAATTCAGCAGCAATTCTAGTTTCTTCAGCAGCTTTCATAGCAACAGCAAATCTTGCTTCTGCTAATTATCTACCTTATTCTTATTGTTACTATTTTTATTATTAACCATTTTTATTAGATTTTTTGTCATAAACATCTTATCATTCTTTTACAACATCTTAAGTTTATTAGAGTTTATATTTATCTTAAGTAGGTTAAATTTTTGAATTTTAAATTTATTATTAATTTGTTTATTATAAAATCTACTATGATTATTATTATTTAGATAATTATTTGCCATTAATTTTAGCATTTTATTAATTCTTTTTTTCTCCTTTACTTTCAGAAGGTTTAGAAGTTGCTTGATGAGATAACTTATCTGATGATTATTATTTTTGATTAAATATATAAAGTTTCTTTTTTATAATTTTTTTAATTCTTATACTTCAATAATTTTAAGTCTTTTTTCTTCTTTAAATAATTTTCTTTTTTATGTAATTATTCTTTAGTTAATTGTTTAATTGGATGATAACTTATCCCATGTTAATAAGATTCTAATATAATTAATAAAATAAAGATTAAAGTATATTATATATAAATGAAAATATGCAATTGATCCTAAAGAAAGAAATATCCAATAGAAGATTCAAAAAGGAAGTTAAGCTACTTTAAGAATACTTAAATATACATTAGATAATTGATTAAAGATTGTTACACAAAAGTTGCAACTAGACAGTATTTTATTTCTTTAGATAATATTGGTATATAATAATTATTAAGATGATAAGTGTATTAATTAATTAATTTAAATGGTGTATTATAATATAAATTTCAATCTGTTAATTCGTCTGATTCATTTAATATAAGTCCATTTTCATGATAATCTCTTTCTTAGATTGCTTTTGCATCATGAAATGTTCTTTAAAGAATTGTATGGGAGAGTACTCCAATTCTAAGATCCATCTATTTAATTTCTAACTAAAATATATTAATTATAAATATATACTCTTAATTTAGTAAGACCAGCTTTAATTCTAATGACAGGTGATTAATCTGTAGATACACTACCATGTTCATTTAATTTATTTTAAACAGTTTCAAATTTTTCTTAGATTTATTTATATTAATCATTCATTTCTTTTTTGGCATTAGTATAATTTTAATATTAAAGTTCAATTTTTTTATATTCTTCATTCTTTTTTTTGAATTCAATACACTAAAAAAGATAATAAAAGATTGAATATACCATTTCACTCATATTTTCATTGATATTATATTCTCTTTTAGTAATTCTATCTAAGATTTCAGCTAATTCATCACTCATTCTTTCTAATTTAATTCTAGCTTCTGGAAGTATTGCTTTAATTTAATTTGAATATTATTTAGTAGCATCAAAATGTTATCTCCATTCTCCTGCATCTGGTTTAATAACAATCTTAATCTTCTATGCTGCTCTTTCTACTTCTTTAGCCCATTCCTTTGGATTAACATTTGATTCTATCACCATCTTATCTTCACTTTTTAATTTAATTATAATCCTTACTCCTTTTAGAATCCCTATTCTGTAAATACATCTTCAGGTTCTTCATCTGATGCTACTTCTGGATCTGAGTCTGAAGAAACACTTCCTGTCTCTTAAACTGGTTCATCATCTTATCTTCTAAATCATCAACATCATTATTTACGTCTAAGATTATTATTCAATCTTTGCTTTCTTATATTGGAATTTCTTTTTTTGTAATGCTCTTGTTGCCAATTACAACAACACATATACAACATATTCACCAAAACCTTATTTTAATTTAAGTGGAGGAAAATCAACTTCGATTCCAATATTTTTCAATTCATTTACTAATTTTATATATAATAGTTATTTACTTATATTCTAAGATAAAGTCACGGGATCATCCAATTTATTAAAATCACTAGTCTGTACATCATTTTGTTGGAATAACCATTTTACTAATCTATTCAAATACAATTCAAAAAGTTACGTTTTGAATTAAGTGAATTATTCACTCGAATTAGTTTGATTGACAAAGTATGCTCTATTCAAAGGCTTACCACCTCTAATTTAAAATACACTAAAACATTTACTTCTATTTTAGGTAACTTTATTCATAATTCAATAATACTAATTTCTCATACAGCTCTTCCATCATCGCTGTTACATCCAATTATTCCTATTAGTCACATTTATATGATTACTTAGCCAGCTTACTATTCTGACATTAATAATTTAATTAATATTTGAATATACTGTTTATTATATATATATATTAATCTTTCTCTCACACTTACCAATTATGCAACATAATTTTTTGTAATGATAACAATGCATTTTCTCTAATGCTCTAATCATCACTTCTAGCTTGTCTCATAATTTCTTGTTTTGCATTCAATTACTCCAAAACACTATCAATAATAATTCATCACATTACACTTTTCCAAATGGATGGAATCTACAAAACTCTCCTAAATCATAACAAGCTACAGCTACATTTTAATTATTATTTGATTTTAAGATATCTGCTAATTTTCTATAATTTATTATCTATTTATTTATATACCTTATAAGTAAGAAATCATTCTCTTCAAACTTCTTAACATTCTCCTTCCAGAATTTCTCTGAATGCACTGGACTCCAATTTAAATTCTGAGCATTTAATTCCTTCACATATTTTTCAAAAGAACTTATATTTAAATCAATATCTATACGTTAAGATCTTCATATTCTTTTCCAATATTTCACCAACGTATTTGATATCATCAATTAAATCTTAATCTTTTAGGTTTCCTTTTAATAACAAGTCCACCACTTTGATTAATCCATTATCAACCATTAATTCAATACATTAAGGTGATACATCAACTAAATTCTTGAAGCAAGCAAATGAAACTCTTAATATTTTCTCTCTGGATATCTTTTAAACTGATTCGATAATCATTCTTATCAAACCAATTTAAGGATCATTAAAAAATTATAAGGATTCATTTGTAAAACTTAATAACCACATTGCCAAAATTGTGTAATAAGCTATATGTAAATCTGTTGGGTAATTAGCCAACATATTTGATATTCTATATTTTAATGATTAATTGTTACATTTTGATACCACCACTTTTTACAAATTATATTGCTAATGAATCATGCTTAAGAAAATGAACACATATTGGCATAATCATCTAATCTGAAATCCTCAATTTATTTCCTACATTTTTTATATATTTTTGTACATACCTATACCACCTAAAAATAAAATCACCCATTCTTTTGCTTCATTTCCTCCTTCTTCTGCTATGATCATTGTGGCTATCTTAGCTGCTGCCTCATATACCACTCTATCATATCCATCAAGAAATAAGAATTATTTTAACTTTGGTACAACCTAAGGTGTTAAAGCTCGCATAAATTGTTTGAAAAGTCTTTGATTCTCTATTTCTTTATTTCATATTTATACCTGATATTATAGCTTCTACTGTTGTCAACACATATGTCATCAAAGGCTTATCATGTGCAACATTCTCAATTATGTCTAATAGCATCTAAAATACACCAACAGAGTCTGTTTCCAACAACTTTTTTTGGTCTTATAACTAATCAATCTATTTAATCAATACTTTTGCTTGTGTAAATTTTATAAACATGTCTTTTGTGTCCTTCTTAATTGATTTACCATGTTGATCCAATTGTTTGAAGCAGTCTTCACATTCCTTCAATACTTTATTTAATAATTGTTCCTATTGGTAAAATATTATTGACTGGCAGAAGAATTTCCTGTTTCTAAACATATATTAATTATAAGATTTATATTTTATTTTTGTTTATTGCATATTTTATAGACTATTCCTAAATCATTACAAACTAATCTAACTTATTAGATTTTATTCTTTCTCTATTGAATTTCTCTTATTCTTAAAAACTAAATTTTATTTATTCACATTCATTTAAATTATTTTATTTATCATTAAAAAATAAAATAACATATATGAATGATACTCATAAAAATTGATAAATTTGAAAATCATATCTTTTTTTGGCCCATTTTAAAGACTTTGAACTCCCCTTCATACAGTTAATAAGTTTATTGATAAACTTAATAAATTAAAATTGAATAATTAATTATTAATTATAAATAATAAACATAAATCATTTTTAATTTATTTACTGTGTTGATTAAGACCAGATTATATACTCAATGCATTTTTAAATTAGAAGTATAATATATAAACTAAAATACTTTTTCAACTTTTCCTGGTTCACTTGAATCAGAAAAGGAATGACTAAATTTAAGAAGTTATAATGTAGATTTTGAAAATATTTTAATTAATTCAATTTAAAAAGTCATCTATGTATGAAATTCTTGCATAATGAGAATAATTTAATAAACATCATAACATAACTTTACTCTTCCTCTTTTTGGATTTATTTATTTGACTATTGTGAACATTTTTGTTTTTGTTGTTTTTAACTAAAATGTGAAAATAACGATTGAGACATGAATTTTTTCATTTATACAGAGTACATGAGATCTTAGTCTTAAAATCTAAATCAGTTCTCCTAAGTCAAAATTGGATAATTTAATAAATATTGAAATCGAGTAGGATTATGATATAGAGACATTTTCAAATAAATAAAAAAACCAAAAATGATCATTGGCATCATAAGATTAAGAATTATTCTAAAATTTTTCATGAAAAGAAAAAAAATATCTAAAATATCAATGTTAATGTGTAATATCATAAATGGGATTGAAATCAAAAAAATAAGTCTGCATACTTTTCTGCCTTTTCAAGAGGCTTTATAATAATTATAAATAAAATAATGCTTTCATGGCATTTTTGTTTATTTTTTTATAATCTATGTAAATTGAAACAATGCAATATGTTAATTATATTCATTTATGCCTAGTTAATTCTTTTAAGAAAAACCTTAGCTTTCCATACATATACAAAAATTACCGTTAATATAAAACCCAATTCATAAAAACCGCAAAAAATAACAAATTTAATTTAAAAAAATTTGTCATAAATGAATATAATCAGTCTTATATCAATTAAGATAGATTTTTTTATTCATTAATATCTTAACGTTCAAAAAGGCTCCAATATTTATGCAAATTCGACTCAAGCATAAAATTTCTTTTCTTGCTCTGGACAAACTAACATTAGAAAAATTCCTTATTTTTTTTCTTAATTTCAATATTCATAAAAAATTAAGGTGATTAAAAATGCTTTTCTGAAAGGAAAATCAAATTAATAAATCTATTCGGTATGAAAAATCAAAGTTACATTCCCTCTCTCTTGTGAAGTTTACTTAAGCTTCTTGTTAAATATTTGATGGTGTTAGGCAATTTCTTATGTAATAATGGTAAATTTTACTAAATTCAAATTTTTTAAGATTTTTTTTTCTTAAAAATTGCTCATAAAAATTTAAATCTTGCTAAAAAATTTTCAACGAAAATTAATTTAAGATGATAAAAATTAAACTCTTAGCCTTCTTTCAAATTTAATGGAATAATATAACAGAGAAAATTGTTAAAGAGTAATTTGCATAGTTATAATAAATAAATTTTGTTAATTCTCTTTTTATACTTAGAAATTATTATAAAATTTGAAGTAAGTTATCATCATATAATTTGATGTTTTCAAATCAAGCATAAGCATGCATAAATATAAGAATATAATAATAAATAAATTGCATATGATTCTTAAATTTTAAAAATAGAAATAGGTACAATTAAAGAAACTTTTTAAGGATTAATAAAAAAGCGATAATTATACATAGAGGTTTAAATCAAAAAAATTACCATTTTATTGCAATCAATAAGTCAACTTTATAAATAAAGGATTAGGAAAATTAAAAAAACTAGGTAAAATAATTAATTTATTAAGAAAAAAGATTTTAGAAGTAAAGTATTAATTTGTTAGAAAAAGATTAAAAATAGGCTAATAGATTTATACAAGAAAAAACAAAGTCTTGTATAACATAATTATTTAGATAAAAAAAATACATTCACAAAAGGTTTAGAAGTTCATGAGTTTTCGAAAGGAGAATAAAATTATTTAAACATACGTATTGTATATGAAAAAGAAAAACATTAGAATATATCAACGATAAAACTTTTAAGAATGAATAGAAATGAATAAGCATTAGAATATATAGATTAAGCTATTAATAAAAATTCTGATAAAGATGAATATTATGCAGTCAAAGGTAAATAAAAAAATATTTAAATTAAGCTTCTATACTTTTTCAATTAAATAGAAATGAGGAAGCACTAGAATAATTTGGTTATGCTATTCACAAGAATCCTGATATAGATAAATATTATGCTTCCAAAGGTAAATAAAAAAATATTTATAAAAGCTAAAACACTTTTAAATATGAATAGAATTGAAGAAGCTTTAGAATTTTTTTGATTACTCAAATCCTGATAAGGATAGTTATTATGCACTCAAAGGTTAATTGAAATTAATAAAAGAAACTCATACACTTATGTAAATAAATCGAAATGAAGAAGCTTTAGAATTTTTTGAATATGCTATTAATAGAAATCCTGATGATGATATCAATTATGCATTCAAAGGTAAATTGAAAATAAAAAATAAAAAATAAAGCTCATGCACTAATGATAATGAATCGAAATGAAGAAGCATTAAAATATATTGATTATGCTATTAAAAGAAATCCTACTGAGATAAATTATTATTCATAAAAAGGTAAATTAAAAAATAGTAAATATAGAGGAAATATTATTCTAACTAAATAGAAATAAAGAAATATTGGATTATTAATCTTTAGCATTTTAGAAAAAGAATGAAAATTCTGATTTTTTAACTCATAAATGGATGTCATATATTTATTAATCAATATCAAATTCTTCATGCTAGTTCAACGTTGACGAAGTAGCTTTATATAGATCCTCTTTTTATTAATCATTCCAAAATAATTGAAATTTATTTAGAAATTGTAGATTGAATCACCTCATTTTTAATTAATATTAAATTTGATAGAGAAAAAATATATAAGTGTTAAATATGATATTCTTAAGAGTTTTATTTTTGGTTTTTTAAGTTTTTTTCTTTTTATACCTAGATTATTAGATTTGTAATAGTTTGAGAGTTTTTAATAAATTTTTCTGATTTAGATTTCAAAAATAATTTACATTTGGAAGAAATTAGAATCACAAGAATTATTAAAATTATTGATTAAATATTTATAAGATTATAAAAACAATAATTTAATATATATTTTAATATAAATGATAAAGTTGTTCATAGTTATAGTGATTCTGAAAATAAGCTTGTATTGTTGAATGATAAGTATTTTTGAAAAAGAAAGCAACTAAATAATCTCTTGAGTAAAAGAATACTTCAGAATACTCAAATAATTCTACTTACACTTAAGTATCGAACGCGTCAAAATAAATTGCTCAATATAAGGCAAGTTAAGCAAAAAAAATGTCTAATTTAAAAAAGTTGTAAAAGTTGCGAAGTATTTAAATTAAGGAATGTTGTGATATTTGAGGATTTAGATGATTCTATTGAAATTAATTCTTATAAAGATAATATTTGATATATTTTATTAAATATTAAAAGGTGAGATTATAATTATATTTTTAATAATCAAATTATAATGGTAAAGAATGTCTTAATTATGAAGAAAAGGATAATAATTTTGAATTTCTAAATAAATTAAATATGTCAATATTTTTGGACTTTATGATTTGTTATTTTAATTAAATAAATATATCGTTAAATGCTAAAGACTTGGCTGGAAAAATCCTAAAGACCATTGGACATAAATTTAGATATTAAAACATTTAGAAATCAAGTAAAAGATAGATTTGTCTCACCTTTATAATACAATGCAGACTCTGGATAGAAGCAATTTAATTCTTTTAGGTAAAACGATAATTTAAGGCAGAAAGGAAAGTATGCCAACAATTCCTTCATTTGATAATCTATAAGCTAGAATAAGGGATTTTTCATACACAAGACTTTAATCTACTTCATCTCTTCTATGTAAATCATCAGCAACAAAAAAGTAATAAGAATAGTCTCCTTAAAGAACAAAAACAATTAGGTAATATGTAATTGAGTCTTAGTTTTATGAATTTTAGAAACAATATTCAGAATTAAAGATAACAATCAACAATTTATTAATCAATAGAATTAAAATAGAAAACTTAATAAAAACGATCTTTAGTTGAGAATGTATAATTAAATGAAATAGTATCTTTAAGAAATAAGATCGAATCGTCATACTCAAGCAAAAGCTCACTAGGATCAAAGTATATAGATCTTAATATATTATTAGTTATGTTAGTGAACTTGTAAAATTGGCTTAAGCAATTACAAATGCTTTGAAATGAGTCTAATTTAGTTATAAGATTATGACACAATATAAAATAAAATAATATAATAATTTATGAAAAAAAATTAATATCAAATCAAGGTGACATAAGATAGTACACCAACAATTGAAAACATAATATAATAGGATATCTTATCTGTTCCAAAAAGGATAAAAATGGCAAGAAAATCTAAAGTGAGATTTGCTATGGATCCTTTAGAGAATGAATGTCCTTTAGAGTAGCCAAATCCATTTATCTTTAATGAATAATTATAGCATAGTTTTAGAGATTATTTAGAAGGATAAAAAACAGCCTTAAACTTAGTTAACGAATGTAATCATGTTATTGGTCAGACTCATAAAATGGATCAATTTAAACTATTTTCAAATGTAAATCGATTTAGAACTTAATTGAAATAAAGATCTTCAATTAGAATGTTTATGTAGTAATAAAATTAATATGCTGATGATGTTGTATTACGTAAGATCAAAGTTTAAGAAAGATATAATAAAATCAGATAATTAATTTAATAAAAAATGAAATCAACAAATAAAAATGATTCTTTAAAAGATGTGTAAATGTTTAAACATTTATTTGATACATATGAAAAAAATGTAAATAAAATTAAATCAAAAAATTTACTATCTGAAAAGGCTGATGGAATAAGAGAATATGATTAAATAAAGTATTAAAAAAATCCAACAGGATCTCTTAGGGTTCGAGTAGATACTGATAAATAGTAAATTCCTTTATAAAGAAGAGTGAAGACTCTACCTTAATAATCTACACTTCATTAAACAATGAAAAAATAGAGAGAGAAAATGAATACTAAATTAACAGAGTTTTTAGAACATGATTAAAATTAAGAAAGAAATTTATAAATTAAAGCAAGAAGAAATTTAATTAGAGATTTAAAAAAAGGAGAGGAAAGATTTCATTCTTTTGAACCAAATTAATATAATTTAACTGATCCTCTTAGTAAAGATGTGAAATTATATGCTTATATGTTTATGAAATAAACTAAGGATGATCCTATTAAAAAACAATAAAATCATTTGAATATTCTTTCTCGAAGTGAAAGAACTTAAAATCATTAAAATAGACATTATTTAGCTAATTTTAAGGATTAATTATCAAACTCTCGAGATTAGAGTTTAGATGAAGATTCATCATATAATTCTATGTTAGAAATTAATATTGATAATTTGTACAAAAGAAGTGCAGATTTATAAAGTAAGATATTAAATACTAAATCTGAGAAATTATTAAAAAGAATAAGATAATTTTAGAAGGTTAAACAATTGACTGCTCAAATAATTAAAGTGAATGAGCTTAAACTCTCGAATATTAAATTATTATGATATATATATATACTTTACATTCATTTATATATTTATTATCTTCCATAAATTCCTGCACTATATTATCTCTTCATTTATGTTGGTTTTCCCATATTATATTAAGGTTGTTACTAGCCTATTCTTTGTTATAAATAAGGATTTAGGTTATTTCTTGGTGAATTATCTCGAATTCCATAATTTTGTTTTAAATAAGTTGGTTTCGAATATTATTATCCTTAATTTCTATTTAATAATAAGAATGTATAGAATACTATATTTTTTATTCCTGATACTAAATTTTTAATCCTTAATATTAAGGAGTTTATGGATGATATTAAAACTTTTAAGCTTAAGCACATTAAGGTTTAGCCAAAGGAGGTTTATTGTTTAATGGAGCACCTTATGATGGAACACTTATTAATTTCTTTCTGAGTGGTTATTCTTTTATTTCTTTATTTTCTAAGTTAATTTTAGGTTATTAAGAAATAGGATTATCTGTTTCAATTTTGAGTCCTTATGATGAATGAGATCTTTTAATTCTATTTTCATATTTAGGTTTAGGTAAATTATCTTTTAATTATTTTAAATTAAATGGAAGTTTAATAGTTTATAATAATTTAGCTTATTTAATACCATTTTATTCTATTTCTACTAATAAAGATCCACTATTTTTAATAACCTTAGGATTTTTAAGTATTTAATCACAATTAGGTCTATTTAATGGATCAACTTATAAAAGTAATTTAATAATATCTTATAGATCTTAACTAAATTTAGATGGAATAGGTTCATAATAGCCAGCTTAAATTTTTTTATTCAAAGACAAAAGATCAGGAGCTCTAAAAGGAGGTTAAAATGTAATTAATTCATATATAATACAGCCAATAGACCATATATCACAAGGCCATGAATATTATTCACCTTTCCAAACTTCTGGTGCAGCATAATCTATTAATAAAAGTAGATATATATATATATACATGGAGTTCCTGTTTGTGTTTTAGCATTCGCTCCATGAGTTACTTTACTTATATTTAAATCTCCAATTTTATATATATTTCCTTAAGGAGTTTTAGATACAAAAACATTAGCAGATTTTAAATCTCTATGTAAAATACTATTGTCATGTAATATTTTAACACCAAGTGTAATTTATGTTAAAATGTTCCAGATTTCAGTCTCTTATACTCCTCCTTACAACTTACCTTACTTTACAATTTGATTTAAATCTCCACCTGATGCTAATTCCATTATGACATACAGAATTCTTCCATCTTAATCTATAAATGCATCCTTAAACTCTACAATATAAGGAGAATCTAAAGATGCTAATATTCTTATTTCATTTAATGCATTCTCTCTCTCTTTTAAACTCTATTGTGATATATTCACCTTCTTCATTGCATAATATTGACCATCAGATTTTCTTTACACCTACATCCATCAATTCTCATCATACCTTGTATACTGAAGAGAATGAACCCTCTCCTAATTTCTCAAGGATGTTGAAATCCTATATTGTACTATTAGAATATTATTATTGCATTCTATTTTAATTATAATCAATAACACTCTATTCAAAAATAATCAAATTCCTAATATTCTTAATTCTCCCAAGGAGTAAATTCTAATGTAGGTTCACTCTTCTTCATTTTTATTCTTTATGATAATCTCCTCCTTTTTAAAGCAATTTATTTTACAACCACTTTTTACTTTTATATTATATTTGGCATCTATATTATATTTTCCTTATTTCCTAATATTGATCTACGAGGTAAAGGTGGCTTACTTATCTATTATACTTATGGAAGATGTTCCTCTTCTACTTCTGTCTTTGTTTCAAGTGAATTCCTTCTTTATCTCTACTTTTCTAATTTCAAATGAATTATCCTTAATGCATTCTCACTTGTCTTTCCTAATTATAATCCTTTATAATAATCCTGCTTTATTTCATTTATTTCGGTTATTTATTTTATTCTTTCTACTTTCATTGATGTTGATCTTTGTTCCTTATTAAAACCAAATACAAAATTGTAAAAATTTTATCGTTGATTATATTGACAGTTTATCATTTAATTTATCAAAACTTAATTTTCACAAAAAAATACCTTTTAAAACTTATAAGTATTAAACTTTCTCTCTATTATCTTCTATCAAATACATCTTTGCTTATAAATATCTATATTCTATTTACAAATATTATTCCAACCTTAATTTTAAATTTTATTATGTATTTTCATATCAATCAAATTTATTCTAAATTTATCTATTTTTGAGTTTTTTCAATATATTTTTCGTTTTCTCGTTTTTAATTATTCCTTCAAAGCTATAGTTAGTATTTAAAATAAAAAAATTTTTCCATTCTTAAAGATTTAATAAAATCATTCAAAATAGAATATATGTTTTGGTTTAAGTAATTTGATTCATAAAAAAATTATCAGAAAACCATTTTGAACCATTTAATCTAATAATAGACAGTAAAGAAATTAAAAAATTGTTACAAATGTGATGAATAATAAATAAGTTAATTTAATTTCTAAATTTTAATCTACTTACAATCAATAGAATCAATTTTAAATATAACTAAAAAATTATCACTAAAGCAATTATTTCAATCTATCCAAATTATTCAATTAAAAATTAGATTTTAATGAAAAAAATTATAGAAGTAGAGATATATAATTACGGCATTACATCCATATCTTTTTAAACGAAATTTAATTTTACAATTCTCAAGCTTATTTTAAATAGGTAAAGATAATCAATATCTTCAGTAAGTTAAAATTATTTTATTTAAAATTGGAAATTATAAATCCTAGAATATAATAAATAATGATCACTCAATTTACAAATTGATTTTGAACAGATTTTAGACCCTAAATGATTATTTAAACTAAAGAATAATAAAATTAATTCATATTTTAGAATTGTATTTTTTTTAAATATTAAAATCGTTTGAATAAAAATAAGGAGCAAGAGTAATTTTTATTTTTTTTAATAATTTTTTAGAAATTAACTTATGTAGTATAAATCAGAATATTTTATGGAAAGCATAGTGTTAAGATGTATGATAAAATTTTTATTTTTAAAAAATTTTGTTCAAATTGAGGAGCTTTTTAATTGTTTAAAAAAATAAAATAAGAACGATTTTAGATTTAAAAAAAAAATTATTGAGAGCAATTTTCATGGAGTATTTGTTAGGTGTTGATTATAAAAATTGAAAAAAAATTGAGTATAATTGAATATTGATAATTTTATGTTAGATATGATTTGATAGGATATTCCTTGATAATAATTATCAAATAAATGGTCAATAGATTGTGGTGACATCTTTATTATTAATAAAGTAGTTCTCTATATGAGAAATATATAGTATAATAAAAAATATTATTTAGGTTTTGGTTCTAATATGAATAAGTATAATAGAGTAGGAAGACAATATTAAGGTATAATTGTATAAATTGATAGTTTAAGTAAGTGAATTGATTTGGAGAAAGGAAAGAATAATATAAATAAATAGATTATAGAAATGAAAATTAATATATATATAAAAAACATTAAATTTTTTATTAATGAACAATAGTGAATATATAGTGAAATTTGTTACAAACTTACCTCAAGAATTTTAGATAAGCAATAACGAAATAGCTGTTGAAGGAAATATGAATTAAGGCGATCTTAGTTCTCTGATGTAATAATTATTGTCAGCTGAGAATCCTGATTAAGAATATAATCAATAATTTGATTTTTTAGTAAATGGAATAAGTTTAAGATCTAGTTTACATGAATTGATAACATAAAATGAAATAGCAACTGAGAAAACATTGCAAATAGAATATTTATTTGCAGTGCCTGAACCAAGATTAAAATAAACAATTAATATGAATGATTGGATTGTCACAATAGGTAGATTGAATAATCAAATATTAACATGTTTATCTAATGGTGATATAGTAGTTTGTAGTGAGAAGGGTAAGATTGTAAAGACTTATAAAACTAAATTGGCAAAGAGTTTTACAATTTATGAAAATATAATTATTTCAACTCATTGGGATTGTAGTGTTAGAGTTTAGAGAATTACAGATAAATTAGAATTGATAGCATAAGGTTATTTACCATCTTATGGAGAGTGTAGTTGTATAAATAGAAAGAATACAAATGAATTTTGTGTTGGAACTGCTAATGGAGAATTAGCATTTTTTGATCTTAGTACAGTTTAATAGTAAGTGATTGAAATGAAAGATAATTTTAAAGTACATTAATAATAAATAACATGTTGTTAATGGATTAGAAATAGTACTATTTTGACTGGATCATATGATCATTCAATTTGTATGTTTAATAAAAGAACAGGATCAATAAATAAATAATTATTTGCTAAAGATTCTGCTATCATTGGATTATGTTATTTAGAAATGAATTAATAAATTGTATCTGTTCATGAAGATGGTTATTTAAAATTATGGGATAGTTTGAGTGAATAATTAATTAAGATTTATAAGAGTTCATTATCTTAATTAACATGTATCTCTGTGAATCCTAATGGATAAATCATTGTGGTAATCTATTATTGTATTATTTAGACTTCAATGGATGGAAATGCATATCTTTGGGATTTAAGAGGAGAAGTACCATTATATTAATTGAATGGAGAAGGTAAAGCTTTAGCTTGTACATGGATTGATAATAAAATACTATTTGGAGGATCGACGAATAAATTATATGTTTATAATTGTTGATAGCAATCATTATTTATTATTATTTATTATCTTATGTACATTATTCTTAATATATTAATTATATTTTAATAATGAAGGCTGAAGTTACCAAAACCAAATTATCAAAAGAAGATTATGAAAAATTCAAGAGAGCTGAAAGAAGAAAAAATAATAAGAATAAAAAGAAATCCACTAAAGAAAAATTAGAAATTTAAGAAGAGCTACTCAAAGCTGATGAAGAACAGGTTGTATATGATGAAGATACTTTTTAAGAAATTGAAGTATATATTACATACAATTAATTAGATAGATGCTCTTATTACAGGCAAACATTATGACAATTTTAAACAGGTTTTTGATAATTTCAATTAACATGCAGAAAGATTGATGATGAAGACTTATGAAAAGGTATATGAAACAGAAAAAGAGAAGGAGAAAGAATAAGAAGAATAATAAGCTGCAGAATAATAATAATAATAATAGCAATAATAAATACAATAATAAATAAGTGAACCAAATTAAACAATTTAAAATTATTTATAATAGGGAAAAAAGAAAGAGGCTAAATTATCAAAGAAATAAAGAAAATAATTAAGATGGTTAAAAGTAGCTGAATTAAAGTAGAAAGTAAAAAGACCAGATTTAGTTGAATTTTGGGATATTACATCTCCAGATCCAAATTTTTTAATATAATTGAAGAGTGTACGTAATTCAGTGACAGTTCCTAGACATTGGTCTTAGAAGAGAAAATATTTGTAAAATAAGAGAGGAATATTGAAAGAGCCATTTTAATTGCCAGATTATATAGAGAAGACAGGAATAGCAAAATTAAGAGATCCTTTTGTAGATAGAGATGGAGGTAAGATGGTGAGATAGAAATTGAGAGAAAGAATGAATCCAAAATAAGGGAAGTTGGATATAGATTATTAGATATTACATGATGCATTTTTTAAATATTAAACAAAGCCATAAATGACAAAACATGGTGAAATATATTTTGAAGGAAAAGAGGAAGAGATGAGAGCAAAAAACTTTTGTCCAGGAAAGATGAGTGCAGAATTAAGAAGTGCATTAGGTTGTAGTGATTTTTAAGCACCTCCATGGTTACCAAATATGTAAAGATATGGTCCTCCTCCAAGTTATCCTCATATGAGATTTATAGGAATGGCAAGTATATTTGCAGAACCATCTTCATATCATACATCTGTAAAATAAGTGATAGAAGATTCATGTAAAAAAGCAGATTAACCAGGATTATATGCTACCTTTAAATATTATGATGAAGAAGATTTAAATGAATTATCATAAAAAACAGGATTATAAGGAGATGCTCCTGTAGATAAATCATTATGGGGTAAAATTGATGAAGTAGAAGATGAAGGGGAAGTAGAATAAGAAGATGAAGAAGAACCAGAAGTATAATAAAGATAAGAATAATAATAATAATAATAATTTGATAATTAATCATATTAATTTGGTGATTCTGATACTCGTATTCCTGGTAGATCTATTAGTGGATTATAAACACCTGATGTTGATTTAAGAAGAAGTAAATTCATATTTATAATTTATTAGATTTATAAAATGATCCAAAACCATTATATTAATAATTAGAATAAGTATAAATTGATCCTACTAGTGGAAATTAAATTTTTATGACAGGACATACATATGTATTACCAAAATAATGATTATTATTATTGTTATTAAAATATTACAATTAATATTTCTATTTTAATAGAACTAACTAATTCATTATTATAGAAAAATCAATACATTCTCACTAAAAGGCCGTTTATATTTATTTGAATATCCTTTATAAGTAATTAAACTAGTTCCAAATCCATTAGCAATTTAAATTAAGAAAAAATTACTAAATTCTCATAGCATATAAATATACTGCTTTTAGATTCATTCTTCTTATGCATGAAAATTAGTTGAGCATGTAGGAATTGAATCTTAAAATCAAATATTCAATTCTAGTTAATTTATTAGTTTTAGAGCACTTACATAAATTATTTGTGATCTTGAAAAAGTTATATTCCTAAAATTAAACTAAAATGTCTAGACCTTATGGAGTTGCTTTATTAATTACTAGAGTCTCTGATTAAAGTCCATAAATTTATTAAACTGGTATCATATTTTTATTATACATTATTAAGATCTTAGTAGAACTCTTATTGAATATTAAGCTAAAGAAATTGAAGCTGACGATGAAGGTATATAAAGAGTAATATAAATAAGTAATTAATTGAAAAACAGTATCTATGGATAGAGCTTAAGAATAATCTGAAAAATTAAATATTTAATGTTTAAAAAATGTTATGGAGAAAAGTAACTAAAGTAACTAAATTTCATTATCATAATCTTATATCAATAATAAAAATGAAGAATTAGCAATGATTACATTAATTAGACAATAATACTACAAATAAAAAGTTTACATAGAGATCATATGAATAAATTTAATGTTTAAATTGATATAGTATGAAATACATTAGTATATTACAATCGATTTATCAAATTTCAATAAATGTTCTGGATTTCTTGAATTAAAAAAAGTGATTGAATGTTTGATAATGATGATCATCCTCTATTTTATAAGGTTCAGAATAATCATTATCATCTTCAAAAACAATCTTTTTAGATGGAAAATACTTCTTAAATAATTATTTGCTGCTTGATGCATAATTTACAGCTGTCTTTATTACCTCTTCATTTTTTATACATTATTACTGTCCAGGAAATCCTCTAAAGATAATCATATAAACTTACCCAAATCTAGCTTTGTACAATTATAAAAATTATCCTATTGACGGTTTTTAATCTTCTATAATTATTTTAATGACTCTTAAATCTTTATTGTCATCCCAAATTTCATATTCTTCTTCAAGACTTATATTACTCTCAGATGTGTATATTGATAACAGTGAAGGGACTTATTGATAATTTACAACTGTATTTTTTAATTAGCATTCAGCTTAACACTATTAATCTTCTTAGTTTTCATTTTACTCTAGATTCTATAAGATTATTGGTTTTACCAGAATATTCTAATAGTTATACTTAAGAATGTGGTTTCTTTCTTTTAGCTATTGCTATTGTTTAACATTCTACTTTTTAGCATTCTAATGTTATAAGAATGTCTCCTAATTCTGTTTCAGATTAACTCTTTTTTTTTTATAAAGCAAATCTCTTTTTTTGATTCATTTTAATTTATTATTTTGTGTTTAAACTTCTATAGATGAAACATTATAAATGTGTGAATAGATATTAACAAATTTAATGATAATGACTATTTATCAAGGAATACGTGATAATAAGAATATTTGAGAAAAAGAATAAATGATAAAATATAAATTGATAAGGTTCAATAATATATATTTAAAATGTATTTTATTAATTGATTTTTATATTTAAGGAATATGATATAAATCAATAATGGAATGAGTTCTTATTATTATTATTTAAAATATCATTGATAAATTTAACTTAAAATGTATTTGGAATTTTAGGTTTAGGAAGATTAGGTGTAATTATATCCAAACATGTATCTGTGGATGAATTAAAATCTTTTTCTCTTTATCTCAACCATTTTTGATAATATTCATTTTTTTATTTCTTTATTTGAGTATTGATCATATAAAATTGATTAGATTGAGTTTTCATTCTATTTTAAATAGCTTTTTAATGGAATCTATTATTTAAAATGCCTAAATTGTTCATTAGTTTAATTAATAAAAGAACTTAACTAAAATGTGAGATGAGACTTAGATGCCTATAAAATAATAAAATAATTAGATGAAAAGTAAAAAAGTTCTGTAATATAGAAGTATATGAATAGAATAATAAAGTTTAAAGAGAATGCATTTTTAGATTATGTTAATAATAAATATTTGTTGATTAGATATACAAGATGAGTTAGATGGATTTCAATATTATAAAAAGATTAAAATAAATGTGATATCATCAATCATTCTAGAATCTTTTTACAACCAACTGATTTATGCCATTTCTAATAGATGATTTGAAGCCATCTCAATATTGTGTAAATGAGGAATGATAGCATCAAATATATCCTATTAAGAAAGAAACTCAAATAATCCATCTGATCCTATCAGTAGAACTTTATCAATGATTTCTAATGTGAAATTAAATACTTCTGGTTTATCAATAACTCCTACTTTTTTAGCCACTTCATCTCCCATAGATCTTGTCATAGCCAATCCAGGAACATTAGCATTATTCCATACTCTTAATGGACCATAAGGTAGACCTTTAGAATTTCTATATGAATCTATCCTACCACCATAATTTATTATTCTTTAGGCTTCATCTGCACAATGAGGTTTGTGATCCCTAGATAAATTTTTGATCATCCATTTATTTGATCGACTCAATAGAATTGCTCTTGAATCACCCAAATTTGAACTATAAATCTGGGGTTATTTATACCATATACTTTATTATGTAGCATTAATACTCCTATTACAGTTGATCCAGAATATTTCAGATCAATATCTGATTTATTTAAGGACTAAGAAACATGACTGAAGATGTAATATATTGCAAGTTAAGGACTTATAAATATTATCTATATACTTATTTTCTAATAAACATTAAAATTGAATTATGTAAAGTTCAAATTTCTATTTTAGAAAATTAGACACATGATGTCCGTTTATTCCATGCCCATCAAATACTAAAAAATAATGCATATAGGTTTTATTATTTATGTTAGATAATTGCATAAAAGAGTCTTAATTTTATTTTCTACTATCTCCAATAAGCATTCCTTGTTTACTTCTAATTGATATCTAAAGATTATATTAAAACTTTTCATTCAACCCATATTTATCAATTAAAATTTATTGATCTGAATTATTCTGAGGAGGAGATGAACATTATGTAACATTAACTTATTTATTTTTCTATTTTTTATGAGTTTATTATGAAGTAATATCTTCATGTAAACTTATTGAAGGTCTTCTCATTTATATTGAATACTATTGTTATTATTTATGAATAATAGGCAAATGTAATGGATCTAGTTTTTATTTAATAATATTTAATTATTTCATTGTAATGTATACTATGTTAAATGGAATTATTGTATATATATGTATATAAGAATGATTCAAATAAGATTTTAAATAAATATAAACAAATAGTCTTTTAGAATGAAACATTATGATTTTGAATACGTCATTAAATTTAATTAATTTTTAATGATTTTAGAATGATTTCAATTTGATAATAAGAGAGTATTAATGTAAGATGGAATAGAATTAGAAATGATGTGAAATCCAATATAAATGAAGTGTTTTTTTTACTAAATAATAATAGTTATATAGATTATTAAATTATAATGAGACTGTTAATTATTTTAAATTGCAATGAAGCAGAGAATAGGTGGTAATAGTTTAAATCAGAAAGAGAATGAGAAATGCATTGGGAATCAATATGCATTAAAACACAGACCAGGATTGTAATAGGAATTATTGATGAACCTAAAGAATCAACAACTAAGAAATTTAGATGCTATAAGTCAAATTTTGCAATCTAAATTTTGTAAAGTAGAGAAACGAGATAATGTTGAATATTTTAAATTTGATTTCAAATAAGAGAATATATGTGATAGAGTGAAGTTCCTAATAAATTAGACAGATGATGATACGAATAAAACCGAGAAATTCAAAGCATAATATAAAGTTGGCAGTCGTATAGGTTAAGGTGCTTATGCAACAGTTAGAGTTGCAATATAGATAGAGAGTGATACAAAAGTGGCAATTAAGATATATGAGAAAACAAAGATTAAAGATTTATAGAGAAGAAAAGGAGTAAGGAGAGAGATTGAAATCTTAGAAAAATTAGATCATCCAAATATAGTTAAAATATTAGATACTGTAGAATCAAATAATCATGTTAATATAATATTAGAATATGTAAGTGGTAGTTCATTACATCATTTAGTTAGAAAGCAGCCGGTACAAAAATATATCTAATATTTTAGGAAAGAAGATTAGAAGAAGAAATTGCCAAAGGAATATTTAGATAGATTCTAGATGCAATATAATATTGTCATTCTAAAAACATTGCACATAGAGATATCAAATTAGAAAATATATTATTAGAAGGGTTAACTCCTAAATTAATAGATTTTGGATTCTCTACATCTTTTCCAATAGATAAAAGAGTCAAAATGTTTTGTGGTACTCCCAGTTATATGTCACCTGAAATAGTAACAAGATAAGAATATAGAGGAGATAAATCTGATGTCTGGGCATTAGGAGTACTCTTATTCACAATGCTTTAAGGTGTATTTCCATTTAAAGGAGACACTGATTCAGAATTATATACTAGAATTTAATCAGGAGAATTTACTATTATTCATGATATATCTAAAGAAGCTATTGCATTATTATATGGAATGTTAACTATTGATCCAAATGAAAGACCTAGTGTTTAAGAATTGCTTAATTATCCTTGGTTTTTTAAATATTAAATTCCTCATTTCAATAATGATAATGAACAACTCAAAAAAAAACATAAATTACCTGATGATTTAATAGAGGATCTTAATACTATAACTAAAAATATGTCTTATATTACTCCTACTAGTTAAATTAAATAATAATTCTATTTTGATTTTTCATTACTTAAAAATAATACAAAACAAATTAATACTAAAGTATTTTTAACATTTATTATCTTAGGCTATTATTCCTAAACCCACTTATTTTACTACTACTAATGCTTAAACTAAACTTAAAGAACCTTAATTTTTTAAAGTTGATAAAATTCTTAGTAAAAATGATAGACACACTACAACACATTCTAAAGAAAGATAACCTACATTATCTAAAGAAAGATAATCATCATATAGTTTTGAATCTAGTAAAGGCTTATCTTAAAAGAAGAATCCTCATTAATTAACTGTTCATCCTAGTTTTATTCCAAGTGAAAAAAGTTTCAATTCTACCAAAAGTCCATCTATTGGTATCACTGAAAAACGTTCTTTCAATTTTTTTTATAATTGATTTAAATTTCTAAAAGGTGTTGTACAAATTATTCCATACATTTTTTTTTTTTATTTATTTTTATGTCATTTTTTTTTTTTGAATTATTAACCTAATAATTAAAATTAAAATGAATTCCATAACTTTTAAATGGGAAAATAGTTCTGAAACATCAACTATTCCAATCTAAGGAGTTAAAATATAAGTAAGAGATCTTAGAATCAAAATTGAATCTATTTTCAATTCTAAAAAAGATGATATCTAAATGCTTTATGAAAAATAGATTTTGAATATAAGTGATGAAATTAGAAACAAACAAATGATTGTATTACTTAGAATTCCAAAAAGTAAAAATATTTGTCTTTCTTGTTTTGCTTAAGATTTTGAAATTTTAACTCCTTGTTGTTAAAAATCTATCTGTTCCAATTGTGAAAATGTTTTTTATCAGAAATCTAAATGTTTCTTTAATATCAATTCACAATGTCATTATAAATACACAGAAACATTTCAAACTTTTGTACCAGAGCCATCTTGTAATGAATTTATTACATTCAATTCTGTCTTCTATCTTATGAGATCAAACAAAATCAATCTAGCACATGCTAAAAGATTCTCAGTTTGGACAGTTAAAGAAATTACATATTTGAAATTAGCATAAGATTGTAATATTCCTGCAAATGTTATATTGATTTTTATTAATAATGATGAATTTGTTGGTTGTGCTAAAATGATCAATCAACTTGTTGTTTATGATTAATAATTCCCTAAACTTAAGACTTTTAAAATATAATGGTTAAGACGATAACCATCAATCAAAACTATTTATGATTTTCCTCCACTTGAATTATATGATGGCTTTAAAATTAAAAATGGAATTGCTAAAGCTATATGTTAATCCTTCCCTATTGGATAAATACCTGTTGAAATCAAATAATAATCTACTACAACTGAAGATTGGGATGTTGATGAAATCTTTAGAGATTAAGAAGAAACTATTAAAAAAGATGAACAAATTCTCACTAATCCAATTAAAACTTCAGATTTCTCTTAAGATCAATAAGACATTCAATCCAAACAATTAAATAATCAGAATGAAAATAATACTAATACAAATAATGAAAATTTTCAAAATATTGTTTAAATTATTCAGACAACTTAAGAATTATTTGATAAAATTAACAATGGATAAATACCAGGAATTAAAGGTGAAAATAAATATACTCATCCTATTGTAAAATAATTATGTTTTAATCTTATTTCAAACTCTTTACTAAACAATAATACTAAAAACTAATTTAAAAAAAGAAAATATTCAAGAAGTAGCTCTTCTAATTCAAGTAGTTCTAGTAGTTCAAGAAGTTCTAGTAGTTCTAGTAGAGATTCCTTTGTATCAAAATCAAAAAAATCAAAAAAATTTAACAATCGATCAAGAAAATCAAAAAAAATATCAGAATCAAAAAAAGATAAAAAATAATAGAAATGGACAAACCACAAACATTAATCTAAATTTTATGAAGATAAAATTAACAAATAAAAATAAATTAAATCTTCTTAAGAAGAAAAGGAAAAGTATAGAACAAAATCCAAGCAAAATACCAAATGAAAAAGAAAATGTGATTATTTTATATTATTTTTATAAATTATAAATAAATTATTTCTTTATAAAATGCTAGTTCATTTTTATAAATGCAACCTCTCTTAATTTTTTTATAAGATTTCTTTGCCTTAAATATATTGTATTTTTCAAATAGATTTTCATTTGCAAAAATTATTTTATTAATCATATATGAATAATTATTAGTTACACAATAATTCATATATTAAATTTTACATCTATTTCTATAATGTAAAATATTCCAACAATCTTAGGTACTAATAAAAAGCTTTTTATTAAAACATTTTCTCTAATATCTCCTTTAAGCTCTCATTAAGCTATCTTTTTTATATTTTAAATGATTATTAATTATATATTTAATTACCAAATTATTATCTGATGAATTCTGAAACCTAAAGAATTTATTTATCAATTTACAATAAAAACAACGGAAAACTCTTTGATTGGCATTTATCATGAAATTATAAAAATTATCAGTTTAACGACAGTCTTTCTTTGTGAACAAGATAATAATTAGAACTAATATAATTATTTTTCTGCGTTTCAAATTTATATCAATTATAAAAAACAAAAATTTGTGAAACCACGTTGTAAGTTATTTAATATAATATAATAATAAATAGAAATTCTCAAATATTCCATAAGGTTTAATAATTATATGAATCTGAATGAATAGCAATAGATGATACTTCAGGTTACTAAATTTTTTATAAATTTTACATAATTGGATTCCATTTTACTTGAAGGCTTATGCCAATAAAAAGGAGTGCTTGAAATTATTTAAAATTGTTAAAATAGAGATGCATTTTCATTTATTTTATCTAATAGATATTGATTTTAAGCATTCTCAATATTTGTGTCAAAATCTATGTATTAGAAATCTAATTTTTTTAAGGCTGAGACAAAAATGGGTTGTTTCTTTTAGATCCTATTCAGTATTTTTTACTGTTGACATTAGTTAAAGACAAACTTGGTTTTAGAAGTATTAAGTTTTGTTTTTGTTTTTAATTTATTTTCTTTCTTTATAAATTTATTTTACAGATATATTTAACTAAAATTTATTATCTAAAAATACTTTTCTCTTTCCAAATAAGCTGATATTTGCTTAACTTTTTCTTTAGTTTCTTCATTTAACTTTTCTCCTTATTAAATTGATTTATTTTGCCTAATCAAACTTTTAAAAAGTTCTTTCATATCATCATCGATTTGAATTTGCTTCTAATCTATCTCATTATCATAACAAAATATGCTAGAAATCAATAAAGGCTGTAATTTAGCAGTAATAGTTGAACCTAAAATAAAACTGACAGATTTTACTTTCGGTTGTTTAAAAAGAAGCTTTTAATAATCGCCTAAAAACTTTTTTTACGTGAGCATAAAATTTATTTTTGATATCTTAATCTGTTCTATGGTTGAGCTCTTCAGCAATACAAGTCTAATTATATATAATTAATACCCATTTGTTTCCATGAATTTTGATTAGTTCAAAAAGTTTATCAAGTTCAATTTGAGATAACTCACTTTTATTATAAGAATTATCAAGATGATTGAAAAATCTCTCTCTACAAGCCTTAGTATTTCTATTATAGCCTTATTTTTTGAGAGACTGAGATATTTTCTTCCAGCCAAGTCTTTCATTTTAGTACTTATTTACTAATTACTTAAGGATTTTATCTTCCTACTATACTAATTTTATTTACATCATCTGTCCATGGAATTCTTTTTTTCGATTAAGGGAAGGATTAGTTCAGCATATTAATAATTATCAAAAAATTGATTACAATCAATTAAGATTTTATGTTCTTTATCATATATTTTATCGGGATCACTTATTAATAAATGTATAAAATATATATAAATATATTAAGCTTCAATTAATTAATTTTAATCAAACATATGAATATCTAATTTCTTAATTTTTTGATTTCTCAAATGATTGTAGTACAGATATTTTAGTTGTCCAAGGAATATACCAAACATAAGATTAATCAAAATTTTCTTAATTAATAATAATAACAAACCTTCCACAAAATTAATTGAAATTATAGGAACAACTTTAAAAAGTTATTTTATTAATGAATCCCAATATATTTTTGATCAATCCTAAATAAATTCTTTAAAAAAATGTAAATTTGGGATGAAAAATGTATTACAAACATTATTTCTTAAAAAATCCATATATCAAATCAAGAGTTACAAAAAAATATATGAATAAAATTTATGGATTATATTTTCCATTACAGAGGTTAATTTTAAAATATTATAAAGGATTCTGATTCACTACTCCATCATTTATGTAATAAAGCACGTAAAAAATTAATATTAAAATTTTACTAATTACAGGAAATGTAAAAATAAATGTAGCTTCATCAATTTTAGTAGTTATTGACTTATTTGGAATTGTTTGATTATAATTATCTTAATTATTGGTGTCATTTACATTATTGCTAATATTATTATTAGTTTAATTATTTACACAAGAATTCTTTAATTTTATTCTCTTAACATATTATTAATTCATTTTAAAGTGAATTTGCATTCTAAACAACTAGTTAAATTACAAACTCCAAATTAATCAATACCACATTCATAATTAAAAGAATAAAGTAAATTCGATTTAAATAATTTCATTAAAAGATGTATGGTTAAAAAAGTCTGAATAATTGCTTTTAGGATTGATAAATTGTTTTTTAAAATGTTATATTTATTTTCCTTTTAGAATTTAAGCTAAAAAGTTCGAATCTTATCCAATTAATACATTATTGCTTAAATATCAATTTTCAACTTTAATTTCAAGATTATTCAGCAATTAAATGGAATTTTGAAATTCCTCTATTCTCTAAACCAGAACCAATAATTACTTGCCAATTACCTTATACTAATTAGTAATTATCATAGCAATTACAGATAATTGCAATGCCAATGAAACTGTTGATTGTAAAAAATTAATTAGCTTTTAAACTTTAAGCTTTATAAGGTTTTATATTTTTAAATTTAGGAGTTTAAAATTATATATTATTAATCTAATCATATTATAATGAATTTTCAATTTAAATACAATTAATTAGGCAAATTTGTAGTTATATAAAATGTTTTAATTTATAAATTATCCAATCCATTAACTTTAAAATCTACTTCTTCTCTAATTTAAAAAGGAAATGTAATTAATATGGATGCTAATTTGTGTCTAAAAAGTTAAGGAGCTAATTAATTAGATGATGAAGCTTATTCTTAATTTTGATTAAAGAGTTTTGTCTAAAATTAAAAAGAATCACAACCATATATAATCTCTATTTAATTTTAATAAGGTAGATTTATAGTTATTATTGAAAGAAGAACAATCTTAATACTAGATTTTGCAACTATATAATAAATTTTATTTTGCCAATTCAATATAAAAGTTCTTAAATTGTTAATCTAACTATAGATTTAAAATTACAAGTGCATAATTTAATATAATAGTTGTATTCTAAGATAGAGACATTTAAATATTATCTTTAATTGGATTATACAAAATAAATCTTCTAATTCTATCGTAATTATTTAAAGTTTAAATCAAAGTTTGTTATTTAATTTAAGAGGATTCAAAAATTATTGAAATATTATGAGAAAAAGATTCATAAGCAGTAATTTATTTCAATGTTAAAATTTAAGAGGTAAATAAAAATAATGTCAAAAAAAATTAAATTTTAGCAATTATTGAGGAAATAACTTGGAAATAGATAATTCTAAGTTAAAATACTTTAAAAATTTGATAAAAACTTTTCAAGAAAAAATTATATTTTACTAATAGGAATAAATTTGTATATTACTAAAATTACATCAAATAACAGCATATCCTCCTTCACCTTGTAATCCTCTAAATTTCTTAATTATTCCAAAAACTTTTATAACAGTAAAATTAACTCCATCCTTAAATAAATGAGGAAAATCTTTCCAAAAATGGGAGTGAGGTAGTGCATCAATTCCACTAAGTTAATATTATTTTTTATTGTAAGCTATACCTCCTCCAAAATAAAGGCCTACAGCTATTATAATATAGAAAAGCATAGTTTAGCTGCCCCCACCTAAGATTAATGAAATAATTACTAGGAGAAGAACCTGATCGACAACCAGCTGAATGTTAAATACCCAATCTAATATTACATTTACTAGAATCAATAACTCTAAAGTTAGGTTCATCTTTTCCACAAGTTATTTCAAATGTAACTGATCTTGGACTCATTTACATTTATTCATTATCTGCAATAATTTTTTGTAATCCTCCATCATCTTTAACATCAAAACACATATCGCCTTATAATTAATTTAAAATTAACCTTATTTGTAAGTGATGGAAATTCCTAATTCAGGATAAACCGGATTAACATAGCCAAATTCTTGAGTTTCTTTTAATCCCAAGACCTTTGTATTTAATAATGATTTACATCACAATTTTCAGTTACTTTACCCATTACTTCAAGTGCTTCAAATGCAGCAACATCACGACCTTAACATCTCACAGCTCCTGTACAAAAATTAAATTCATAAACCATGTTAAACATTCCCATGCCTGTATAGATTTGTATAAAAAAGTTACTTGTATCAGTATCGGGTACTTAATAGTTATTTATGTTATGAAGTTTTGAGATGTCATAAGTATATCCGAAAGCATCGTGCCATAGGCAATTTTTATCTGTAGCATAAGACGTGGTAATTAAAATTAATAAAGAAAACATTATTTTATAATATTAATTATTTCATCTAAAATAACTACGGAAATTTAATTCATCAGCAATTTCCAAGCTTTAATTTTTTTTGAATGATGGTTCAAAATTTTCTTTTCCACTTTTATTTGGTATATTTTTTTCATGAGAACAAATGTGCTTAAAAGGCTCCTTAAACTATTAAATACTGTTTTGCATATCATTATAAGTTGGACTACTTTGATTTAATTGAGATTAAAAATAACTTTGAAATGATTCAATTTCACTTTTATTTATCTCTTCAGTTTTCTTATTTTCATTTACATCCCAAAATTAAACATTAATAGCTGAAGTGTCAAATAAATATTTAGGATACTTAATAGGTTTAGAAGTTTTTAATTTTAATGTTTCTGAATTCTCAATTTTAAGCTTCATTTCTTTTCTTAGTTTAACTTTGTATATATTTTGCATCATTATTGAAATATTATCTAACATTTAATCTAAAGTTTCATTATTTAGTAAAACCATTTCATCAACATCAATCATATTATGATAACATAAAACAATTTTTAACAGTTTATTTCTTTCATCTTAAAGATCTTTACTCAATTGTTTATATTTTCTAGTTTTAGCTTTTTGATTTGCATATCTCTTTTTTGTTTAAACAATGGTTTCTTATTGTTTTGATTTAAGTTCATTTACTTAAAACTCTAATGTTTATTTTTCTGATTTTAAAATAATGAATTCCTCTTCTAAATTTTAATATTTTTTTATCATTCCAAATGAATCAATAATATCTTATTTAATTTCAAGATCTCTACTTCCTTTTTCAGGAACCCAAAGTACTCCAACACCATGATAGTGTAAATGAGTCCATTGATATGGTTAATTCTTATTAATCATAGCTTATATATGATCAGAAGCTGTAAATTATGATTTAAATATTTTTCTTTATTCTTCCAATTTTTCTATAATTTTGAGCATCATTTCTTATTATTATTTATCATCAACTCTTGCTCTTTGTAATTCTTCAATTTTAGTTTCATAATCCTTAATAACTCTATTGAGACTTTCATCATTATCAAAACCTACAATATTCTTGGAAACATTGTTTTCTATTTTTTTTGCATTTGTTCCAAATCTTAAAGTTGACAAAGTTTATTCAAATTAACTATAACAAGGATTAACACATAGTATTATGGCAGTTCTTGAATTACCTCCTAAAGAAGATCTTAAAATCTTGGTTAAAGGTGAATTTCGATATGGAATGTGTTGATCACTAAATAATGTAAAGTTTTTACTTTCTTCCTTAAGCTCTTAGGGATATGACTTAAGTTAAAAAAAATAAACTTTTATTAATATGTTTTGATTCATTCTATCTATCCTTATATTAAGTTCCACTTCCTCCTGCTGAAGTTCCTCTTTTTTTAAGCATTGAATCATGGATATTGATTTTTTCTGATCCTGCTAAATCAACAAAATTAAGAATAGATTCAGTTATTACAGAATTTGGTCCAATAGTATTTGGAACACATCTAACATAAAGTCTGAAAATGGTATGAGATCTACTACTGCAATGATTCATAATAGTTGATGCGTAATGTCTATTACTTTCTCCAAATTGAAGGATATCCATAATTTCATCAATGGTTGTGACTATTTCTTCGACTGCTCCTTTAATAACAAATTCCCTATTATAATCTTCATTAATAAGTAAAGTTTCACTCAATTTCTCTTAAGTTGATAAGAGATCATAAACTTAATCAGTATAGATTTCAACATAGCTACATCTTAAGAAAAACTATTTATCTTATTGTTTCTAAATTTCTGCAAAAAGATCTTTAAGTGCTTATTTTAAAATTCCTTCTTCTTAATCATATCCCATCATAGTGTAAGTCTTACCACTTCCTGTTTATCCATACATAAATACAGTCCCATTTATACCTTATAATGATGATAATGTAATTCTTTAAATCTACTATTAATAAATAAATTTAGTGGTGTGTTTGGGATCAAAACATTAATCTAATGATATGAGATTGATTATTTACTAAAAGTAAATTCTACTCTTTATCCTGGTACAAATTTACGCATTCTTACTAAATCATTAAATCTATCATTAGAAATAGTAATAGTATCTTAATTTTAAACAGACCAAATTTCAAGATCGTTATTATCTTTCTCTAAAACATTTGAAGGTCTAATTCTAACTACAACTTAAATATTCTCCATTAATTTAAATTAAATATTGTTTTAACCGAATATTTTACAATTAAAATGTAGAAATTGTATTGATATTAATATTGATGATAATTCATTAATCAAAAGACTTCTTCTCTAATTTAAAGGAATTCTGAGGCAGCACTCATCTTTTGAGTAAGAACTTCTTATAATCTTTCAACGACTTCCAATTATTATTCTCTTTCGAAAGTTTAAGCTTCATATTAAGCTTCTTATTCAGCAGCCCATCTTTATTGGATAGCCAAAGAATCTTCAGCATCTTCAAGGAATAACTAAATATTAAATGATGATAATACAGTTTAATCTTCTAAATCTTCAACAGCTTCTTAGATTGTAACTTTGAATTAAACAATTGAGTTTTCTAAGAAAGCTTTTCTCTCAACTAATCTCTTATGTTCTTCTTATAAGTGACCACTTTAGACTTCCCAATTAGCAGCTTATCTTTCTTCTGTTGCAAGGAGTGATGCTCTACTAGCAACTAATTATTATCTGATTTAAGCTAAGAGTTCTAATATTTTAATAATGCTCTTGTTATCAACTTTTGATGCTAATTATGTTAAAGCATTGATAAGTGGCTTTAAATAATAGAATAATATTCATACTTTAAAGAGAGCATGTTTACTTTCCATCAATTTAGCTTAGACTTTTTCAAATCTACTCTTAAGTTGAGCAAATGCAACACCAGCTTATAAATGTTAAACAATCTTTGATGCTTCATCAATAGCATCCATTTAATCAACATGTTCTGCATCCTTTCTAACCCATGTTTCATGTTATGATTATCTTGTAGCAGATTCGTCAGCAAAACTTTTTTCGTTATTAGCAATATCAGATGTGACAACTCTTACTTCAACTTCAGCTTCTCCCAAAGCCTCGGTTGTTGAATCTCTCAAATTTGAAAGAGAAACAATTTAAGATTAATGATAAGCTATTTCTTATTCTAAGTCAGCAATTATCTATCAAATATAATTTATTAAATATACCTTCTCGAAAGCAACTGTATCACTTTCATGAACTTTGTCAGCTTTCTTTTAATCTCCATTAAGTTATGAAGCAATGTTGTTTAAAAGGATTTAAATTTCTCCAACTGGTCCTCCTGTTGCCAATTAAAGTTGGAGGACTGACAATACAGAATTACCAAATGAATCTTTATTGATTTATGCCAACACTTCCTTTGGACTTTCACTCTTTGCTACTCTAGCAGTTGTCACTGCCAAGATAAGTGTCAATATTGCAATGATTCTAGCCATATTAAAATTATTAATGAATTATTATCACATCCAAGCAGAAAACTTAAAAAACCCGTTTTTTAATTATTTCTTTATAATCAATTTATTCCTTTATTAATAGCATCTTAGCCTTCCTTTTAAATCATACTAATTATAAATCTTTATTTCCTCTCTTCTACATTCCTCCTAATCATAACTAACTAACTTCAATCAATCATTTTCTATTTTCATTATCAAACACTTCAAAAATTTATTAAAATTCTTATTCCACTAAATTAACCTACTCCAATTTGCATCAAGAACCGAGTTTAAACAACTATTCTTATATCTTTTTTTAGTTTTTAATTGCTTACTTTGATGCTAATTTATATTTAGAATAAATTTCATATTTATATCTTTCAACATCAAAGCTACTTTCCAACTATTTCTATCTCCTCTAAATTTCAAATCAATGTACAAATTTTAATATTCTTTTTGTACAAGTTAATGATCATTATTATTCTAAAAAATAAGTTAAAACTCATATTCTATGATTAATTGTTGATGAATCTTAATATGGATTTGACTATCAAAACAATCTTTAGTATATATTATAATTTGAGAAATTAAATATGCCAAAAGAGAACAACCTTTTAAAGAAAGAAGAAACATCGAATTATATTCTTAATTAATTTAATATTGAATTAAGCCTTCTTTGCCAACTCTTCAATAAAATAGTTTGCATAATTATTCTGTAGCTATATTATCTGAGTTTGGATACATAATAATAGATGTACATAAGAAATAAAAAATGTTCATAAGAAATTATCCAAAGGTTTGAATCAAAGTAATATAGATATAGATAGAAAATATTAACTTGATGTTAAGTTATATATCTATTTATAGAGAGGAGATTTGTATTATGATGATTAAAAATAATATTAAATTAATTATATTATTTTAATCATTAAAAATGCGTCAATAAACTCAGAAAAACTCTTTTTTAAAAACTATCCCTTTTTAATCAATTTTTATGGAGTCTTTAAAGTAATAATCGATGTGGGTGTCATCAAATACGATTGATGGAAATAGCTAATTTTAAGGTATTGACTAATAAATCATTTAGGAAGGTTACTTATAAAAGTTGATAATCAATGGGAATCAGCATAATTAAATCTATATCCTGAGAAACTATATAGAAAAGGAGTGGGATCTGAGGATTGTGCATCATATTGTTAATTACAGGCTTGCTTTTTAAAAAAGTTTACACATTTTGATCCAACAATGCCAAATTACAGATATGGATTAAGACTGCAATTTGGTTAATAATTAACTCATTTATTATGTGAGAATTCAGACATCTTTAAAAAATGGTTTCAATTTTTAAGAAGATATTGTATAATGGATAAATTTGCAAGGAAATATAAGGTATTAGGGAAAATAAAGTATAATGACCCAGTATTTGGTTAATGCTTATTTTCTTGTGTAAGAGTACAAGATGCAGAATATCATATAGTAAAAGTGATAGAGAAGGAGGTTATAACGGCAGCATAAAAATAAAATTTATATAGGGAGTTAAGTAATCTAAGAAAATTGAGTCATACATAAATATGTTATCTAGTAGAAGTGTTCGAAGATGAATAGAATTTATATATTCTATATGAATATTATTTTGGGATTGATTTAAGATCATACATAAAGGAATCATAGATTTATTAAATGGCAGAATAGTCCACCTAGGGATTGGATGAGAAATTGGTTGCAGATATAATCTATGGAGTTCTATAAGCAATATAGCATATGCATTAAAGAGGAGTATTTCATAGAGATATAAAAATGGAAAATTTATTCATTCCAGAAAAGAAACGTTTGCCTTTTGTTGTATTAGGCAATTTTTGTTATTCTGAAACTACAGATCAAGTATAATATAAGAAATGTGGTACTCCAGGATTCGTTGCTCCTGAAATATTTAAATCTAAGAATTATACAAGTAAAGTAGATTTATTTTCATTGGGTGTAATCTTCTATCTATTAATTTATGGGAAATTACCTTTTGAAGGTAAAGATTAAGAAGAAATACTTAGATCTAATGAAAGATGTGAAATAGATTACAGAATTGAGTAATAAATTAATATATATAAATAAATAGAAAAAAAATATGTAAAAAAATATCAAACTCTGGAATGGATTTATTAAAGGGATTGTTGAATAAAGAACCAATTAAAAGATTATCAGCTACTTATGCACTCAATCATCATTGGTTTATAAAAATGGGAACTAGACATTAAAGAAATTAATTACTTTAAGTTCAAAGAGGGAAATCTCTATCTACAATTATAGAAAATTCTGTAGATATTACTTAAAGGTAAGCAAGATTGAGTTAAAAAGCTTTTTAGTTACTATTAATCCAATTCCTAATTACACTAATCTACAAAGGAAGAAGACAGATAAGACAGAGTAGAAAAAGAATTCAATTAAGGTAGTCTATATGATAAGTTACTCCATTTTAATAGTATTTAGTATTAGCCTTCTAAATTTAGACATAATTAATCATAATAATGATAAATATTTTTATTCTTTTATAATAATTATTGATTAATATGAAAACAAGATGGTTTAGAGAAATTGAATAAAAAAATAATTAATTTATTAAAATTTAATTATGACATCCAAACTTTTGATGATTCCAAAAACTAAATTCAATCCTCGATTTCATCCAACATCCAGAGAAATAGAATTACTTAGTTAAGTAATAAAATTTGAGTAAAATGTTGATTCTAAAGTAAATTCAAAGAATATTAATAAAAGGCATTTACTTTACATGAAAGTCCTTTAAGTGTTCATGGGAGATTACATTTTGGACATTTTTATAATAAAGTTCATAAAGATATAATAAAAAGGTATAAATTATTAAGAGGATATAAAATTGCACCTTCTATGTAATTTGAATTATTTGGACCATAAATTGAACATGCAGCATTTTAAGAATTAATTTAAAAGGGAACTACATAAATGTAGTATGATGAAATAACAATAAGATAAATATGTTCAAAATATGCAGAAGAACAATTAAAATCTTATTTGGAATAGATTTAAAGATGGGGTATATTGGAATAAGAAATAAGTTTAACAATAGATCCGAGATATTAAAAATAAGTGTTATATTAATTAGCTTATTTCTTAGAATAAAGTATAATGTTATATGATGATAGATAAAATTGTAAAGGAGTAAAAAATTGTTATATGGTCTAAATCTAGATTTTTAGAAGTTCCATTAGATTCTGTAATAATATCATAAAGAGATGTACCAGGACATGCTATAAAATTTAAATTTACAAGATTAAGTGCAAATTTTAAGAAATTAAAATGTGTTTTTTATCTTGTTTTAGAATTGCCATCTCCATGGAAAATTCCAAGTGCAAAGGCTATATAATTGATAGAATAGGAATGGTTAGTGATGAAAGACAAAGAAGCTCTTATTATGAGCAAGTAATTTTATAATACTCATAAAGAAGAATTTTAAATGTATAAATTTGTAGGAACAATAGTAACATCTGATTTTATTAATTTGACTGTTGATAATAGTTTAAATGAATTTATAGATTTAAGAATAATTGAAGGTGAAGAGAATAATATAATTTGTCCTGCTCATTAAATGGATGATATACCTATAGCTAAAAAATATAAATTAGATAGAACAGGTATGGTAAATGAAAATGGATAATTAATTTATGAAGATGAAGAATTAGATATTTTAAATAATGAAGCAGATTAATAGATTCTGAAAGATTTAAGAGAAAGAAATAGAATTATTGATGTAGTCAGTTCAGCATAAGAAGTCTTTTATCATCACAAAGTTACAGGAGAACAACTCTTATTAAGAAGTGTTCCTGCATGGTTTTTAAATTTTGATGAAAAACTCATTGATGAATATAAACAAAAGTATAATGTAGATGAAGAAAATGCTAAATTTCATAAGAAAGATGAAATATATACATCATATATAGAATTAATGGAATCTTTATGTGGTTAATGGTGTATTACTGAACATAATGTTTGGGGTATTCCAATCCCATTATTTAAAGCAACTAATCCTAAAAAAATAGATTAATTAAAAAATGGATATTTACTTAATGCAGATATTGTAAGACATTTTGCTGATTTAATTGAAAATAATGGAAGTGATATATATTGGAAATGGAATATTGTTGATTTATTACCAGATACATATAAACCTTTAGCATAACATCTAGAAAAACATACATGTGTATTAAATAGAAATTTTAGTTTACCACAATAATGTGATCTTATCTATGAAGGAGAAGATTAAAATGAAGCATTTCTTTTTAGCAGTTAAATGATGATGATGTTATTTCAAAACAAATTTGAGAGATAAATTTATACTCATCCAGTTTTATAATACAACAAAGATAAAATTAGTAAAACTAATTATTTTACTTTGCAAAATATTATTGAAGGTTAAATCAAAGCAAATGAATAAAAATAATATGGAGTAATATTTTATACCATTATTATTATTAGTCTGGTGTTGATATTCTTAGAGCTCTTGTTACTACTGTCAATGAACATGATGAATTTTCATAATTTATGTTAGATAAAAAAAAAGAATAAATTAATTACATAAGAAAAATATATTGGTAAATTATTGGATGTTTAGAAAATGCTTCTCTTACTCCAGTTGATGTTAAAGATTTACATTTTGTATTTATCATTTTATTTATAATTAGTATGATTCATATATTTATCAACAATTGATATTATTTGTTGCTAACATTACAAAAGCATATGAAGATTTTAATTTTGGATTAGCTTATTAATTGTATATAGATTTCATGCAAAATTATGTTTCATTATATGTTTCAAGCACAAGAAATAAAATTATTGCATTTCATAGTGAATATCAAAATTGCTTGTATATCTATTACAAAATTTATGATATAACATTAAATGTTATTCAACCTATATTATGTTTTAATGCAAGAGATATTCATACTAAATTACCTAATACATGGCCAAAAATTCCAGTTAATCATTTTTAAGAGGCATAATAAAATATTGTTACTTTAAGCTTATTACATAAAATATAAAAAGAAGTCAATACTTAAATTGATTTAGTTTAAGAAAGAATAAAATAAAAAAGCATATCAAAAAGATTAGAAATAGTATTTATTCTTGATTAAAATACTTATGAAGCTAAATTAATAAATATAGATCCTGATGAATTATCTTTATTTTTTAATTGTGGAAAAATAACTATTGAAACTGAATTTTAAAATAAAAAAAGACCAACTCATGTTTGCATGTCTTCATTTTATGTTAAGGAATAATTTTATCATTAAAAAATTAATTATCATCTCAAATTTTATGAAATTACTCATAGTTAATGTCCAAGATGTCTTGAACATAAACCTGTTATAAATGAGATCTGTTAGGATTGTACAGAATATATTTAAATAGAAGAAGAAAAATTAAAACAAATTAATTGAAAATACATGTTTATATAATTTTATAGTAATATTTTAGTTCCCTAAATAAATAATTTTTTAAACTGAATCTTGTTTTTAATTTTTCTTTAACCTAGCTTTTTTTTTATACTTTTAAAATGGGGAAAACATCATTTAATATATAGTACAATCGTTTATAGAAATTAATAAAATTTTAAGAGTTTAAAATACAGAAAGTCATTTCAAATCCTTACTTAAAAGCCTTTAATTTTAAATTCTTACAGTTTTTATAAATTTTGGTAAGAATTGATTAGGGAGTTTTATTTTTGGTGTCATTGGTGAATCCAAACCATCATTTCTATCCCAAAGGTCATAATCAAATTAAGTATCAAGATTTTTCTAACTTAAGTTTATAGATCTCAAAGATTTTCTCTCCAAAGCAGTTTGCATAAACCGATTGTTCAACAGATTAAAAGAATCCATTAAACAAATGTATTAAAAAAATAATATAATTTGTTCCATTATAAATCTCATAAATCAAAAAATATTTTATCAAGATTATAATGAATTAATAACTCAATATATATAATTTTAGTATATTAAAAACAATATCAATCTATTTTACCTTCTAAATTTATTTTCTGCCCTAAATATTTTTGATTTATTTTTTATTTGATTATTTATTAATGATACATTTTTATAAATGCTTGTTAATTATTTCTTCAATAATTTTGAAACTTTTATATTTCCAATTTTACTTTCTTAGTATAGTTTGAATAGTTAATATTGATAATTATTTAATACAAAAATAACATATATTCATATATTCATTGAAGAGATCCTCTTCCAAATTTATTGTTTAACTAACCAATTAAATTTACTCGAACTGATTTAGGTATATTGTTAAGACTTAAATTTTCTTGATCTGATGCCTATGTATAAGATGAATCGAGATCCTTATGTAAAGTCTAGGTCTTTTAATCAATGAAATTTTCTCTTTATTAATTTTTAAATTGTGAACTAAAGTTATCACTCTATCTGTTTCGTCTCTTTTCACAAGCCTTTTAATGAAATCGATTCTTTTCTAAACTAAAAGTGCTCATCAATTAATTATAATAATGGTTGGATAAATGATAGTAATTAATGATTGGTTAGCTATTATAAAACTTTTAAATTTTAATAAATTATAACAAATGAATCATTTCGAAAAAATAACTATACATATATTAAATTTGATTTTGGTTCTTGTAATTTGTAAAATCATAAAAACATAATATTTTAATCCCTTAAATTATTTTTTGTTAGATTTTTATTAATGATACCAAAAAACTAACTAATAATTAAAAAAATAAAAAGATGTAAGTTATAATGAAGTGAAATTACAAATCAATGGATTGCCTATTTTGTAAATTAATAAGATTACCTTATTTTGATATATCTTGCTTAGAATAAAATGTGAAAGAATTATGATAAATAAATTAAGGATATTTCATATAACTTTTTAAATCCTCGTTGTTATATGTAATTTCATCATCTAATTGTTAAAATATATTAATTGAGTTTTCTTCTTTTCAAATGGAACACAAAGCTTTACATTATTTACAAAAAAAATATTAATTCTTTAAATAAAATTATATTGTTTAGAAATAAAATGAACAATTATGTTTACGGATAGAATTGTAATGATATATTTTGAATATTTTTAGAGTAGATACTAATATAGCAATTGTTCTAAAAGATAGAGTAGTTGATGGTAGAAATATAAAAATTAACTAATTTTTCTAATTAATTAATAATGAATCTATAAACTTAGGAAAATTAATACAATACACTTAAGAGATAATTTAATGATATATGGAGTTAATTAAGTGATAAATAAAAGATCTGGTTTAATTTAAAAAATAATACTTAACATTATACTTTATCAAATGAAGCATTTGTAATGTCTAATTTAATAACTGATATAAAGAGTAGAGTATCAGAAATTTAATAATTTAACTCTTATTAATAGGATTATTGTAAATAGAAAAAATGTTAATTATGTTAAGAGAAAGATTACACAATAAGTAACCTAAAAGCATAAATATAAAAATAAGCAGAAATTTTATTAAAATTGCAATGTATAAATTATTAAATTAAATAATAGCTGATAGTGAAATGACAAAACCTTAATNAAGCCTTTTAATGAAATCGATTCTTTTCTAAACTAAAAGTGCTCATCAATTAATTATAATAATGGTTGGATAAATGATAGTAATTAATGATTGGTTAGCTATTATAAAACTTTTAAATTTTAATAAATTATAACAAATGAATCATTTCGAAAAAATAACTATACATATATTAAATTTGATTTTGGTTCTTGTAATTTGTAAAATCATAAAAACATAATATTTTAATCCCTTAAATTATTTTTTGTTAGATTTTTATTAATGATACCAAAAAACTAACTAATAATTAAAAAAATAAAAAGATGTAAGTTATAATGAAGTGAAATTACAAATCAATGGATTGCCTATTTTGTAAATTAATAAGATTACCTTATTTTGATATATCTTGCTTAGAATAAAATGTGAAAGAATTATGATAAATAAATTAAGGATATTTCATATAACTTTTTAAATCCTCGTTGTTATATGTAATTTCATCATCTAATTGTTAAAATATATTAATTGAGTTTTCTTCTTTTCAAATGGAACACAAAGCTTTACATTATTTACAAAAAAAATATTAATTCTTTAAATAAAATTATATTGTTTAGAAATAAAATGAACAATTATGTTTACGGATAGAATTGTAATGATATATTTTGAATATTTTTAGAGTAGATACTAATATAGCAATTGTTCTAAAAGATAGAGTAGTTGATGGTAGAAATATAAAAATTAACTAATTTTTCTAATTAATTAATAATGAATCTATAAACTTAGGAAAATTAATACAATACACTTAAGAGATAATTTAATGATATATGGAGTTAATTAAGTGATAAATAAAAGATCTGGTTTAATTTAAAAAATAATACTTAACATTATACTTTATCAAATGAAGCATTTGTAATGTCTAATTTAATAACTGATATAAAGAGTAGAGTATCAGAAATTTAATAATTTAACTCTTATTAATAGGATTATTGTAAATAGAAAAAATGTTAATTATGTTAAGAGAAAGATTACACAATAAGTAACCTAAAAGCATAAATATAAAAATAAGCAGAAATTTTATTAAAATTGCAATGTATAAATTATTAAATTAAATAATAGCTGATAGTGAAATGACAAAACCTTAATATTAAAATTGTTTTGGAAATTATTAAAATTAAAGAATCCATACTGAAGGATTAACGAGATAAAGATTTGCATCTCAAAAACTTTTTTAAAGTAATTTAAGTACTGCAACAGCTTCTGGATCAAAATTTTGATAATTTAATGATGTTTTCTAATAAAATTAATAAATAAATAGATCGATAAAATTTTTGAATTCAATTTTTTTTAATACTCGATTTAGGAGATCTATCTTTAGTTATTTAAAGTTATAGATCTTTTTTTTAAGGTTTTTTTAATAAATCATGTTTTTCTTTATTTGACATTAAATTCATCATTTAAGAAGTTAATTAGATAAATTCTGATTTAACAATAGAATGTTTTCCTTATTACATTTCTTTTAATAATGGAGTAATTGCTTAAAGAACTTGAGGATCTAAATTTGAGGTATCAATTCTTAAGGAATCAATTTCTCCATCTTAATCAGAATCTAAGAGATCAAAAATATTTGAAAGTTTATTATAAATTGCTTATTGAGTTATTTTGTCAGATTGATGACTGGCTTTAACTTAAGATTAAAAAAGCGCTTAATCCATACTTGATGATAAAATTTAAGCTTTTTTATCTGACAAAGTTTTAGCATTGTTATAAAGAGAATCAAATAAATTTTCAGGGCGATATTCTGGAGGTCTTCCTGTTTTAGGTCTAAAACACTCTGCAACTAATTGATGTTTATCTTTAGTAGATATTAAGAACTTCTATTATCTATCTTAAAAAGTTTATCCAGAAACTATTTATTCTGATAATTAATCTATTTTTGGATGAAATGTATAATTCTCTGTAAAATATTCTTATCCTTTCTAATTCAATTTCATTTGACGAATATTATTAACTTAGTATAGTTATTCATAATGAGGAATTGAAATTTAAGATGCCTTTTTCTTTTCTTCAATAATTGCTTAAGATCTAAGTAAATATAATATATTACTATTTATCAATTTATGGATGAAAAGAACATTATTATTATTACTCTTCAACTTTATTAAATAATGCTTATTCTTTCTTTTCAGAGATTACTTTAGCCAATTAATTTAAATAAAGACAAGTAGGTTCTGATGGTCTATTACCTATTTTCTATGACATTTGATTTATTTATGGTTTATAAGTACATTCAATCATTTATTAATATTATTTCTCCAATAATGCCATTTCAGCTTTAATTATAAATTCATCTTTTTTAGACATTCCTCTCTAATATAATAATTATCCATAATTTATATCTGATTCTTAACTATGAACAAATTAATTAGAAATTTGTAATCGTTCAGAATCCTATCTTTACATCTTCATTTTTTTAATTTGAGCACTTTAATATAATCTTTCAAAAACATTTACACCTTTCTTCTCTTTAGGAGTCTATGGAGATTAAGTACTAATTTCTTTTATAATATTTTATTATGTTAATTTTTCTTGTTATTTTTCATAATTTATTTGGTCTTCTCTCTATTTTTACAACTATACTCAAATTTACATTCATACATATTGGGTCATATTTTATTTCTCCTTTAAAGCAATAATTATGTTCTTCTTAATATTTTCAGTTAACAAAGGAACTATTCGTTGATTTAATTTGTGTTAATTGCAAAAATTTATAGCCAACTGTTCTGGATCATCTTCTTCAAATACATCAATTCTTGCTGTATTTTTATCATCAATTTAAACTGTCATTACTAATAATTGACTACTCTTTTTTAATATCAAGAAAGATTACTTAATATTCAACAGAATTTTGGCTCATTAATATATAATAAACTAAATTAAATTAATAGGAACGTTAATAGATAAATACCCAATAAACAATGTTTTTCCATCAAACAATTATTTAAAAAAATAAAATGCATCTATTAAACAATTCAGAAAAAAAGAGATTCAAAATAAACTCTGATATTATTTAATATTTTACATAAATCAAATTTATTAAAAAGAATCTTCAAATTAATAAAGAATATTTAATACATATATAAATACTATAAAAATCTTATACTCATAAATAATAAATTTATCGTATAAATTTAACTTACTTTTTGAAAAAAGTGAATAGTCAAAGAATTATAAATAAATTAAATAATAAATGATTAAGAAATGAATATATATACATATCAATGTTATTTATAAAATGTTACTCAAAATGGAGTTAAAAAAAATAAAGAACTTAAAGTTACATATATAATAATTGATAAAATATAAGTTAATATTAAACAAATAAAATAAATTTCCTAAAAATACATATGAAAAAATTTAGGGAATTGAAAAAGACAGGTGATGGAACATTTGGTGTAGTAATAAAGGCTGAAGATACTAAAAGTCATGATTTAGTTGCAATAAAAAAGATGAAATAAAAGTATCATAATTTTGATGAATGTACAAATTTGAGGGAAGTGAAAGCTCTATTGAAACTTCAGAATCATCCAAATATTGTTAAGTTGAAAGAAAGTAATTAGAATAAATAATTAGTTTTCCTTGATAATGATACTTTGTGTTTAGTGTTTGAATTTGTAGAGAAAAGTATTTATTAAATGTACACTTAATAAAAAGAGATGGTAAAATGATTATAGGAATTTAGGGTAAAACATTATCAGAAGATTAAATAAAATCAATAATATATTAAGTTGCGAATGGTCTAAGTTATATGCATAAACATGGATACTTTCATCGTGATTTAAAACCTGAGAATATGTTAGTAACAAACAATGGAGTAGTAAAGATAATTGATCTTGGATGTGCAAGAGAAATAAGGTCAAGACCTCCTTATACTGATTATATAGCTACTAGATGGTACCGAGTAAAATTTGAATTAAAAATAAATAGGCACCAGAAATACTATTGAAATAAGCTAATTATAATAGTCCAGTTGATATATTTGCTTTAGGTTGCATAATGGCTGAATTATATTTAAATAGACCTTTATTTCAAGGTAATTCAGAATTGGAATAATTTAATAAAATTCTCTCAACTCTTGGGTATATATTTTTTTAATCAATTAGAACATTTACTTAATAAGAATGGCCAGAAGGTGGTAGATTAGTATCTTAAATGGGATTAGCACTTGCTTAGTTTTAACCATTATCACTTTAATAGTTAATACCAAACGCTAGTACAGAAGCTATTAATTTATTAACTTAAATGATAAGATGGGATCCCAATAAAAGAATTACTGCTACATAGATGTTGACTCATCCTTTTTTTTACAATATTGAGAAAATAGCACCACCTTTGATTTTTGAAGAATAAATTAAATCTAATAAAGATGAATTAAAGTTTTTTGAATCTGATCATAAGACTAAATCTTGTAATTAAAAAGATGAAATTCAAACTCAATTCAAACAAAAATAATAATTCTAATAATAAATTAAAAATGATGACAGCAATGATTTAGATGATATTCTTGATTTCATTACTACAGAAAACAAATCTATGCCATCTAAATTAACAACATAAAGTGCAAAAACACTTGATTTTGGAGAATATATCCCTTCATAATCTATTAATCGATAACCTAGAAATTTATAATCAAGTTAATTATAGGAATAATAAAAGAAGGATAATAATTCTATTTATGATTTCAGCCATTTATAAAGTTTTAAGCCAAACAAATAGCCAAATTTAAATTCTAAATATTGATCATTTGCATTTCTTTAATTTTATATATTTGTTTAAATTATTTAATTATTTTTATTAATATTCTTATCATCATTCTCAATCCTTCAAATTTTATAAAGATATTTGATTACTTTATTTTTATCAATAATTTATGTTTTACTAACTATTAATGATGAATTGCATTAGAAAAATTATTATTGTAATCATATGTAATAATACTAAATTAAAATGATTAATAAAAACTAATATAGAAATTTATTAATGATTTAAATATTGAAATAATATAAGATATAATAAAATTATGGGCAATAAGTGTTATTGTTAATAACCAGAACTCGAGCTCATTCATTAGGAAATTATTTCACAAAACTCTATAGATAGAAAAATATCTATAGACAATGATGATATCTTCAGTGATTTAATCTAACAGCATTGTTCTATGTATCAATATCAAGATGGTATTTTGCTTATATCCAATAAACCATTATCTCCAAAATCTTAACATTAAATAGTATTTTTAGAACCCAAGAATATATTAGATGATGGCATTAATTATTAACCAATTATTTTATAAGGAATTCTGAGTTCTAGAAGTAATCAACAAGAACTTCCATAAGAATCTCCATAAACTGAAACAAATGGAAAAGAGAGAATCAAAAAAAAAGTAAACTTTTTAAACTGAATATAACATTGACAAAAATTATGAGAAACTGAATATATATCAAAAGCAAATCAATTTTTAATATAATGAAAAAAATATTTTAAGAAAAATATTTTTAGTATGCAAAAAAAAAAATTCTTAAAAGATCATGATTTAAAACTCGACATATTTATTAAGTAATTGTATTAGAGAATAAAAAAGAATATTCAATTGAATTCAATAACTTTCTGATGATATTTCTTCAAACTTGAGAAAAAAGAAAAGCATGATTCAATTCTAAAAATGACATAATTTTAATAAACAGTTTTGAATTTCATAAAGAATCACATATATTAGAGAATAGATCTCAACAATTATATCCTTTCTTCTCTTTTAAATGAGTTATTTATATAATGTAATTAATAATTTCAATAATATTAAATTTCATTATTATGTAAATTTTCAACTAATAAATTTTTCAAAGTAAAATAAATTGTATTATGAGAATTTGTTAAAAATTCTATATTTTAATCTAAAATATCATTTAAGACAAAACCATTCTGTTTTTGCAATTCTTTTTGAAATGAAAGATCTTGAACTTTTGAAGTTTTAATCTTTTATTCTTCTTAAACATTAATATTGTATTATCTATTAGATTATTGACATCTTTAAGTAGATTTGGTAATTTTATTCTTAAGAGATTAATGAGATTAAATATCATATTATTATCAATAATATTGGTCTTGAATAGCAAAAGCAATTTAAATAACATATTCATCTTACTCTTTTATAACATTTTTTTCCATATTTTGATTAATAAACTCCTTCTTACTTTATGTATATTGATTACCTAAGAAGCTTTATAAAATTAAAACTGTTAGAATTTTCTATTTTTGATAAAATTAATATGAATAAAACTTTGTTTGATTGGAAACAAAGAAATTTGTTTCGTTGAATTTTTTAATGAGAAAATTGAAAGCAATGAACAGATGTGATTTTTTAAGATTTTTGTTAATATATAAAAAACTTTGTTTTTAAATTAATCATTATTCATTTATTTTTTATTCAAATTTCTTAGATTCTATGATTTTTATGTATTCAACAATGGTTATAAATTTTTAAGATGTCTAATTAATTGAAAATGTTTAGAAAATTAGAAATTATTAGATAATTACTTTTAAGCATTTATTGTCAATATAAAAATAAAAAATAAAAAAATCATCCGAGGCAGGAGTCGAACCTGCAACCTACAGCTTAGGAGGCTGTCGCGCTACCATTACGCCACACGGATATATTACATAATTTATAATTATTTCATTTATAACCTTATTCTGTCAAGAAATAAGAGATATCTAAGTTTACCTAGACTTTAGTTATTCTTATTATTATTTAGAATTAGCTAATGATGAATATTAGAGATAATATTGAATAATTATAAATATTTTTATAATAAATATAAGTATTTTTTTATAAAAATATTTGTGTCAGAAATCATAATTTTTATTAAGTAGCCTGTTAACTGAGTTTTTGACTGTCCAAGCAGTTCCAGATGATAAAGGAGCTTTAATAAAATTAAGTGAGACTCCTTTATAAAATCCTTTAATAATTCCCTCAACTTTATAGATGGTTTTGATCTGCATCCAAGTGGATCTTAAATTATTATAAAATAAAAAAGTACGTCATTGTTTAAATCTCTCCTTGTTGTAGTAACATGTTTTATCCTTACATTCTTTTCTTAACAATATCAAAAGGATATGCTAAAACTTAAGCAATTATGGCTCCACTTGCTCCAATTGCAAAGTCTGTGATTTTATGTTTAGCAATCCATGGATATTATTCAAGTAAATATTCCTTCATTAATGTAAATGAAAAGAACCCACTTCCATGATATATCCCTACTCCTATCATTCCTATAGGTAATCCTGAATAGAATGATAAGAATCCTTCAACTCTATATATTTTTAAAGCTGCATCATATATATTTTTATAAAGAAAAGCATCTCTCTACATAGCTAATCTTGTTCGTAAAAAATCAAATGGATAAGCTATACTCTAGGCTACTATTCCTGAAACTAATCCGCATAAAAATAATCTAATTTTTCTTAGTATCGTTTTATCATCTCTATCTGGTGCAAATTTACTTCTCAAATAATCAAACGTTGAAAAATTCTATTCATTATCAATTTTATTTACAATGGCTGATTGAGGAAATATTCTTAATACATTCGCCTGATTACCCCTCCAGAAATTTATAAAACCATGGTGTTAATATACATATATAGCATCTTAAATAGCTGCTTTATAAGTAAATTGAGTGGATCTAGTCTATGTTCAATATGATAATACATAAATACCAAATATAGTAATTTGATTCTTTCTAATGGAGAAATGACAGTTTTAGCACAAACTCCTGCACAACCACCTTTTTAATAAATTAGAATCACTACCTGAGATAAAACTTGTCCAATAGTCTTTTTGTTTATTAGTCATTTATTAAAAAGAACATAAATCAATCACTAAATTGTTAGAATACCTCAAAAAATAATTCAAAAGAATCAATTTCAATTCTTACTGCTATTCATTTAAATGCTAAGAATCTTTTAGAACGAAAAAATAATTTGAGAATAAAGTATATAAATTATTTTCTATAAAATAGTTCAATTATAGGTTCATCATTTTTAGTGTAATTAATATACAGACAATTTACAATCATAAATCTTCTTTAGATAATTAGATATCTTTACAGATATATATTAATATCTATTAAATTTAAAGTTTATCCAAAAAATAATCAAATCCTTTTATGAATCTTTCAAAATAAAAAGATTCTTAAGATAATCATCATAATTAATTTATAACTACCTTACTTGAATCAATAATTAAAGATATATTAACTTATAATTTAATTAATCTATTTGATTTCTAAATTCTTAAATAATACAACCAAAAACTATGCTCAAATGATTAGACAATTCTTTCTATATTATTAACAATTCAAAATTAAATTAAAAAGTTTATATAATTTATTTGAAAATAAATCTAAAAGCAATAGCTCTTTAAAAAGTATTACTCATGTTTAGATTCTTCCAATATATTGTTTAATTAAAAGATTTAGATTTTTTGAGCATTACCATAAAAAATATAAAAAAGAAATGTTAATAATTTCTATATGATAATTGATATATCATAAATTATTAAGGTTAACAATTTACTAAATTATTTATTTTATAAATATATTAAATATCCATATATATCATTTTTTTTATTATTCTAAGCCTTGCTTAATACGTGGTACTAATTCCTCTATTTAATTAATAGATGCATAAATTACCTCTAACTTATCTTGCTTTTTCTCTAATTTATTGCATATTTTTGCTCTTAGCATTTGCTCTAATTTTTTTGAACATTGGTGCATATTTGAATACATCTGGAATCACTACAAATCTAATTTGGCTTCCTCTCAAATATACTTATTCTAAAGACATTGGTCTACCATCTCTTGTTACCATTTAAACTTCATCTAATCTTACATTCATTGTGTCCTTTATTATTATTTTTTGATTACTTCAGCTTCTGCCATATATCCTGTAAACATTTCACCTGTTTTTAATTCAACTGTGACGATATGATGAACTGCTTCATGCATAATTTTTAATGGCACTCCTAAAGACATTACTTAATTTTTATATTAATTATTATATAATTTTAATTATTATTTTTTATTCTTTACTTGATAACATTGAGTTTTTTTATTGGAATTATTAATAAAATAACTCTTAAAACTCAACTTAATTTAGTCTTTTTTGAGATTCTGATTCCAAATAAATATTAATAAATAAAAGATTTTAATAAATCAAAATGGACAATAAGAAATGCTTATTTGAGAAATTTGGAGGAGATTAATAAGTTTCTGAACTTATTGATCAATTCTATTATAAAGTCCTCTTTGATAAATTATTAAGAGATAAGTTTCTTAAAGCTGACATGAGTCGTGTAAGATATCAATAGAAGAGATTTTTTTCTTAAATGATGGGTGATAAAAACACTCAATACACAGGCAGGTATTATACTATTATCTATGCATTAGAGATTTGGTTGAAGTTCATAAAGGATTAAACATCACAAATTAGCAGTTTGATAAATTTAAAGCGCATCTCAAAAACATAGCAAAAGATATGGAAGTAAGTGTAGCTGATTAGGAAGAATTACTTGATCACGTTGAAAAGTATAGAGAAACCATTGTGTTTAATAAGGCAGCGTGATTCTATAATTATACATTCACATACACAATTACATCTATTTACTTTACATACGCATTATAAATCACAATAATGAAAAACAAAAAGGTTCAGCATCACTAAGTCTTAATACTAATAAATTAATATTATTAGTCATTCTAAGACTTGAATCCTTTTTAAGAATGATTTAACTCTTTAAAAATATAACTAGATCTGTTTCCATGATTCTTTATATTCAGATTGAATTGAAGATATCATTGACTAATTAAATTTATTGACAATATATATTATAATATATATATATATAATTATATAATATATTTTTACTTCACCCCTTTTTTTTATCTAAATTCTCAAATTTAACCCATGATGAACCTGATTCTATGCTCTCTAACTAATTTATTAAATCTAAAGATATTTACTTCATCTGCAATCTCTTCTTCAGTATGTCCACTTCTTAAAACTGATGTCCAAAAATTTAACCATTCTTCTTCAGATATTGTTCCACTGTTATCAGTATCAACAGATTTAAATAATTCTTCAGTATTCAATTTGGCAAAGTTACTCTTCCTAATTATATTAACATTTATCAAAAATACCAATATTTAATAGTTTCTGATTTTTCAATTGATTTAGAACCATCAACATCAAATCTTGCAAATAATTTAAGTACTCGATCTCTCATTTAAGGAGATAACTATATATAACTTCATATTAATTTACTTCCTTTCCTTGAGTAGGACCCATAGTTTATTTTTATAAAATTTTAATAATGAGTCAATATGGTTCCCTTCAATAACCTCTAATATAAGAAGAGGAATCAAAAAACATAATTTTAGATAATCGTACAATCACAGAAATGAATATGGAATATATTGTTAATGATAGTGCTTTTGAATGGGGTTCTGCATCATTTTTAGAAGATGATAATTAAGTAAAAGTAATTCCATTTGTTGCTAATGAGACTATATTTTATAGAAAGACATTTGAGAAGAATAGTAAGGATCTTAACTTTTTTAAAAGATGCTTCAAAAGTAAATAATCTATAAATCATGTTACTATGGCTTAAATCATTGACATAAGATAAAAGGAGATTTTTAAAGATTATGCTTATGAAACTAAAGAGACTGGCTTTCTTGTTGGAATGTCTTTCTATTTAAATAAATTGAAAGTACTTGAACCAGATTCTCAATTCTACATATATTGGCAGGTTCTAAATAGTATTTTAGTAATTATATTCTTTTTTTAAATACCATTTATGCTTGCCTATTAACCTCTTATAGATGAAAAGTTTGCCTATCATTTCAAATTTTATGCAGAAATTTCATTATACATAGGAATATCTATTTTTATAATTGATATTATTGGAACATTTAATACAGCATTCTATAAGTAAGGATAATTGATAAGTGGAAGAAAATAGATTGCCATAAACTATTTAAAGACTTATTTTTTATTAGATTTAATACCACTTTTATGTTTGATAGAATTTAGATGTTTATTATTTAATGAGAGATAATTAGGATTTGAATAATTTTTATTCCTTTTAAAAGTGTATGAAGTGAATAAAACTAGCAATATGATAAAAGAATACTTATAACTAGAACCTTCGAAATTAGCAAGATATCGTTTACTTACTGTAATGTTGACAATTATATGGTTATGTCATCTATTTGCTTGTTTATTCTTTTTTGTTGGAAGACGACAATTAGGAAAGCAATTAAGGAATGTATCATGGTTGAATAGTTGCGATGTAGTTATAATGAATGGTGGATATGAAGATATGCCAATCTCTGAATTGCATTTATATTCATTTTATTGGGCTGTAACAACAATGATATCAGTAGGATATGGTGATGTTACTCCTATGAATTTCTGGGAAGTTTTTGTGACAGTCATTACATAATTTATATCTTGCATTGTATTTGCCTATTCAGTTAATGCTATTTGGGAAATGATTTATTCATAGAATGAAAGCAAACAAAAATTTCAGTATATAAATATTTATTTTATTATAGAAAATATGTTAATGCTATCTAAAGATTTATGGTAAAACATAATGTTGATAGAAAATTGAAATCACGTATTGAAGCCTATCTATTTCATTTATGGTAAACTGAAAAAGCTAGAGATCATGAATTAGAACAAGCTATGATACTTAAATTAGCACCTGCTTTAAGAGAAGAATTGATTTATTAAACTTTAGGTAAAATGCTCAGATAAAGCAATTTCTTCTCCTAATTCACATAAGATTTTCTTATGGAATTGGCATAATAAATTTAATAACAATATTATTCCTAAGAAGAAAATATCTTTATTGAAAGAGAAGAGATTGATGACTTTCCTTTATATTTCTTAGAAAAAGGATAGATAGAAATCTTTTTAGATAGTGGAAAAAGAATCAAATTACATATCATGAAATCTGGGATTTTTGGTATTATTGGATTTATTACTGGACACAAAAGAACTGCATCTGCACGTTGTTTGACTTATTCAGTCATTTATAAACTATCGAGAATATAATTTATTAATTTATTAGATAAATACGAAAGTGATCGATAAAAATTCTATGAAATACGTCACAATATATTTTTCAATAATGATTATTAGAATTTAAAATTAAGATGTTATATTTGTGAAAGTAGAAGTCATTTAGCAATTAATTGTAAAAGAACTCTATATCTTCCAATAAAAAATTAAATTATTTAATCATATTACAATGTATAAAATAATAGAGAATCAAGTTTTAAAAGAAGAATAGTAAAATAATAATTTAAAGCTCTATCTCACATTCGAGAAGTTTAAGTGAATGCATTAGCAATAAAAAAGTACTTTTAAATAACAACATTTAATTTGGATTCAAATGATGAAGATGATGAATATAGTTCAGATGTAGATGATTATGAAGAAGAAATTGAAAATATAAAAAAAATAGTTGAATAAGAAAAAGAAAAAGCATAATTCAAATAAAGAGGACAATGGTTAGCTGATGATAATTATGAGATGAAAATATATGAAAATAAAGATAATTAAAGTAAAGATAATTAAAGTAACGAATAATCAGATTATTTACAAAGGTCTTAAGTAAATATAAAGAATTCTGAAGAAGAATAAAAAAAAAGTAAAAAAAAAAAGAAGTTTTAAAGTTTTGTAAAATTACCATTACCAAAAAAAGTTAGAACTTCGTCAATGTCTAGTTTAACTCCTATTTAAGAATAAATAAAAAAAGTTGGAAAGATATAAAATAGTCAATCTCCAACTGCTATTTAAATTTAAAGGAGGAAAAGTAAATTACTATAAGGTTATGAAGTAAATGATAAATAAATTGATAAAATTGCATCTCCAGATAGATAAATTAATAATGATTAAAAGAAATAGGAGTTACTGAGAAAAATGAAATTTCTGTAAATAGCCTAACCTAGAAATAAGGAAGTCTAATTAATCATTGATGAATTAATGTAATATTATCAAATCTTTAATTTAGGAATTATATCTCTAATAGTTAAAGTCATAATTAACCTTCAAAAGTTGAAAATGAATCCAATACTAATGCTAATGCTAATTCAGATGTTGATAGTTAATTTAGTATTGATCATATGGCTAATTATGAGTGTTTCTTTTAAGAAGAAAATCCTGAAAAAGTTATACGTAAATATAAGAGAATCTTTAAAGAAAGAGTCAAATAGAGAAGGACAACCTTAATTAGATATTAGGATGATTGAAATGAACAAATATTTTTATTTCAAATTAAGTAATAATAATTATTGCTTCCATATCAATTAACATCTATAAAAATAGATCGAAATATCTAATATGATAATTGTCTCAGAAATGAAATACAACATTTAAGTTTTAATAGATACTCATTGTGCATTTCCCATTCTCTATAATTATCTTAAAATTGAAATTGAAAGATCCAAAGAAATTATCAACATAATATTAGGAATATAACACTGAATTAAAAAAGTTTTAAATTTCAATTCAATTTTTAGCACATTTTAAATACAAATTATATAATCATAGATATAATTAATTGAATCAAAGTTATTTTTTAAAATACCTCATAATAAAGAAAAAAACAAAATCTTATTATAATTGAGATGATATTTATTCTAAACTTTATCAAAGATCCAAAATACTAAAAATCACTATAATTTGGGATTATGTCTTTAACAGAAGTATCAATTTAAAGTAGAGTCTATTTAAATGTATGTATAACCTATTTTAGCTAAAATTTAGATATGACAAGAAATCTGTTTTAATTTAATATTCTTTTATTATTAAAAAATTTAATAAAATTTAACGTATATATGAGTCAATTAGAACCATTTGAACACCATTATAATCATTAGTATTTTGAAGTATTTGGATGTTGTCATTAAAATCGACAGTATTATTCTGATAAAGACATCTGTAGGGAATGTGGCATTTTTTTAAATAATGTAATTAATCCACAACATTTATCATAGCCAAATACTAGAGTGTATAAAACATTAAACATGAAATTTAATGCTTTTTTTAATCCAATCAAAGTGCTAGAAAGTATTTTACTTGAAGGTGTGCCAAAAGGACCTGCAAAATAACGTTAACAGATGATTGAATTTATTTTACAGGCTTCTGATAGGTTAAATTTATCATTAAATACTTCTTTTTTGGCAATAAATTATATAGATGAATATTTAAGTAAAGTAACATTGAATGAAAATTAAATTTATTTATTTGTAGCAAGTGCTTTAATGCTGGCAGCTAAGGCACAAGAACTTGATGAACGTGTACCTTTTATTAGTAAATTAAAAAGATATGCATCAATGACAAATCATCCTGAAATAAATCAATATTCAATTTAAGAATATAAATATGCAGAGAGATGCTTGATTTAGAAGATGGAATGGAAATTATAGAGAGTTACTTTATTAGATAGAATAGAAGCTATATTATCATTTGGAGTGATAGATGATGATGATAGTTTAGGATAGCAATAGTAAAAAGAGAATAAAGAAGGTTAACATTAATAACATGTAAAACTTAGAGATCTTTAAGAGAGTCAAATATTATATTATGTGAAAGAAGTTGAAAGTAAATATGCAGATATAGCATTGTAAATAATAAGAGGTATAATATTGAAAATAAAAAGTAGACGATTAATTATATTTTGGAACTGATCAAAAAATCTTAGCTTTATCTTGTGTAGCTTATTTAAGAAAGAAAGCAGGATTATTAAACATATGGTCATAGTAATTACAATGTTTAACTGGAATAAGTGCTTAAAAGATTTCATCATCAGTTTCATAGATTATGACTCTGATAGCTAAAAGTAAGAGTTTTAAAACAATTACAAATTTGTAAGTAAACCCTTAAGAAATGTATTTTTAACCTGTAATGATTAACAATACTTTGACAACTATCAATACAAATCATTTAAATAATAGACCATTTTAAATAGACACAAAGAGATAATCTTATGGTGAATTAATGATTCAAAGTAATAAATTAAAAATGCCATTATATCAGTCATAATCTACTGTATAATTGGCTGAATTGTAGAAATAGAATCAATATTATAAACAAACTAATTTTACTACAGCAACTAATTATTCATATCTTCATGATAACCCAACTCAATATACTCATTCATTATAATAGACACAAGAACTTGATAAAAAGTATGAGTAAGTACATAAAGTTAGTACTAATATGTTCAAACCTTTATAATGATTATATGAATTATTATTATTATTAATATAATCACTATTATTAAAACATATATTTAATAGCTTCATCAATGAATTTGTATACATATTAGTATTGTTCTGAATGATGTACCATTCCCCATCTCTATTCTCTTAATCTTCGTACTACTCCAAATATGGAAATTCGAAACTAATCAGGATTCTAATATATTTCTTGCTTTATTTATATATTTCTTACTGGTATAATCATTTCCTATATAAGACTTATATGTTGTTAAAATAATCATCAAATTCACTAAGGATATTAATGTTCCTGTTCTACCTACACCTGCACTATTTTAATAATTATCATTTAATTATACCTACAATGAAATACTACTTTTTAATCATTCAATACTCTATCTAAAATTTAACTTAGTAATTCCTTTATTGTATTAAAATCATTATGATTAGGTGCTCCTTAATCTGGCCATCCACACCATTATATTTAACTTACTTATTTCTCTTCTCCATTTTATTCTTATATTTTTAAAATTCTTTTTATTATATTATTTCCGATATCTTCTTAACTATCAAAATTTATTGTAATATTCCCTATTAATAAATTATCTCCAATATTTTTTGGCCAGTATTACTCACATTATGCCTTTCATATATTCCAATTATCAATTACCTTTCCATTTTCTTTTAAATTACAAAGCATTACTATCAATGTAACATTTTCTTAAGAAATCATTCTCCAAAAATGTCCTATAGTTTAACATACTGGACCTTATGTTGCAATCATCATTTTCTCTTTTCCATTTATTAACTAATTACTTTTAAATATTGTTATTTACATTTATATAATCAGCATTTATATATGACTCCTTTAAGTTCTCCTCCTCATCACATTTCAATTTTACTATTGAGTGTTTAACTATGATAACTTTTTCACAATACAAGGAATAATATTGCTATATCGATTCAATTTCAGTATATCAGGATTAAAATCATAAAGATTATCATTATGATACTGGGTTTCTGTAAGACGTCTTAAAATCTATCAGAAGATTATTAATTTATTTTACTCTGAACTCCATTTCTTAATCTCTATTCTAAATTTATTCACTAAACTCAGCGATCGCAATTCCTTTCTCAATACTTATCAAATCAGCATTTCCCATTACCCATTCATATGAATAATCCTGATTTATTTCTCTACCTTCCACTTATAAACTCTAGAGCATAATATTTAATTTATATAATTAAATCTTTATCAGTCCTAATACAATTAACTTATTAAAACACTTAGAAATTCCACATTACTTTTTAATATTTATAATACTTTTATAATTCAATTATAATTCTAATATTAAAATATTAAAAACTTTAGAATTTAAAATTCTATAAAAATCTTTGAAAATTTTCAGACAATAATTTATAAATCAATATTTGATGGTTGTTCTCTCTCCACTTTATTTTCACTTTTCACAATTACATATCCAATTTAACTTAGTGTATTTGCTCTTTCTTTCAAACTCAATTGTAATCTTATAGAATTAAAATAGAAAAAATAAACAGTTTCTAAATATGTTTATATTTGATGTTTTAATTATGTGTTTTTCTTAATTTTCTTTCTCTTTTTTAAATTTACAATCTATATTTCATAATATTGCATCAAAAAATGTAAATCAAATTTTATATCATCATGCTTTTCTGTATCTAATGTTGAAAATAATTATAAAATTGATAATGCATCTTCTAATTTTTTCATCTTAATATTAAAATATGAAAATAATCCAACTTTGATTCCCTCATTAACCAAATTTTCAAATTTTTTTATTTAATCTTCAGGTTTTCTTTTACAGAATTTTTATTTATAAAAAGGAAAATTATGTTAATGCTGATTAGATTTATGAAAATCATCAATATTTTTATTAAACTTTCTAATATCATCTAAGAACTCTTATTGTAATTTATCACTATAATAGCCAAAATAATCTAAACTATGAGTTAATGATGCAGGTAAAATAAATTACTACGCCAACATTGCCAAATCCTATATTGAAGCATACTTACAATATGTATTTATCCATTTAATATCAGCTTCACAGATATCTTCCTTTTCAGTTCCCAATTAACTCACTGATTTTCTTATAGTTAGACTTGCATTTTTTAACTTCTTCTTTTGTTTCAATATCTCTTAGTAAGGACGAAAAGTTTCACAAACTCTATAAATAAATGCAGCTAAAGGGGTTTAACAATTATTAGTAAAAAGAGAATAGCCTTTCATTTCAGTTTCTATAATTATAGATATTGCATGTCCCAAGTTATTCTACCTTTTCAATTCTGATTAATAATTATCATAAAACTCTTTAGTAATATTGTCTTTGATCTCAATTATTTTAGATATCTTTTAGTTAATTCCATAAAAGACTTTTTCATAGTTAATTTCTTTAATTGAACTTCTAATTAAATCTTTGAATAATCTCAAATATTCTTAATCTTCATCCAATTATAACCTATTTTCGAATCAAAATCTTACATTAACTCATTATCTAGAAGAAAGGGTTCTTTAAGGCTTTTAAAAGAACTGCTTTCATCTTCTTGATATGACTTTGATTTTTTTCTTAATCTTTTTACTTTAAGATAAGGTAAATTTGTTTTAATATAATTTAACATTGCCAAAAAGTTTTCAATAAAAAAATTTCCTAATGATTCTATCCAGGAATTAAGTGGAAAAAAATCTAAAATTTTTAAACTAATATAATCCCAATGAGGCTTATATTTTTTTTTCCTTACAGTTTAGGCCAAAAAAAGCGAATCATTAACAAAACTATAACGAACATTACCAAAAGCTATCTATTGTGAAATATATTACATAAACATGCATGATATTTAGTACTCCAAGGAACTACACCTGATCCCATAAATAAATTAGTAACAAATAGTTTAGCAATATCATCACCCATAGAATTTAATTCACATAGATAAGGAAATAAACCTATCGATATAAATTTCTTATATATGATTGATTAGATATCCATATTGTTAAGATAAAATTCGTTTATTTCCAATACTTTTTTAGTGAGTTCGAGCATTGATTCATATTCAATATTATGTATCATTCCAATTTATTGTATAATTTTTTTCAAAGATTAATAACATATCCAATCTAAAGCATCATCAACCTACTTACGAAGTCCAATTTCAGAATATTTAGTCTGAAATACTAGTTAAAATAAAATAAAGCTAAGTTTTTTTACAAGGAATTCTTCATTTTCAAAAGCAACAATATAGGTTAAATTCTTGTTTTCTTAAATAAACAGAAAATCATAATTGTTCATATTAAAAGGATTAGTCCAATTTATTTCATAATTTTCCATTAAATTTTTTAAACTACTATTTCTATGAACTTCATTATTTATGTCAAGTTAAATTGAATAAACACTTTCGAAATCTACTTCTTCAGACTCTAAACAGCTAATCTGAAAAAAAGTCCAATCTTCTATTTCATTTACAGGCTTCATTATTTTTGGGACTTTAAAAGCAAATGTCTCTACTTATTAGAATTCACCTTGTTATGAATTATAAATGAAAACTGGATTCTCTATTTTCAAAGGAAATTGTAGTTTCATTCAAATTATAATAAAAATTTATAAAATCATATTTGAAGTTATATGTTTTAAGGCTAGGTTAAATGAAGCTAATTTAGATCCTTAGCAATAACAAATCCAATTAAACTTAATGTATTTTCTCTTTGCTTTTATTTTATTTATAACCGAATAGAATTGAAGTAGAAATAATACACTGTTTCTAAGTAATCTTGAATTCGATGTTTTGTTTTCACCTATTTTAACCCTTCTTATTTCAATTTAATTAACTAATTCTAGAAAAACTAAAGCAGATAATGTAAATTAAATTTAGATTTTGTATATTATTTAGGATTGTTGTGTAAAAATTATTACAAGTATTCAATTAAAGTTACTTCTTTTTATTTTTAAGCGTAAATGGTACTTCTAGAACAATTATCAAATGCATCAACAAAATCCCTAGCCTCAGAATCATTAAAAATATATGAATTGGAAAAACGATAAGGACGATTTTTTCTTTCAATTTATTAAAATTATTCAGGTTCAAAATCTATTTTTTAGATACACTTTAAAAATTTCGCAGATAGTTCATCACTATAAAAACCAAAGTAATCTAAACTACAATCCAATACTGCTGGTTGAATAAATAATTCTCCAAGCAATTAAAATTCTTGATTGGATGCATATTTACAATAAGTATCCAAATATTAAGAAAATAATTTATTATCTGTATCTATAAAGCTACTCTTTGAAGCAGATGAATTTTATTTATGATTGAGGATATTAAATCCACATTATTAAAGAGATCTAAGGAAACTAGTCTTTTCACATAGCATTTCTGAAAAAGGTCTGAAGGTATCACACAAAAGATATATGAAAGCAGCTACAGGAGTCTAACAATTATTAGCGCATGTTTAATAACTTCTTAATTCTGTTTCAATGATAATAGAGCAAAATTAACCAAGAATACCATTTCTGTTAATTTCAGAAGAATAGTTTTTGTAAAATTGATTAGCAATACGATTTTTTAATTCAATAATCTATGGAGTATGAATTACAATTCCATAAACTTCACGAATATTTTCAATTTTCTTAATTGCAGTTTTAAGTAATAATTTGAATTATTCTGAACAGTTAGTTAGACCATTAAAACTTGATGAAATTTTATTAATTTGTTCTTAAATCAATTCAGTTTCTTTTTGTTCTTCTTTAATTAAAGGTTCTTTGATATCTAATATAGAACTATTGGAATGAGATTAGAAATCATAATTTTATTTTTTTATGGATGATTAACTTTAATAGTTGGGCATCTTGGTTTAAATATAGCATAGCATAGTATCTAGATTTTAGATAAAGAATTTAGAAACTTCTTCAACCCATGAATCTAAGGGAAAGAAATCTAAGATTCTAAGTCGAATATAATGAAATCCTTAATGAAATGTACGAGTGTTAAGTGTTCTTAAATTAAAAAGGTCATTGGGAGTAAAGCTGTAATGATAGTTCCCGAGAGCTTTTATAATATTGGATGAGGCATACCTAGAGATGCATGGAATTTAGGAGACCAAGGCAATATTTCAGAATTAGTGATTAGGCTAAGTAATTTTAATTTGATATAGCTATCATTCATAGTGTTGATTTCACAATAAAAAGGGAAGAGACTTTAACTAATAAAAGTTTTGTAGACAATAGAAGCAATTTCATCTGGTTGTAATGTGTAATTGTTCCACTAAACTACTTTTCTAGTTAATTCATACATGGATTCATATTCTATATGATGTTTTCTTCCTAAGAGTAGAATCATTTTCTTGAGAGATTTATAAAATATATTTTCAATAGCATCTTCAACTTATTTTTTGATTCCAATTTCTGAATATCTAGATTCAAAGAGTAATTATTGTAGGATAAAGCTCATTTTGCGATCAAGATCACTTTCTCTTTTGGATAGTCCAATAATGTCTAACAAAAGATTATCTGAGGAATCTTTTCTTTTAAAAAAGATATATTCATATGCTTTGGTTTTGAATCGAGGATTTTCAAGAAGGAAAGGTTTTTTAGTAAAATTATAAAATTTGGCACAGTAGTGTAAATCTGTTGTATGATCAGCCACAATATATTGAACAGTATTGAGTTCACTTTCACGGAATTCTTAAGATGCTAATCCCATTCCAAGAATTTTATAGTCATTTACATTTCCATCTAGATCCCAACTACGAGGTATTCTTATAACTAATTGTTATGTTTCAAGCCATAGTCCTTAATTTTCTGATACTTCAGAATAAAACATCAATGGATATTCCAAGGTCAAAGGAAAGTGCATGAATATATATTATTTTATAATTCAATTCACTTTGTTGCTTTCTTCAATGGAATGAAGAACTTCTAGTTGATAATTAGATAAGCAAGGAAGTGGCCTGTTCCATATACGAATCCTGTAAGAAGAGGGTAGAGTACAAGTTTTTTTAAAAGTTAGTTTTCATCCTTTTTCTCGGAGATTAGGTCTCGATAGTCCATTAATTATTTTTATTTGTGATGTTAAGATTAAGTTTAAACTTATTTAGAAGAAGTGGATTTTATAACTACAAGCCTTCTATGCTATTTTCTTAAGACAAGGAGCCTCCTATAGGTATTTTTATTCTATTAGATAAGCAGGTTTCTAAAAATTTCAAAGAAAATCGAAAATCTAGTAAGAACAGACAATTGAACCAAAAGAAGAAAAGAAGTCTTCAGAAAAACCCAATCAAGAGGAAGCAGAGAAGATTATCAAAGAGGAACAATAAAACGAAGATCCAAGTTAAAAAGGTATGTATATGAGGATTAATTTTGATAGTGGAAAAACCATAGAAAAAGAAGTATCAATTTACTTATGATCCGAAATCCTTTAACATATAAGATGAGAATAAGAAGACAGAGAAGGTGAAATAAGATCAATAAGAGAAGTAGGAGAAGTAAGAGGAAAAATAAGAAAATTAAGAAGATGAGGAATTATAATAATAATAATAACAATAACAATAATAAGAGAAGAAAAAATCATAACTTCCAGAAATTGATTTAAGCAAGATTACAGAGTACTTAAAGAATCCTTAGAATAGAAATTATATTTATATGTTTCTAGGTGTAAGTGGTTTAGCTGCACTTTATACTTATTTGAGTATGGAAGAAGAAATTACATATACTGAATTTCTCAAGAATTATTTAGAAACTAATTAAGTTAGTGCTATTAAAGTGTATAATAATGATAATAGCAAAGTTAATAAAGCTTCAATAATAACAAATAGAGGAGAATCGAAAAGATTAATTTTAGGAAATGTAGATCACTTTTTAGAAAATCTAGAACTTTATTAAACTGAAAAGGGAGTTTATCCAGAGTAATTTATTCCAGTTTCATTTGAGATATAGATAGATAAAGCAAAAATGTTAGATAGAGCATTGAATATATTATATTATGGAGTATCTGCAGTGCTTATATTTTATATCTTTAAATCATTAAAAGGAAGTATGGGGAATATGGGTAAAGGTGGTGGTGGTGGAAATGATGTATTTGGTTTTGGTAAATCAAATGTTAAGTAATTTGGGTTTGAATAGAATGTAAAAGTGAAATTTAAGGATGTGGCTGGATTAGATGAAGCAAAATTAGAAATAAAAGAATTTGTAGATTTTTTAAAGAAACCAAGAAAATATAAAGAAATGGGAGCAAAATTACCAAGAGGTGCATTATTAGCAGGACCACCAGGTACAGGTAAAACAATGGTTGCAAAAGCATGTGCAGGTGAAGCTGGTGTACCATTCTTTTTTGTAAGTGGATCAGATTTTGTAGAAATGTTTGTAGGAGTAGGTGCTAGTAGAGTTAGAGATCTATTTAAATAAGCTAAAGCTAAATCTCCTAGTATAATATTTATAGATGAAATTGATGCTGTAGGTAGAAAGAGAGATGCAAAGATAGGAGGTAATGATGAAAGAGATAATACATTAAATTAATTATTAGTAGAAATGGATGGATTTGGAACTGATACTAATGTTATTGTATTAGCAGCTACAAATAGAAAAGAATTATTAGATCCAGCACTTACTAGACCAGGAAGATTCGATAGATCTATTGATATTACACTACCAGATATAGAAGGTAGAAAATAAATATTTATGGTTCATTTGGCTCCTATAAAATTGGATCCTTCTAAGACTATGGAAGAATATGCTAGAAGATTAGCTACTTTAACTCCAGGATTTAGTGGAGCTGAAATAGCTAATCTATGTAATGAAGCTGCTATTATGGCTGCTAGAGCAAATAAATCATATGTAGATGCTCATGATTTCGAAATGGCATCTGAAAGAGTTATGGCAGGTTTAGAAAAAAAAAGAATTATTAGTGAAGAAGAAAGAAAAACTGTAGCATTTCATGAATCTGGACATGCTGTTGCCAGTTGGTTTTTAAAAGGTGGTCATCCTCTTCTTAAATTAACTATTATTCCTAGAAGTAAAGGTTCATTAGGTTATGCATAATATTTACCTAATGAATCTAGTTTAGAAACTAAATAAGAATTATTGGATAGAATCTGTTGTATCTTAGGAGGTAGAGTAGCGGAAGAAATTTTCTTTGGTTAAGTTACTACTGGAGCTTATGATGATTTAAAGAAAGCTTATGATGTTGCTCATAGCATTGTTACTAAGTTTGGTATGAATGAGAATATTGGATATGTTGGATTCTAAGAAGGAGAGTTCCAAAAACCATATAGTGATAGTACTAATAAATAAATTGATGATGAAATTAGAAAACTAATAGAAGAATAAACAATTAGAACAAGATTGCTCATTACTGAAAAAAAAGATTTTGTTAATAAGTATTTTCTAATATATATATTTTAGATTGGCTTCAACTTTATTGGAAAAGGAGACTCTCGATTTATAAAAAATCATTGAGGTTTTAGGAGAAAGACCATTTCCACCAAAATCTAATTATAAAGCATATTTGGAAATCAAAAAAGAAGATTAACAAACAGCTTCTTAATGAATTATATATATTTAATGTATTTTTTAAATAGAATTTATCAGATTTTAAAAATGGCACGGGTATGTTTTTGTTATATATAATTTTTGGGAATTTAAAACAGTTGTATCTTTTAAATAAATAGGATTAAAGCAGAACATATTAAGAGTGAGTTAAAATTATTAAATAAAATTATCTTATTATCATATGATTCGTGCAAGCAAACATACTAAAAAATAGAAAAAATAAAAGAACTGTGATGATTTCACTGAGCATCATTAAAAATTATTACTAGAACGTTTCCCCTACACAACAAAAGATTTTTAACTGAAAGAGATTCCTATAGTTAACATAGATAAAGGTTTTTTTGTAGATCCATTCAAGACAATAGATGAACTATATTCAAAAGGGTTTGAAAAATTCGGAATAGTAAAATTGATTGTTCCTCAAGATTTGATTGTTCCAAATAAGAAATTCTTTTCTCTTTTGGAGTCAAAGCTTAAGGGTAAGAGAATATAAACTCGTATCTAAACACTAAATACCTAAAGAGCTGGCGAAGTATTTTAATTTATTTTAGGATAGATATTTGGTTCAAACACTCTAGGATTTACTATTCAAGAGTATATGAATCTTGCTAATAAGTTTGAGTGTAATCATAGATTATAAGGATTGAGAGAAGTTTCGAATTAGATTCGATAGAATGAAATAGAGTTCTGGTCAATTATTGATCATCCAACTAGATTTGATGATATAGAAGTGGAGTATGCAGCTGATCTTTTAGCAACTAAATATGCCACTGGATTTTAAGAAGGTTAGTTAGGAAATCTAAGTGGAATAAACAAAAATAGGAATTCAATATTTTAAGTTCTTCAAGAAAAGAATGAAATGAGTGGAATATCAGTTCCTTGGTTATACTTAGGAATGAAATATGCTAATTTCTGTTGGCATAAGGAAGATCTTAATTTAAATTCAATGAATTATATGCATGCTGGTGCTGCTAAGACATGGTACTTTATTTGATTATAAAAATTATCACTTAGGTATGCTATACCACCTAGTTACAGTGATAAGTTTCTACAATACTTCAATAAAACCTATGAGAATGAAAGGAAGTCTAACCCTCGTTTATTGTACGATATCACTTGTTAAATTTCACCTGTAGAATTGATTGAGAATGGAATACCAATTCTAAGAACTGATTAATAACCAGGAGAACTAATTTTAACTTTAGGAGCAACCTACCATGCAGGTTTTTCTCATGGTATTTTATTTAAATAATAATTAGGACTCAATTGTAGTGAAGCAGTCAACGTAGCTCCAACTTAATGGCTTAAAGAATTTGATAAAGCCACTACAGAATACCGTATGGATGGAAACTTAAAGAAGGTAATCTCTATAATCATTATTTATATTTAGGTAAGTTTCCCTCTAGAGTGGTTACTTTGCAAAGTTGTCTTGATGGCTGAAGAAGTCAAGTTCACTAAATAATCATGGTTAAAGGTATAATAGAATTTTAATTACATCTTAGATATTTGAGAAATTCAAACAAATGATGGATTCAGAAATTAGTAATCGTAATTGCATTCTAACTCTTTACGATAATGTTAAAACAGTTGAATTTGTTAATAAGTAGGAAAAATATGATAGAAGTGTATGTAAAATCTGTTCCAATTATATGTTCTTAAGTTACATTTTTTGTGGGAAGTAATAAATTCTAATATTTTGTAAGATGTATAAAGAAAGGATGTATTTGTCACTAAAGCATTTGTGCTTGTTCCAATCCGTAAATATCACTATATATTCGATACAACAATTAGGAACTACAAATGATGCTTACAACGTTAGAGTCTAAACTCAAAACAACGGGGTCGTGATTAAAATACTTTATTATATTATATATTTTAACAGAAAATGTTGAATAAAAATTAACAATAAAATAAATAACTAATATGTCTGATATTGAATTCACCTCTCAAGAGAACACTCTCGAACTGCCTAAATTTGAAGAATGCCTTCCTGATTTTAAACTTGAACCTCGCAAAGAACTTAAGTATGAAATTAAACATGAACCGAAATCTTCATTTGGTCAATCATCCAAAGATCTTATTGAATAATATAAAAGTAAATTCAATGCCTTTAAATAATTGGCTGAAGAATAACCTTTAACTATGGAACCATCTGTTATTGAAAAATCAGAAAAATCTGATATTTGGAGAAGTGATGCTGAAATTCTCAAATCTCCTAAAGAATGGGATTGGAATATTTTAGGATCCAAAAAGGCTTCAAACACAAATAATCAAATTTAATTTGATACTCGTGTACCAGATCCAATAGCTTGTGAATAAGAACACAAAGCTTAAATTGCTTAACATAGATAAATGATATTAGGTGTATTAGATCAAAGAATTGAATCTAATTCTAAATTGCCATCAACTCATTAACCTTAAAAACCAGTAGCTGTTGAATAAAATTCCAATTATTAAAATATATTGGAAAAATTCAGAAGTGCTTCATCATTAGATGATCTAACATCCTTCTTTAATACTGTTTAATAAAGAAAAGTCGTAGAATAAGCTGCTCCTCAATAATAATAATAATAAGATGATGTGTTTTCTAATATTGATATAAGAAGAAATAAGAAAGCTGAAACCTATAAAACACCTAATAAATCATAGGAAGAGATGTTTGAATATGGTTCAGGGAATAGAACTACTTCATTTTTCTAAAAAAAGGCTTCAGCATAAAAACCTCTACTTTAAAGTCCCAATTTAGGTAATCAATTCAATTATAGATCTGATTAATCAGTGACATCTAAAGTTACTTAAAATATGAACTTTTAGGTGGATGTAAAAGATCACAGTAAAACTAATAAGAGAAAAGAGGAACTTCAAAGTTTCATGGGTAAATTAGGATTAGGTAAATATGATACTCCAAAAGTGGTGATAAATTTGGAGAGTAATATTTAGAGTAGTAGTAGTAGTAAGATATTTATATATATATTTAAAAGATTCCACAATAGATAGAATGAGATAATATGTAAATGGAACCCCAATGAGTGCAAGAAAGAGTGGAGGAGGAGGAGGATTAAGTGATTTAATAAATGAACGCTCTTTAAATACGACAACATTTAAATAGTAAATAAAATCATATCACAAATCTGGATCCAAACCAGATTGTTAAGGTAGATTGAGTGCTGATAACCAAAATTTAGCAGATTAATCCCTTAAAAATTTACATCTAAAATTGGTTCATTAACAGAAAAATGGAATAGGAAATTCTGGATTAAAATTTGCCAGATGTTGATTTATATACTTTATATAACGAATTATAGCTAAATATATAGATATGTAATTAAAGTCAACAGCAAAGATCTTCTTGTTTTTTCTTTTCTTATTATTACTACTGTTATCTATTTTGAAGTCTAAGATTTGATGTTTTTCTGACTACTGCTCTTGTATTGTGAAGTTCTCGATTTAGTATATTTTTTGTGATGTGAGTAAATGCTGCTTCAATGTTGATTGAAGATTTGGCACTAGTCTCATAAAATGGAATTTAATAGAGTCTTGCTAAAATTATTATTAAAATAGAGGATTACATAATTCTAAACCTTCTTCATAAGATACTTCTCTTCGTTCTGTTATATCTGCCTTATTACCAACTAATAATCTGTTTACTGATTCAGAGGCATATCTCGAATATTAAAATAAACTACTTATCTATTTCTGCCATCCAAGTTTTAACATTTTCAAAGGACTCTCTGTCTGTTATATCATAAACAATAATAATTCCTTAAGCTCCTCTATAATAACTACATGTTATAGTTCTGAATCGATCTTAACCTGCAGTATCCCACTAAGATAATATAATTATTTACAATTTGCAGTTTAACATTATGTTCTCCTAAAGCAATGGTTTTTGTTTTGAAGTCTACTCCTATAGTGTTGTAGAAGTTGTTTGTGAATTGATTTTCCTAAGAATTATAAGAAATAATACAGAATAACGCATAAGCATACATGATTTGCCTACACCAGAATTTCCAATTAATAAAACTTTGAATAGGAAATGACTAAAGAAATTATAAAAGAATTCTTACTAATCAGAGTTGGAGTTCATTTGTATTTCAAATATTTATTTATTACGGTTAATAATTAAATAAATAATGCGTAAATTTATTTCAGCATATGGATTTAGTAACACAATTGGATTCATTGGTTTAGGCAATATGGGAGTAATAATGAATAATATATGATCAATAGATTGGTATGGCTCATAATCTAGCTAAAACTAGAATAGTATATGCATATGATGCTAGTCCTTAATGGTAATCAAAGATTGAATCAGCAAATATTAAACCTGTGTCTTAGATAGCAGATGTAGCTGCAAATGCAGATACAATAATAACTATGTTACCAAATGACAAGATAGTGAAAAGTGTTGCTTAAGAAATCTTTAGAAAATAAAATAAGACATTAATTGATTCATCGACAATATCACCCTATGCTTCATATGATTTAGCTAAGATGGCATAAGATACTAAAAATATTTATACAGATGCTCCTGTTTCAGGTGGTGTTGGTGGTGCTAAATTAGGAACATTAACATTTATGGTTGGAGCAGACAAAGAATTATATGATAAAGTATCTCCAATATTAAAAGAAATGGGGAAAAACATCTTCCATTGTGGAAAGATTGGAGGTGGACAAATAGCTAAAATGTGTAATAACATGGCTTTAGCTATCTAAATGATTAGCGTTGCAGAAGCTTTAGCTTTAGGAAAGAATATGGGAATGGATCCATCTATGTTAAGTTCTATTATGTCTGTCAGTTCTTCAAGATGTTGGTCTGTAGATACTTATAATCCAGCACCTGGAGTTATGCCTAATGTTCCTAGTTCCAAAGATTATGATGGAGGTTTCATGGTTGAATTGATGCTCAAAGATCTTGGAATTGCTATTGAAGCATCTAAAAAGAGTGGAACTGATACATAACTTGGATAACATGCTTAGCAAATCTATAATAAATTAAATGAACATTTTGCTAAAAAAGATTTTGCGATTGTTTACTAAGAATTAACAAAAAGTAAATGATATTAAAATAAATTATACAATACATATGTTTAACTGAATCATAAATCGTCTCTTTTATCATCATTGACGGTTTCCCATTTAGCATCATCAGTATTTACTTTTTCCCATTTAGTTCCGTCATCACTTTGAGGTGCTTCTGATGTTTCTGGTTCTTCTTCAATTTCTACCTCAAATTCTTTGATTGGAGCATCTCTATCAATTCCCAAAGCAGAATTAAATAATTTATAAAATCTACTAGCGAATTTTTCAGGATTAGGAATAGAATAACCTAAAATATATACAACAAAATACCTGAATTAACTAAAGCAGCTTCATATAATACTCTGGCCATTTCTTCAGTTTCTTAATCAGGATCATCTTTCACTCTTTAAAGTAATTCTTGAATGGCTTAATGATTTGGGTTTATTTCAACAATCTTCTTACCAAATTAATGAGAACCGGATTTACTTGAATAAGCCTAAGCCTTAGAAATTCTTTCCATATTGGCTGAATAACCTGATTCAGATGATACAACAATGATTGGATCATCAATTAATCTTTGTGAAATAATAACAGAATCAACACTTTCTGATAATAATTTTCTCCACCAATCAGTCAATGGCTAGAAAACCTTCTTTAATGCTTTTTATTTTTTTCTTTATTCATCATTGTCTTCAGGTTATTTGAAATCACCTTTTCCAACATTAACTAATTTCTTTTATTTATATTCATTCAAATGTTAAAATGTGAATTCATCAACTGGGTCGTCTAACAATAAAACTTCATATCCTTTTTTGAGTAATCCTTAAATGATAGGTGAAGCCAATAATTATTCTTTGTTTTCACCAGCTAAATAATAGATTGAATCTTATCCTGGTTTAGCTCTCTCAATGTAATCATCAAATGATGTCAATTCAGTTGAGTTTTTGCTTGAGTACCATCTAAAATTATACTTTAAATAATGAAATACCTTGTTAATTCAGCCAATTTCTATCTATTAGAAGAATCTTCAATAACACCCAATTTAATGTTTTTTCCATACTCTTTCCAAAATTCATTATATTCATCAATTTTCTTCTTTCTTTTTTCATCTTTTAATCTTTATTGTTCTTCAGGTGTAGTTTCTGCCATATTTTCATCTTCTTCTCCTTCTTCTGAATCTTCTTCATCTTCTTCATCATAAGATGCTGAATCTTAGAATAATTCTAATATCTTCTTAACAATCTTTCTACTAATAACTTTTAACATTTTAAGTTATTAAAGTGTTTCTCTATTAACATTTAATGGTAATTCATCTGAATCTATAACACCTTTAACAAAACTCAAATATCTTGGTAGAATATCTTCGAATTCTTCACTAATCAGCACTCTTCTAACATATAATTTCAAATTTGTAGTCTATTTACCATAATAATTATCAAACATATCACTAGGTGCTCTCTTTGGAATATAAATTAAAGATGTAAATTCAACTTCTCCTTCAGCTTTGAAATGTACCCAATTAAATGGATCTTCACCAGAATTCTTAGATAAGACTTTATAGAATTTCTTATAATCATCATCAGATATCTCTTCTTTTGGTCTCAACCATATTGCTTTATTCTCATTTATTTAAACCCATTCTGCTACTTTCTCTTTTATTGTTTTTGTTGCTTTCTTCTTTGTATCTGCATCATCATCATCATCATCTTTTACTTTAACTTCATCATCATCTGTATTCTCTTATTATTATTAATCATCTTATTATTATTATTCACTATCATCTTCAACCTATTTTGAGATCTCTCTTGTCACCTTCAAATAAATTGGGAAATTAATAAATTCTGAATATTTCTTTATCAATTCCTTTATTGTACTTTCTTCTGCAAATTCTACAGCATCTTATTTCAAATGAATTGTGACTTATGTACCACGACCTAAAGTATTTCCTCTGGGATCTTTAGATACTGCAAATGAATGAGCTGCCTATGATTCCCATATATATTAATCATCATCTGTATTTTTTGATGCAACTGAAACCTTTTAACCTGCCAAAAAACATGAATAAAAACCAACACCAAATTAACCAATCAAATTTACATTACCTCCTTTTATTGCTTCAATAAATTAAGTTGTTCCTGATTTTGCTATTGTACCCAAATTTGATATTAAATCATTCTTAGTCATACCAATACCACTATCTGTTACAGAAACTGTCTTCTCTTCTGTGTTTATCTCTATTCTTATTGCTAATTCTGTTTTCTCACCCAATATCTCTGGATTCTTTACACTCAAAAATCGAATTTTATCAAGTGCATCTGCTGCATTTGATATTAACTCTCTCAGAAATATTTCCTTTTAAGTATAAAGAGAATTTATCAAAATATCCATCAATCTTCCTGTTTCTGCTTGAAACTCATGTGTTTCTTAAGATTATTCCAAAACCTTTCTTTACTCTTCTGTCAAATCTTGAGTCATCACCTAAACCCCAGACAACATAAACAGTAGCAATAACCCTAAGGCCTTCTATTTTATTTGCATTAAAAATATTTATGATTCTCCGCAAGAATTCCATTAACATATATATAATAACACGTGTTTCCACACATTCTAGAAATTAATTTATAAATAGCCCGTCAAACATATTATACATTATTGAGTTTAATTCAAATGATCACTATTAAATTTAATATTGATGGTAGAGTCATAACGAGTCCATTTTTAAGGTTTGTTAGGAGCTACTGCTTCTCTCATATCTACACTTGCTGTCTAACCTTTAGAGGTTATTAAAATGGTCATGATTGTTAAATCCAACGCGAACAATTATAGATTAACAAGTGCATATGGATCAGTTGAATACATACTTATAAATGAAGGCTTGAATGGATTTTATCGCGGCTTGCGTAGATTTTTTAAGCTTTACATAAGGCCCTGCATTAGTCAGAAATATGAGCGCTGGTTTCCTATATTTTCAAATGTTATCCTATGTTACAAGTGAAAACCGAAATGTCTCTTAAGACTTTCTTGCATCATTTTTTGCTAGAGGGTATAAATTAGATGTTATATGAAAGGGTTTCCAATTTTATTACAAATCCGATTTTACTTATAGAAACCCGGGCTGAAGTTCCTGGATATTAATACACTTCTTTATGGAAGACTGCAAATACTATTGCTAAATAAGAAGGACTGATGAGCTTCTTTAAAGGAGGACTTACATGCTCAATTAAAGACAGTCTATTTGCAGGAGTATTGATTTAACATAAAGATTAGATCTATTATGTTGTTTATAGAAAAATGCATGAAATATTGTTAACTGCTGATTCTGGCTTTTCACCTTCAGTAACTTTTCTTTCTGGAATGATTGCAGGTCTTGTTGGTACTTGTGCAAGTCATCCCTTTGAAATTCTAAGAGCCAGATTATAAACTAATTATTATCATGATTAAATGACTATCATGCAAAGATTTAAAAGTACATATTAAAATGAAGGATTTAATGGGTTAGTTATTGTTACTATTTTTAGATTCACTAAAGGTCTTACTCCTAGATTGGTTAGAAAACCTTTGGCAAATTCAATTTCATTTCTTCTTGTAGAACATTTGAATCACATTTTCTATGGTACTTAATTTCACTTTTGATTCTAAATTTTTATTTAATCACTTTAAAAAAGATTAAATATTTTCTAAAGATGATAAATGAATACAAGGGTTATTAATTCAATTTTTCCAATATATTTCTTCTATTTTTGAAAAGTTTTATAATTTATCGAATAAGAATAGAAAATTTTCAAAATTAGTCCAAAAATAGAATAGATAAAATTAAATTAATAATTAATATAATTTTATTCTATAAATTAATATAAAAATTGAATGAAATACGTAAGTATTTCAATAAATATACTTATTTAAACTTATTTAAAATATTTCACCTATTAAATTCACATATTCCTTCTCCAATTTAATAACTAGTACTAAAAAAGAATCGATTATCATCATATTAATCATTAACAATTCCTGAAACTTCTCCATATATTTTGATAGTTTAGACAGTATCATATAGAGAGCTATATAATTAATAGATACATATTTTACGTATTCAAGATATGAAAATAAGAATATGATTCAGCGATAAATAAATGTGATCCATTTCTTTAGTAGGTAATATTATATATAGGTAAATCTGATCCAACAAATTATTGTATTGGATGCTTTGGATAACGTAAATCATAAATAACACATGATCCATCTTCACTAGAAGAAGCAAGTTCATAACTTTTGGTTGGATTAAAAGCAACAGCAAAACCAAATTCAGTATGTGGCTCTAAACTATGGATAATATCACCTGAATTAGTATCTAAAACAGTTAATCCTAGTCGATCACCAGAAAAAGCAATTTAGTTATTATCATTAAAAGTTGTAAGATTGACTGAAGCTTTATCTTCATATGAAAATATCTCTTTCAATCCATTTTAATAATCAAATATCTTAATGTATCCTTCATTATCATTTGTAATCAAAGTGTCTTTATAAAAGTGAACATGATTAATAAAAGGTCTTTTCTAATTAATAATTTCTTTATCTAATTTTCCATTATATAAATTAATCATTAAAAGTTCTCCATTCCTCCCAGCTACAGCACAAATGTTATTCACAATATCTAGTCCTATTGCATTAATTGGTATTATTGTAGAATTTGATTATAACTTAGCTAAATCATAAAATACAATCTAATTATTGTATGTATGTAATATTAGATTAGGAATGCTTCCCATAGACAGAGTATACTTTGATTAGAAGTGAGCACTCTTCATATTTTAAACATGATGAAACATTCTGAACTCAAATAATGTATCATCCTTTTTAATCTATGGAAATTAGGTTGAGAACTTTTTAGGTTTTTTGAATTTTCTATGTCTGATGAAAATATTATGATCATAATTCTCCTTATTTAATGAATTCAATCCTTATAAATTATTTTTATCTTTATTTATGAGCACTTATTATTGCAAGCTTTAGATTTTCATATAAAAAATTAATATAAATATAAATCTAAAATATATTCATCTGTTTAAATTATTAAGATAATTTACTATTAGAACTTCATTTTTATAATTTTTATTAATATCAGATATAAACTGATAAAAATCTGAAAAATTATTTGGATGGCAATCATTTAGTCTTTCTAAACAATATACTATTCTAAATAATATTATTTATATTTATTACTATAAATAATCTAGAAAATATTTTCTATTAGCATTATAGGAGAATACAGTTTTAACTTATCCAACACTTTTTAATTTTTAGAGATATTGTACATAATCTGGAGTAATATTTTATACAGGATATATAAGAGCTAAATTAAATTGTTTTATTTCCTCATCTATTACTTAATGAATTTTATGTTATTTTTAGATTTCATGTTCAATAATTTAAATAGAATAATAAGATGGTGCACATCTATTTTAAGGTTGACATTTCTTAGCTTTTGAATGTTAGAAGAAACATTCTGCTAAACAATGAAGATAAAGCTTGAAGGCAAAAAATTCATGTCTCAAAGAATATTAAATGTTTCTAAAATGTTAAATAAGTATTTACATAAATTAATCCAAAAACTCTAATATTTAGTTCAGAAAAAATCCTGCTTAAAATAATTAATCAGAAACTGTCAATATGTCATTTATGAATATTAAGGGTTATCCAAAAATATGAAACTTAAGTCTGGGAGTTATTACAAAAGGTTGAGTAGGAACAGTTTTAGAAAATTAAGTTTTAGAAGAGAATTGGGGGGATTAACTCATTTAAGGTGTATTTGAAGTATTTTAAGTTGGAAATGTTGGGAATTTCTTAAACTATTTTGAATTTTGGGTTATTAATTAATTTTCAATACTAGGATCATTAGGAGGGTTTTATTTTTACTAAATTATTTATTTTTCATCTTCTTAATCATCAAGAATTTCTTGAATAAGACTTAAAGTATAAATTTAATAAATTACCCTGACTAATTTATAACAACATTAAATTCATCTTAAATAAGGGAATGTTTGAATAATTATTCCCAACTTATTCTTTCAACTTCTTGAAATTTGAGCATATCTTCAATTAAAAGAGCAAATTCCTCTGTCATCTAACCATGAATTAATTATTACTCCTTAGACAAATCGATTCACTTTAATAGGATTTATTTCTATATTTTTTAAATCTGCCTTGACCTAAATTATGTTGAGTACTTTATAAGGTAACCCACCAAATATTAATTCATATATTATGATTCCTAACTTTAATATAATCTAGATATTATACTGAAAAAATATCAGCTTAATTTGAAAATTAACTATCAAAAAATAATTAAGGTGCTGCATATTTTGAAGTACATACTTTTGGAAATTTTTATATTGTTTTTTCTATAGCTTCCAATACTCTAGCCAATCCTAAATCTGCTATCTTAGATATATTTTAATTAGAATACTTTATATACTCCATTTAAGAATAGAATATTTTAAGGTTTTAAATTTTTATGTATGATATTATTTGAATAAAGCACTTTATAACCATTTATTACTTATTTTAGTAAATTTAAAGCTTCATTTGGAGTGAAATATTTTGACTCATTTAATTTCTTATCATTAATAATCTTTTGTAAATCGGATTCACATCTTTCCATAATCAATAAAATCCTATCATCGTTATATTCCACATATTCCATTCCTACTATATTTTTGTTTGCCTTTCCACAATTCATTATCATTTCCATTAATTTAATCTCTCCTTTTATTTTTGGATCCTATAAGTTCTCTCTTATTAACTTTATTATTATTTATATCCATACTTTTGCACATAATTTTAATTCTGGATTAGAATTGTCTTAACATTAATAAACAATTCCAAACTGTCCTTCTCCAATTTTTCTATCCATATAAATTTCATAGGATTTAACTCTTAGTATATTATTCTCCTAATTCTTCATTTTATAGAATTTTATTTAATATCCAAACTATTATATTTACAATTTGAATATTAACAAATTCTATTATTATATTTTACAATTTGAATATTAGCATATTTTATTATCTTTTTAGAATTACAATTACAACATATACCATTATTACTATATTTCTAATATTAAACCCATTTAATCATTTTCTTAGCACACTCTATTAATCGCCTTACTCATATCATATACTTTAATAAAATTAACTTTTTTAGCATCAGCATCAAGGTTTTAAACAATTAAAATCAAATATAAATAAGTATTATTTTTATATACAATAAAATGCATTAGGATTTCTTATTAATACTCTATCTATAAATTAGAAAGTTTTATGTTTGAATTTATAAGTAATTATTACTATGTCTAATCTAATTTTTTAACCCTTTAATAATTTTATTATATTTCAAATACTCTTCAACAATTACAACTAAATTAGAAATCTTATTTATTACTTTATTTCCTAAATCTCATCCTTTTTTTTCTTCTTTATTTTAAAATTTGATTTATCTCAATAATATGCTTTTGAAATCAAATAAATTTATTATGGCTATTTCAAATATTGCATTTAACATTCTTCATACTAAATTTCAAAGTGATTATGCTTAGAATTCTTTAAAAAATCTATTTATTTAAATGATATCAATTTTCCTTTAATTAATATTTATCCATTTTAATTTTAATGTAAATACTGAACGGATTGCAATCAATCTTCAATTTCCCAAATCATTTATTTATATATTATTCCAATTATTNTTCCATTAATTTAATCTCTCCTTTTATTTTTGGATCCTATAAGTTCTCTCTTATTAACTTTATTATTATTTATATCCATACTTTTGCACATAATTTTAATTCTGGATTAGAATTGTCTTAACATTAATAAACAATTCCAAACTGTCCTTCTCCAATTTTTCTATCCATATAAATTTCATAGGATTTAACTCTTAGTATATTATTCTCCTAATTCTTCATTTTATAGAATTTTATTTAATATCCAAACTATTATATTTACAATTTGAATATTAACAAATTCTATTATTATATTTTACAATTTGAATATTAGCATATTTTATTATCTTTTTAGAATTACAATTACAACATATACCATTATTACTATATTTCTAATATTAAACCCATTTAATCATTTTCTTAGCACACTCTATTAATCGCCTTACTCATATCATATACTTTAATAAAATTAACTTTTTTAGCATCAGCATCAAGGTTTTAAACAATTAAAATCAAATATAAATAAGTATTATTTTTATATACAATAAAATGCATTAGGATTTCTTATTAATACTCTATCTATAAATTAGAAAGTTTTATGTTTGAATTTATAAGTAATTATTACTATGTCTAATCTAATTTTTTAACCCTTTAATAATTTTATTATATTTCAAATACTCTTCAACAATTACAACTAAATTAGAAATCTTATTTATTACTTTATTTCCTAAATCTCATCCTTTTTTTTCTTCTTTATTTTAAAATTTGATTTATCTCAATAATATGCTTTTGAAATCAAATAAATTTATTATGGCTATTTCAAATATTGCATTTAACATTCTTCATACTAAATTTCAAAGTGATTATGCTTAGAATTCTTTAAAAAATCTATTTATTTAAATGATATCAATTTTCCTTTAATTAATATTTATCCATTTTAATTTTAATGTAAATACTGAACGGATTGCAATCAATCTTCAATTTCCCAAATCATTTATTTATATATTATTCCAATTATTCATTATAAATCTATCTTATTTTAATTAAATCAGATCATTATAAATATTATGTATTGAGTAATTTTAAGAGATTTTAAACATTAATAAGACTTTAGTATAAACATAAGAATCATATATTAACTTAGATTATTTGGTTGTATGATTTTTAAATTAATTATTGTTAATAAAAAGTAAATTAATTATTAAGACTATTATTTAGTATTAAAAGAATTTATAATTAAATTGTTATTTATATCTAAACAAATTTTGAATATCTTGAAGTTTATTATTAAAAATTTAATTCTATAAGGTACTTAGCCAAATCATAATGTTCTATTATTAATTTTTGGAGTTTTAATTTAATTAATAAATTAGTATTATATTAAAGTATCTATTTTTCATTTTTAAATATTTGTTCTCACACTTTTTTTCTTATATGAAGCAAATTGTTTCTATTTCTCTTGATTTATTATGTAAATTACTATTTCGATTGGTCATTACTACAAAACAAAATTGCTAACAATATTTGAATTAAGTTTAATTAGAATCAATATAACATTTAATTTAATCAGAATTATCTCCAAATTGAGTATAACTAAGCATAAATCTGCATTTTTCGTATTAATTCCAGTCCCTCTATAATTTTATTATCAATAGAGTTTAGAATTTAATTATCATTTATCTATTCAATTCAAATCAAATAGATCAAATTTCTCTTTAAATTATTAAAACAATTGAAACTCCAGTTAAGTGTTCAACTATTTTAGTATAATTGCATTAAACTCAATTCTAAGTTTAGAATTATTAATATTATATTTTTCAACCATCATTTATAGAAGATGCTTTAAATAACTCCTAACGCAAAAACCAAACTCTAAAATAACCACATATAATAATAATAATATTTATTAAACATATAATATATCCTCAAATAAAGAGATGTAGAATATATACATTGGCTTTATAAATATCTTACTGGAGTTACCAAGTATGTGAATAGATAAAATCAACTACAAAATAGCTGTGTAATGAAATAAATAAATAAATGAGATGAGATTTATTTTAAATTTTATATTTATTCTATCATTCCTCTTTTGTAGTTTTTAAATTAACAGGATAGAAAAAAATGTTAAATTAAGTACAAGCTTACATCTAATTTCAAAATATATTTTTCCTTTGAAATGTCAGAAATTCTTATTGCATACAAGTCATTTAGAAATTAGAATTAACTCAAAACCATCTTCTATTTAAAAATTATAAAAATTCTAAGATTTTGAAAGAAATATGGATAGAATATTAATTGAAGATTATATAATATTACAAACAGAAAGTTATATAGATTTGAAGACTAAAACAATCTATATTCTTCACAATAATAGCTTTTTTATTTATTCTCATACTTTACTTAACCATACTAAAAATTGATTTTTATATATTCAGAATCAAGTAATTTTTTTATCCTTAAGTTGATAATATAAATAATAAGTATATTTAGATTTGAAAATACTTTAATTTTGTGATAATATCTATTTTCTATATAATTTTAAGTAACTTTTATTTCTATAACTATTTATTCATTTTTATATATTAATTTCCTTTTTTATTTTATTTCTTTTCAAACAAATTTAAGTTAAATTTCAGATCTGTGAATACTTTTTATGAAAATTGTTTTGTTTAAAATAATTATCACTATATATTAGAAGATAAAAATTAATGGACTTAAATAGAGAAAAATCTTAATTAATGAAGAAAATATAAATTTCTTTATTAGATAAAGTTTATTCTATAGATTCTTTATTGGATATGAATTCGATGAGAATTATATAAAAAATGATATTTTAGAATATAAAATGAAAAAAAATAATGTTGAAAATTGATAATAGATAAAATAATATTAATTATAAAAAGAAAACTATTTTTAGAGAATATTTATTAAATAAGTTATAAGGTTTAAATTAGTTATTAGAGAATAAATGTTATTTGATTCTTACTTAGATATAAATCAGTTTGCTTGTTCAATATTGATCAAAATTATATAAAATTTGATTGAATTTTTTTAATAGACTAATTTTAATATAAATAATTTAATAGAAAATGGAAGATTTGTAGCATACGCTCAAATATGGAGATAATATAATTCTCAGATAAATAGGTGATAATAAAATCTATTATCTCCTTGCTAGAAAGGAATAATAATACTTAATGGAAACTAACTTATAAATAAATAATTCATGTACATTTAACATGCATAATTTTCCTTAACATATGGTGTTCACAATATTTCCTAAATTACTATATGAAGCTTAAAACAAATTTAATTCAGACTATGATTAAAAGTAATTATTGTATAATCAAATGGAAACTGAGAAAAAATATAATCAAAACTTATTAAAACAAAGTAAAGGATAAAAAGTAATCTATGGAAATACTATTATGCTCTACTAATCTTTAAGTAAAGTGTTTTTGTGTAGAACTGAAAATAACGATTCGAATTCAAATATAGGCACTAATTTAAATTCTTCAATGTATTTTAAAATAGATCCTGATCCTTTAGCAATTTATATAAAATAAGGATCACCAGTTCATTCATATGATTAATTCCTTTTAATTTAAAATGATACTATACTTAAATTCGATACTATTTAAGAAATACCACGACTTCCAGAAATTGTTTAATCTAAAAATCCAGATCACAATCCTGAATTTTTTACAATCCCTGCAATCATAGAGAATGAATATTAATTTAAATTTTATAGAGCCTAATACAAATAATTTGCAACTAATACAAGAGAATAAACAAGTCATAACACTCTTTAAGCAATTGTTTTATCGTAATAGAAAGATATTAATCATCTTCATTATGGTTAATATGTTAGGATTGTTGAGGAACATTAAGAACATCGAATTAATAAAGGATATTTAATATCTACTATTAATGCAATAGGCTGTTATCCTGCAATATATTTATAGATTAACCGTAGACAAAATGGTGACTCAATAGATAAAGTTTCCTCTATATTTTAAATTGTGCCAGAAACTGACTAAAAATATAGTGAAGAAATTTAATTTAATGTTGGTAATAAACCTAATTTAGTTGGTTATACATAATTCTTATTAAGACATCTACTTACAGGTGAATATTTAAGAATAAATCCTTGGAAGTGGAATAAATTATAATTATCTAAAGAAATTAATAATAAATATAGATAAATGGGATCTAATTCTAATAAAAAATTAAATGAATAACCTAAATCTGTTGCATCTAAAAATATGCCTGGTGTCCAATTATATCAGAATTTAATAAATTAAAATTCTAATTAATAAAATAGTTCATAAATTTAATAAGATGATCCTTTATTTAAGGATCATTAATTATTATTTATTACTAAATTAGGAAATAATCCTATTATTTATAAAGATTAATTACCATTTACAACTGATATAAATTTTAATATTGTTACTAAAAATGGAAAATGTCCAATTGAAGTTGATTCTTAAGAATAAGAAGAAAGTTATACAATTTAATTAATTACTAAATTAGCAATGTTTAATCAGTATGAAGAAGAAAATGATGAATAAATTTTAAATCGACAATTAGAAGAGGAATGGGTTTAAATGATCCCAGAATTAGATTAATATTCAAAAAATAATAAATAATAATAATTTTCATAATCTGAAAAAGAAGTGTTAGAATTTATTAAAATGGAAAAGAAAATATAAGCAAAAAATAAAGTTGATATGAAACATTATAAAGCTGATTATTAAACATTTCAACCTATGTTTATTCAGTTAAATCCTTTTAATACTTAATATTTAGATGTTTTAGCAAGTGAAGATTTTTCTGGTTCTAATTTTAAATTTGAGACAGTCGATTAATCAGAAATAGAAGAATTAAGTGAAATATTAGGATTATTATATCCGCTTATATCATTAGCTAAGAATTCTATATAATTATCAACACTTAAATTTAAATTTTCTAATCCTAAATTTAAAGAATCAAAGGAATGAAAAGACATTACTTCTTAATTTTTAAAATTTTAAGCCTAAGCTGTTTAAAATGTAAATTAAGCTGTAAAATCTCTAATAAAAATAATGTTATGGTTAAAGGCTATTGATGAATCTTTAGCCTAAGAAAATATAATTGCCGAACCAATAACTAGAAGATAATGTATGGCAATAGAAATTGGATGTATTGATTATGTAAACAAGATCATTTATGAATTAAATATAAATGAATTATTATATCAAAATTAGGATTAAATACTTTAACATGAACATTCATAAGAAATTAACTCATTAATAGATGCTTTATCTTCTTTTTTATAATTAGTGTGTAATAATTCAACAACAAATTCTATTTATATATTGTAATGGTATAATTTATATAAGCACATTTTGTTGAATAAATAAGTAAATGATAAAATGAGATTAGATATTCTAATCATTTAATTATTTCAATAAACTGATATGCTTGCATCATTTGAAAGTGAACTCAGTTAAATAGTTTATTTATTTAAATTCACTAATTACTAAAAAAATATTTTAAATTTATTAATTGCTTTTTGTTAATTTACAGAATTTAGAAATAAGTAAGGAATTAAAGATATGGTAGAAATTATATTTTAAGAAAATAAATATTCTATATTTTCCAAAATAGTTTTTGATGGAAATATTCAATTAATGTTAAAAGAATGTACTTCTGATTAATAAAAAAGTTTTATGATAGAAAGTTTAAATTTTCCAAATAAAAGTGCATTAAAGGATTATATAATATCTTGTGCAAGATTAGTATCAGAAATATCTAAATCTTCTTCAACTTTAACTTTATAATAAATAAATGATTTATTTCCTTTTAAAACTATAGCAAAAATTATTTAAGATATTTAAATATCATCTTAAACTAAATTTTATTTCTTAGTGCTTTTTTAAAATTCTTACATGGCTGAACACTTTTAACCTTTACCTAGAATTTAATTACCATAATACTTAAAAATGGTAGTTAGATAAGACATAGGAAAGGGATTATTAGGTTTATTTAAGAAAGAACAGAGTTCTATTGTATTATTTCCTTTTGCTTAAAAAAAAATATCTAATTTATTTAAGAAAGTTTAATAGAGATATTTAGTAGAAGGAGATGATTCAATTGATTTTTGGTTATTTTTATCTGAGTTTATAACCCAGTTTTAGAAAAGAAAAACAATTTATGAAATAAAAGGAGAAGATCATACATATATGAAGTAATTGATTCTAACTTTTTTAGAATTCTTAAGTAGAGGTCTTTTAATTGAATATTTATAAGATGATCATAATTTTTATGACATCTAGCATAAGTTTATAGAATTTTTAAAGAATTCTGTAGCATCAGTTACTTTATAGGAAAAGTATATAAAACATACATACTAAAAATACTAAGATGCTTGGGATTATCTTTTTGAGAACACAGTAGCGTAGAGAAACTCTGGAATAACAATATATTCGAAAAGTATGATTTGGTTAGTTGAGTTAATTGAAATTTTGATATATTTAGAACAATTTTAGTAATCAAGAATGGTTGATTAATTTATAATATCAGAAGATAATTATGTAATATTTGATGATTTATTATATTTATAAAAATTTGCAAAGTATTAAAAATATGCTGATGAAATATAGAAATTAAGATAAGCAAAAGATATGTTGATAACTTAAGAATTAACTAATATTTTAGAGGAATGTTCTTATGCAAGGAAAACAATTATTCTTGAATATATGAGAGGGATTAAATAATTAGATATAAATTTGGTTTAATCCTTGATTGATTTGTTAATTTTAAATTAAATAAGATTATCTGCTAAAGTAATTGAATTTTTGTGGCTAATTTATTCGAGTAGAAGTAATTTCTTAAATACTATAAATTAAACTATTCTAATTTAATCTTTTGATTAACGAGATCTTTAATTATCTGTTAATTAAAATATTTTTAATGATTTTTCAAATATATATTGGAAACTTCATTTTGCATCCATTGATTTAATATAATCTTTAGAAAGAGATTCTAGTCAATATTATGAAACGATAAATGATGTTCTATCAGAAATTTTATTGATATTCTTTCCTAATTATGCTCCTAAATCAGATTAAGAAGAAAAGATTGATAAAAGCAAAGTTCAATAAGAAATATCAGCAGTAGATTAAAAAATATCACATCAAGATATTGATTTAATTGATTAATCTTAACATATGAAAGAGTAATAATAAGCAGAATAATTTTAATCATAAAAATCTGTTACTATGGATTCAACTTAAAAATATGTTTGGAAAATTAATAATTCATTTTCACTTGATGTTAATACAATTTATTAAAGATAAAAATTATTAAGATATTTAGGTTTTCATGAATTAATTAAAAAATTAATAGAAAATTTAATTTCTGACAGCAGGAATTATTTTTAGAAAAAACAATGTTGATAAAAAAGTTTACTAAACAAAAACTTAAATCCTAGAGAAGAGTATATTGATTCTCATTTATTTTGTTATTAGAAATAAAGAAAATCAAGAATTATTATTAAATCTAGAAAAGAATAAGGATCAATTTTTATATGAAATGTCTAATTTAGAAATAAAATATAATTTAGAAATAAAATAGTAACAAACTCTGATTTAGATCTTTTTCGCAGAATTATTCAGAGATAATTATAATATCTTATTTTCTTTAGAAAAATACAATGATGAAAATACTGTTTTGCCTTAATTATTTTCTAATTTTTATAGGAAATTCTAATATTAAAATTATGAAGCTTGTATTTACTTTTTATAATTTTTGTAAATATTACTGAAAGTGAAAGAGAATGATGTAGTGTAAAATTATTATGTAATTGTTTAATTATTTATGAATAAATAAAATTTAAATAAATTTAATAAATTTGCTAAAGATATTGAATTATTAATGACTACTATTTAATAAATGAAAATAGAATAATTCTATACAGCTACTCATGCTTTTGAAAATTAATAACATTTAAATCATTAAAAACCTATGCATTTTGATAGTTTTATAGAAATGCCAACAGAAATACTTTTTTTTAAAGAATTAATAAGATTGTTGAGAATAATATGTTCAAAAAGATCGGGATTAGTAAATGATTTTATAAAAAAAATATTTCCAATATCAAGAATGGCAGAAATGATTCAAAAAATTGATGAATGGTATCCACTAAAATATGAATTATTGCTTTATTTTTAATGTATTTTTTTAGATAATTTATAACATTTGGATTTTGAAGAAAAACAAGAACTTGTTAAAATAATTAAAGATACAATATTTAAACAAATTATTGTAAGTTTTGTAGAAAACAAGAATTTAAAAAAATTTGCAGAAACAAAACTTATGAATAGCACTATCATTAATATTTTTGGAATTAGAAATTAATATTCAAATTAAGAATTTATTATGTCTGTGTAATATAAAAAATCAAGTTTTATTTATATAATATTTGGAGTTCTTAATGTAATTAAATAATTCATTAAGAAATTATATCCAAAATATTTCTAATTAGAAAAACAAGAATACTTTGATGATAAAATTTAAAATGAAATTGTTTATAATGCTCAAAATATTTATGATGATATTCTTAGAGCAAAAGATTTCACTTAAGATGGATATGAAAATCCTGGTATAATGAGAAATACAATAAATAAGGGAGAGAGTGGATAACAAGTGATCAACTTAACTCATAAGTAAGTATCTAGTCATTAAAATCAATAAAATTAAGAATTAAGTAAAAATGAATAAAATAAAGATAATATCATTAGAATAATAGAAATAACCAATTCCTTTTAATAATAAGATCTAGCATTTTAATTATTAAGAAATGATTTTTAAATAAATGATTAAATAATATTAGAGAAGTGGACAAACTCTATTAAGCCATAAAGAACAAAATTAATAGATGAACATCTTGTTACTTCTGAAAGAGAAAATGAAATTTTATAATTAATTAATCTTATCATTACTTTAAAAAGGGATGACACAGAAAAATTTTAAAAAATGATTACTTCTTTAATTAGAATATTTCCTGAAAGTTCTGTATCTTCATCTATTAAACTTAAATCAGTTAAAATTATCAGAAAGTTATCAAATTATAAAGAAGATACTTAAATATCAAAATCTATTCTAAAAGATTTAGAATAATTAGGACTTACTGATTATCTTTGTGATTTAATTAAATATGAAAATGATTAAGAATTAAAATTAGAGTATATTAAGGCTTTTGTTGATTACATAGATAATTCATCAAGGGAATTATAAAATTCATTTCTTTCATATTTATAAAGAGATTAATATAATACTTTTATCATATCTTTATAAAATTTTATTACTTAAATGTTTTAAGATTTAAGAATGACTGAAATATCAAAAATTGAAAGAAATAATAGAAACATTAATAAAATATTAAATAATAAAATAAATGGATGCATTCTTATATTTGAATTATTTAGATTAGGATGTTAAGATCATTTTACAGAAATGTAAAATTTTCTTAGACATCAAGTCAATAGTAAATAACCAGTAAATTTTATTATGTTTACAGTTGAATTATTTGAGAAATATGTAGAAATTAAGAATGAAGATAATGTAGCATTAGGATAGAAATTATTGGATTTTTTGATTGAATATGTTTAAGGTCCTTGTTTAGAAAATTAAATGGAACTTTGTAAATCCACAAAAATCTTAGAGGTTCTAGAACGAATTATACTTTAATAAAGTATAGATTAAAATAGGTTTTAGAAAAAAGATATAGTGTTTTCAAGTTTATAAAGTAAAGTATTTTTACTTTTTTCATTTTTAATGGAGGGAAACAGTAACAAAAAATGTCAAAAATCTAGCGAAGTAACTTTTGGGAAATGAACCATGAATTAATAATTTTACCCAATAAAAACAATATAAGATGTAATAAATAGTTTATTAAATATTTTTTATAATTATATTTTATTAAATTCTAAAAAATTTGCCAAGATCTGCGACTTTCACTTTTAAAACATTAGTTAAAACTCAAATTGACGAAGCGATTTGAACCTTTGATGGAAATGGTACATATTATGAAATTAAGAAAGATTGGTGTAAGATTTAATAATAACTTTATTGCCCTTATAATAGATATTCTAGTAACTATCAATGACACTAAAGAATAAAAAGTTGTTGCCGCAAAGTTATTAGTTATAATTGATCTAATTATATATGGAGTCATAATGTTAACTTGGATTTTTATTCGAATGCAATTAGTATATATTAGAAGTTTTAAGGAAGTTTAGGATTTTATTAAACTAAACTATCTGAAAAAAAATCAATAATAGTAACAACAACAAAAAATGAATTAAAAAACATTAATTTATCCTTTTTCAATTTCTTTGTTATAATCATTTTTAATAATAAGGAGAATGTTTTTTAGCAATTATACATTTTATTGGTTTTTATTGCTTGTAATAAATTTATTAGGTTTGTTTTATAATAATTTTTTTTATGGATTATTATTATCAAATATAATTGATCACTCTTAGGTATTGAAAATGTGAAAAAAGTATTTCACTTAATTAAAAATAATTATTAATGACAACTTTATTAGGAGTTTCAATAATATAATGTTTATATTTAAATATAAGGTACAGATTTTCTATGTCTAGTTTTGTAATCCATTAAGGTTTGAGAGGAGGTGGAGGAATAGGAGAAATTTAGATTTTCCTCCTAGTCATTCTAATTTTAATTCTATTCTCAAAGAAGGTTAGTTTTTTGATTCTCATCAACTTCATTTGGTGCAATATAATTTTTGGTATCATTATTGACATTTTTGCAGAATTAAGAGATTAAAAGAATTAAAAAGGTATTTTATATTTAAATATTCAATTAGATTTTGATTCCTTAAATAGATGTTATATAAGTGATTTAACTAGAACTATATTTGAAAATGAAGGTATTTAATTTTATAATCATGTGTAAAAGTATCATAATCCTTGGGATTAATTTGCATATCTTCTTTATTAAATTAAAGCTGAACATACAGGAACAGAATCCCATGTTTATAGTAAATTCTTAGAAAATGATATCAACTGGTTACCAATTAAAAAAGCTTTAGATTTAGATTTAATAGCAGAATAGTCAAAATTAACAATAGATTTAAATACAGATGATCATAAATAAAAGTCTTTACATTATAAATATTATAAATAATCATTTTTTTTTGAAAAAGTTTTCTAATTTCATAGAACCAACTCCTGCTGATTAAGTTTTTGGTTTTGAAGTTTTATTAGTTTATATCATTGATGGTTAAGAAGGCTAAATTTCTTAGATATTTTTTTTAATGTCTTTGATGGGTTCTTCAATTATGGGATCATTTTTAATAACTATTTCTTCAATGATAGGTAATTAGTTAGTATCATTATTTTGATTTTAAGGATTTTAACTTTATGATTAATTTTATTGTTTGCTCTTTAATATAATTTTAGGTTTTTTAATTACTGGATCTTGCTTTAATTTTGAATCATTGTCAATAGTTTCTTAGACTATATTATTATTTTCATTAATTGTTTTTAAGGAATTATTTTAGATAGGATCAGCTGATTTAAGTTATTTTTATAAATTAGCTTAAGTATTTATATCTGAAGAATCATTTTTTCTTTTATGATCTAATCCATCTACTTTTTTATTGACTACTACTTTTTATGATTCTACTACCATAGCTTAAACTAAACTTGATAAATTGACTTCATGAACTGTAACTTTTAAAGGTTCTTATCCACTAAAAATATATATATTGAATTAGAATACCAAAACACAGGTGGAAAAAGGTCTTCATCTACAATTTAATTTTTATCAGCCAAAGCATATAATGATATATCTTAAATTTTCATATCTTTATTAATTTGATTTGCAGATAATAATGAACTAACAAGTCCAATTCCATCATTTGATTTTTACAAAACAGTGAAAACAGCATCAACTTCATCAATATGGTTTTCATAATATTTATTAAAAATTCTAAAATGAATAGAAACACAAGAAATACTAAATAGCTTGAAGTCTTTTATTAGGAAATGCTTATAATAAATGAGTTCTAGTCACCTATTTTCTTAATTATCATTACCATTCTATCTTAACGCACCTAATAATCAATATAAGAATATATATCGTCCATTTTGATAGCAAATAGGCGGGAAGAAATATTTTAATTATTTAATAAAGATATAAATACTATACTTGATTTATAGTAAAAATAACATATCATTTTCATAACTTCTTTTGAATCTAAATCCATTTTTTATGTTTTTTTGGAAAATGATGTTGTTACCATACTTTTGTAGTAATCTTTTTATGTTTATCATGTAATCTCTATTAAAAACGTATTTCTGACTAATCAGTATTGTGATACAAATTTCGAATGCCTTCGTCTAATTATTCTTAAGTTAAGATTTAAAGAGTATCGATATGCATTTCTTCAATATCTTTAAGTTTATAATAATTAGATTTCACTTATTATTTTAATACTTCATCATCTTATTTCTTTTTGTCATATCTCCTTTATAATTATAGTAATTTGCCTTCTGTATTAATAATGGCCATTAATTTATTTTCTCTATCTGCATCCTCAACAATGGTGCTAAGTTAAGATTAATCTGTAGAAATTCTGTTTCTAATTTTAAGACAATTCTCTTTCGCCTCAATCTTTTTCAATTCTCCTAAGAGATATCTCCTTCTCTTTGTCATTAAATCTAATTGTTTATAGATTCATAACTGTTTACTTTTATCATCTGCTAACTTCTCAACTTGCTTATTGAGATAATTATTAAGATAATCATTCTTCTTTTGAATTTACAAATCTTCTCTTATATGTTATTCCAACACATCTTTACTTTAAGATCCATTTAATGAAATATTGGCAGCTTTAGTTAGATTCATTAAAGCAATATCTGAAAGACTCTTACGATATAATGGATTATCATCAACATCCATTAGTAATGAATTAATTATTCCTGTTGATTTCACTTCGGGAAGAGAATCTCTACTTACTAAAATAGTCTTTTTTCGTTTTAGTTCTTCTTGTTTAATTAATTCTGCTCTCATAGCATCCCCTAATTCTGTAATTAATAATCTATTCATTTTAATGTCGAATATTAAATTATTATGAAACGATTCATTCTATATGAAATGTAAACAGTAAAGTTTCAACTAAATTAATCAAAGTAATTAGATTCATTTTTGTAATACTTACTATTAAAGATTAATTGATATATGTATAAGAATTTCAATAATTTTATTTTACTAATATAAAGAAATTTAGTGATTAAAATTTAATGTGTGATATTAATAATTATAAATGCAATCACGTTCTTAAAGAAGAAGAAGAATTTTGAAATAATGCATCTAAAAAAAGAGTAAAATAGAAGACAATGCACATGTAACTTAGGAAATAGATTCTGATTATGAGGATGTAAGTGAAATGGAAGAAGATGAACATATTCAATATGAAGATGAATTTGATGATGAATATGGTAACCTATCATATTAATTTAGTTAGAGAGTGAAGAAGGAGAAATCAATATTGATAGTGAAGATGAAGAGATATTATAAAAAGAGGAGTAAAATTAAGAATAATCATAATAAACATAATAAACATAGTAATAATAATAACCACAATAATAAAAATCAACACTCAAGAGAAAAAAGAAAGGTATGGAATAGGAGTCCTAAGAAAATTAAAAAAGAGTATGGTTCTATGATGAAGCTGAAAATTTAGATTTTGATAACAGAGCTTATAATATGTTACATAGAGTTACAACAGAATGGCCTTGTTTATCCTGTGACTTTGTATTAACAGAAGAAGAGTAATAACAATATAGAAATAAGGAATTTCATAAAATGAATAAATATCCTTATACTGTGTATTTAGCAGCTGGAACTCAAGCAGCATAACCTACAAAAAATTAAATATACTTATTAAAATTATCGAAAATGCATAAAACAAAATATGATGATGATGAAGCATCATAATCAGAAGAAGATAGTGAAGATGATAATCTTAGTAATGATGAAGAAGGTCAAGTACATTTAAGTAGTGTGACCGGCCTTAGAAGTGGAGTAAATAGATTAAAAACAATGAATGGCTAAGCAATAGCTGCTTATTGGAATGAAAATGGAGATGTAAACATTCTAGATTTGAATCCCTTATATAAAAAGCTTTAAACAAATTAATAATCATAATTTAATTTATCACAATTACATCACAAAATATTTAAAAATTAATAAGAAGGATTTGCTTTAGATTGGAGTCGTTTAAAAGTAGGTGATTTAATAAGTGGTTCTGTAGATGGCAAGATATATTTATATCATCTTAATAATAATGATTGGTTGAGAGATAATAAAGCATATGAATATCATAAAGGAAGTGTAGAAGATTTATAATTCTCTCCTATTGAAAGTTTTGTTTATGCATCATGTTCTACTGATGGAACTTTATGTATTGTGGATACTAGAGAAGGTAAACATAAATAAGCTTAAATACTTATTCAAGCTCATAATTGTGATGTTAATGTCATATCATGGAATTAAGTATCAGCTACCCTTGTAGCTACAGGAGCAGATGATGGTTGCTTTAAGATTTGGGATTTAAAATATCCTAAAAATGATGCTATATCTGAAATTCAATTTCATAACAAAGCTATTACATCTATTTAATTTTAACCTAATAGTGATTCTAGTATAGCTGTTTCATCTGAAGATCATAAACTCTCAATATGGGATTTTGCAGTCGAAAATGAAAATAACAATGAAGATGATGTTCCTGATCAACTTATGTTTGTACATCAAGGATAAAAAGATCTTAAAGAACTTAAATATCATCCTATCTATTATGAAATGATTGTAAGCACTTCTGCTAATGGATTCAATGTATTTAAACCAACTCTAGATGAAGAAGAAAAGAAATCTGAATAATCTGAAGAAGATTAAGGCTAAATACCTGTAATCAAAGAGGAAGATCTAAATAAATATTTTTAATAAATGTCAATATAATGAAATATTTGTTTATTTATAATCATTTGTGTATTATAACGTACTCTTTTGATTCTATTAATTATTAACATTGTTCTAAATCTAAATTAAAAATTAAACAAATCTCATCCACTGTTTCCTCTTTCAAAATCATATTTTTTATTGTCTCATTTGCATCTTTCAGTTTTTCATCATCTTTCAACTTTTAACCTAAGAATTATCCTTCTATTCCCTTTTAAAACCTTTAAGAATATTCTAATGAACATTCCATCCACTATTCTTATTATTTAGAATTCTTATCCTCCTCATTAAATCTTTCACTCATCTTTATATAATTTGATGGTGCAACCAAAAATATATTATCCAAATTTTATCCTTTCTAATTCTGGCCTTAACACATAAAAAAATACTCATGAACTCTATTTAAAAAATTATGCAATTAACCATATCTTATCATTTTAGTTAAAGATACCTAAAATCATTTTATTATTTTATATACAAATTCTAATATGGTCTTATTATTCTCTATATAATCTCTAAGTATCAGTCCTCTTTTCATTTCTATATAAAGTGTCTACAAATATTGTTTAAGTAATTCAATATCTAATTTATATCCAAACTTCTATTAAAAAACATCAGTTTTAGTATTAATTATTAATAAAATGTCATCCTCCTTAAAATCATGAGTGAAAAAGTTCTCATTTATAACATACATATTTGTTATTTTTATCATATCTACTAAACGAATTAAATTGCATTCTATCATTTCTTTTATTGCTGTCTTAATTTATTCAGCCTTAAATTCTTTCAATTTTTAACAAATTGCTCCCACACAATTAATCCCATTAATCTCAGGTATCAATTTATCTAATATTGGATTAAATGCTGTTTAAACTCCTTATCTTATATTAACTATTGGAAAAGGCACTTAACTATATTTAACATTTATATTTTGTGGAGGCTATTATTATTATGGTAATCTTAAGAACATATATTATGATTCATCGAATTCTACAAAACTTTCATGCTCTTGACTTATATTTATATCCTTATATATTTTTTTAATTAATGTATAGATTTCCTCCCTATTCTCATCATTTCTGTATATAAAATTTCTATTCACTTCTAATTATGATACAACATATGCCAATTTTCTTACAATTTCAAAGTATGCATCTTAATTTTTACAGAATTATTCTTTCTTCACTTTTATTGCAACACTTAAAACATAAATAGCTCTTCTATAGACAGATCCATTTCTCATTACCATCGGAATATTGATTATTTATTGCGATTGATATTCTCTACATTATAATCATTAATAAATACATCATAAGTAATTTGCCACCAAGTTCTTCTTTGGGTAACAAAAAATCTCCCAATATCTCAATATTTATTGCTTATCTAAATTGAAAAGATATTCATGTTTTTTACTCATGTGGATACTATAGAATGGCTTATTTGCCTATTAAGTCATGGAATTCACACAAAATAATTGATTCAATCATAATAATTAATTTAAAATCTCTTTTATTTCTTCTTTCACTCTTTTTCCAAAATTCGGACATTCATTTACATGTTTTGAAATCAAATTATAAAAAAATTTGTTATCAATCTTCTTTAACTACATCAACTTATTAAGTTATTGTAATAATTTCCTAAATTTTAAGATTTGTTAACATACTCATTAAATTATTACTAAATCTCCACTGTAGATTATAAACTCTATATTTATCTATCCTTTTTAGGCTATTACTCTTGCTTCTTTTTTATTTACTCTTTTGGCAAGGACTTTTATTATTTTGATTATTTTTCTGGCCTGTCAGAATTTTTATTCGTTTTTTATTGTACATTTTCATTTACTACTACTTATATTTCACATTCATTAATTTATTTCTCTCTTTAAGTTTCTTCACAAACAGAACTACTCTTAAATATATTTTCTAATTGTCTGTTTTAAACCTTATATAGTAACCAATCATATATTACATTATTCAATTCATTTAAAATAGATTTGAATTAATCACGCTTATTAGCAGAAGAAGTCTTGATATGTAATTTTGAATTTTGAATTTTTTTTTCTTAGGTCTGTTGAGGTATGTTATTTATATCATGTTTACCAATAAAGATATCTGAGTATTTGAGTGGTTCTTAGATTTTATCCTTAGTCAAATATCTATTGTATTTAGTCAATAATTCTCGTTCTTCATTATTTAATAATTCCATAGTTAATTATATAATTATGATCAAAATAAAGATCTATTAAAATTACGTGATTGCTCTACACCTTTAAAAAATTCCAGCAATTGCATCGATGTCAAAGATTACATGAATTAACACAAGGTCTCATCAATTTCTTATTAAATTAATTTCAAATTCTTCATTTATTTATTCAATTATAATAAAAACCTATATATTTTAATTAAATAAACATTTATGACATTTTACGATGGTTAAATAGTTTATCTATAATTGGAAGTACCTTGTATATCAAATTATTATCATCCAATTTAGTGTATTTCTTAACAATCTCAACATAATTATTGAATTCTTCATCATCTAAAAATAATAAAAAAAGTTTTATATTACAATTATTCATTTAATTATTTGTACTAATCAATAATAATCCATAATTTCCTTTCAAAAAATTTTTCTAGATATTTTAGATTGCATATTTGATATATTGTTTTCTTTAAATGCCACAAATACCATATCTCCTCTACACTATATTTTCTTATAAAGATTACCATATAAGAATCATTTAGTAATTATGCTTATTCAGATTGATTGCATTACATAATTTGATCAAAAGCTTTAGAACTTCCAATAATCATGCTATTAAGTATAGGATGTGATGTCAATAACTGAGTCAGATATTCAAATGATTGCTTAGTTGTTTTTTTGTATTCTTATATTTTTTAATCCAGATCAGAAATCTAAAAATAGAAAATTTTATACTTTTTTTTCAAGTAACTTTACATAAACCTTCTTTCTTTATCTTGATTACTTGGCACTTTATCTTAAACGTTAATTTTTATATTCCTCACAAATTAAATCATTTGTTGAACCTAAAAGCCCTGTTAATCTAGTTTTTTTATTATTAGATATTTCCTCAGAGGAACTATCTTCTTATAAATCTACTTGTAGTCCCTAATCAAGTAATTTATCTCCTTCAACACTTAACAAGGATGTTATTTTCTTAATGTAAGCATTTTTAACACTTCCTTTAATATCTTAGATTTAAGGTGGTTAATCTCGTAAACTTGTATTAGATTGAATATGTTGTAAAGTAGATTTTATTTTCTTAATCTTTTTTGTATTTTAAGGGATTTATTAATTGAGATTAGGATTGGGAAGAATGTTCTAATTGAAAAGACTTTATAAATTAAGCATTTTTTATTATTCATGTAATTGTTGTAAAAGCCTAACATTTTATACTAGTAGTGAATCTTAATTGATGTTAGTTTAAATTTAAGAATTATTTGTTTAGTTATTGAAGTCATGTATAAATTAATCTATTTCTTCCATATGTTATTACATAAAAATTAATGAATGAGTATTAAGTTTATAATTGATATAGATTTGAATAATGAATAATAAAAACAGAATCAATAAGAAATATATTAATGAATTTAATGATTAATAATTTTTATGGATTAGAAATTAATAATAAATATTAAATAAATGTGGAAAACAATGATTTTATTAGTTCTAGTCAATGTAATAAATGGATAATGTAGTTGTAGTAAATTCACAGATGAATCAAGTTGTTTTGCTTATGGCTATTGTTTATTTGTAAATGGAGTTTGTGTTGAATAAAAATGTGAAGCCATTCCATATTAAGAGAAATGCAAATCTCCACTTTGTTTATGGAAAGACAATAAATGTTTAACATTTAAAGCAGCAGAATCAACATGTCAAACTTTATTACCTCAACAATGTACTGAATATTAAGGTTGCTATTATGATTATACAAACCTTAAATGTCAAATTAGTAATAATTGTTCAAAACTTGAGATTGATTAATGTAATGGTTAATTGGGAAATGGTAATTCTTGCATTGTAGATCCATTCAATAACAAATGTTAAGAAATGACTGATTGCAAATCTTTATCAACTGAATTTATGTGTTTAAGTTAATTTCCATTTTGCTTATATTAGAATTCCTCTTGTAAGCCATCATCTTGTAATGAAATAAATGTATATTAATATTAAATTCAATTTAGGATAGCGTTTCATGCTCTATAATGGATCAATGTTAATGGAATAACAATAAATGCGAAATTAAAAATTGCTAAAGCATAAAATTTGGATATTAATGTAATGGAAAAACTTGTGGATTCGATAAAGATCAATGTTTTTCTTGTATTGAATAATACGGTTATCAGTTTTTTGCGGGCTTGATATCATTATTATTTATATTGTGAGTGAAAACAATTGTTCATTATATATATTTGTTTATATTATGATCGTCACTTTTGTCGAAGCTATTGAGGATAAGTTGAGGATTATCAATGTTGTTAATTTAGAAATGGACCTTCTAATTTTAATACTATACTTTGTAAATTGTGTATCATTCATATAATAAGTACCTGTGCATTCCATTAGGAATCGTTTTTAATTCCTTGAAATGTAAAAACTAAAGAATCTTGTTCAATTTATTCTTTGGCTTATTTTTTACTATGATCATCACTAAGGAATGGTTCATTTATATATTCACTTGGACTATTTTAATTTACTTTTTGAGTAGAATCTTTAAAGACCCATATTACCCAATATTTTTTGGTGGATTCCTTATTCTCTCATATTGTCATGTGTACAGATTAATAGTAACCATATTATTATGATATCTATTTAGTATGATTACTTAAGTTGGAAAATGGATTATAATTGCGTTTAGATGATGATAACAGCACGTTACATATATTATGCAGTTGACAAACCTAAAATTAAAGAAAACAACTCATTCCTTATGTTTATGTCATACATTTTTATGTATCCAAATCTCTATCTGGCTCCTCTTCCATATTTTAGCTTCGTTGATCTTATTACACGTAAAGAAGATTTTACTCATTACTCAATCAAACCTGCTCTAATTAATCTATTCAAGGCTATGCTCTTTACAGCAGGGGAACTTTTTATTAGGCCAAAGTTTGATACAGAAGTTTATTTTTCAGAGAATTGGGCTCATTACAATTTAATTGAAAAACTGTTTATCACTTAAGCAGTTTCAGTAGTCTTAAGGTTTTCATACTTTACAGCTTTTAAGCATTCATAAGCAGCCATGGATGCTTTTGGAATTACTTATAATCCAAAAACAAAAAAATGTGATAGATTTCCTGTTGCTGATTATCATTATGATTTAGAGAAGAATATAATGATGAAAACTTCAATGTGGAATACAAATGTTTAACTTTGGTTAAAACATTGTTTTTATGAAAAATTGAATCATATATTTGGCGGTTATACTTATTACATAACATTTTTAATAAGTTGCATTTGGTAATATAATGTAATATGAGATTAGGCATGGTTTTTATATGACTTATTATTTATTTTTTGTATTTTGGGCAATAAGTGTTTAGATTTGCAAATATGTTTACAAAGCTTAATAAAAATTTTACTTGTAATAAGATTATATAATTATAGTATTCCTGAAAGGATTAGACATATAATTTGTTGGTTTTGGAGTTGTATGACAATAGATCATTTTGCAACAGGAATGAAGATTTTGGATTGGAAGAAGGCAATATAATTTCATTGTAGTGTGAATTGGATAATCCATATATAAGCATTGGTAATATTTGGATTCTTTGTGATAACAGGATTTGGATAAGGTTAAAAAAGGAAGAAGAAGGATTGATATATATATATATTGAAACAAAAGTAGAAACTAATTACAATAAAAAAATTCAGAGTTATCTTTAGCGAGCATAAGTTAGTACTGAATAGAGTAGTGATATAACAAACATCACAACAGTGATAATTAAATAAGAAGCAGGTACAAAATCGAACTGTGCCATCAATCTAACTGCTATGCTTGTGTTAAGAATAAGCTTACTGAAGGTATAAGGTTTTTCACTCTTGATAATGTATTGAGTATGTATAATCAATTATTCCTGAATTGTGAATTCTTAAATTGATTTATCATTCAATTCCAATTGTATATCTAATAACAATTGGTCAGATTTTGAAAACATATATATACTTATAGGTGGATCCCATGTATCATTCATGGTGAAATTACCTACACCATCATTAACATCAACTTCAATATACTCTGCTTATAATATGATAGAAGGAATCATAAGAGCAATAAAAAACAGAGCTATGACCCTTTTATACTTATTCGAAATACACAGCAAAAAATGATAAATCGTTCTCTTTCTAAACAAGAAGAAATACTATTCCAAACTTTCTGAAAAAGGATCATGTCTTATCTTCTCTTTCTCATGTAGAAAGTATTTCTAATTTATAGGTTGAAATTCCATTCCTTATAATTGCACCTGATGTTGTTTCATTAATTATTAATATCAATTTCAAGTTCCATTTATGTAACCACTTAAACCAACTAAACTCAATCCAGCCTCAAATATTGATTATAAAGAACTATAGAAAACTCTTATACATTTTCAAAGAGCATAACTTGAATTAGAAAAGACTCGTCAAGGTTCTCCTTTAAAATCTGTATCACCTATGAGAGAAATGATGAATTTTTAAGCATTATAAGATGCTGGACTTATTGAACTCAATGAAAAAAGTAAATAAGTTGATGGAGTTAAAATAACATTAGAAGAAATTGAAAAAGCATTCAAAATTTTAGATGAAAAGAATAAAGGTACTAAAATATCGTTGCTTGAATTAAAAAAGAAAATTCCTGCTATCAATCCTAATTTCCCTAAGAGTGAATACAAAGCTTTGACTTAAGGAAAACCTGAACTCAAAAGTAAAGATCTTTATGAATTACTTAAATAAAATGAATTACAAGATTTTGATCCACTTGAATAAGCATTTTCACTTCTAGATCCAAAAGGAGAGGGTAATTTAGATATTAATAGATTGGGAGAAGTGTTCAGTGTCTTAGGATATGGAAAAATTGATAAAAGAGATTAAGAAATTCTTTTAGAATGCTTAGATGTTGATAAAGATGGCAAAATTGGACTCTAAGATTTAAGAGAGATATTTGAATCAGAAAGACATAAATAATGATAATTATTAATATATTTTAATAACTATGGATGAAGTATTATCACAGATATCAAATTAAGTTTATGAATTTGACACTTTAGGCTTAGTCTAACAATACATATTTGAATTATCAGAACATTTCAAAGAAAATCACAATGCCTATATTGATATTCAACAATTTGTTATCTTTTTTATCAATTAAACAAATGAACAAGGCATTGAAGGATTAATACTTATATCTAAACTCATTGAACTTTATCAAGAGATTTTATCATAACAAAATGAAAAAATACTCAAATTAAAACATATAACTGATTATTTGATTAGTAGTCAAGAAATTTGCAGTGAATATTTTAATGCTAAATTCCTCCCCTCATAAAATAATTAAATTTAACTTACTCGTCGTGTTTTAACTGACATTGAAATTTAACCTCCTGAAATCTTAGGCTTAAATCCTAGTATGTTGAGAAGATTAGAAACTCAACTTAAAATTGAAAATATTCATATCAATAATCAAGTAATATACGGAATTAAAGGAGACAACGATCTGTTTTTAATTCTTTAATTTTGTGAAAGTGTTTGCATGTTACATGAATTTTCATTTAAAAAAATGCTATAACCACGAAATATGATTGATGGTAATTTTGTTGTCTATGCCCATTATTCAACCAAACAACAAAGATTAGGAGTAATATTACGTAATAACACATTAATCTTTTGGGATAAACGAGATAATTATACATATGATTATCAAATAGAAACCTAATTAGAATTGCAACATATTACATTCATTGAAATGTAAGATTTATGGATAACTTCAGCAAATAAAAGTTTATAAATTTGGAATCTGGAATAAGGAAAATATTAAAATTTATAAAACTAAGTATTTTCTGGAGGTATAATCCAATTATTAGAAGTATTACATTTGTAGATGTTGCTAGTAGCATCAAATCCTAATATAATAAGTTGTTGGGATATGTTTGAATAAAAATTCCTATTTAAATTTTAAGTATAACATCAAATACTCTATCAAGTTGTCTGTAGTAAGTAATTTTAATTAATTTTTACTATCGGATTTAATAATTACATATCATGTTATGAGTTACATGCTTAATATAATGATTATAATTTAAAGTGTTAATTGGTAGGTCATTGTTCAACTGTGTAATGTATTGAACATATAGAAAGAACAGCACTATTAATATCAATAGATACCAAGAATGTGATTATATTGTGGGACATTAGATCATAATAATAAACACAAACAATAAATTTATAGACTAGAATTTTAACTAAACAATTAATGTTTTATTGTAATAAGTTATGTCTAGTGACAAATATGCTACAAACTTTGAATTTTGAAAAATAATTGCATCCAAATAAATAAATTAAGTTAATGTAAGTAATTTATGATTAATGGAATAAAAGAAATATTATTATTACAAAAGCAGACATTCGTATTTAAGATATCATAACTGGAAAAATATAATACATTTTGAGTGATTTTTAAAATGAGATTTCATCATCATGTTTAATTGAACATGGATATGCAATTATAATTGGTACTACTGAAGGTGATTTATATAAAATATCACTTAAACATGGCCAAATTTTATAATAATGGGAATCATTTTATTAAGAAGAAATAATATCTATTTAATATGATGAAACTTATAAGATTTTACATATTGTTTCTATTTAAGGTATTTTAAAATGTTTACCTTTAACATAACTAAATGTTTGTAAGGATAATATTTACAAAGATAAATGGGCAATTCGTCAACTTTCTGTAAATGTTTGTATTAATATTTGTCAACTGTCAATTATACAAGGTTTGTTAGCTATAAGTTATGAAGACTTCATATAAATTTGGAATTTAGAATATTATTGTGTATCAATATAAATATAATTAGAAGATAATGCTATTGCTACTTCAATGATATTTTGTGATTCTCTCCCTCTTTTAATAATAGGTACAAATTAAGCAGATATTTTTATATTTTAATTGGTTTAAAAGAATGATAAATTATAATGTACTTTAGAAGGACATCTAAATATTGTGAAAGCTGTTCTAATTTAAAAATTAAAAAGTGTATATCCAGATCGTTTGAGCATAATGAATAATTTATTTTCAAAAACATCATTAGAATTAATTGAACTATATGATGAAGGAGATGAATAAATAGAAGTTAAACGTCTTTTTAATAATAAATATAAATTAATGAGTCATGGATCCTTTGCATCTCGCTTATTAGTACAATTTAATAAAGAAGAACTTAAATTATATATTGCTACAAATAGAGGATCTGCATTAGTATTTAATATTACTTAATTACTTGAAAAGAAAGTAATCATTCTTTTAATATTTTTAGAATATTAGTAAAAAACTAGATCAAATTAATCAAAGACCAAATTATAATCCTTATAGAGTTGTGTATAATAGTTTACAAGGGAATTTTATTGATAATTATCAAATTGTATAAAATCGTTTGATTAAAGATCAAGTTAAAAAGAGAGAATCTAAATTTGAATAGACTAGCAAAATTAAATAAAAATTCAGAAATTCTTTGATTAGATTCAGTATTCTTAAAGGATTAAAAGATAATCCAGAATTAGATATCACTCATACATTAAAAGATTCTATTTTTTCATTTGATGAATAACTTGAAACTGCTGAATAAATTCATAATGATATGGTGATCTAATTAAATTTCTTGTTTATTGATCCATATGAAATATTGTTTCAAAAGAAAACCTAATTCTTAATTGCTGGATGTTAAGATGATACTGTAAAAGTATTTAATGCTGATTTCAATTAAATTTGTCAATTTTCAATTCATAATCCTATTCCTTATTAATGGCAATCTTTATTGAATGAGAAAAATAAGGTAAAAGCAACAATACTCTTTTCATTAGAATTACTTAAACAGATTTTACCATAATTAAATTCTGAAAAAAGGAAAGCTTATGATGTAGAAAGTATGTTAAAATAAAATTCAATAAAACATATAAATAAAGCATTTAAGTTATCGAATATATTAACAAAAAAGGAGCCAATAAATAATTAATAGAAATTGAAAGATTCTTTCTTAAATAAACGAAAAATTAGTTTATGTAATAATGTTAAGATGCCTTAATTGTCTCCAAAATTACCACCTTCTTTGCGTTATTATGATGAAAAAATCAAATAAAGTAAATATCAATCAGAAATTCATGAATAAGATTTAATCAATTAAATTAACTAACAAAAAAGATAGCAAGGATTTTAAATAGAATAATAAAGATAATAAAAAAAAGAGATTTTAGATTATCTTACTCCTGAAGTTAATACAAATCCAAAATTCTTTGAGGATCTTTCTATTCAAGCTTTAAGTGCTAGATTAAAAACAGAATCAAAAACTCATTAGAGTAAAATTACTAAGACAACAAATGATACAAAAAGGACTTTTACAAGATAAAGCTTGGATTTTTTTGATTATGCTGAAAAAAAAGAAATGTTAGCAACCAGAAGTAAGATATCTTAGTCTCGATTTTAAACAAGAAGATAACATCACGACTTTCACAAGATCTTGAATGAATTACATGGTAAATTGAAAATTTCAAAAAAATAATCATGACTATTTTTTTTTCTTGATTTTTTTTGTCAATTCCTGATGATTTTTTTACTATTATTATTTAGGTTTCTTTTTGTTTTCACATTCTGTACATTAACAATGGGATGTACATTTCTTTGCTCTAATGAAACATTCACAATAACCTTTTACACATTTTGTCTTTTTACATTTACAACCCCAAACTTATTTAGTATCAAATGAATCCAAATCATGATGTGATGCTCTTTATTCTTTAATTTTAATTTATTCAACAGCCTTAAGAACTTCATCTTCATGTTTACCATCATTAAAACAATCATTACATTTACATTCATTTGTACAGGATCTTCGATTATGAAAGCATGAACAGTATAATTATAAACAATTAGTTTTAGCACAATGACAAGGTTTGAAATCATCTTCTTCAGTTGGAGAATCATCAACATTGTAATTTGTTTTATTCATTTTTCTACGAGTCTATATGTGTGGTACATCTTCCTTATCTTCTTACTTAATTTCAATCAAATTAAAACTAAAGTCAGTCTTCTCTTTATGTTTTTTCAAAGGTGATGGACTTGTTAATTCTATTGACATCTATTTTCTAAATTAATGTTAAGGATCATCTATTGACATTTATGAACTATACAAATCATTTTACTTTATACAAGTATTATAATAGTTAAGGAACAGCCTGAATTTCTAATTATTCCATAGAAGGTAAAGAACTATTGGTATGTGGCTACAATAATTATAGTTTATAATCTTCACTCTTTTAGATTCCATCTATTTGATCCTTTTCATTTAATTTCAAATCAGATGGAAATTAAAATAGAGCATTATTATTTGTTTAACTCTAATCACTCATCCTTAATTTTAATTAAAGTATTATGTCTTAAATTACTCATTTTTACACCAAAAATGTTATATAAATTTCATATTAATCAAATTTATCTTATTTATACAATGAATAATTTTACAATTAAACATAATTATAATAGAACTCGAATTATTATTATTATTATTATACGTTAATTTAATACATGAATTTAGAAGAAACTCTCTTAATACTTTTTGAAAGAACTTTAGAATCTAGTAAAGATGATCATTTACAAACTATCTTAGCAAGTCAAGCGAAAATTATATAATAAAAAAAAGAAAATATAATTCCTACTTAAATTCAAACATCATCTATTTAGAAAAAGCTATATGCAATAGAAAAGAATTTCATCAGTTAAGATGCTTTTAAAAAGAGAAGAAGATCTAAATATGATCATCGTTCTAATACAGGTTCATAATAGGACAATGATGGATTTTCAACTATCATACTTGATAAAGATAATTAAGAAATATATAATAATGAATAAAATTTATAACAATTAAAAATACAAAATACAAAATTGGAAAATCAAATTACAGAATTAGAATATCAACAAAGAGAGAAGTACTTAAAAAATTGTAATGAAATTGAATAAATTAACAGAGAAAAATAATTATTATTTGAAAATGATAAAAAACTTAATGAAAAGTAAAGAAAATTAAATTAACGATAATAATTACTCAAATAAAAGTAACTCAATTTACAAAAATAAGAATAAAATAATTAAATCTAATAATGCAACATAGATGAAAGCTAATAAGAATAATAAAGATATGTAAGACTATATCTAATTTCTATAGGAAGATTAATTAAATAACAGAAGAGATAATATGGAAAAGCTTCAAATAAAATTGAATAACTTTGTATCACAATTATTAGGATTACAGAGAAATAAAAATAAAGTATAGTGTTAATTAAATGTTTAAATTGATGCTGTAGAATAATTGGCTTAATTTATTTTAAAAGAACGTTCTAATATACAATAGGATTAACAATACTTAAGATAATTCAAAGAAAAGGTTTTGGAGGAAAAGAAACAAGTTCTGTAAATGAAATAGTAGTAGATACCATGAATTATAATATTTTACTATAAACAAATTAATAAATCATATTGTAGCAATTGTTAATCCTATACTTATTGTTACACATGATACAATTTTCAATCCTAAATTATGTAATGATGCTTATTTTCCAATATTTAAGTATTTTTTAAGCAAATATGCTAAAAATAAATTAATAATTAAATTTAATGAAGATTCACTTGCACTGACAACTCCTGCCTAAAACGTATACTTCATTTTTTTACTTAATAATATGTTTAATATGCATAGACAGAACTAAAATATCCAAATAATGTCATAATTTCTCCTATGATAGTGCCAACTATTAGATTTTTTGGTTTGTTAAACAATTAAATCATTTCTATTTACATTTATTTATTGAAATTTAATTTAGTTGTTTATATAATAACAAACATAATTCTTGTAAGAATGAAGAACTCCATGTTACCATATATATTATATTATAATCCTTCTCCTTCTCCTTTACCTACAAAGCTTATAATATTTGTGTATATTGCATGTGACATATCTGAAATAATAGCAAATTTAACAAATGGTTAAGACCAAAATTTGAATTGGAATATTTTTATCAAATGTCCATCAGTAGCTGGGGCTAAACCACCAAGAAGAATAAGAAAATAGGCTAATAAATGTAAATAACTGGATAAATAAGGTCTATTGGATAAATAGTTTTAAAGTATTGAAAAAAGGAATGCAAATATTGAAGAAAACTAATATTTATATATCTAAATACTTATAAAAATGGTAATATAACTGTACTAGATGAATTCTCAAATGCCCTAATAATATAATGATAATGATAATAAGAGAATATTCCACTTATAATCAAAAGAGGCAAAGATTAAATGGATCCAAAAACTGAGTAATTGCCTACTAATTCTTAATATTAAGGTCCAATCAATTCAATATAAATAAAGTATAAAAATATCTAAGTATCTATATGAATATTACAATAATATAAGTTGTTAATGCACATAATAACATTGTTTATGAATGAGTGAGATGAGTACTTTATGGTAATTATTATTTCTTTTATGGCAAATCAGATTCTTAACTATCCAAAATGACGTCAAAAGCAGTGTCTGCACTAGCCCAACAAAAAGCAGATGCAATTACTGCTGAAATCCAAGACATTGATTTAGTCATATAAATTATTATATAATCATTTTTATTATTTTGATTTTCTTATTGCATCTAAAACTGCTTCTTTATCTCCATCATCAACATTTTATAATAGCTAAAATAAACGTTTTTTTCTTTCTTAAATTTCAGCTTCATTATGTTATATCCCTAATTCTTCTTCTAAATCAGGTACATCATTTGGATCTACTCCATCTGATTCATCATCTTATCCTTATTATTCTTCTTCTTCTTCTTCTTCTTCCTCTTCTTTCAATTCTTTTTCTTTCTCTTCTAATTTTGTCTTATATTCTGACAAAAATTTATTACATTTCCCAATTAATGGATTGTTAGGATCAATTTTTAATACTGTCAATTATATAAATTATAATCTTACTTTTTTATATAATTACATGTGCTTCCTAATATTTGCTATTCTTCATGCAGCTTAAAAATGCCATTTTTAATTCAAGTATTTCATGTTTTGTTTAATCCATTTTTTATATTTTTAAGAATTTTCAAAAAATGTTTTAATTAAATATGTATCAACTTATTTACAAACACTAATCTAATAATTCTTGTACAAACTCAAATTAAATATGCCTCTTTACTATTAATCTTTTTAATAATTTTAATAAATCTAATATGAAGAGATACTACTGATTTCAAACATCTTAAAATCATTTGTTTTAATTAGTATCAATATAATATATTAATTTTTATTATTGCAATAAAGCACATAAAGCAATGAATCTTTATTATTATTAAATTTAACTTTTCAAAAAAATATGAAAATGTTATATACGCTGCAAAAACTAAATTTACAAACTTTATTACAAAATTTTTAATTAAATTCAAGAAGTATATTTTTAATTGAACCAGATAAATTTGAAAATACAATTAAATATATTTTTAACTAGCCATTTTTTATTGATTCCCAAAAAAACTCATTTTATATTAATATAGGATATAATATAATATTATTATTCAAAATAATCATAATTAAAGTCTTCATCCTCAATTTTCAATTTACTTCATATACTAAATATTAACTGGTTATATGCAATTCTCATTTAAAGCTTTTTTATTATAATCTTTGAAAGGATAAATTCAAATTAAATTAAATTTTTTATTCTTAATAATTGATAATTTCAAAAATGATCTTAAAATATTTTGAATTAAATTGTGATATTTATATAAATTCTAAATTTTTAGAAATGTCAAATAAATAATAATTCTGAATGGTCTAAAATTATCTAAATAATCTAAGTTGATTAACAAAAAAGAATAATACAGCATAATTAAATTTAATAAAGTAATTAAAGATCACATTGCATATTATTTAGATAGCAAGAACACTAAAAAATCAAAAAAAGTAAACAATATAAACCTAATTAGGTCATTTCAAGAGTCAACAATATTCATTAAACAGAATTTTATACAAAAATCAATTATTTATTTCAAAAACTATTTGAGATCTTTCATTCAAAAAATTCCTATCATTACTTTATGTTAATAAACTTTCCCATTTGCATACTAGTATAAGTACTTTATTTAGTGAATTATATTCATTAGCTATATTAAAATTTTTACTAAAACAATTCTAATCCCGATATTAGAATTAGAAAAGAAGCAGATATTGAGAACAATCTAAATTCTATAATTAAGAATTTAATAATAAAATGTAAGAACACAACTCAGACAAAAAAGATAAGAAGGTATTTAGTGCATTTACATTGATTTTTTATCTAATCTTAATAGTTCTCAATAGAAAAAGACCGACACAGGAAAATTAGTGAATTTTTAATAAGATTTTATGATGTGAGAATTTTATAGTTGTAATAAACATTTGGTAACAATTATAATTTAATTATCTGGTTATAATGAAAAACTATAAGACCTTAAGCTATTGGAAAATAGACTTTTAGAATAATTAGTGTCCAAAAATAAAAAGTAAAACCTTATAAATTTATGATATTATTCGTATATATGAAACAAAAACCTGCATAATAATTACTTTTTAATTATAAAATGAAAAATTCTAGTTTAAATAATTAAAAATGATATTAATAAATTAAGATAATCTCATTAGATTATATCATTAATGGTCATCACTTAAAACCTAGTTTGAAGTTTTTCTCTATAATTTCTTTCTCTTTTATGTTAATTTTGCTTTGTAAAAAAGAAAAATTGAAATTATGAAATCTTAAATGTGATAAATAAGATTGAAATTTTTGTTTCCTTTATGGTTATTAAATTAAATGAAAAATAATTTTTTCTCATAAGAGTTTAAAGCTTTAGCTCTAATTAATACATATAATGTAGTCCTAAATGAAAGGAAAAGAGCTCGTTAATGTACAAACTTCTAAATTGCTTAAAAAAAATTAGAAGAATCTAGTATCAAAATCAGAAGAAAAAGTTGTCATTGTTAATTATGTGGTAATATGAGTGCATTTTAATTTGATATGATGAATGTTCCATTCTAAAAAAAAGAATTATAAGTTGAAAATATAGAACCTTAAATTTAAGAGACTCTTAATTAATCACCATGTATGTATATTCATAATAAATTAGAGAGAAGAAGTATTTTTTATCGTTTGCAATCATTAAAACCTCCAGAGAATTTAAAATTAAGACTCTCTTTAAAGATTCATGGATGTGACAAAAATTTTATAAGGCAAAACACACTGCAATAATTAATAGCAGAAAACAATGAAAGATCAAGAAAAGGAAGTTTAAATGGAAGTGTAATTGTTAATACTTCAACATCAGAAAATCATTCGGTAAAATCTCTTAATATCAATTCTTGTTATGAATAAAGTCCAACAAAACTTTAATCACCTCTTAATGAAGCCACTTCTGGTAGACAATTAACAACGAGCTCAACAAGCTCAAAAAAACTCAAAATAATGAGTACATATTTCTCATAATCAGCACGTACACTAAAAACTACTCAATTCTAATAAATTAGTAAATAAAAAGGATTGATATTGCCTAAATTAACATAAAAAAAGAGTCAAATCTGATTCTTATATAAAATATCTTTCTATAAAAAATATTTTTGATTTTTTAAGAATAACTTTTTATTAAAAGACTATATATTTAAAATTAAACAGATGAAATGAATCCTTTTTTTATTCATATTAAAAACAAATTTTTAGAATAAACTAAACTATTTTATAAATTCTATTGAAAAAATAACTTTTTATAAATAGTAAATAGGCTTATTTATATGGAGAGCTCTTTAAAATTAAATAAAAAATATCTCTTGTTATTTAATAAAACTTTAAATAGTAATGATTTATAAATATAATTATTATTGTTTTCACTTTGAATAGAGAATCAAAATAAAAAGCTTAAGATTTTAAAAAAAGATAAAAACTATAGCTACTGGACTGAATGATGTGATGACTTTATTAAATGTATAATGTGCTATTTTTTTTGGATAACCTTTACCAAAAATTACTTTAAGGGATTAATTTCTTCAAGTTTAACCTATTTCCAATATATAATTTCAATGAAAATGACTTAATAGTTTTCAAAAAAATAAAGAAACCAATTTCGGAAAAGTAAAACCTAAGAAAATTTGTTATTAAAAAGTGATATTTATGATAAATATTATCAATATCTTTGAATCATAATGAAGTGAGTATTGGGTATTCAAATTTTAATTGAACCAATTTCTGAATTAATATTATTGATTCTCTTCAAAATAAAATCATAATTCTCTTTACATTTAATCCTTCTTTTAATAAGCAAAAAAATAATATGGTAAGAAATTCATTAAAATCTTTGATTAAATTGATTTTATAGTATTTAACATCAAGTCGTGTATTAAATATAATTCTCACTATATTCAAAAGAATAAATCTTTTATAGTCTTCCAGTAATTATTGTGTTAGAGAGAGTTGAAAATTAATTTTCACATCTGCAAAATTTGGATACTATTTTTAAGCATTAAATAAAAGTTTGAATGAATGGCCTTAGTCAAATAGTTACTTGTCTTTATTAACCAATCTAATATGATTAGTAATTGAATTTGTCTATTAATATCAATATGGTCTTCATAATCAATTATGCAATTTCTTTAATTTGATATTTGCATTTATAATTCTTTTCTAATTATATATGTTCTGCAATCAAGTTTACAGCATAACATACTTTTCTATCATTTTAAATTAAATAAAATACTATCTTTCATCCTATTGATGATTGATCCTTGAATTTAGTAATTTGTATATTTGACATGTCATTATGATCAAAAAGAATCAAATCATATTAATTTAAATCTACATCATTATTAAATATCAATCATTAATATCAATAATTCAGCCATCTTAAAAAAGAGATCTAAATGATTAGCTATTGTAATAATTGATAGATGATGATGTTGGAATATTAAATTAAATCATATGATAGAGCAAAAGAATAGATCCAACACATGAATCCATATTGGCTGTTGGATTACCTAACACTAATTACTTTACATTCTAAAGCAATTTGATATTTCTTAAAAAATGATTAAACATTATAATATATATATAATAATAAATTACATATAAAAATTTAGAATATGTCAAATATTGAAGAATTCATAGATTTAATTAGTTATGCTCCTATAGATGTAAGAAGGGCATTTGGTAAAGTTCGAGAGTTGACAAATTTGGAAAAAAAATACGAAGAAACTTTGGAATCAACATAAAAACTGGTGTTTTAATTGAAATCAGTAGAGTCTTCAGCAGAAAAGGAAAAATTTATCTTATAATTGAAAGAGTAAATACAAAGAAATCATTTATAATTATTAGCTTTACATAGAGAAAGAATTGCAGCTTTAGAAATAATTTAATAAAATTATTAAAAATATATAGCAACTCTTGATATTGAGGGAGAAAAGTTTTTAGAAGAACTAAAATAGTTGCCGAGAGAATAAGAAGATATATCTCGTAAATCTTAAAGAGATGTTAAGCCTGAACCTCCTGCAATGGTGTAAAAGATTGATAAAATAAAAAAAACTAAAAGACCATTGTAGGATGAATAAGTAGAAGAAGCTTAGTAACATACTTATTGTGTTTGTTAATAACCTAGTTATGGTACGATGGTTGCTTGTGATTCTAAAAATTGTTAAATAGAATGGTTTCATTTATCATGTGTTGGATTAGCTGATGTTCCAGATGAAAAGACTAAATGGTTTTGTCCACATTGTAGAATGACCAGATGAAGTATTGTTTTTTAATTAAACAATTAAATTACAGAAAGAAATCAAAATTTTAATTCTCTTTTACCTATAGAATATGATTTTTAGTTTCTTCCACCTTTTAGATGTTTGATTTATTGGATTCATCCATATTCTTTCATTCTTTTATTTTTGTTACAATTATTTGTAATATTCCAATTTATTTATCATTATTTCTAAGTAATTTGATCCTTCGCCTTTAAATAATTCCATCCAATCTTTCTTAAATGGATCTTTATTTTTCTTTAAATCTTCTGATATTATTTCCTCAAAAATATATTTATCTTATCTCTTAAGTCTTAAATTTCATTTTACATTTGATATTTCTCTCCATTTTATTATATACTTTTTATATTAAATTCTATTGATATAACATTATTATTATTTATTCTTTTAATTCTCTAACTTACCTTTATAAATCATCTTATTATTATTCTGGTTATAAAATAATTTGTTTAGCTTTTACTCCATATTATGCAGATTATTAACATTACTATATATTTTCATCAGAAGGATTTAAACAGATTACCATAACAATATTTGATTTTCCATTCAAACTTTTTTTTAAAATACTTGTTAATTTTGACTGCCTATATGGTATTTATTGAACTTTATCTGCTAAATTTTAAACAACCTATCTTAAATAAAAAAGAGATTTATTTATTTCGACACTCTCTTATATTTATTAAACTTTTGTTTGATATAATCTTTCAGAACCTGCTAAATCTACAATATTAAATTCACATTATAAATCTGAACTTTAACCATGAAATGTATATATTTACATGAAAAATCATTTAAAGAATGTGAATTAATTATTCGATTTTTATTTGCTTTATTATATAATTTTATTAATTCTTCTTAAGAATGACATATAAATTTTGTAAGATTTTCTGGTACAAATTCATTATTCTTATATCTTAGTTTTAATTGTTATTTATAAAGCATGTCCAATTTTTTTCATTGTAAATTTAAAGAACAGAAAAAGAAACTTCAAATTTGCTCTCAATGATTTTTAGCAAAATCATCGGTATTAACAAATTAACTGTATAAGTTTTCCCTGAACCTGTTTAACCAAAACAAAAAATCACTTAACTAATTCCATTTTTAAATTAATCAAGTAATTGACCAACATTTAATCCCAAATATAGTTCATCTTATTTAGTTGATTAATCTAAAATTGCATCAAATTCATATGATTTGTCTAGAATTCTTAACTAATTTTTATCAATTATTATTTTTGTTTCTTCTAGTTTTAATCTTGCTATTGTATACACTTTCATTTTAATTTTATAAAAATATTAGCATAATGATATTTCTTCTTTTATTTTTCCATCTAGTATTCTCCTTTTAAATATTTATGGAACTAATACTTAATCATTTTTAAAAATTATATCAANCTCTCCATTTTATTATATACTTTTTATATTAAATTCTATTGATATAACATTATTATTATTTATTCTTTTAATTCTCTAACTTACCTTTATAAATCATCTTATTATTATTCTGGTTATAAAATAATTTGTTTAGCTTTTACTCCATATTATGCAGATTATTAACATTACTATATATTTTCATCAGAAGGATTTAAACAGATTACCATAACAATATTTGATTTTCCATTCAAACTTTTTTTTAAAATACTTGTTAATTTTGACTGCCTATATGGTATTTATTGAACTTTATCTGCTAAATTTTAAACAACCTATCTTAAATAAAAAAGAGATTTATTTATTTCGACACTCTCTTATATTTATTAAACTTTTGTTTGATATAATCTTTCAGAACCTGCTAAATCTACAATATTAAATTCACATTATAAATCTGAACTTTAACCATGAAATGTATATATTTACATGAAAAATCATTTAAAGAATGTGAATTAATTATTCGATTTTTATTTGCTTTATTATATAATTTTATTAATTCTTCTTAAGAATGACATATAAATTTTGTAAGATTTTCTGGTACAAATTCATTATTCTTATATCTTAGTTTTAATTGTTATTTATAAAGCATGTCCAATTTTTTTCATTGTAAATTTAAAGAACAGAAAAAGAAACTTCAAATTTGCTCTCAATGATTTTTAGCAAAATCATCGGTATTAACAAATTAACTGTATAAGTTTTCCCTGAACCTGTTTAACCAAAACAAAAAATCACTTAACTAATTCCATTTTTAAATTAATCAAGTAATTGACCAACATTTAATCCCAAATATAGTTCATCTTATTTAGTTGATTAATCTAAAATTGCATCAAATTCATATGATTTGTCTAGAATTCTTAACTAATTTTTATCAATTATTATTTTTGTTTCTTCTAGTTTTAATCTTGCTATTGTATACACTTTCATTTTAATTTTATAAAAATATTAGCATAATGATATTTCTTCTTTTATTTTTCCATCTAGTATTCTCCTTTTAAATATTTATGGAACTAATACTTAATCATTTTTAAAAATTATATCAATACATCAACCTTTAATACAATACTTTCTTTTAATAAAATTTTTACTTCTTTTGATATTTCTGAATTTTTAGTAAGCCTTTACAGATAAAAAGTTAATGTCAATAGATATAAATATTTGGTTGATCATCATAAATTTAAATAATTTTATCATAGCTTTTGACAAGAAATCTAAAGGTTTTTTTTTAATCATAAATTATTTATTGTTAAAACTAATTAAGGAATCAAAAAAACTCACGCTATTTTAAATCAATTATTGTATCTTTTTAAGATGTACTATTTACATCTATTCTTTTTTTATTATTTCCTATAATTTATAAATTAAGATGCTAAATTTATCTATAAATGATTCATCTCTCATTCAATTGAAATTAAATCATATTTTATTAAGATTAATATAAGTTTTTTAAGATTGTTAAAATGAGTTGCATTTTAGGAGAGACCAAATAATTTAATTTTCTAACTCCTTAATTGTACAAGCATTTTTTAATAATAATATAGATCTAATTTAAAAGTATTTATGATAATAGAAATAAATCTATTTTGATTAAATAAAATCATTTCAATTCAATTCTGGTTCAATTTTCATGTCAGATTCTTGAATTATTGATGAAGTTTATTAATTTGTAGCAAAATGTACATCTTTTTCATCAGTATTTATGTTAGATTATGATATTTTTATTTATTTTGAAGAAAAAGATTTATATCTTTTAGGACTTCTTCTTGGACTTATTTTAATAATGGCTTTATATTGATTAATTTTATAACGAGTTTTTTAAGGCTTAATTATTTAACTATTATCTTCACTTGAAGTATTTTCAACTTTATTAGCCTTCTTCTTATGTGTATCACAGAAAATTTTGAATTAACTTTCAATTAATTTTCCTTTAATAATAAAAATATTTTATACCAGTCTAAAAACTTTTCATAAAACAAGTAAAATGAAATGCATTTGGACATACAGCACAACCTAAGGTAGCTCCAGTTCTACCACATAAGAAACATTTCTAAATTATATTAAATGATACAGTTTATTTAGATTTATCCACTTCTTCATCTATATTTTTTGGATCACATTATCCTTATTTATTAAAGAAAACTAAATTTTAACTCCATAATCCACACATTTCATGTAAATTATATTTTTCATCAGGGTTTATATTAGAATTAATTTATAAAAGAGGGCCTAAATTGGATTCATTAGCTTCTAAACCACAAAATATACAGTTTCCATCATCTTATTTTGGATATTGCAATTTCTGATAGGAAAAATTTTACAATTTTCCAAAACTAATTATTTACTCTTTATTTTATTTATTCTATTTCTATTTACAAGTTTGATTATCTAATTAAAAATCTAATTGTGGAGCACTTTAAATTTATAATGAAATATTTTCTTTTTATTGATTACTTTGCGTTTGTTAAAGTAACAATTAATTTTATGATTTTTATTTTTATTAATTATTATGTTAATTAGATATTTAATCACGTTAAGTTGATATTATAGAATTCTAATTTTTTTGCCCTCCATTTTAAGTATTTTAAAAACTAGTTAAATATTTTTGCTCCTAAGAATTACTCTTTAAAACTTGTTTCTAGTCTGTTTATTTGATTATTTATTCTTGTTCATCCTCTATTATAAAAGTTTGTGGATTAGATGGAATCATATCCCTAAAATCTCTTAAATTCTTATCTATTATCTTATGAGTTTTATTGAAGAAATCTAGTATTTTGAGTTATTATAATTATTATTTGTCAATTTATTTAATACTATTTAAATCATCTAAACTAGCATTGATAAGAAATCTTCGATCCATTTTTTCTTATTATTTTTTTTTGAGATAACTTGTAAATTTCTGAATCGTAGCTTTGGCCAAAGTTAACAATTATTCAGAATCAACAATTGCTTATTCAATATCTTCTGCTGCTTATTCTAGATATAAATTCATAATAAAAGAATGATAATATATAATATCAATCAAATAATTTAAAGGAATTTAATGAATAATTAGTCGAAAAAAAGTATTTTTTTATTAAAAATTATTTTAATTAAAAGTTAATTCTTTTTAACAAATGGCCCATATAATTAAACATTATAATTCCACACTATCATTGTTGAATTAAGAAGGATATATTAATATAAATTCTATAAAGTTTCTCTGAACATCTTTTTCAATTCAATTTCATAAACTTTTCGTATTTAAAAATATTATGCTTAATATTTTACATAGCTAAATACATTGTATGTTATATAATTTAGCGATTAAAATATTCAGCAATTGATTTTAAGGACTTTAGAATTGTAAATATTAATAATAATCCATAATAATAAATATCTTGGATTTTGTTCCTTTTTTATATATTTAGCTAAAATAATGATCTTTCCATCAAAATAGTCTTTATCAGAAGAGCATTATTAAGCCTTACAAATAAAATGAAGGTAAAAATTTTTAAAATTATTTAGTCAGGTATGGTTGGTATTAACTTTTATTATAGTCAAAATATTCATTTGTGTTATGGTTGATCGGTTAAATGTAATGACTTATTTTCTACAATATATTCAACGGAAGAAATTAAGTTTTTTTATATAATTGAAATGATTCTTAATTTAAAGGAGATGTTCCCCTTCAATGGGACATATCTACAAAACTTACATCTTTTATTCTTTTATTTTTGGTTAATTTTGCGCATATGGAATATGATTGTCTTAGCTGTTGCATATTTAATAAAAAGTTTCTGTGCAGCCTAATTTATAGTTTACCCAAGTATCATACTTCTTTTATTTTAAACCCTTTCTTAAATACAAGTTAGAAAAGTTATTCCTTAGCTTCTTATGGCACTTTAATATATGCTCTTTTTTATTCATTAAACATCCCTGGAATAAGGTTATTACGAGGTCTAAGTTCCTTTTTTGCTGGAGCCTGTAAGATTTCAGATTTTGCTTTGATAGAGGCATCATCTTCACTAAGACATTTTAAACTTTTCATTATTTATATATAAAAGATACTCTTAATCATTTCTTTCATATATATTAAACAAATTGATGCGTCATAATTATAAATTTAGAAAAAATCCATACTGATGTCTTATCAAAACGATTATTCCTCATATTTAAGCAACCTTAAATTACATTGATAATATTTTTAAATCAATTTTATCACCGAATCTTCTTAACTTATGATATTTCCTTAATAAATCAACTGCTATAGAGACAATTTAATTTCATTAAACCTAAATTAATTAAAAATTTGTAAGCTTCACACTAAACTTAATAATACTTTGCATTTGAAAGCTTTGGTAAACTCCGTATTGGAATGCTTGTTCTTAGACGAGTAATTCTTAATTTATCATTTATACATACATTAGATTCAATATTTACAAAGATATTTATTCTGCTTCTTTCTATTATATATAATATATAATTATTATTTGTTTCATTTAATTTATCCTTTCTTAAAATAAGAGACATCACTGAATATTGATTAATAAAAGTATAAAAAAATATAAATCCAAAATATAATTAATAATCAACAATCTCAAAAATTTCTAGCTTTTTAACCTCAAATATAATGTAATTTCTCTAAAAATAGACAATTTCTAGTTTTGGTTAATAACATCTAAATTTTTCTAAAATTCAGCATTATTTTCATATACATTTTTTTCATATTTTGCTAGTTTAATTTTTTCTATTAATAATTCTTTTCCTAATTAATTACATAGATGCTTATTTAAACTAATTTTATTATTTCTTCCATCATAGTTAATAGTTGAGGTAAATGATTACAAATTAATAATTTTATTATAATTATTTTATTTTAAGATGTTTTTATAATGATCTTTAAAAATAATAACATAAAAACTATGATTATTTCCACATAAAATAATCTCATTATGCTTTAATAACAAATTTATTAATTGTTCTTTTAAAATCAATCTGCTATTTATCAAATTTCATTTCGAAAATGTCTTTAAATCTATTTATTTTAAAAATACTTAGATTATAAAATTATGTTAATTAAATTTTTGCTATATAATTAGATGAAAAATCAAATTTGCTAAGCTAAAACTTTAATCAAGATAAAAGAATTATATTTAAAAAAAATTTTATGATTACATAAATAATTTGATAGCTAAAGGTATTTTAAGAATTTTGTTGTTTATATATTATAAGTTATCATGTTTAGAATGATAAAAGTTATTCAAATTGTAATAAAATAACTTAATATATGAAATAATTAAACAAAGTTGGAATCAATAATGAATTTGATAGAGGACTATTGATTTGATAATGGTTATTTTTTTAGGCAAAGACTGGATAGAAAATAATTAAATAATCAATGATTTTAAAGGAGAATCAAAAATTCGGATAAAATTATAAATTGCAGAACTTTATATATTACATTCAGAGAATAGTGAATTCTTAGTGAAAAATTAAGTTAATAATTGTATTGTTTAAGATAAATAAAGTAGAGTGATAAGTAATGGGATTATTTTATTTGAATAACTTCATATCATTAATAGCGATATTTATTAATCACATTTTAATGGTATTTATTAGGGAGTAATTTAGGAAAATAATTTTGGTTTTAAAAATAAAGAAATTTGAGATATTTTATGATTTAAAAATAAGAGAAGTTGTTGAAAAATGGAAATAAGGAGGCATTAGATACATATCTATGGATAGAAATATAAAATTATTATAATAATATAAATCAATTTAGTTAGAGAAACAATACTTTAGAAGAATGGATTTGCTTTCTTTTTCTTGTGTACGACCACATACTATCTTTTCTAAAACATATTACTTAAAAGTAATGGACGATGAAGTTATAATTTCTGCAGTAACCAAACAATGTTATTTTTTAAGTTCAACAATTTCAAGAATCCAAAATATTGTATAGAACTCAAATTAACAACATAAATTCTTTGGAAAATGGGAAAGTAAAATTTGAAAGCATTTGGAATATTTTACCAGAATAAAATAAAATATTTTGAAGCTTCACATGTTAATTTAGAATAATTCAAAAAATTGATCGGAGGTAGAGTAATTTATAGAAATATGGCTTCTTTCTATGAACCAGTATAATTGATTGGGGAAGGATTATCAGCAAAGGTATATTATTAGATAAATAAACAATTAATAGGTGTTTCAAAGCATCGAGAAATAGACAAAAAAGGCAGTAGCAGTAAAAATGATAAAACAAGAGTTTGGTAGAGAAGAACAGGCCTTGGTAAGTAATTAAATATATCTTAATTAGGACATAGTTAAAACGGAGGTATAAATATTGTAGTCAGTCAATCATGATAACATTATTAAGGTACTAGAAGTATATGAAAATGATTAAACCTTTTGGATTGTATAAGAGTTTGTAAAAGGAACTCCTTTAAGTGATATTTTAAAACAAAAACTACCAAATGAATAGATAAAGAGGATAATGATTGTAAAATAACAGCATATATCATTAGGGTTTATTGAATACTGTAAGTTATTTGCAATCACTAAGAATTGTGCATAGAGATATAAAGCCAGAAAATATAATAGTATAAAAAGATGGATCAATCAAAGTAATTGACTTTGGATTTGCTGCAAATCTAAAATTTGGTTCTGTAAGTAGTGTTTGTGGAACACCTGGTTATTATGCACCAGAAGTTCTTAGATAAAAAGAATCAAGTTTTAACTCTGATATGTTCAGTGTTGGAGTTGTATTATTCAATTTGTAAATATTAATTTAATTCATTAATTTAGAATCACTAATCAACCTATGCTTAAGTCTAAAATGTATAATGCTTAACAATATGTTGCAGATGAAGAAGCAGCAGATTTGTTAAAATTAATGTTGGAAGTTGATCCAAACAAAAGAATTACAGCATAATAAGCACTTTAACATCCTTATTTTAAAGATTTTTAATAATCAAATGAGAAGACAGATAATCAATATTCATCTGAATAACAAATATTAAAACAATAATTACAAATCAATTAATAACAACAATATTAATAACCAAAAAAAAGTAATAAAAGTTTAGATGCTAAAACAATTAAATCTCTCCGAACTACTAACATTATGGATTAATGATTTTGATATCAATTAGTAGTTGTACTATATGTTTATAATTTTTATTTTTTAAACTCTTTATTACAATCTCATCTATTATTTACAACAATTATTACTATATATTTTATTTAAATCTTAAAAGTATCTTAATATAAAAAAAATATTATGTACTTTTTTATCAAGATCTCTCAGTTACTGATCTAATATATCAATTAAATTTCTTTATTTTATAATTAAAGAAAATAATTGTCTTTATGACTTTATAGCAATAACCTTGAAAATTTAAAGTTTTTTAATATTAAAATGAACATTTTAGATTATAAATAATTTATTTCTCCATAATTCAGATCATTGTCACTCTAAGCAAAAAGGAAAATTAAAATTAAAAATAAAGGCAGATCAATTAGTTATCAACCTCAAAATCAATTAAATATATTCAACATGAAAGGATTGATTTTTTAAAAGGATTCATTAAGAAGAAAAAGTTGTCATTGTAATGAGTGTGGAAGTCTAAGTAAATTCTAGTACAAATATATGAATCTGAAACATGTACCAAGTATGAAAAAGAAAACTTAAATTTAATTGAGAGCAGAAAAGAGAAGACAAAGTAAAATATTTTTATTACATTCAATTAGCCAAGAACAGTACATTTTATAAATATCGTTCAATTATATTTGATTAAGTTCGAAGAAATAAAGTTGAATAATAACAAGCTGAATCAGTAGAAGCAACTCCTAAAATATCTACTGACATCAAAGAATCAATGAATAAATTAAAAGAATATTTTGAAAAATAAGAAACTCAAAAAAAAGAGATTCAAAATAGGGCTCGAAATTTCCGCTATTTCGGCAATCAAACCCCAATTTGTTCTCCTAATCGTTATAAATCTCCTAGGAATAAAGAATTCATTCCTTATCTTAGTTATAGAAGGATTGAATTGATAAATCTAAAACCATTAAAATTTAGTGATACTCTCAAATCATTTTAAACCCATAAAAAAACTTTATCAACTTAATCTTGAATAATTTTTATTATTATTATAGTAAATAAATTTTAACAACATATGCAATATTTATTATTTAATAAATTACATTACTCTTATGTCTAATCTTTTATAGGTGCAATCCAAAATAATTATTAAATATTATGAAATAATTTAAGCCTTATATTGTAAAACATTATAAAAATTATGATAAAATTTTGGATAAAATTCCAAAAATGCAATTTTATCCATCTTTTTGTTTTTCCAACTTTTAAATCCATTCATTATTAATAAAGTTTATTAGAATAATAAAATTCTCATTATTATTTCGAATCCAAATGAAATACTGATCTTGATAATCTTCTTTTATTATTAATAAATTAAATAAAGACTCAATTTTTAATAAAACTAAAATAATCGACCAAAGTATAGTAAACATAGTGATTTTAGAAATAATCAAAATTGATACTTCTTTTGATACTCATAAATTAGTTTACATTTCTTATGTTTTTTGTCATTAAGTAATATTATTTTGGATTCTTAACATTCATATTTGTTGAAAGGATTATTAAGATTCCTATAGAGAATTATCTCTTGTTTTAAATTATAACATATTCTAATGTTTAATTCTTATTCATCATTAACCAATAAAGGATTGCTAAAAGGCTTATTATATTTTTGATAAAATAGATAAAGCCAATAATTTTTTTTCGATTTGATAGAGTCATTTTATTCTCAAAAAATCTTATTATACGAAATCCCCTAAAAATCTGTAGTAAAGAGAAAAAATCATTTGCTTTAATTTCAGGTGGATTTATATTTTATTATATTAACATATAAATATTATAATTCATTTGATCTCAAAGTTTTATATTCAAATAGAAATTCATGCATTTTAAAGTATATTATTTATGAATTACAATTGATATTGTTTTTACTTTAATCAATCCAATAAAAATTATCAATGTTTATTCTATTTAGAAATTATTGAGATAATTTCAACCTTTTAAATGTTATCTGTCATGAAGTCGTTTAATATTCAACAATATTGAATATTTTAAAGCTCTACAAATTTCTGATTTAAATTTGTTGAGTATGTATTTTACGTTATAACAATTAATATTTCTAAAATTAAAATGGATTTTCTTGGTATTAGAAATAATAGATTTGTGAAACACAAAGAATATAGAAACTTAGATGAAGATATAGTATTCAGAGAAGAATTAGTGTTAACATTAGATGCTGTGTCATAAATAAGTGTTCCGATGTCTTAAAATTTTAAATTGATATCAACTATCAAAAACTCATAAAGAACAAATAAGCAAAATCTATGATTGATATAAATTTTAATCTATTCTTTATAAACAACCTCATATTACTATGAATAATTATGTGGACATTTCTGATTTCCTATAAATTATAAGTTTGACTGCTTCATAATATGGCTTGTTTCTAGAAATTAATTCTCAAAAAATAGAACCAACGAATCAAATCATAAATAAAGTATGAAGATATAAAAGATAATAAAATTATTCATATGACAGAATAACTTGCAATAATTGCACATTATGATATTGATTTCTTAAAGAGTAGGTATTTGTATATATATAAATATAATACATAATTATTTTGAGTAGTAAATTTATAAAAATAATAATAATTTTCTTTTCAATTGAAGAATAAATTGAGTACAGAACAAAAAATGTTGTTTTGAATAATATAATAAATTAATAATTGGTAAAGTGAGATCAGATAGTAAAGTTTAAGTAAATATAAAATAATATAATTAAAGAAGATATAATTAGTTAAATAAGTTTTCATTCATCATGATCAACATGAACTTATTAGATACTTTTAAAATATTGAACAAAATTAATGAGAGAAAATTTTTGTTCTTCTCTTTTAACTTATTTAAGCTATTGTCTTAAAGTTTATTTTTTGCCCCCAATAGTATTTCCTAAGAGATTAGTAATTTGATTTTATAAATGTGGCAATTCAACTCTTGGATCATAAGGAGGTTCATCACCATCAGTAAATGAATCTTCTAGTTTTTATTTTAAAGATTTGAAATCATTTATCATACATTTATCAACACCTCTAATATCAGGATCATTAGTTGTTAGAGTTTACTTCATATCATTCCCAATTAAAAGATAAAGAAGAAGAAGTAAACCATCAATTTTAGAAGTCAAATCTAAAGGTCTTCTGTCATCCACATCTAAAGGTTTATCTCCTCTAATGATTGATAATTTTTCAGCTAATCTACATAATGCTTCAATAAATTCATGAAAATTCATTTGATAATGTTTACTTGAATATAATTCATCTTTTTATGTGATCATAGATTGTAAATAGATTAAATAAGATTCTCTTTCAGTAAGATCATCACAAATTAATTTAGATTATACAATCCAATCTTTGAAATCTTATGCAGAAATATAATCATATTTATATAATTATTTATCTTTCTTACTTAAACGACTAATATATTTAAATAAAGATTTTAACATAGCTAAACGATCATTTAAAATAATGTCGCATTTTTAATTCCATAATCTACTCTTCCTCCACATTTAAGCTTAATCAAATTTAGAAAAGTGTTCTTAAGCTTATTTATTAATTAGATTAATGGCTTCACTCATAGTTGTACATATACCTTATCGTATAAATTTATCATTGCACATCCTAATCATGATTTCTAATAACTGACAACGTACTAAACCTTTTTCATATGCTTATGGAAATTAGACATCTTTTGCACCTGATGTAGATGTAAAACTAATATCTATATCATTTGGTTTATATCCCTCCAATAAGGATGCTTAAAGTAAAAAATCAATATAATCTTATATTGTTATACATGGAATTGGTGTATTTAGTGATCCTGAAGCATGGTATTTATAACAGTGAAAAAGTTAACGATATAGTATTTTAAGACTATCTTTTATTTCATTTAATTCTGTATCTTTAACTAAACGGGTGACTTTAGAATTTTAAAAATCAAATTCAAAGCATTCATCAATAAGATTTGGTGTATCAGGTTAAAAATGTTTAAATATTGAATTTTCAACTGACCAACAATGTTTCTTAATGTTAAGGTAAGGAGAAAAATCAAACTTAGCTAATTATTCTCTAGGTTTACATTGAACCATAGGCATATATTTATCAAATAACTTTTATTTATCATTTGTTTTAAAAACATTAACTTACTCCATTACATTCCCATCTACCAAAATTTCATCATTGTATAAAAATGGTATTGATTATATATTCATTTATTTAATGTTTTAATCTAATGCTGGTTATTAAGTACTTAATATCGGATTTGTAAAGAAATAATGAATCTCTTTATTTGGTGGACACATTTTTACATAAAAGAATTCATTATTTAAAAATGTCATCAATAAAGGTCTATAATCTTCAAAATCAAAATGGATAAAAATAGGTTCATTATATAAAGTACCAGATTTATGAGCAGTCCATTCAAATTTTATTTCTTACCATCCTTCACAAATCCAACAAGTATCAAGTTTATTTATTTCATTAAATTTTTATTAGTTCAATTTTGTAGATCTAATTTTTCTCTACCTACTAAATGGCATTACTAAAATCTCTTCTCTTTTCATTATAAGATTTTCTTTTATTTTTGGTTCATCCAATAATTTAAAATATTATGGTTATTTATATAATAATGCTAATTTTTCTTATATTTATTTGAATTGTTAAGCACTATTAATTAAAAATCCATTAGAATTCACAACTAATTCTTACTAATTACCTTCAAAATGGAATCCATAAATTGTTTCATTCTTTTACAATGCCTCAGCAATTAATTAAGCTTAAGAACTAGTAAATTTATTATAAGAAAGATCAACATGTAATAATTCATTATATGGACGTGAAATTGCTTTATTAATAGATTATGCACATTCTAATGAAGCAATTGTATTATGAGAAAGATCAAGAATTTTAACACTAGTATTTTTATACATGGCTTTCCATATAATAGTACCTGCGCTTCCATTTAAAAAATTATATCCTAAATATAATTCTAGAAGACGTTATGTTTATTTTAATAAATTTGAAATAGCATTACAAGCACACTCTGTAATTTAATTATTGTTCAAATTTATACATTATAGTGTATTATTTGTTAAGAGATGTTTCATAATAATTTGGCATCCTAAATCCCTAATATTATTATTCTCAAGATTTAATTTATAAATTTAATTCTTGCTTGTAAAGGCCATCAATACTTCCATATGCATATAATTTAGTTTACAATTTTATAATTCTAAATCCTTTAAAGTAATAGGGAAAGTAGATAGTATGTCACGTAATTAGATTGGAGTAAATGAATTATGATTCAATTACATAACTTATATTTGTCTACTTTGTTATGTAAGCATAGCATTTGAAAAAGCATTGTAATCTTCACTTTTTCTTAAAGTGTGACTTGCATTAGCAGTTGTCAATTATTAAGTATTTTGTATTAATCCAAAAGTTTTTGGCATCCTTTCAGGTTATGAGAAATTTAGACTCAAATAAAGATTATGAGGCTACTATTTATATAGCTTTGTATAATCATCTAATTTTTAAGAATTCCTAACACTTTTTAAAAAGTCTTAAGTACTAATTGCTGACAATTGCTTGCTTAAGTAAAATTGATATATTACTTAGCTAATTTCATTTTATAGAAATAATTGAATCGATCATTTCCAATATTTTTTACACAAGGATTCGATTTGCATTTAACAGTTAAGGCTGACTTTATATTAGTTTATTGATCCTCTTCATTATTTACTTTATTTATCATATCCTATTCTTGATCAATGAAACCTTACCAATCAAAAATCTCTACTTTCATTAAATCTTTCTGTATTTCAATACTCTCATTCTTTTCTTCCTCTTACTAATATCTTTTTTGAAAGGGAGGTTATTTCTTTTTTTTCTACTAGACACATATTTATTTTGTCTAATCAATATAACTTTTTGTTATTTGACCCTTATTTAGAAAGAGCATCCTTCTGTTTGCTGAAGAATTTTATGTAGCTAAGGTAGTGGTAATTTAAGCTTATTCATCCTTCATATTAAATAAAAATTTATAATCAAAGTTCAATTTTAATCAATCTAGTTTTACATATATTCTTCTTCTTCTCTCTATTTAAAGTATTAAACAACGTTAGTCAATAAGAAATTTGATTTAAGTTGCTTTTGTTATTACATTTACTTTAAGACAGTAAATAAAGACAAAGCCTTTTTTAATTTTGGTCCAGATGGAGCAGTTTGAACTTAAGTTTGTTTAAGTTGTTCTTCTAGAATATTCAATTCTACAATAGGATTATAAGGTTTATCATCTTCATCACTACCCATATCTTCAATTTATTATTTAAGATTCTTTTATTTTCTTGTCATACACCTATCAAAATCAGAAAAGTCTTCAGATTCTTTAAGTTATTATTTGATAGCGTCACTTGCTCTTAAATAGATAATTAAAAATAGAGCATCAATTTTTTTATGTAATGGTTCTATTCTTCGATCATCTAAATTCATAGTATCTTTGGTTCTAATGAGAGATAATTTTTCAGCACATCTACATAAAGCTTCAATAAATTCATAGAATTCCATTTAGAAATGTCTTAAACTGTATAATTCATCAACTTAGGTTTGCATAGACAATAAGTAGGCAATATAGGCATCTCTTTCAACAAAGGTATCACAATACAAATCACATTTTAATAATAGATCTCTAAAATCTTTAAATTAAACCCAAGTATGTTTATAGAATTTCTATTTAGAATTTAATTTGGATGTAAATTTAAATAATAATTTGAGCATAGGTTATCGATCCTCTATAATAATAATATAAATAATTATTACTAATTAATAGATCACATTGTTCATTCCATAATCTAAGATCTCTCCAATCTTAAGCTCTATCCACTTCTTGTAATCTCATTTTAATTAAATCATCTTCAAATAATTTGAGAACACTTAATTTCATAGATTTACAAATTCCAGTTCTAGTATATTTATCTAAAGCGATTCTAACTAAGACTTCCATAAATTAATATCTAATCAATGCTTTTTCATAAACATTTGGATATAAAATATCCTTTACATTAGATGTAGATATAAAATTTAAATCAATGTCTCCAGGTCTGAATTTATCATTCATAACTGTAGTTTATCCTATGAAATCAAAAAATGCATTTGAAGATATACAAGGTATCTAATAATGGATAAAATAATAATTACACTTGATCCAATAAGTGTAGAAGCATAAAATTTATAACTAGCAAATATATGAGGATAATATTCTCTAAGAAGTTCTTTTACTTCTAATAATTCATTAGGATCTCGTACAATTCTATTAATTTTAGAAGATTAAAAATCATATTCAAAACATTCATCAATTAGTTCTTCATTATCAGGTTAATAGTTTTTGAATATTGATATTTCATAACTCCAAAATGTTTATTTCTTATTCATATATTAGGTTAAATCATAAGTTCTTTCTTCTTCTCTAGGTTTACTAAATATTTTAGGAATATATTTATCAACAACTGTATGTTTACCTTCAGTAAAGACTTCATTTACAAATGACATCTTATATCCTTCAATTAAAATATCTCCATTATATAAAAATTCCTATGTTCCTTATGCTATTGGATCATTTGCAGGAGTTTACATAATCATTTAATTCTTTGCTGTTGTTTATATTCCCAAAATAGGATTACTAAAAAAATATAAAATCTTTTAATTTGGAGGACACATTCTATATAAATGATATTCACCTTAATGTGGACTCATTAATACTGGACGATATCCATCAAAATTTACATGTAAAAATATAGGATCATTATTCATTCCACCTGATTTCCCTGGACTCCATGTAAATTTAACTTCTTCCCAACCTTCACAAATCCAACAAGAATCTCTATTTTTATCATAATTTTAATTTTATTTCACAGGTTTCATTCCCCATATTCTTCTAAATCTATGTACTTATTAAATATTTTCTTATTTTTTATCTGTAATCTATTTTGGTTCATGTTTTATATCATCATCTAAAAAACGTAAAGATGTTTAAGGATTCTTTCTACATTATTCAATTTTCTTTTATCTAATTTATTCTTCTTGTTCTTAATTTCTAAGATGACCAGTTGCATCTACCATAAATTTTGGACAATTTCCTTCAAAATGAAATCCATATATATTTTAATTAGAATTTAAAGCTTTCATTATTTCATTTGCAGATGGTTCATCAAATCCATTATGTGAAATATCTATATGCATTAATTCTGGATAAGGTTTTGCTATCACTTTTGCCATCTATTAAGCACATTCAAATGATGCTGTTCTATTGTATGAAATATCAAAAACTTTAACACTTGAATTCTTATATAAAGCTTTCCATATACTCAAACCTCCTTTGTTACCTATTGAATTAAAATGCAAATATAATTCATAAATCATATTTGATTTTTTTAAATAATTTGATAATTCAATAGAACAACCATCTAAATTAAATACAATTTAATACCAGTTAAATTATTTCGACTTAAATTTAAAAGTATCAAGTAATCATTCTCCAATAAAGCTTAAAATAAATAATTAGCTCCTTAATCACCTATCTTATTATTTTCAAGCGATAATTTCTTTACTCTTGATTTTAATAAGTACTTGGATAAAAATTCACAACCTTTTGAATCTATCCCATTATTATCAAGATTCAAATCTTATACTTGAGTTGGAAAATTCTAAACCAAAGTTTTAATCCTTGGAGATGTCAATTAATTATGACTCAATTTTAAATCAGTTATTGTTTTACATTATGGTGATTATAAAACCTCTGTAAATACTTTTATTTTTTATTCATTCCTTAACATTCCTTATGACTCAGCAGTCTATATTGTATAATTTGAATTTATCAAACCTAATCCTGTTTAAAATACGTTATGTTCTAAAAGATATATAAAATATTATTTACTTTATGAACTCTTATTTAATTAAAGATAAATGTTTGGTTATTGTTTATAGAATTCCGCATAGTCTTCAAGTTTCTCATAGTTTTTGGTCACACTTCTAAATTCTTTCTAATTAATTTTCTATAGATGCTTGCTAAGAGTAGATTGAAACAAAACACATACTTTCCTAATCTGTAATTCTTCAAGAACTTTCCTCTATCAGATAAATCATCAAATGGTGTTTCTTTCTATTCACTATATAACAGTGGCTAATTCTTTTTTAATTCCTCTAACTTTGTAGCAGCTATTACAGTTCCACCACGTCTTTAAGGCTATTTTGTTAATTAAGGTTAATGATGCTTTCTTTAAAACGGACGAATAGGACTTTTCTCTTCTTTAAATGCTAGTCTCTCTGATAATACTTATGCTTCCTCATTTAATTACTCAATTTGTTTTTAATCTTCATGATAAAGTTCTTATATTGTTTCCTATTCTAAATTCTTTTATAAGTCTCTCAACTCTATACTATCGTCATCTTAAGTTGTTTTTATTTATCTTTTTTGTTAGGTTGAAATATCAGTTAAACGACCATATGAACACAATTTAGGAGATGGTATATGCATTTTAAATATATCTACTTATGATTTAACAGCTAAGGATTTCAAATTAGGAGATTTATGAGTTAAAGAATTCCAAGAATGTTAAAAGCTTAATTATCTAACAAGGTATCTCTCTGTAGAAGGTTCAGTTTTTTAGATTTTTGAGACCCTATTGACTTCTTCTTTCTCTTCTGTTTCTTAAATTTTACGAACTTCACGTAATTTTTCCAATAATTTGGCAGGAGTATTATAAATCTTGAGTTTCTCGAACAACATAAAATAATTATTGATGTTAATTTAATGAATATGAATGAATTTAACAAATCAACCATTAAATGTAAAAGAGAATGTATTATATTTAAAATAGCTAGTGGATGTAAAATATTGAAATTCAAAAAGAGATATACATAGATATAAAAAACGGTGTTAATTTGATAATTTAAAATAATGAATTAGATGATAGTAAATTGATAATGTATATTTATTATTTAATAAGTATATAAAAAGGGATAAATAAATATTGGAAAAATGAAATGATATTGAAATAGAAGAACAAAAATTTCAAAATTGTCCAGCACTCTCTTTGAGTAATTCATCATCATGTTTTTCATCATAATTCTTTTCCTACTTAATATTGAATAAGGCTTATATTAAATATTATTTTTGTTGATCACTTATATTTAATGATAAGAGATTAGGTTCACTCATTTGCATTAAACTCATTTCAGTGATTTTCATTCCTTCAAGAGTGTGTAATATGAAATCAGACTAGGAAAATACTGAAATCGCATTACCCCAGATATTTTCCATAATTCATCCTACAATCTACGAGAATATTTGATTAATTTATTTTTAGTTTATTATTATTATTACTACTTTTGATCAGGTGTTGTAGGAGCTGTACGATGATATTTACGTTAATTATTCAATTTTTTTTTTTATCCATCTGAAAAATCTGAACCTCTTCTTGATAATGGATTAGATGAAGTAGTTATTGAACTAAATAATTCAAGTGGTTATCCAACTTCCATCTTCTCTCTATTAAGATCTTAAGGAATATAATTTGGAATAATAGGTCCTTAATAATTTGAATTTGATTTATATGGAATTCTAAGTACATTTTATGTATAAGGTTCTTCAATAATCCATTGTTTTTCATTCTATTATTTCGGTATTCTAAATTAATATGAATTTAGTTTAATATACCTACGTTCTTAATCATTATGAAAGAATGGACACTCCTTTTTTTAACAATTAGGTTATGCACAAGGTTTTGTTTTGTATATTAATGGATGATATTCATATTCTTTCCATCCATGACAATTTAAACAATTCTCTTAATCAGGACAACCTCCTTAATCATATCTTTATATTTGATCTGTCTTATTCCAATATTAACATTCCTTAGGTTAAAGTAATTGAGGATCTCTTCTAAAATCTTATGCATTATGAGCATAAACACAACCAGCACGATCATGTCTTTGCATTAAACTAATTTATACGCTACAATATATGGACACCATATAGTTTTATAGTTTAACATCCAAAATTTCTTATCTTATACTAACTATTCTAATTTAAGCGGGATTCTCAACTCATGTTCATTATGAGCAAATGAACAATACATTCCATATTCACAATCTTTATTTTATACACAATATTTGCTTTTGTATCTATTTGGATGGTACACCTATTCTACTTTGTTGTGTGAAAATACACACAAATCTCCATTTGGACATTGTTCATATTAAGGACATATTTGACACCTTTCAATAATTATTACTATTCTCACTTATATTTAAATTAATGAGGATCTCGTCTTCGATCAGATTCATCATGATAGTATGGACAAAATTTTTTATGTGTACTAGCATGTTATTGATTACATGCTTATGTTTTAAATTAAGCACAATCTATTTTTCTTTATTAATCTAAATTTGTATATGAATTCTCATGTGAACGTACCTTCCGTAAATTCATTTAAATATATTTATATATTAATATTATTTCATAAATATTAAATACATCTAATCATAATCATACTACTTCTTTTTTCTTTTCCTCTAATCTCATTTAATTCAATTCAAACACTTTAATTCTTTTTATATATTTAGAGAATAATAATATTGTTATCTATCTAAATTACTTTCTATATACTATTTTGAATTATTTTTGTATCAAAATTAAAAAACGAATACATTCATGGAAGTGCAGAGATTTTAGATTTCCTATCCCCAAATGTAAAGTATGTTTGATACACCAAATTTATAATCAGGTTAATCAGCTTAAATTTTACAATAACTTGGGTAAATAGCTGAATCTATGATAATAGGGATATTGAATAAGTTATGAATAAATTAGAAACAGATTCCAAAATTGGAATAGTAGATGTTCAAGGAAGACTAGAACAATTTGGAAGTAATCGATTAGAGCCTCCAAAATTATCTCCCTTTTATATGTGCATGTACAAATAAACGAAAGACTTTTGCATCCGTATTTTAGCATTCGCTACAGTAATAATGTTTTTGATGGCATTTTTCTCTGAAGAACCATTTGAATAAATAGTTTAAGCATTTTCCATATTGATTGCTATTTGTGCTGTTGTAATAATAGGGGCAATGACAGACTATAGAAAAGAAAAATAATTTAGATAATTATATTTAGAATAAGAAGAATAATAGAAAAAAATATTTTAAGTAGTTCGAAATGGGAATGTAAGTTAGATGAATCATCTAGATTTATTAGTGGGAGATATTATAACAATAAAACCAGGTGATAATATCACAATAGATGGAATATTACTTGAAGGTACAGAAACAGTGGAAGTAGATGAAAGTATGATTTCAGGTTTGACAGATACAATATCAAAATAACCTAGATCTAAAGGAGAAAATTGTTTCATACGTGGAGGTAGCAATATTTTTGAAGGCACAGCTAAAGCAATAGTTTTAGCAGTTGGTTCATCAACGTATTCAAATAGAATGAAACATGATAATTAATAAAAAGAGGAAGGAGAAGAAGAACTAATACATGATGAAAGATCTCCCTTAGCAAAAGCATTAGAAACCTTAGCTAAGTTTTTAGTCTTTATAGGTTGCATGAGTGCCTTAGCCATGTTTATAGTCTTAGAATTATATATGGTTAGAGAATTGAATGAATTGTAAGAAAAGATTTTCTCATAATTTGCACTTAAGAAAGTTTTATCAGATTTTATAGATGCCTTTTTAATTATAGTATTATCTATTCCTGAAGGATTACCACTAATTGTTACTTTATCGTTGGCATTCTCTATAGCTAAACTAAGATAATAGGATATTGTCATTAGAAATTTACATGTATGTTAAGTCTTAGGTGGAGTTGACACGTTATGTTTTGATAAGACAGGAACATTAACTTATAATAATCTAAAAGTAAGTAATTTGCATATTGCTAATGAAGAAAGAATCAATAATATTCCATCTTAAGATCCTATCTTTAGAATCATGTCAGAAGCTATTCTCTCTACTAATTCAGCCTTTTTACCAGATGAAATTACTAAATAAGAAAAATATAACTAATAATTAGATTTTCATAATAATTAATTTAATAAAAAATCAGAACATGCCAAATAGTAATAATCTGTTCATGATATCAATAAAAAAAGTGATTGGAGTGGCAATAGATTAGATGTTGCACTTATTGATTATTTAGAAATCAAACTTACAAGAGATTTAGTCAAAGAATATATGTAAGATCTAAAAAGCAAAATTAGAAAAACTATTCCAATTAATAATTATGGATTTCATGCTGAAATTCTTCATATTAGAGGTGATAAATATAGAATCATTTTAAAAGGAAAGGCAAAAGAAATTATTGAAAAATCTAATTCACTTAATATATCAATTCCTGATAATTAAAACTTTTAAATCTATGAACCAGGAAACTTTACTATTTAATATTGTTGTAATCAAGATATGACATTTGAATATTCATAAATTGAAAAAAAAGCCGTATTAAATTATAATTCTTAATCATTAAAAACTATATCATTTGCATATAAAGATGTAGAAATACAAAATCTTATTGAATAAGATTGGAATATGTTGCTTATGGAAAACAATTTTATTTATATTGGTACTATAGCAATGAGAGATGATATAAGATAGGAAGCAAAAAGATTAGATAGTGCCTTAAAGATGGGTAATATGAATGTGATGATATTAACAGGAGATACAAGAGTAAATACTGTGAATGTAGCTAAATAATTAGGTTGGGTTAGTTGTGATTAAGCTGATGCTGAAATTCAAAGAAATAGTGAACATTTACCAAAATCATCATAATTAATGAATCATCAACATGATATTTTAATAGTAGAACCTACTAGGATTTAAGAATCAAAGAGTGGGCAAATAGTTTCAACATTAATAGAATGTCCTAAGGATGATATTCAACCTTTATTAAAGGATGATTATGAAGGGTAATATTTAAAATAAGGATCTTTCAGTAATGTTCTGATTTTAAACTTTTAAGAATATGTAATAAGAATCAGAAAAATATTAAAAGAATCAAAGATTTTTTATACTCATTAAGAAGTAAATGAGAAAAATATAGTATCTAAAATACCAGAGATTTTAGATGATACCTTAGCAAGTGAAGTAATATTTTATAAATATTAAATATAGAAAGTTTAAAGGATGAATAATTAATTATAGATTTTAGCAGACTTGAATTAACATTAAAAACATTAATTTTTAGAAGTTTATTCTAATATTAATGAATCTACTATAGGCTATGTAGGAGATGGTAATAATGACGCAATTGCTTTATAAACTGCTTCAGTTGGTATTACATTGGGTAAAACTGCTACAAATATAGCAAGAGAATGTAGTGGAATTATTTTAATGAATGATAAATTGGATGGTATTGAACTATGTATGAAATATGGTAGGAACATATTTTTAAATATTAAAAGATTTATCTATTTCTAATTGAGTTTCTTTTTAAATTCAATTGCTATTATGTTAACTTCCTCTATTGTATTAAAATAATAACCATACACAGTGTTATAAGTTATTTGGTTAAGTTTGTAAGATTATATATTTTAATCTTTTAGAGTACAAGATATCTTTTCAGCAGTTGCTTTAAGTACAGAAGTGCCTTAAGATGATATTTTAAAGAGAACTAAACCAGCTAAAAGAGGAGAGAATATCATAGATAAATTCTTACTCTAAATGACTTGCACTTAAGCAATCTTTCAATTTTTGGCTACTCTTTTTGTCCTATTTTTAACTCCTACTATTTTTGGAATTGAGTAATTATTATCCATATTAAATAGACCTTCTTATAAACATGATTTACATGCTTTAGGAGCAGAATTTATACCAGCATTTGCTATTCATTATACTTTAGTTTATCATTTGACTGCCATGTTTTAAATTGTTAATTTGATATGTAGTAGAAGAATAGGATAACATGAATACAATGTATTCGATGGAATTCATAAAAATAAACCATTCACTATCATGATTGTAGGATTAATTATTATTCAATAAGTTATTATTTATGCTGGAGGTAAATATTTCAAAACTGCTTAATTAACTATTTGGTAAAACATTTTCTGTCTTTGTTTATCATTTGGAGCCTTGCTTGTATTTTGGTTGTCTAAATATTATTATTCAACTAAAAAATGATATAATCAATCAATAATATAATAAATATTCAATCAACTTATCACTTATTCTATTCTAAATACATTCTTATGATTATTATTCAATTCACTATCAAACTTCTTCCTCTCTTTTTATAAAAATTATACTCATATGTACAATTAAAGAAATTACCATTTAAATCTCCAATCCAAGGTTTTTAAATCTCGATTATAAACATTATAATTCAACTCATCATCATTATTCTTACTATAATCAATACTTCATATATAATTCTAATTTATAATCATTTTTAGATATTTTATTATCTTTTAATGATCTATTATTTAATTTACATTTCAATTTTAAAACATATTTCATTTAATTGTCATATACAATTCTGTTTCATATTTCAACTTTCATTTTAATTTTTAAAGGTATTTCTATTCCTTATAATTTTAAATAATTTACACAATATTAAGTATATACTATTGCTATAATTATTATTTGGAAAGTTTTCTATTAATCTTAGAGTTTATGTTAAAAAGTATTTATTAAATTTATACAATAACTTTATAAAATAGAATCATTTTATTTAATTATAATTGATTATTTTCTTAATAATTATAAGTTCTTTTATTTTATTTTAAATTGATTTTTAGTGATTTTCTCACTAAATTTAAAGTGAATGTGGAAATATGATTCAATAATTCGGAATTATTGTATTTCCTTCAATAAAAATATCATTTCATGCTCACTAGAAAATAATCAAAAGAATTACAACAAAAGAAACAAATGAAACAATGTTCAAAATTAACCCAACAGCATTCTTATCTTAATGAAAGTCTTTCAACTGAAATTATGGAAAATGTTTTTATTGAAATGTTAGAATTATTAGATGTGGGAAATAAGTTATAGGTAGAGACTGATTTTCAAGAAAGTTGTTTAGATCCATAAACAAAAAGAATAGAGGATTATAATAATTGTTACAATAAGGAGTTCTTTGAATCCTTAGTTAATGATTAAATTGATTTAACTTAATGCTTATTAAATCATCAAATTAGAGCAGAGATTCGAGGTAGAATGGTTGATTGGATGATTGAAGTATTTGCTGCCAACGAATGCATAAATGATAATACATTTTTCAGAGCTGTTAATTTGATGGATGCATTTCTTAAAAGCACTTATAATTACACTGAATAACATCTTTATTTAATAGGTGTTACTTGTATATTCATTGCTTCCAAGATTGAAGACATATAATCTTTTGGAATTAAAACTATAACTGAAGATCTTTCTCATAATAAATTTTCATCATTCTAAATTAAAGAATTTGAATCAATAATATTAGAGACTTTGAATTATGATACCAATTTTCCTACAGTTAACGATTACTTATCATATTTAAGATATTAATTATTTGGATAATCTTAAAAGTATTTAAATCTATATATTTTAGTTAATCTGTCTAAGTCATTCATGAAACTGCTCTTTATATTCTAAAAATGTGTTATCATGATTACTAATTAATGCAAAATAAATAGATACTTTTAGCTGCTAGTATTTTAGGATATACAATTTAAAAATATATATAAAATCATATGTCCAATCTAGGTGCAAAATTAAAGAAATAATTACTATAGACAGTATGAAATCATTTTTATTCTTTAGCAAAACAATCTCCTTAGAATTGGGCAACTCGATTTAATTGAATATTTGAAATGTCTCTCTTAAGTAGAAGAGCTAACATAATATTTTCACCTTAAGTATCCTTCTTGCAAAAACCTTATAGAAGTTAAAATGGGTTGATTTTTCATAGATTTTTTTATCTTTTTTTTATAAATTTGATTAGAAATGAAATTCAATTGATTTTTTTAACAATAAAAGGTTATTTGCATTAAATAAGAATAATAAGATATTTAATTATTGAGATAATAAAAGTAGTTTTTAAATGGATAATGTAAATAAGAATTTAATGAAAGCAAATAAATTTAATATATAATGAATTATGATTATTCATAGATATATATATTTTTACATACATAATAATGTTATGGAATGTTATTATATAATATATAAGGATAGAATTAACACTGATTATTTTATTTGTTTTATCACATAATAAAAATAATAATTTATAGAATTATAGTGAATGAGTAAAGAGAGTTTGCCTATGTTTAAGTTTATAGTAGTTGGTGACCAATGTAATAAGATATTTGAGATTTAGCTGTTGGAAAGAGTAGTTTTGTAAAATAATATTCAGAAAGCCAGTTTATAGAGGGTATGAGTAAAGCAACAGTTGGAGTAGAGTTTGTAAAGAAATTAGTAATAGTTGATAAACGCAGAGTTGAACTATAAATATGGGATACTGTATAGATTTTAGAATGATTGATTAGGCAGGATAAGAATAATTTCGTAGCATGATTAAGAGTTTTTATCGTGGAGCTGCAGCTGTATTTGTGTTATATAGTATCAATTAAAGAGATTCATTTGAAAAATTATAAGATTGGTTATCAGAATTACATGAAAGTGCTCATGAAGAAATAATCAAAATACTTGTAGGAAATAAATCAGATATGGAACGTTGTGTATAGAAAGAAGAAGCTGAAAAATTCATGAATGCAAACAACTTTAGTTTATTTTTTGAAACATCTGCAAAGACTGGAGAGAACGTAGAAAAAGTAAAGTAAAAATGAATATGTAAGGCTTTTGTCGAAGCTGTAAAATTGGTCATCATGAGAATGTTTACTAGTGAATCCTTTAAAAATTCCATAAAAACTACAAAAAAAACTCCAGCTAATTCTAAATAGAATACAAGCAGAAGTGATTAACCAATTTAAGAGGTAACATAATCATCCTCAAAGCCAATTTAATTGTAAACTCAGAACAATTAAGAAAATAATCATGCAAAAAAATAATGTTGTTGATTTTGAAATTTGCAAATTACAATTGTATTTTATAATTAATTACCTTTATGATTAAAGCTTTATTTGCTGCTGAGTTTGATTTAGTCAAAGGTAAGAAAATCTATCCTTATCTAATAGGATGTGTAATAACGGCATCTTATCCAAAAACTTCTGATTCAGAATTTCATGAATTGGCATCTTATATGATTCCTGATGGGGTACATAAAATCAAATAAGACAAATTCTTTTTTAGAATCGGAAATATAAGATTTATACCTGGTTAAGTACATACATATCATTTTGATTATGAATGGAAATAATTATTGAAAAGTTAAAATCAAATATTAAGTTATTAAGATGAAAATGTGATTAAAATAAGAGGTGAAAAGGAATCTGAATGGTTAGATATTAATTTATTCAATGCTAATATTTAAGTAATTTCACATGATTTTGTGTCAATTACATTGAATCCAGATTTAATTTATGGCATAAAAGGAAAATTTACATAAGATTATTATATGGCATGTTTAAAGAATAAAAAAGATTCCACAATTAAGAGAGGATCTTTAATTAGATCTATTGCTATATGTGCAACAGATTTACTTTTTTTAGGAATTTGCGATTTGAAAATTGAAAAATGTTTGGAAGAATATTTTGAATAAGTTGGACTTGATCATTGGGTAAATGATGCTGATACAAATCCTTAAATAATTGAATAAATCTTAGAAAATGGATTTAATGAAGTTTCAAATGATTTAGCATATTATAAGTTTTCTCATTCTCTTTTGGATTACTCTTCCAAAGAATTAGGAAATTTATATCCAAAAAGAGCATATGGTTTAACAATAAATGCCTCATTGCTTAATCTATTTGAAAAGTTTAATATGAAGGTTCGTATTCTCTATAGAGCCCTATTATAATAAAAGAGAATCATATTTCTTTGTCATGAATGTAGTAATTAAGAAAAATAAATTGGAGATAATATGGTAAAAAGTGACATTATATCAAAAAGTATTTTAATGTCTGTAATCTTGTTTTGAGCTTATGTTTTCTTGTTTCCCCTTTAAATATTATTTAGAATATTTAAGGTTATAAGTCATTACTTGATAAAGGATGGGAATAATCAAATTCTTGGATATCAATAGTTTCTAATCCAATTTTTGAGTATCGTAAAGAATGGTGGGATATCTTAATTGATGTAAATGCTGGAAAGATTATAGAATCCAAAACAGAATAATCATTATTTATCAACAATGAAACAGATATTGATTTCTTTTAAAATTTAATCAATCTAATTCAGGTCTCACATATTAATGAATTATAAGTTAGATCTATTCTATAAAAATACACATCTTCAATTATTGGAAATTTGGTATTCTATTTCATTATTATATTTAGCCTCAAACTATACATTTTAAAGGATATAGAAAGATGAAAATTAAAGAATTATTTAATGAATAACAATATTCATAATTGTTAAATATTTTAACAATATTTAAATTGCAAAAAAGTATGGAAGATGTAGAGTTGTTATAAATTTATGAAAATCTTTTAGATTGCTTAAAGACAGAAAATTAGTTTAAAGAATTTTTTAAAGTATATAAATTTTTTTATTCTCTAGTTATTTACAGAATCTAACTATGATTTAAATACATTTGGAATTGGAACAATGTGTTAAGAAGTTGTAGTTTAAGAGAAATGTAGAGAGTTTTTAAAATTAATAGAAAAGTGGGATAAACAACTGATGAAGAAAATTAACTTATTCTTTTTAATTTGATGTATAATATATATATATTTTTCTATCAAAATTGAATTTCTAATAAGAGAACTTTTTGAGGATTCTTAAATTAATAAGAATAATTATCAACAAATTAATATAATAAATTAATAATATAAATACATTTTAGTTATTTTGGAATAAATTTTTATCTCTTTTTTCTCTTTTTTTGTGTAATGTAATAATAGGTAAAAACAATATGAAAATTAAAATGAAAAAAATTCAACTGACAATGAAGAGTCAAGAACAACTACTAATAATGAAATTAAATAAATAGGAATTCTTTAAAAAATATGAATGACTTTAATATTTTTGTTATTATATTTTATTAATCAACCCCATCTGAATCTGCCAGGTGGATAGAATGGTCCTGCAATGAATCTATCTGATGCCAAATAAGCCTTAATCTAAGGGAGATTAGAAAATTCATCATGATGTTTCTTAATATTTGCTTATGAATTAAAGACATCTAAGTTGAAGGCTTTTAACGTTTCTTCTATTTCAAAAAGTAAGAAATCAACATAAGTTAAATTGTTTCCTGCAGCCCATGTTTTACCTCCTAAAAAGGCATTCAACTTTTCTATAAGCCAAAGAATTTCTGTTTTGAAAAATTCTTCTTTTTATGCAGCATACTATTCTTCTGTGAATGTAATTAATGTAAAGAACACTTTAAGTATATCTTAAATTACTCCTTTTGTCTAAGCAAGAGTAACTTATTCATCTGGAGTTGTTCCTAATAAATCAGCTCTATTGGCTTTGTGTGCCAAATATACATATAGAGCACCACTTTCGAAAACCCATTTGTCTCCATCTTTTATATAAGGCAAATTCACAAGAACTTCATTATTTAATGGAGCCTAGGCAACTTCACCAAACCATTCTTCTGGTTTCAAGTATCTTTTTTCTTCAAATGGTAAACCAAGGTATTCCAAATAATATCTCACTAAAATTATTCTAAATTATTACATGGTTAACCAAGTCCTCTGATTCCCCAATATCCAAACAACAATTTATCTGCCATTATATTATATTTAATAATCCTAAATAAAAATAATCTGCTTTTAAATTGTTGAATTCAAAATTGGAATATTCCTTTTTCTAATTTTTTAGGATTTAAGAATTTACCATTCTCAAACTCTTTGAATTCTTATTTTATCACTTTACCATTAAGATATTCATCCATTGATTGATTCAACATTCTTAATTTTCAGATTTCTTTCTCTAAGATTTAAGTTTAAAAAAAGTTAATCTATATATTTACATATATAAAAACTTTCAAATTAATACTTCAGGGTTAATAAAATCATTCAAAATCATTACCCTCTGCATAACTTACCATCTATATTTGTGTTTCCAATATTATTACCAAGAAATATTAATTGTATATAATAAATTTTATTCTTAAGATTTACATTTTATTGTTTTCAAATTCCTTAAGAATTTATTATAATAAATCTAAATAATCTTATATCAATAATTTCATTTAAATTTAAGGGAAACTTTATTGAATTTAAAATAGGTCACTTCTAATAATAAAAAAATACTTTTTTAGAATTTCTATTGCCATAAAAAGCTATTTTAATATTGTAAGATAATTAAAAAAACTTAATATTAAAAACAAATAAGAAAAACTACATTTTATAATCAAAATGATTTGAAGTGAGCTTTAATAGAAGTTGAAAATCAATAGAAAAAAATTATATTATTTTTAGGATTTTAGAAATTCATATTAACTTTTTTATATTAATTCACCACCATCTCCATCTTTTTATGGGATAGAAAGGTTTAGCAATAAATCTATCAGAGGAAAGGAATGCTTTAATTTATGGAATTTAAGTAAAGGCATCATGATGTTTCCTTAGATTTTGAAATTGATTCAAAATTCCTGGTTTATAGGCTTCAAATGTTTCTTCTAATTCAAATTAAAAGAAATCAACATAAGTTAAATTATTTCCTGCTGTCCAAGTCTTGCCTTCAATAAATCTATTGAGTTTTTCAATAATCCACAAAACTTCGTTACTAAAATATTCATCTTTTTTAGCAGGATAATCTGCTTCTGGAATAGCAATTAAGGATCGAAATGCTTTAAATAAATCATACAAAACTCCTTTGACTTATTCAACGACAACTTACTCTTCATTCGATGATCCCAATAAATCAGCTCGATTAGCTCTATGTGCAATATAGATATAAAGTGCTTGACTTTCAAAAATCCATTTATCGCCATCTTTTATATAAGGAAGATTGGCAAGAATCTATTAGTTTAAGGGAGGTTTAGCTAAAGAATCAAACCATTCAGATTCAGTGATATTGTAATTCTTCTGTGTGTATGGAAGTTCAACATATTCCAACAGATATCTCACTAATATAAGTAATAAAGTATACAGGGTTAAGCTATTCCTCTTATATTCCAGTATCCAAATTCTAATTAATCTTACATAAATTGATTATTAAATAAGCTAATATGATTCGATTCAATTTATTGCTAAACTTTATAGAATTCAACAAAATAGAAAAACATTTAAAAAATAGAAATATATTTAAATAAAGCAAATTTTATTATTGAATAAATTTTTATAATGATAATAATTATGAAATCCTGAAAATATTTATGTCAAAGCATAATGCAATCATCATCTTCTTCAATTTAACCTGGATCATTTAAATTCTTTACAGTCACATATTTCTCATATTATTCTTATTTTGATAAGACTTTGATTTCCTTTTTATCTTGACTTAATTTAAACATTTTACTTTTTGGTTTATCTTGTAATGATTTATATTGTTCCTTAATTCTTAATTAGTCTTCTGCCTTTAAGGTTTACAATCTAAAAAGTGGTAATTCTTATCCCTTTTCACCAGTAGGCCATTTTTTTATGCAATGAACATGATACCAAATTTTTTTATCAAATTATTGACCTAATTTCATTTGAATTACAATTATACCTTCATCTTTTCTTAAAAATATATGTCCAATCTTTAGTTCATGCTTAAATATAACTACATGACAAGTTGCACATTTAATTCGATTTGAGAGTGCATATTCACACTCAAGAAATTGTTTCATCTTCATTTTAATTATTTAAATTATTTATTATGTTCTCATTATGTATATAAATATGTCTAAAGTTATAAGGGTATATTTTGAGGTTAATAATATATTGATTCAATTAAAAAGAATTTCCACTTAAATGTTTAGAAATGCTTTTTATGTAATAAGAACACAATAATACATTTACTTAAAAGTAGTCTTAATTAAAATAAGTATATTTGAATGATTGAAAGCTTATATCTATGAATCGTAATTGTTTAAATAATCCAAACTAAAAAAAATATTAATAAATTTTGTTCAAATTTTTATAGCAATTAATTATATGCAAAATTTTTGATTAGGGGTATAATTCAATACATGATCTCAAAAAAAAATTTAATTAAAATTTGATGCCAATGTAATTAATATATTTAGAATTTATTGAATTTAATAATTAAATTTTATATATATAATTGAAAAAAAGTATGTTAAAAAAATTTAGCTTAATAGGTTCTGAAGTAGGTTTTCAAATTGATTATGATGAAATTCATTTTATTTTGGTTTTAAATAGTATTAAAATGAGTAAACTAATATTAAATATTTTTTTCAAAAATTATCTATGAAAAATGCTTAAAATGTATTTAATTAAGGAATTAAGTGTTAAAATTGAATAAAAACAATTATTTTTAAGCGCTCTTTTAGAGTGAATAGGTTTAAAGTTCAAGAGGATTTTATTTGAGTTCCTATTTCAAATGGGTCCAGTATAGATTTCGTAAATTTTAAGAATTTTTTGTTCAATTTATTTTAGTTGATCAGAAGATAAATAAAGTATTAAAAATAAATAAATTCCTGTAGTGTTGCCTAGGCTTGGATAAAGAATGAAAGAATGAATGTATTACTCTTTGATATTGGTTATAGCTAATTTTGATTGAAGAATAGATAAAATTGAATATGATTCTAAATTTATCTGCTAATTTAAATACGATTTATGAGATCAAAAGGTTGTCAATAATTAATTTTAAACAAATAAAGAATAGATGACCTAATTATAGTAAATGGATAGTAGCTCAATTTAAGAGTTATAGAATAGTTTAAAGGAATCTAAGAGTAATCTAAAACATTCTTAATGGCAAAGGATTGTGAAAGAAAAGGGTAAAAAGTACATGAAAGTGTAATTCAACACTAAGCTATAACTCTTCAATATGGTATAAAGATAGGGGATGAGAATAAAAGATGTAAATAATCGTTATTGATTTGATTAGGCAGCAGAGATATTGGGTATTAAATACGCAACAGCAAAGACTATAATATTTCATCAAAGATAGAGGAGGAAAGCAAAAGGGAAACGTGGTAAAAGAATGTGTGGACACACTGAAATCATTGGAAATAAGGTTTCACGTTTGAAAATAATTTGCATAATTGCAAACGAGATTGTGCAATAATAAGATTATAATTTTTGATAAATATATTTGCTCAATTCTTGTTTCTTATGATATAACAATATATATATGATTTAAACAAGCAACATTAACATTGTGGAAAATTAAATAAGATATAGTCTGAATGAGAAAATGGTTTGATAATATAAATCTTGTTTAGTTTATTGTCTGTACTGATTTATATTATTTAGAATCCAGTAATGTTTAATTTGTACATTATTTTTTTAAGATGGTTTAAATTAATATGATTTATATGGGAATACATATATTATTATATAATATCATTTATTGTTTGGCCACTTGATTTTCTTCAATAAATAATCTATTAATATTTCTGGGTTGTGCATTTTGAGTGAGTTTTAATTAATCCAAGATACTTTAGGTGCTCTATTGTTCTTTTGTTTCCAAGAGACTTGAAATAGTAGATTTTATCCGTCATTATCTTTTCTAATTTAGATGATTTCATCTGCAGAATCGCCATCATCATATGATCCATCTCCAACTTCTTATGGTTTATTTTTGAGTGATGATTCAAAATCTAAAACATAGGTCATAACAGATTATAGATTTTCAATAGGTTCCCAAGTTTTCTCATTTTCAGAATAGCCTTACCATTTAACTTCATATTCTGTCCTACCATTTTTAATTCTTTTATTGGTAATAGCTTCAACCATATATTCTTCTTATGAGGATAATGAGACAGGAGAACCTGACATGTTTTATATATGAATTATTAAAAGAGAGATGTATGTCAATGGGAAGTTAAGAGTGTGTTAAATGTCTGGTTTTAATTTGTAATTTAAGAAAATATAAAATGGCTGTTGTAGAAGCTGCAATATAGACAGAAGGAACAGGTAGATTTGAATATTAAGATGGAACAGTATATGAGGGATAATGGAAATTGATAGATGGTAAAAAAGTTAAACATGGTAAAGGTAGAATAGTGATAGCAAGTATAAAATATTGGAATGATATATTAATAGGTTCATTGTCAACGGATAACGATTTGAAAGAAGAATATAATGGAGAATTTGAAAATGATTAAATGTGTGGAGAAGGTGTATACATTTATAAATCAGGTGCAATATATAGAGGACAGTTTCGAGATAATAGACATAATGGAATTGGATTTTATTAATTTCCTGAAGGTTGTACATATGAAGGAGAATGGGTGAATCATAAAATGCATGGAGAAGGTGTATTTATTGATAAAGAGGGTAATAGATGGGAAGGAGAATTCGTTGAAGGAATTTATCAATCTAAAATGTAAAAACAACTTAAGATGGAAAAAATGTTAAATAAAAAGGAAACTGAAATACGTGAAAATGCATCACATTTCTTTACTCGTTTTATAGATGCATATGCACATTCTGATAAAAAAACTATGAAAGATAATATGACTCCATTCTTTGCAACAACTGAAGATATTAAATTATATGTCAAGGAACCTTATCCATAATTTGCAGATCGTCTACCTGAAAAATGGGAAGCTGCAATTAAATTCTTATAAGTAGGTTCCTTAAATATACCTCGTTCTAATACTGCTGCTAAAATATTAGATCCTTAAAATATTTTAGCTGCTTAATTTAGTGGAGTTGGATAAGTAGCTGAAGTTATCGTTCAAGATAATACTAGAATTGTTAGATTAGCTATATGTAATACTGCTGAAGATAAATGGGTTATTGTTTTTTATCATGATAATGAAGAGTAAGAAGTCAAAAAAAAAAAATGAAACAAATATATTAAAATAATTAAATTATGCCACCTAAAAAAGAAAAAATCCATTTCAATTCTTTACCTCCTCTTAAACATCTATGTGTCAATAATAGAATTTAAACAGCTAAATCAAGAGCTAATAAACTATTTAATCTACTCAAATCTTCCAAATCATTTTAGAAAAATATATCAAGAGATGAAATTATCATTTTTTGTAAAGAAAAATAATTATATATTGATCCTACTACCTTGACGAATAAATAAAAAAAGTAAATCTATATCAATATTCAGGATCTATGCCTAAAGTTTCTACAGAACTTACACCTGAAGTTATCAATAAAGCATTTATTTAAGATTAAGTACTTGCTGTTCGTAAAAACAAATATTTAGCTGCTTAAACTGATGAAAAAGCTGTACCTCCAAAAAAAGATGATAAAAAGACACAAAAAAAGGAATTAAAGAACCTATAACAATTGTTGAATAAGGAAAACTTATTTCTGAAAAAGATTATCCAAAGAATTTTGATTTACTTTTTATTCTTTAAGATTTCCTCAAGTACCACAAGAATTTATAGAATTAATTATATTGTAAAACATATATAAAGAATCTATTTGATTTTTTTGATCACAATATCAATTTTTTAAGTATAATGCTTATTTTTAACTATAAAAATAAATTCTAATTATTTTATAATCTAACATTACATGTTAAAGAGAGAATAAGTAATTGGGGTGCGTTTGATAATAATTAAATCGAATAATCTGAAGAATTACAAGATGATTTTGAAAAGTAAATTGAAGAATTTGTTCCATCTCCTCCTATTAAACGATAATATTCTGAAGAATCACTTAATTATATTGAAAATGAAAGAAATTTTACTGATCATTTCAAATCAATAAGAGGATCATCACTTCCTACTGATCCATTGAGATAATTAACTATAAAAGAGTTAATTTTAGATGTAGATTTAGATGCTGAAGAAGAAAAAAATTAAATAATTTTATGAAACTATTTTTGAAGAAATTTGCTAATTTAGCATAGATCAATAACAATATTCAGAATGGATTTCCAATAAGAAATCTGTTCCATTAATTAATAAAGAATGTCCAAAAGATCCTTTTGATTTAGAGATTGAAAGAATTAAACATGAAGCTTAATTAGTTGAAGAATAATAAAAAGCTTAAGAAAAAGTTCTTTCAGCTGAAAAAAATAAAAAAGGAGCTTAAAAAAGAAGCTAAGAAAAGTGAAGCTGAATTAGAGGCTGAAAAAAATAGATAAAATGAATTACGTAAATAATAAATTTAAGATGCTATTAATAAATAATAGAATAAGAAAAGAAAAATTACATCTTTAATATTACAAAAGATAATTAGCAGATGTTCAATTATAGAAGGTTGGACATGGAATTCTATTAGAATGTTTATTAGATTAATTATAAATTGAATCTACATATTTAACAAACTCTTAGATTCCTCCTTGTTGAGAAGTTTAGGAAGATGCAGATAAAGTTAACAAAATATTAAAAAATCTTAAAGGTTAATCAAATGAATATATTAAGAGCATACTTTGCATAATTACATGATCAACAATCCATAATAGAAAGAGAACATAAAATATTTGATAATTTATGTTATCCAGGGATTGATAGATAAGGATTGCAAGAAATTCCAGAAAAATCAGAGAAATTAAGAAAAGCTAACAAATCTAAATTATATCCATTTGTAAATGTAGATGTTAATGAATTTGAAAGGAGATAATTGTTATTGTAATTTGAAGAATTGTTCAAAGAAAAAGAATGGCATTTTGGTGATATAATATATATGGAGAGACATAATAGAAATACATTAAGATAGAAATTCTATAAAGCTTTATNACATTACATGTTAAAGAGAGAATAAGTAATTGGGGTGCGTTTGATAATAATTAAATCGAATAATCTGAAGAATTACAAGATGATTTTGAAAAGTAAATTGAAGAATTTGTTCCATCTCCTCCTATTAAACGATAATATTCTGAAGAATCACTTAATTATATTGAAAATGAAAGAAATTTTACTGATCATTTCAAATCAATAAGAGGATCATCACTTCCTACTGATCCATTGAGATAATTAACTATAAAAGAGTTAATTTTAGATGTAGATTTAGATGCTGAAGAAGAAAAAAATTAAATAATTTTATGAAACTATTTTTGAAGAAATTTGCTAATTTAGCATAGATCAATAACAATATTCAGAATGGATTTCCAATAAGAAATCTGTTCCATTAATTAATAAAGAATGTCCAAAAGATCCTTTTGATTTAGAGATTGAAAGAATTAAACATGAAGCTTAATTAGTTGAAGAATAATAAAAAGCTTAAGAAAAAGTTCTTTCAGCTGAAAAAAATAAAAAAGGAGCTTAAAAAAGAAGCTAAGAAAAGTGAAGCTGAATTAGAGGCTGAAAAAAATAGATAAAATGAATTACGTAAATAATAAATTTAAGATGCTATTAATAAATAATAGAATAAGAAAAGAAAAATTACATCTTTAATATTACAAAAGATAATTAGCAGATGTTCAATTATAGAAGGTTGGACATGGAATTCTATTAGAATGTTTATTAGATTAATTATAAATTGAATCTACATATTTAACAAACTCTTAGATTCCTCCTTGTTGAGAAGTTTAGGAAGATGCAGATAAAGTTAACAAAATATTAAAAAATCTTAAAGGTTAATCAAATGAATATATTAAGAGCATACTTTGCATAATTACATGATCAACAATCCATAATAGAAAGAGAACATAAAATATTTGATAATTTATGTTATCCAGGGATTGATAGATAAGGATTGCAAGAAATTCCAGAAAAATCAGAGAAATTAAGAAAAGCTAACAAATCTAAATTATATCCATTTGTAAATGTAGATGTTAATGAATTTGAAAGGAGATAATTGTTATTGTAATTTGAAGAATTGTTCAAAGAAAAAGAATGGCATTTTGGTGATATAATATATATGGAGAGACATAATAGAAATACATTAAGATAGAAATTCTATAAAGCTTTATTGTATGATCCATAAGTTATTACTAAATATTTACAAGATGATGATGCTCTTATGATTTATAAACCCTTCCTTGAAGAACTTTAAGGGAAAAATGGTCAGCTGGATGGGGAGTTTTACCAAATCTTGAATATTATATATAAGTTAGGAATTTCAATAGTGATTTCTTTTATGATATAGATTATTAAAATATTGGAGCTATTACTGAAAGATGTAAAATTATATATCCCACATATAATTCCTTAATTTTGGCCACTAAATTTACAGTTGGTGAAAAAGAACGTCTTAGATATAGAGTTATTAAGGAGAATGTAAGTTAATTTCTTATCTTGAAAAATAAGAAGTACCAGATTCAAAATCATATTAAACTAATAGAGTTCATATTTTTTATACATAAGATGGATGGGTTTGTAAATGTATAGCAGATGGAGAAGTTGTTATTATTACTGCAGAAGAGAGAGTTAAATTAAATAACTAAGGTGAAAAAAGATAATTTGGATATAAATGTTTTCACCTTCAGATCATAGAAAATCTGGTGTGTATACTATTGATTTAAATAGAAAATGTATTTTTACTAAAGATGATGAATAAAATTACTTTGAAATTGATGAAGATGGTAATGTTATTACTAAATTATCTGCTGCATAAACTTAAAATTTAGAACCATAAACTCCTGATTAAATTCCAGATGGTATTTTTATAGATGAAAATAATAAAGTCTCACCTTCACCTAAATAATGGATACCTACAAGATTATTTTTAGTTAGAAATGACAACACTGGAATTTAACTTTATAATTAATACTAATTATAAGACTACTTTAGATTAAAATCTGAAAATTCTACCTGTTCTAAAATTAATGCTTTCTTGAATATTCATATTTTAATAAATTGAAAGAAATCATCATGGTATCTCTTTATAGAAATATGATAGTTGGTTTAAAAGTATGCTTAAAACATTAAAGTAATTTGGAATTCTATAAAAATCAGACGAAGAAAAAGAAATTGAATTTGCAATCTAAATGAAAATTCTAGAAAGTAGAAGGACTGATTATTCAACTGAATCATATGATTAAGCTAAAAGTAAAGTTTAAATACAGGAATAATAAATCACTGCTGTTGAACCTTTAGAATAAACTTTACTTAAAAGTGCTAGAGTCTAACAAACTGTTTAGTAAGCATTTATTGATTTATCAAGAAAGGTTCAAACTATTTAAATTCAAAAATAATCTAAGCTTTTTACAGAAGTTAAACGATTTGCTAATAACTATTTTGAAACTAATTAAGGTTTAGAATACCTGAAATATGCTCTTGAAGATCAACCAATTAAAAAATAAAAACAAAAGTTTGTCTAAATCAATGATGACCATTATAGCTTCAATAAATTGAATAATTTGATAATCAACCTGAAAGTATTGTACCTTTAGAAAAACCACCTTGGCCATAATATAATGATAATCTTACAAAAGTCATTATTTAACCATCAGCCTTCACTTAAGCTGAAATAGATGAAGAAATAAGGCTTAAAAAAATAAATGATGATTCACTTAAATATAGAATGGCTAAGCGAAAAGATATAGATGTCTATGGAAAATAAAGAAAAGATAATAAACTTGTTCCATATTAAAAACTAATCCAAAATTAGAACTTAATCAAAAATATATATTAACTGATGCTACTACTGATAATCGTGTTAATAATGAAATAAATTGGATAAGTAAATATTTTTTAATATTTTATTTTTAGATTCCTTAGGATTAGTCAGAGAAGTCTTCATACAAGTTACTACGGAAAAGTTAGGCCAATTTTCTGATGAGTTCTAAATCTTATCTAAACATTCTATTTATACTATTCCAATAAATGGAAATGTTCTCGAATAACCAATCTATGATAAACTTAATTCTGAACAAATTAAACCTCTCTAATAAACCTTTATTGAAGAAATAAGTTAAAGATTTGTAATTGGTATTATTTTGCATTACAATAATTAGTAATCAAAATAATCCATCAAAATCAAAAGTAAGAAGACTAATCATTTGATGATGAAAATTGATTGCAATTAATCTATTTATAATAATTAATTAATTATTTAAAACTAATTTTTATATTTATAGATTATTAGTTTTTATTTATTTTCTTTTATACATTGATATTTGGGAGGAGGTTATAAATATTTACTCTCTTTAATCTTAATCTTATGATCATTCGCAAAATAATATAAATATTTTATACTTCCATAACTCTAAACCAACTTTTCAAAGTAGCTTAAGATTTTTAAAAACCTAAAGTTATTTAAAGTATGAATTGAAATCAACTTTCATTGGTAATGTGCAATCGCACTTATTTTCCCATCATATTAAATAAAGTGCTTTGTAGTCATAATGATATGATAATCCAAAATTACTTATTGTGAACTTTTTAACATTTAATATATGTTTGCTAAAATGACTTTGCGATCATAACACCATAATATTCAGTGAGATGATCCTATATTTCATTTATCATATATGAGATTGGGTACTTCATAATAAGATTCAATATATTAATATTACTTCATTAATTGACAAATATTTAATAATAATTAAATTCATTTAAAATACCAATATGGTTCTTTACTTTGAAATTCCTATCCATTAAATAAATATTTCCAAGAATGTAAATAAATTTCTAAAGGATGCTTCCGATAATCCCATTCTTCTTTACCAGCTAAACAATCTTTTAATAATTCAGAATTTCCAAATTATTCTTGGTGTAGTTTAATTTTGATAAGATTTTATTATTATTATACTTATTACTATTCTGTTTATGGTTATTTTTCTTTTTATTATTCATTTGATTTTTGTGATTATTTTTCTTATTATTATTCATTCGATTATACTTATTATTATTCATTTGATTTTTCTTATTATTATTCATTTGATTATACTTATTGTTATTCATTTGATTTTTCTTATTATTTTTCTTATAATTAAGCATCTAATTTTTCTTCTAATTATTCATTTGATTTTTCTTATTAATCTAAATTTTAATCAATTTGATCTGCAATTTTTTATTCTTAATTATTTTATCCTTTAGTTATCTCATCTTCTTGAGTATTCAATTTAACTTTCTTTCCTATAATTTCATGAACCTCTCCTTTAATTACATCTTATTGTCTTATGGATTCTTATTTTAATCCTTTAAAATTCCTATTAATAATTTCATTTCCTATAAATTTTCCACCATAACCTATATCATTTAGAATAGGATGTCCTAAATCAGCTAAATGTACTCTAATTTGATGTGTTCTTCCTGTGATTGGTTAACATTCTAATAATGATGAATCAGTTATAGGATCATACCATAATTTTAAAAATTTAGTAGTAGCGCTTTTAGCATCAAATTTTTTTGCATCTTCTTCATTACAACAAGAAAAGATAGCATCTTTCATTGATATGCAATATTGAGGTTTATTATTTTCTAAAATTTGATCACTAAAATTTCCTTATACTCTAGCTAAATAAGTTTTTTAAACATTTAATTTGCTATTGGCATCATGAAACTATTATGCTAGTAATCGATTTTTAGAGAAGATGAGTAAACCTGAAGTTAATCTATCCAATCTATGTAATACATATAAGTCCTTGAATCCATATTCAAAATGTAGAATAGCAGTTAAACAGTTGTAATGATAGCCTCCTCCTGTATGAACAATCATTGAAGGAGGTTTACTAACAACAACAAAATCAATATCTTAATGAACAATATCAATAGGTAAATCCAAGATGGGAGGTTCTACCCTCGTAGTAGCATGTTCAATTTGCATTCCATGTTCCAATTTATATTCAGGACATACCACAACACCATTAACTGTAATTTTACCCTCATTGATCGCATTTAAATAATACTCTTTTGTGTATGCTCTAAATTCCTTTTCCATAGCATCAATTAAAGTCATCCCAAGCCAACGAGATTTTACATTAGTTTTGTACACATGTTTATATGGCTTAACGAATCGAAACGGAGGAATTTTTACATAATCTGGGGCAATATCATACATTTTTATTTTAATTTTAATAATTTCTATTGTAATTATTCAATATCTAATTCATAACATTCTCTTTTGCCTAGGTATTGTCTATTGTATTTACAATTACAAATATTGATATCAATCGATCTCTTTATTTTATTTTTATAGACCTTTATTCAAGTTAGTTGTTTCATTTCAAAATCATAATCTATATCCATATAATATTTTCATATTTTCAAGAAATTAAATGACTTAAGGTTCCTTTTACATTTACATTCAAAGAAGTTCTTATTTGAACAGCTAATTTTTTGTACTATCTTGGCATGTACATCTGATTAGATCAAAGAATTTTGATTCAGAAATATTTATAGGAATATTTTCAGAAGGGAAACATTCTTAAAAAGAAAGAATAAATTTAAGAAATAAGATTTTTAAGCATAGAGCCTATTTTAGTTCCATAATAGTTATTTTAATTAAATCACATCTTAACTTTTTTGATAGGTTTATGCAGTATTTTTTATGTTGTTTTTGCCTTTTCAATAAAATCTTTAACTTTATCATTATCCTTAAAGATATTTGACTTTTTTAGATTTTCAGCAAAAGCTACAGTATCTATTTGGACATTATCTTTAACACATTTGCATGTTTTAGCTTCTAATAACAAGGGCAACCAATTTAGAGTGGCTAAATTGACAGCTTCTGCAATATTGAATCCACAATTAAAGCCTTGATGATAAGCTCCAGCAAAAATAAACATAAATTCACCTTCATGATGAGCCATTTTTGATATTCGAATTTAAGGAACTTTTTCTTTTAATAAATATGGATTAATAACTGTCGTTTTATGTCTTAAGAATTGTGAACATTTATTAAAATGATCTCCATATATCTACTTTGCATATTTTTCTAAAAGATGACTATCTTCTTCTGGAATAGAATACCAAAACCTAATAAAATTAATAAAAAATCTTAAATACTTATCTTTTCCCACATGGAGATAATTGACACTGCATAAGTCTAGATCTTCTTTGTGCCAAGCAAAAAAGGTTTTCCATGAACCAACGTATATATAAGGTTCATTTACTCCAGGTATACGGTTTTTAAGTCCATAATTTAATAGACTAGTAACATTGTTAAGGTTCCAAGAATTGTTTAAATCCATTAAAGATAATTTAATATCAGCTCCATACAAAGGTGGACTAAAGGCTAGACTTTTCCAATATAATCTCTCAAATTGATCAGATGTCAGTTTTTCATGTTATTTATCAATCTCTAATTATTTATTTCTATAATCTTTTAAGGGCATAGATTTTTTGAGAATGTGAAGACATTCATAGTTACCTCCTTTACCATAAACATTCTACTCTATAGGTCCTTGAATGATAAGGTTGTCAAGTGATTTATTATAATCCTATTAACGAACTCTAAAGTTCTTAGGAGGAATAACCTATGATTTGTTATTAATTTTTAGAAATTTACTTTCACCATGCCAAAGTTTTATGAATACTATTTATCAATTTTCTCAATATATTCATAGAAGTTATCAAACTCTTATTGTGTAGGTCTTAAAGTTGGACATTCTTCAATGCTAATCATGTTTTAAATAATTCTTTAAAATCTTGCAATCAAACACTGTCTTTCAATACCCCGGTGTGAACAATATATATATTATATTATGGACTCTTCTCACACATGACCAATCATCCTAATTTCTGGCTAATTAAACTCTCTATATATATCTAGTACTTATTGTAAATTGTAACAACTCTCCTTACCTCCCCCCCCACCAATATATTAATTAATTCAAACATTAGAATCATTTCATCATATCTTACCTAGTGAATTAAAATCTCATATTAACATCATCATCCCTAGACATCTTTACAACTATACACAATATTCAATTGATTAAATAAGATTTCTTCTCACTTTCTTCTCTGATTAATATAATCCCCGCCAAATATGAGCATAATATTATTCACTCACTTGATTGTTTTTGTCAAACTATTTTTCTTTATTCATTCTATAGATTTCTTCTCATTTTTAAGTACTCATGAGAAATCCATCTCTTATTTATCAAATTTTCAAGAGAACTCCTCTGATTAAGGTGTTGATTTCACTAACTTCTATTTAACTTTCTATATAAACTAAAGTAAGCAGTTAGCTTTTTGTAATCATTTTCTTTGTTTTATTCTACTTTTTTGATTGACTTAAGTATCAAATTTCTATACTCAAATGATTACTGGGATCAATAAATCTAAAAAGTTTAAATCTCTATATTTTATTCATATTTTCCACGAAAACCCTTTCTAATAGAATAAAGTGAGTAATTATAATAGATATTACTTAGACTACTAAAGTTGATGACAACAAATATGATTATTAGTATAAAATTATCATCTAACTTTTTCATGGTTGAGAATCATTATAAATTTATATTATAATACATACTACTCTAAATATTATACACAAAAGTATGCTTACTGTTTTATCTATTAATTAAAATGAATAATACTGCACTTGCATAAATCAGAAAATTACAAACTGGGGAAAATAGATATTGCTTTGAGTGTCAGACTGGTAGTCCAACATGGGCAAGTTTACCTTATGGAATTTATCTTTGTTATAATTGTTCAGGTTTACATAGAGGAATGGGTGTTCATCTTACATTTGTAAGATCTATTGAAATGGATTCCTGGACTGATAAATAATTGGCTATGATGCATTTAGGTGGAAATCAACAATTAAGAATCTTCTTTGAATCGCATGGAATTTAAATTACAGATTCAAATAAATGGAAAACTTATGCTGCACATTATTATAGAGAAAAAGTATGCTATCATATCCCTAATTATATAAGATGAAGGCATAAATTAATTAAACATAGATGCCTGAAATACCTAATGATTGGACAGCTATCCAAGAAATACCAAAACCATAAATTTAATAATAATAACCTCAAATTCAATAAGACCCTACTCCAGAATTTAATGTACTACTTCGTTGCCTATTATAGTTCTGGGAATCAGCATCAAAATCAACAAAAGAAGCATTTGCATCCATTGATGAGAAGATCTCGAAAGTCAATATCAAAGAAGAAGCAACATAATTTGGATAATCAATTTCAGCAAAAACTAAATAAATAGGAGTAAATAATTATAATATTCATAGGAATAATCTACTAAGGTTGCAGACAAAGCATTTAAGAGTTTAAAAAGTGGATTTAATGAAGCATTTGAATTTTTAAAAACAAAAGCAGATTAAGTTATTGGAAAAGATAAATAATAATAATAATAGCAATAATAATAGTAATAATAATAACAAAAATAATAAGAATAGCAATAATAATAATAGCAATAATAATAACAACAATTATAATAAAATAATTATTTTTTGGATAATCAATAATAAGTTAATCAATTTTAGATGGATAATTAAAACTTTAAGCAGACTAAAGAAAACTAAGATTTATTTGATTTTGAAAATAATGATAAATAAATTCCTGCACCAAAAAATCAAAATTAATAATAATAATAATAATAATAAAATATTATGGATTATTCAGATTATTTCAATGATGGGCCTTCTTCAATTATTATTTATGAAACTCCCATCTATAATTAGTAAAATAATTAGTCTGAAAATTTAATTGATTTAATGCAAGATGTAAAATAACCTCAACAAATAAGTGGGACACCAAATTTACTTGATTTATGAAAATTTTCTTCATCATAGCATTTGTTAACATTTATTGTTTTATCATTATTAATTTAACTAAGGAAATAGGATTCATATGTTTAAGTTGGTGATGGAAATGTTTTTCTAAGTTTTGTTATTCTTACTTCACTCAATAATTTTTTAATATCATAATTAGGATCTTCATTCTATTAGCTCATAGTGATAGTCATATTTATTTTTTTGCTTGAAGAACATGCTATACCCATTCAATTTTTATCAGTTAAATAATATTAATATAATTTATATTAATAATTTCAGAATGTATATTTTTCTTTCTGTTGATATTTTTTGTATTTTAATTCTAAATAAATGGCATAGAACGATTTTGAAGCAACAAGGCAATCAAATAATCTTATTTCTGGATAAAAGAAAATAATAAAAAAATACGGACACTGGACTGAAATAGAACACAAAAGTTATCTTCACTATCTTTAAGAGAATAAAAAGCACATAAAGGGATAAAGATTATTTAAGAAAATGAGTTAAATTGTAGGCACAAGAACTCCAAGTTAGTGTAGGTATAATAGAACACTATAAGATCGCATCATCAAAAATTCAATCCATAAAAGACTAAGCAGTAATAAGAAACGGGTATTTAGAGATCCAAATAGTATGCTAGAAAATATTTTGCTTTACAAAAAACTCTAGGCCATGATAGCGATTGATATTTATACTAAAAGATTCATAATCTAAGAATCTAATATTTCTAGGGGATTAATTGTAGCAAAATTTTAGATAAAAATATTGTCTTCAAAATCTTCTTCCCTTTTTTGATTTTTTCTATTCTAATTGCTAACTTTCCTCAACAAATTATTCTAAATTTGTATCAACTTCTCTTAATCCAAAATCCAGATCTTTTAAATTATTGCTTTTAACATCATTACAATCTGCATTATTCTATGTTTGTTCTTCCTTTTTATTTGAACTCATTTTCTTAATAGATCTTACAAATTACAATTCTTAATATTCGAATTAATTTTCAGTCTTTTACTTTTTATAAATTTCTAAAGTATTTTTTTTTAAAGTTTTATACTTTTCAGCATATTTTCTAAAATGAATAATATATTCTTTACTCATTCCATTTATCAATAGCATCTTTATATTCTTTCATTTTTCTTTCATAATCTACTTCTAATTATTCTAAAACTCTATGTGATTATTGACAATATTCATCAATTAAAATTTAGTAGGACTATTTCCAATTAAAATTTTTAAAGGAAAATTTGTGCCTATTTTTAATAATATATTCAAATTAAGGAGAAAGTGGTCTTTTTGGTTTAGATGGAATATTTTTGAATTCTTTCCACTAGTTGATATGCTTTTGATTTCCTCCATAAAAGTAGATGAGTTATTCTTAAAATTTTTCTTCACACTATTCAAATTAATCTTCATAGTATTGATGCATTTCATTAGTCATATCCTACCATGCTTTTTATATTTGATTTCCAACCATATTAATACCAACTCCTTAACTTAATAGGATTTGAAGTTGTTCTTTGTAAAATATTTGATAAGGAGAGATGAATTATCTTTTAGGAGGTTGGTTTAACTTTCCACTTCGAAGCTACATAAATTTAATTTAACAATTACTCTAATAAATTTGCTGAATTTCTATGGTAGAAAAAAATTAACTAAAAATTTAGTGATTAAAGTTAATCGAAATAAAAATTTAGGTTTTTTAATAATAATAAACTCCATACTAAATGAAGAATTAGAAGATGTTAAATGTAATAATGTTTGAAATAGAATATTTTTAGAAAATAAAATGAGATTAAGTTTATGATAATAATAAATTGTAATGTTTCTACAATGTATAATTAGTTATTTAAAACATAAAAAAAGCCATCTCTAAAAGCTTTAAGTATAATGGGTACAATACTTTCAGAAAAATAGGATGAGCTGATGTACTAATTTAGATTTTGATAAGAAAAAGAAAAAAGTTGAAGTATAGGAATAAATAGAAGAGGGCAAAGAATAAAGAGGGTTAGGAAAGAAATACAAAACAAACAAGACATTATAAAATGGAGATTAAGGCAAACAATATGAATTAGTAAAAAATGGGATGCCATCTGAAGCAGGATTGAAAGTGAAAGGTCGTGAATGAACAAGGATGGATTGGAAGATGTAGAGTAACAGATTTTTGAGAGAGCTCAAATATTTAGATATTATTTTAATTTAAAAATAAATGGAGTATTGTGATTCATGCAGAGCTGTGTTGAATGAGAGATATTTATTAGAAGACTAGTTGACAAGACTCTAAAATGAGTTGGAAATAGTTGAGACTTAATTGAAATTATTGAGGGAGGAGAATGAATTATTAAAGAGTAACATAAAAGTGCCTAATAAATAAAGACGTAAAAACAATAGAACGAAGGCCGAGTTTGAATAGTGTTAAAAAGAAATTGAAAAATTGCAAATGATAATCTAACATAAAGATATGATTATCCAGAGCCAAGTACGATGTGATATAATTAGTGAAAGCTCAATTATAGATACCGACATAGTGAAGAAGAAGGTGAATCTTTGAATATAAAAAATGTATATATGTCATATACTAATTTCAATGTTAGAGAGTTTTATGGAGTTTAACATGTGGAGTTCAATTTTCTTATTCAATTCAATAGTTATAATGAAGTAATGTGGTTATTTAAAATTAGAGTAGAGTTTCAATTATGAAAGCCTCCTCATACATTTTGTCATTTGAATTGTGATCTAATAAACTTGATATAGAACTTTTGCTTCCTTTAAAGGAACCTTCAAAATGTATACTAAAAACTTTTATTTAAAAACTTCTACTTTGCAACTCCTACATTGTTGTAGATAAAAAATTATAAATTACACAAAAGTCTTTTAGAATACATGTTCCCAATTACAGAAGTAGCGGTGATTCTCTGCAAAGTAAGAAATCTAATAATTTTACAATCTAATAACATTTCAATTTTTACTTAAGATAATTCCTATAGCATCTAAGCCAAAGGATATAATATTTATATTTGAATACATAATTCATATTGTAAAAACTTTACAATGTTATCAGTTTCAATAAAATCAATTACTTCTTTGTAGTAATCGAAGTTTTCACATAACTTGAATAAAAAATTATAATAGTAAATAGCCAATCTAGATTTATCTGTTTCATCTCCAGGCAAGAGTTTATTTTAAATAAATATGCTAACAAATTCTTGCTATAGTTAATAGATCAGTTTGTGACATAGAATCAAAAACTTAAAAGAGCCAATCGTACTCAAAGAACTTTAGAGAATTTCAAAAAATTTATTGTAATGTTCTTCTTTATTTTCACTTCTCAATTCATCAACTATACCTATATTTAATTGAATACCAATCATACATTGTATGTGTAATTCTTATAATTGTGAATACCTCTTACTTTTTTTATATTTCTTTAAGATCTATTATAATCAATATTTTATCAATAAAATACATGGATGAAGTCAGTCTAAGCTCCTTGTATCATTATTTAGTTAATTTTAGATTTGATGTTCTAATTTTTTATATATAATATACTTAGTAAAATTAAAAATGAGGAAACCACCACTAAAAATATTATTGGAAGATAATGAACTTGAAATAATTAAAGCTAAAACCCTTGATGTACAATTACAAAAGAAACCAACTAGTTTCTATTCCAACATTTCTGATGGTTAAGAATAACTAAGTGAAGGAAAGCTTTATTAATGTGACTCTTCGTATTCATCAAGTAGTCTTCATAGTTCGAGAACACTTCTTGAAGAATCATAATGGTAGAACTACTAAAAATGTATAGGTAATAAAAAATACAATAAATATAAAAAGATTCTGAAAGTCTCTCAGAATAAGCCAGGAAGGTTTTTCTAATCCCTACATCATCTTCAGAAGAATGGTTAGCTAATTTTACTGAAAAATGTTTACAAGTTGAGTTATTTTTTAAAGACTCTACTTTTAATACAATTATTGAAACAACATTTACTAGTGATGATCAATAATTAAAATAAATATTGGTGCTTACATTAGATTACTTCACTAATTTAATTACATTTACTTTTTTCTTATTATGGAAAGCAATTTGGAATGAAAATTAATAAGACATGGCTTTATTTGTTTCAATTTCTAATTCAATCACTGAAATTTTAGAATTAATTATATCTTTGAGAATTAAAGAGTTCAGAATTGACTTATAACTCCTTACAATATTTGAATCTGTTATTTAGCCTTTTCCTGATAAGAATATCTTTAAAGATTGCTTAGACTCTCAAAGGGGTTCATTATCAATTGATATCTTACAATAAAAAATATTTATTCCTTTATTGAAACATAATCAAGTATTACCTTGGACAACTGAGGAAGTTGCTTAAGTTTTAAGCTTAATCAACTAATAATTTTACACTGATCTTTAAATACGAAATATTATAATTAAGGGAGGATTAAATAACGTATAATTTTAATTCTAAATTTAGTACTTTAGAAGAATCAATACAATATCTTAATTTATCATATATTCTGTTGTACGTCACCCTAACAAACATGATCGTTAGGATGCTTTAGGATATTGGATTGATTTAGCAGAAAAATTATAATCAAATTATGATCTTGAAGGACTTTTTATTGTCTACAAATATGGAATTTAATTATTATTAAAAGATTATATTGGAAAGATGCCTGTTCTTTTTAGAGACTTAAATAGAATTCCAAAAATCAATGCATTTTATGAAGAACATATAAAGGATAATTTTAAAGATTTCGAAAATCACAAATAACATCTCTATATTCCTTCTTTTCATAAGTTTATCACCTAAATCAAGAGATTAGAATTATAAATCAAAACTAATAAGAGTCTTTTTCATTAGATATCTGATATAATATTTTAATTAGTCAAAATTTCTAAAAGATAATAGATACTTCATCAATAAATGTGTTTAAAAGTAAAGTTACACTTTTAATTATTTAGATCTCTGAAAATGAAGAATAGATGATACACTATTTTACTAAGGGAATTGAAAAAGAATTGGAAACAAATCTTTAAATTCCCCTAGATAAAGAAACTTTAGTGTATATAGAATTGATTAAATTGGCAAAGAATATTTATTGACAAAAAATAATTATGAGTTGTTTCATATTTTTTTATTAATAATCTTATTAAAGTAAAAAAATTGTGAAAAATAATATAAATATTTTGTGAACTTTGTCAATAATCTTAAGTATAAAAGACATGTAATTTTATTTATTCTAAAAATATATAATTAAAATAAAATTCTATAATTTAATAATGAGATCTTTAAATCTTTATATATAAAGTATTATATTAAATTTGAATAAAAAGATATAATTTAGGAATCGCAAAAATATATTATATAAGTAATTTTAATAAGAAATGTTGTAATAGAGCATTGAAATTTAGAAAGGAAGTTTGTTATTGAATTAATAATAAAAGGAAATGTAAAAAGTGATTAAAATAACTTAAAAAGTCTTTCTTTGCAAAACAAAATAAAAGAATTTATTATGCATTTATATGTTTCATGGTATATTCAAAAACCTCCTCTTAATTGAATGACCATATGTACAGTATCTCCAGCTTACATTTAAGCGTCAGAGATTTTATATTCTTCTTATAAATGTTTTCCCTTAAAGATGAGCTAAAATAATAGTATTTGAATACATACTTTAAATTATTCTGAGCTGATTCCTTCTTTTTCTTATAATTACATTTTAAGTTATTGAATAGTATTATCAGCTTCAATATTGTAAGAGACTTTTTTGCCTGCTAATGTCTTAATAAAAATTTGCATGAAATAAAATGAAAAAATAATAATGAATAATATTTTTGAATACATTTAAAATAATACAATAATAAGAGTACTGATAAATACTGTTATGTATTAGGAAAAATAATTTAAGAATGTAATAGAATATAATTTGAAAGAAACATCATATTAGATAGAATTATATTAATAAATTAAAGAATAAATAAAAAATTTTTGAAGTAGAAAAGTTTTGACTGAATAATTGTGAATTAAAAGAATTAATCTAATTATTTAGCACATATTTTAGAAATTAATTCAAATTATAATATTAATGTTAGAGTATCGTTAAAATAATATATAGGTTGTAGTAAGAGTAAAGCCAGAATAAGGTTGTATTTAGGTTGATGAATGTGATTCAACATTTTTATAAATATCAAACAAGTAATATCACTATGATCATGTAATACCTCCAAAGGCTTCATAATAGGATGTATTTACATTACTAGGTTAACCATTAATAAATAATGCTTTATAAGGTTATAATGGATGTGTATTTGCTTATGGTTAAACAGGCAGTGGTAAAACTCATACATTAATTGGTAATAATGATGGATTACTTCCTTAATGTTTATAATATATATTTGCATGTTCAATTGAAGATCCTAACACAATAATTAAAGCTTCATATTTAGAAATCTATAATGAATAAATATTTGATTTACTTTCATCTTCTTCAGTTTCTTTATAGATTAGAGAAGATCCAAAAAAAGGAATTTATGTAGAAAATTTGATTGCCGCTGTAATTTCAAATTATGACGAGGCCATATCTTTACTAAAAAAAGGAAATTCAAATAGACATATTGCAGCTACTAAAATGAATAATGAAAGTTCAAGAAGTCATGCAGTATTTTTAATTCAATATTCTAATTCAATTTAATAAGATTAATGTGATGTATATATCTATTCAAAAATGTATTTTGTTGATTTAGCTGGTTCTGAACGTTAAAAATCTGCTTAAACTGAAGGATAAAGATTAAAAGAAACTTCAGCTATTAATAAAAGTTTAACTTAACTTGGATTAGTTATTTATGCTATTGTAGAAAGAGAAAAAGGAAATAAATAAATACATGTTCCTTTTAGAGATTCTAAATTAACTACTCTTTTAAAAGATTCTCTTGGAGGTAATTCTAAAACATTTATGATGGCTGCTGTTAATCCATTACATGAAGAAGAAAGTATTTCTACTTTAAAATTTGCAGAAAGAGTTAAACAAATTAAAATCAAAGCTCATGTTAATAAAGAATATTCTGGTGAAGAAATTACAAAGCTAAATATTCATATTTAATAACTTAAAGATGAATTAATTAAAAAAACTAGAGAATTAGAAAATATTTAACCTAGTGATGCTTTATAAATATAATTACATATGTAATTTGATGAAATCTAAAAATTACTTCAATAAATACATTAAAGTGCCACACAAATGGAAATTGAAACTGTTGAAGGACAATTGTAAGAGTATGCTGAAAAAAAAAGTTATATTATTTAAATTTTAAAATCTTTAAATTTATCATTTAAAGAAGAAGAAACAACCAATTATTAAACCTTAAATGAAAATATTGAGTATTAGAATTAATTAAAAATACAATTGTTATAATAAGAAGATGTTATTTATAAATTATAAAAAAAAAAAAAAGAATTAGAATAAAGTATTATCGATCAATAATCAGCTCATAAAACTATTCAAGCTTCAACATAAAAAGGATTTGAAGATTAAATTAAAATTAAAGATTATCTTTATGATTAAATTAAAGAAGATTTTGATTAATTAGAAATCTCTAAAATGACCTTATAACATCAATATGATGAATTAAAAGAAGAAATTCAATAATATATTGATAAAATTTAATAAATGTAAATTCAATTAATTCAAAATTAATAAGATTAATCCACTCTTTATGAAGAGAAAAATCAAAATATATTCAAACTTGATTAAGATTTATAAAAATAAATTGAATATAATTCTTAATTAAGATTGTAATTAGAATAAATTCATGTTGAAATCTTTTAAAATAATTAAGTATACTAAGATGAAAGTAATCAATTACATATTTAAATTCAATAATAATAATTAGAAATTAATAGATTATCAGAATGGGTATAATAATTAGAAGTTGAAAATCTCAACATCAAATCAAATAATGATTTTAAAAGAGAGTATGATTAATTGACTTAATAATATTTTAATTTAAAAACATAATATTAGCACTTAGAATAGGAATTAAATTCTCTACAAACTGAGAATTAATATAATTTAAGTGTAATAGAAAATTTAGAAATATCAATAAAATCTTTAGAATTATTTGAAGATAATTGGAAATAAGAAAATCAATTATATAAGAACACAATTCTAGATTTGCAAGAAAAACTAAATTAAAAATAAGAAATATTCTTAAACATCCAAAAACAATTTAAATTAGAAAATAGTGAAAATATTATTATAGAATTGAATAATAAAACAAATCAGTTTTATAGAAATGAATAGAAATTAAGATAAGAAATATCATAATTGAAATCAGAACAATAGTTGTAAATTTAAAAAATACAAATAAGAGACTAAACTATTTCAGATTTATAAAATGAATTATAAGATTTACAAAAAACTCATAGAACAAGTGAAGTATAAAAATAAATTGATTATAATGAGAAAACCTAAGGTCAAAGATAATTGGAGTAAAAGGTTGCTACTTTGAAATTAGAATATGAAAAAATTTATAAATCTAAGAATGCCTTATTAGTGGAATATACAAAATTAGAGAATAATTCGAAAGAATTTGAATCATTCTTAATTATGTTAGAGAAGAAACTATAAGAATATGTATCTAATACCTTTAGAAAAAATAGAGTGATGAGTTAAGAATAATAAATTTTATATCTAAAAACAACATAAATTAAACAATCCAAATTTGTTGTCATTGAAGCTTTGGTTGATATAGTTATTGTAATTTATTGTAATAAATTTAGTTAGATACAACCGATAGGTAAATTAGAACATTTTCCTAAATCAGAATTAATTGATAAATATTTTATACTATAATAAATTAATTTTTATCAAAATTAATCTATTTATGTTATATAAAGAATTTTATTATATGTAGAACAAAATAAAGAAAATAATTGTTAAAGATGGAGTGACAGCATTATTTGATGAACAACAATATCCAACTGGAAAATGTGCAGTACTCTTATGTAATAAAGACAGGTTTCATACTAAATTAAATTAGATTTTTTGTTTCTTTAATAGAAGCATCTGCACATTTAAGTAGAGAATATTTTGATTTACATATAGATGAAATTAAAACAGCTTTATCCAAGAGCTGAATTAATAAAATATGTTTTTGAAGTTGCATAAGAAAGTAAAGTAAACACTTGCCTTTCTTTGTCTATTGTAAATGCAGCTAATGATAGATTTAAATAAATTTTATCCATTTTACCTTATGTTGATTATTTATTTGGAAATGAATAAGAAGTAGGAAAATTTGGAAAAACATAGATTGTAAAGGTGGTTTAGAATAAATAATGAAAAAGATAGCAGCATATAATAAAATTGGTGTTAAAGATAGAGTTGTTGTTTGCACATAAGGTCATAAACCTATTTTAATAGCTTTAAAAATGATTTTCTAAATGTAAATGTAGAAACTGTAGATTCATCAAAAATTGAAGATACAAATAGTGCTGGAGATTCATATTGTTTAAGGTATTGTTAAATTATATTATAATTAATTAGATTTATAGCTTAATTATTAAATGGACCTGATCTAATTAAATGTGTTAAAGATGGAAATTATTCTGCAGCTTAAACAATTTAACATGAAGGTAGCACTATACCAAATTATCAGTCAGATTTTAAATTTTGATAAGATAATTTATATGAATGAATATTTTATCAAATTATATTAATAATATCATTTCTTTGAATTTATTATTTACAAATAAATAATTTAAAAATTTATTATAGTGCTACAAACAAAATGAATTATTATCATCTTATTCTTGAAGTAATTTTAAGGTAAAACACTACTCTTATCTTAACAAGTGAATATCTACCACATTTTTGAGCTTGTTTATTGAAATAAGGAATTAAAATAGATGATTCATTTAAGCACTAAAAGCTTTAGTATTATTCTTAAAATATTTAGAAAGAATTATAAATTTCTTTGATTGAAATTCATTAGGGTAAAAGAAAAATTACCTTAGATAATTTCTAGATTATTGTTAGATCTATAAACTTTCTAAGAAAATTTACTTACTTATTTAAAAGAGTAAATTAAACATAAAGTGATAATTTTGAAAAATCTATCTTTCTTTGAATTTTAGGTTTATTTAAAGATAAAAAATACTTTAAAAATTAAAAGAATTATTATTAATTACATATTTTTGATTCTAAACAACAATTAAAACTAAGATAGTGTTTGTCTCATTAATTTTATTATTTAACATTCAATCACAGTTACAAATTTATTAGCTAATTAGTCTGGGTTTTTTAAAGACCTTGTTGCTTAAATGATTATAGAAACTAGACATAATTCAGATATATGCTTTGTAAAATCAATATATTCTTTAAACTAAAACAAAGTTAACTATTTGAGTTCATTAAAAATGTTATGAAAATAAAAAAAATATTCATTTATTTAAACTTTTAGCTTTCTCTTATTATTCTCTTCTTGGAGATATAAAGTAACTTGTTTTATTAGTTCTTTTTATTTTTTCTTTAATTTATTCTATATGTCTATTTGCTCTTTCTTCTGCCATTCTGCTTTTAAGTGAAGGTCTTGTATCTATCATTTTATAATATTCTTCTTTGAAAGACTTTACTAATGCTCCTATTTTTGTAGAATTATTTAATTAAGTATTATCACATACTTTTGCTGTTGTTAACCCACTTTTACTTCTTTTACATTTGTTTTCTCCTTTACAAAAGTTCAAACAATTATTTAATAATGAATGTAAATCTCTTCCTAATTGAGTTTATTTATTGAAAGGTTTTAAAAGTATTTTCTCACAAAAAAGATAATTATTCTAATCTGTATTACCTAGAAGAATTCTATTGATTGCAAATTCAAAACGTTTTTTACAAGATAACCAATCATCATCTACTTAATTTGTTCCTAAAAGTATTAATGTTTTGACATAATTTTAAACATCACAAGTAGGTTTCATAATAGTAGCAATTTTTTAGTAAATCTATTAAGATTACGCTTAAATGAATTCACATTTCATTAAAGTAATTAAAATATTAATAATAAAAAATAAACAAAACAAATACTATAGAGAAATGTCTAGAATTATAATAAACAAATTTACAATTCAAAATTTCTTAGATTTTTTAAACAAATATAATATTTTCAAAATATTTACTTAGCAATTAATTTAAATTTATTGTATTAAATTTTTTATGTAATATATTTAGGAAATATTTAGTTAAAATAATATATTATTTGATTTAAATTTACAAATAGTAATTAACAGATTTAAGACAGATTACTTTTGGTTTAAAATATTTTTACGTAAAATATTATACAGTATTTTATCATTTAAGTTCAAATTCATTTTAATGAAATTAATGAAATGATTATCCTTAAAGTTATATTTATGTTCCAAAAGTAGGTTTATTATGATGAAAACCTACAATATCTTATGCGGCTGTATTTCTCTTATTGGCAATTCTAGTTTATCTGGGAGATTTGTTTGATGAATGGGGTTTCTTAATTTCTGTGGTTTAGATAGGTGGATCATCACTAAATATTAAAAGAGAAAGAAATACATAAGTTTTAATTTTCTTTTGATTCTTAAAGCTTTATTCATAGCCAGATTGTTGAATGTATATAATGAAAAAATATTTCCAAAATTTTTCCTTTTCTCCATGTTAAATTTGAGAGTTCTTATAACTCTAGCTACAACTACTTTAGGGTTATTCCAACTAAAATAGTACTAAAAATTTTTTAATGCTTCAAAACCTTCTAATTCCATAGATACATATTATTGTTCATCATAAATAGGTATAGATAATTCTTAATTTTAAGTATGAGTATGATTATCTTAAATTTTAGTTTTAATTGTTTTAGCAGTTTTGCTTCTATTAGTTTTAGTTGTCTTTCTTCTTAATTAATCTCTCTTATCAACAGATTAAACTGATGGATATATAGGAATTTCTTATGAAAGTTCCTTTATATCTTTTAATTTAGGTTTTTTAATGGGATTCTAAATGGATTATCCTCTTTCTCTTGTATCAACTTAAGTTTAAGAAGAAAAAGGTTTATATGAATCTTCTTTTTTTTATTTACGAACTAGTGTTATTTTTCTACCAGGTGTTCTAGCAGATTCAGCTGGATTAGGTAATCCAAGAGAATCATTCTTCATTGAAAATTTATAGTCTTCTAATTTTTAAAGATTTGTTTAAGAAAAATTAGATGGTTTATCATGAACAGAATCTGTTTATTATTCTTCTTATATAGATACAAGTCTATTATGAAGGGATTCACTTACACCAAATCCTGCAGTTTAAATAGTTTATTTAATTTATTTAACTCTTGGTTTATTAGGACTAACACTACCTTTAGAACTATCACTCTCTTATATAGGTTGTAAATGATTATCTTATGAATAACTTCTATTTTAAGATTGTTATCTAGATATTTTAGATAAACTTTTTGTGAGAGATGCTAAAGTATTAAATTATCTAATTACAATATTCTTATGGAGATACATCTTATTCATTATCATCATAAGATACATCAAGTTCATCATCCATTATCGTAACATTATCTAAAATTTATTTTGTTTAAAAATTTCTAATCAAAGTCATTGTTTTCTTACAATCTTTAAGAGTTTCAAACTTTTAGCGTACCATTTTCCTTTTAAAATTTTAATTCCTATCTTAAAAAATTGGGTAATATTCTTTTTTAAGTACTCTTTCTTGATCTGCCACATAATGTAATACTGGACAATCTTTAATTAGATGAGTGAATTTTTAACAAGAATAACAACTCAACTTAGATGGTTGATAATTACTTGATAGAAGAATACTATCTCTGACTTCACAAAACCTTTCCTCTTGATAATAATATACAATTTACCAAATCAAGTGGAGTTTATCCTAAAACTTATAGTAATTGTTATCTAGATATTTTATAAGCTCTTGAAAATCCTATACTTTTAGCTGATGCAGTTCTATTCATACCTGTGAAAAATGAATACTCACCAAAAGATTATCCTTTTGTAAGGTATGATAGAGCTCTTGTGTTACTTCCTTAGTTCTCATCTTAAAATTAGATACATACTATGCCTTTTGTAATTATATATAAAGCAGCATCATCACAAATACCTTATTATATAATTTAATCTTCTGGCGAAAACCTAACTTCTTCTATTTAAAGAGATAGTTATTTCAAGACCTTTTAAGAAAACTTTGTTAAAACTTTATTAGTTTTCATTACATTAAAACGGATTTCAAAATTAAGTTCTTCTTATAAGCTACTAGATAATTTAGTTGTAATTTAAGAAACTTCTTCATCATTAATTTCTTATTCTTCTTAAAATATATAATCATAATAGTTTCTGATTCTTGATTGCAATTCAACTTTAATTTAGTTCTTTACCAAATATTAATTTAATAAGTTTATGCTTTTTTTATATAAAACCTATCTTGAATTTAGATTGCTTAACATTAATCCAATAGAATTAAAAGAGAAAGCAAAGACCCCACATGCTAAAAACATACTAATATTAGAACAAATTCTTTCTACATTATTTTATGGAGTTAAATCACCATAACCCACTGTAATCATAGTTTATACAGCCCAATAAAATGCATAATTATATTTTGAAAACATATCAGCCTCATTTACATATTGATCTATCCAAGTTAATCTGTAACCCTATTAATAAAAAGCAACACCATGCCATAAACAAGCAAATAAATGACCCACGTACAAAACCATAAATAGCAATTTTATTAATTCTATGAAATCTTAGTATGTACCAGTCAAATTGAAAAACCTAAAATCATTCATATGGCATTTACTCTTCCAATTTATGCACACGTCCTTGTAATTTAAACAATCTACAAAAATAATATATCGAATATGGACACAATTGCCATCCTAATTTCTCATTTGAATTGTCTATTTCAAACTCTATTGCAATTAAAAGTGCAGTAAATGAAAACTAAATTTATTTAAACTAATAATTTTACTAAATCATAAACTGCTTAACCTTCCAAATAATTCATAAATATTTTTCTCCTTGATTTTATAATTACTCCCTTTTCTATATAAGATGTATTGATCACTATTAATGCATCAATTATTATTGTAATAAGAAAGTAATTTTCAACATTTTTAACTGAAACTCCAGCAAATACAATCTATTGATATGTAATTCCAAAAGATATATTGAAAGGAGTCCAAAAAAATACAGTTATTATTGTTAAAATATGAATAATTTACCATCCTATTACTAAATAGCTACTTTAATCAAGTATTGGAAAGAATCTTAATCGTTTACAAATAGTACTCAACCAATGTTTTGATGATCTACTATGTTAATACATATAACGAAGATCATCCATTAAAGTATTTTAAAATTGAGAAAAATGTGATGGCTTTTTAATGTAAGATTTTTGTAACATGTTTTCAATAAATCGATTCGAATAACTTTTTGCAATCACTGCTTTTAAAAAATTCTTCATAAATTCTTTTTGTGTTGTATTTGTTTGAGTTAAATCCTTAAAATCTTTTGTTTCTTTTTACTATTCTGGTTTCCGAATAGAAACTAAAGGGTTTTCTTCAATTATAGAATCAGAAGGTGATAACTACATTTTTCTTGGAACTTTATTCACATCTAACTATTGAGATTATTATGAAATAGCATTATCTATATATTAACTCCCTACTGTTGGTGGTTTTACTGTATAATCTCCTTCATCTAAAGGATCTATTTTACAAGTAAATCGAGATGGACCCCTAAATTACTTATTATTTGAATCCTCTAAATTACTTAATATGCTTCTACCATGATGTTGCTCTATATTGTAACAATAATCATATTCAAAAAAGAAATCAGAACTCATTTATTAATTTATATTACTAAATTCTCAAATTAAACTCTCATTCTTTATTTATTAATTGTTATCTTAAAATACTATAACTTCTTTGATTATTTCCCAAAAGCCTCATTTTAACAAACTACCTCTTTTTAACTAGTATTTTATTTATTTGTTTAAATATAAATATTATCTGATTTAAAATTTAGATAAGACTCTCCATAAACATTCAATATATACTAAATATTTTAAAATTGATTTTCCCATCAGGTTTCCTTAAATGGGGATAATTTTATATTTAGGAAAAGGTTTATTTTTTCTTATTAATTAAGCTTTTTAATTAATCAATCGTTCTTTGGAATTCCTTTTTGATTCACCAATAAATTTAAGTTGAATTTTATGAACACCTTTAAAAACCTAAACCTAAACATAAATCAAAATTAATTTAATTATTTATTAAGTAAACTTTCTTATTTTTAACTTAAGCTTTATTTTGCACTCTAAATACATACAATCGGTCATATATAAATAATAAATATGATAAATTATGGTAATATTTTCTTTTTCTCGATATATGACTCTTATTTTTGTATATTACATATTAATTTATTTATTTAATAAGATTATCATTTTCTACGTTTCGAATTCTGAATAAGATAATATATTAATTATTATTCAAATATGTACTTAGAATAATAATTATCCTAACTAAATCTAATTTTTCAAAGTGTTAATTCAAATATATAAATTGAGCTATCATCTCTATCAAAATAAGCACATTATCAAAATATAGAATAATTAAATTTATCTGTAAAAATAATGTTAAAACAACCATAAAGATCTTGCTAAAACTACTACTAGTGAATCTCAAAGATGTGAAATATTATTTTTTTTGGAAAGTAACTTAGATGATATAATTATGAGACTTTTAAAAAAAGTTTTTTGAAATTATATTGTATAAAGAAATGTAATCAGGAAAAAAATTGGTATTATTTTTAAATGTATGTTTTAAGTCACATTTTGAAATTTTAAACTTAAAATAATGTACATCTTTTGAACAAGAGAAATATATATATATATAAAATAAATCATTTTATTCTTTGAAGAAATTAGATACTTCTACTTTAAATATCAAAAACTCTTTCTTGTTAATAGATATAGTTAGAGTGATGGTTATATGGTAGAATAATATTATTTAAACAATTTAAAATGAAAAATAGATTCATATTTCCTTACAAATATTCATGAGGGCGTTTCTGAATTAGAGATGCCATTATGGATCTTTTATCTTTGAATTAAATACATAGGAGACATATTGCTTCTTGACAAAATACCAACTTTAAATTTTAAAGAAATTAATACCATATTTTTCGAAAACATTGATGTAGAGAATTCATTTCTTGATTTTTATGAGGTTTCATCAATTTGATCAAAGTTGTGAGGTTCTATATATTATTATTTTTCTTTATGAATGAGAAGAATGTTTTAGGATTACATGAAATGAGATCATTATAGTATCCTTTTAAAATTTGCTGTGTGATCACTTTAGAAATATTTTTTGGTATGTTTTTGGATTTAGTAGAATCTTAAAGTCTAGGGACAGGCTTTTTAATGGGCAGTTTTGTCAAAACCATCTTCCTCATCTCTACTTTCCAATTTATTCTTTTTTAACTTATTAGAGGAGTATCACAATTTTCATTATTTTTATTGAGTATAGTAAAGCTCTCTTCTAAGGATTGTGTGACACTCATGTTCTGTTTATTTATTTAAATTATTTTTATGAAAAAATTTACAGGCCTATTAATACACCTATCGTTTGGTGGTATTTATATGTAATATTTAGTTTAATAATAACTTTTATTTCGCATTTTGCTTTTTATACATTTTAAAATAGGATTGGTTTTAGTTTTAATGAATCAAACTCATAGAACTGGATTAGAAATGATTGAGAAATCAATATCAATATCTATCATTAAATAATTAAAACATAGATTTATATTATCATAAAAGTAATTTGCTTTATATCTATTGATAATTTTTAGATTAAATATTGATTTGAAGAATTGATAACCGTTGAATATCCTTTTATAAATTAACATTAATAATAATAATAATAATAATATTTATAATTACTTAATTTTATACAATTATCAAGATAAGTTATTTTATCATTTTATTATTAATTATAAGTAAAAAATAATAACTTTTCAGAATTCTAAATGTTTCTAGTAGGAAAATGTTAAACTTTTTAAAGATATTTATTTAAAATCTTGAAAGAAGTTAATCTAAAATTTAGTTTTAAATTATTTTAAATAATAGTATATTTGTACCAAATTTTTGCTTCAGTTATTTTTTGCTTTCTTGCAATTTAGATAGAAATATATGAAAGCATAATTATAAAATGAAGGTTTTAAATAGAAAATATGGTATTTGAGAGAAATTTTAATAGCGTTTTAATTTTATTTAATAATTGAAAGAATTATTTAGAACTAAATAACTACTTTATGTTTTATAGCTTTCTTTTATATAGGCACTAGAACATGTTTTTAGGAAATTATATTAAGACTGCAATATAATATATAATATTAATTTTAAATTAATTTAAATTAAAATTAGATGGCAAGACCAATAAAATCTGTTATTGGAAACTTAATATATTAGGTTTGGATGGTATTAATGGGAATTTCCTTATATCTGATATATAGAGCTGTAACTTAGGATTATTGGTTGATACCTATTTTATTAGGATTTATTGTATTCTAATCGAAAGTTAAGAAAAGTGATAGATTTGTAAATTTTCTAAAATCAATGGAAATAATGAAATTTTTTAATAAAAATACAATTTAAACAACAGAAGAAGTTCGAAAGAATAATGTAATTGTAAGAATAGAATTTAATCTTAGTTTGCTTTTCATCCTCATGGTATATATAGCTATTCAACAATATCAAATACTCATACAACTGGAACATTTTTTGAAAATATGGTATTATTAGGATCAAATATGGCATTGTTATTTCCAATAGCTGGATTATTTTTGAAATTCTATGGAATTTAAGGAGCAAATCCTGAAAATTTTAAGAGATTATTATCATCTGGAGCATAAGTTGGATTATTACCAGGAGGATTTGAAGAGGCAACAATAACATCTCCAAAAGAAAACAGAATTTTTATAAAATAAAGAAAAGGATTTATTTATTATGCACTTTAGTATGGTACAATAATATATCCTGTATTTGTTTTTGGAGAAAACACTTTATTTAATACAATAGATTGGTTTTTACCATTAAGACTTTGGTTAAATAAATTTAAAATAGCAGGAACCGTGTTTTGGAGTAGATTTTTAACAATACCTGTAAATATTTTTGATTATTTATTTTTAATAGGAACCAAATCGAGAAATTCATACAGTTTGTGGTAAAGGTATCGTTTTGCCATAAATTTAGAAACCATCTCGAGAAGAGGTTGAAAAATATCATTAGATTTACATTTAAGCTGTAAAAGATCTTTATGATTAATATTCACCATTATATGCAAAGGGTATACCATTAAAAATCTTTTGAAAGTTTAATATATGTATGTAAATGAGAGAATCAAATTAAATTATGGGTTTTTGTATTTAAAATAATTTAATATATAAATCTAAAGCAGTATGAACTATATATGTTAAATAATTTATTGGACAAGCTATAAAATAAATGATAATAAAATTAGAACTGAAAATAAATAATTTATAATTAATTAAGGTTGAAATGTTAAGCAAATTAGTAAGAATTTCTCGTTTTAGACCTATTTTTACATTTTGTAATTAGAAGCCACCATAAGGTAATCATAATAATGAAGAAAGGGTTTGAAAAATTCTAGAGAAGACCTAAGTAATAATAAGCACCTTAGGAATAAAAAATCTAAAATCCTGAAGAAGAAAAAATAGAAGAAAAAAAGGAAGAAAATATTCAAGAAAATTAGTAAACAAAAAAATAAGAAGAGAAGATATAAAGAGAAAGACCAGAAGAGCCTTAATTTGAATAACCTAAATAAGAATAATAATAAAAAACAAATGAGCGATATTAATAAGAATAATTTTAATTTTCAAAGAGAGAGAATTCAAATAATGTAGGATAGAAACCAAAATAGACAGGGCCATCATAAGATGTATATAATTAATTTATAAAATAGCCAAATGATCCATTTAAGTAATATTTATTTATGTTTTTGGCATCTGCTCCTCTTGTATATTTATTATATAAAGTTTATGAAGAAGGAGAAAACCATATATCTTTTAATGAGTTTTAAAGAAATTATTTGGAAAAATAATTAGTTCATTCGATTCAAATATAAAGAACGAATGGGGAAATGATAGCAACAATATACACAGTAGAAGGAAAGAAAAAATTAAAAATAATGGATTTAGATTATTTTCTTTAAAAATTAGATGATTTGAGAAAAGAAAATAAATATGAATAAACTTTACCAATAAATTTTTAGAATTAAGATGAAGCTTAAGAAACAACTGCAAATATAACAAAATATGCATAAATATTATTTTATGGAGGAATATTCTTTATATTATTTTAATTTTATAAAAAGATGTCAAAAAGTTTAACAGGAATGGCAGGTGATATGATGAGTGGTATGACAAAAATGAAATCTAAATAATTTGAATAGAAAATAAAAATAAAGTTTAAAGATGTGGCAGGTTAAGATGAAGCAAAAGGAGAAATAAGAGAATTTGTAGATTTTTTAAAAGCACCAAAAAAATATAAAAAATTAGGAGCTAGAATTCCAAGAGGTGCATTATTAACAGGTCCTCCTGGAACTGGTAAAACTTTGTTAGCTAAAGCATGTGCTGGTGAGGCAGGAGTACCTTTTTTTTATGTTAGTGGATCAGAATTTGTTGAAATGTATGTTGGATTAGGAGCAGCTAGAGTTCGTGAACTTTTTAAATAAGCTAAATCAAAAGCACCTAGTATAGTTTTTATAGATGAAATTGATGCAGTTGGGAAGAAAAGGAATTCAAAAGGATCAAGAAATGAAGAAAGGGATAATACATTAAATTAATTATTAGTAGAAATGGATGGTTTTGGAACTGATAGTACTGTTGTTGTATTAGCTGCAACAAATATGAGAGATTCATTAGATCCAGCTTTGACTAGACCTGGTAGATTTGATAGAAGTATTGAAATTACATTACCAGACATTAATGGAAGAAAAGAAATATTCTTAGTACATCTTAAGCCAATTAAATTAGATCCTTCTAAAACTATAGAAGAATATGCTAAAAGGTAATATTCTTTATAATAAATATTAGATTAGCCACACTCACACCTGGATTTTCAGGAGCTGAAATAGCAAATTTATGTAATGAAGCTGCAATTTTAGCTGCTAGATAAAATAGTATATATGTTTAATCAACTCATTTTGAATAAGCATCTGAAAGAGTAATGGCTGGATTAGAAAAGAAAAAGTTTATGAGTGAAGAAGAAAGAAAAGTTGTTGCATTTCATGAAAGTGGTCATGCTGTAGTAAGTTGGTTTTTAGCTGGAGGAGATCCTTTATTGAAAGTATTTTCTATTATCATTTATTTAGTTAACTATTATTCCCAGATCTAAAGGATCTTTAGGTTATGCATAATATTTACCTAATGAAAGTAATCTATAAACAATGGAAGAATTGAAAGATAAAATTTGTTGTGTATTAGGAGGTAGAGTCTCAGAAAAATATTTCTTTTAATCCATTACAACTGGAGCTAGTGATGATTTAAAAAGAGCTTATGATTATGCTAATGCTATTATTACTAAATTTGGTATGAATGAAACTATTGGATAAATTGGTTATTAAGAAGATTAATATTCAAAGGATTACAGTGATAAAACTAATGAAGTAATTATTAAATTATATCTCCTAGATTATTGATCAAGAGATGCAAAAACTTATTTAATAATGTACTTAAAGAACTGAACAATTAATCTAAAAATATGAAGATAAAATTAAGGCACTAGCTGAATTACTTTTAGAAAAAGAGTCATTAGATTTATAATAGATCATCAATTTATTGGGAGAAAGACCTTTCCCTCCTAAATCAAATTATAAGGCTTATCTTGATTTAAAGAAAGTTGAACAAGCTGAAATTAAAAATGAAGAATTAAAAGAACAAAATTAGGATTCCCAAGACGATCATTAATCATAATAAAATCCTCCAGATTAAAATGAATAAGCTAATACTGCCAATCCAAAGGAGTGATTTTTATTTTAAATATATCATTTATATTCTTCAAATATTATTTTGACAAATGGGACAAAAATTAAACTTTAATTTCCATAACTGACAACATTTGAAATCAATTCTTTTAAGATTTATGAAATATTATTTAATTTAAATATTGTTATCATTATTTTTATCTTTTTATATAAATTTCATCTTAATGTTATGAATCTTTTGCACTTTCTACTTAAATTCTTTATCATTTCATAATATATTGATAAAAATTATTAAATCATTATTTAATTATTTAATTTTATTCCATTTTTTAGTTATACTTAAAAGTTTGCATATTTTTCAACTATATATATTTTGATTTTTCATCCTAAACTTTTAGTTTTAAATTCTTTTTAAATCAAACTTATTATATATAACTAATTCTAAAAACTGATTTGATATTGTCATAATTAAATTTATAATTCATTATCTATCATAATTTAATTGATTTTTATAAATTTTCGATTTATTATTATATTTTTAAATTTATTTAAATTTCTAAATTTTTAAGTTAATAAAAAGATTATATAAAATATTTCAAAGAAAAAAATTAGTGATGAATAAGAATAATAAGATAAATTTTGATGCATTTTTTTTTCTAGATTTTGAAATTATAATAAAATAAAGAATAATTAGAAAATTAATAATCAAATAATTGAATAAATAAATATACTAAAAGTACTTAAATATCACAATTATTGCAATAAATAATAAATTTCAAGGGCTATAAAATCTTAGGGCTGATTCTTTAATATGATATTTTTAACTTGAATAAGAATAAAACTAAATACAGGTATTATCTGCTAATTTATCTCATTTTATCATAATCATAAGGTAGATGTGAAACTTTCATTTATAATAATGGATTTTCTTTAACATCAATAGATGGAAATTTAAGTAAAGCCTCTTGTCCAACTTCAAGTTAACGTAGTTTTTCCTCTAATGTTCTTTTAGGAGCACGCATGCTTTTATCGAATTTAAGCCAACCTCTAATCAAATACATCTATTCTCTACTAACTTATTTTTCAAAGTCAGTTCCTCCCTTTATAGAGTGCTATTTGATTTAATGGTTTAAAGGATCAGCTCTGACAGTCCTTATCATTTCTTCAGTTGGTTTATGAACCATTCTAGGACTGCCAAAATTGACCTAGTATCGATGAGTATCAAGACCTTTATAAGAAACATCGTATTATCCAATACTAGGACTGATATTATGACTTCGAGTAATTTTCAAGTGTTTTTATGAATGTTGGCAACGCTGCTTGATATCACTTCTTACAAAACCCTTTTATTGGTCATCAACAGAACTACATTGTAAGTAATATTTGATTTGCTATCTAAATTTTGATTAGATTGCGTATATTTTGATTATTCATGATCGTACAATTCTGTAATGGACTTAAGCATATTTAATAATTAAAATATATAAAATTAATATTGAAAAACAAATATCAACAACACTTCTTGTTTTTTTTGGAACATTTTATTTTATGTTTTAATTTTGATTATTTATCTCTTTCGATTGCATTAATCTCATCATCACTTGTACATGTATCTGAACTCTCTGATTCTTCAGCATGTGGTTTATGATAAATACAACAAACTAAATTCATNAATATTTCAAAGAAAAAAATTAGTGATGAATAAGAATAATAAGATAAATTTTGATGCATTTTTTTTTCTAGATTTTGAAATTATAATAAAATAAAGAATAATTAGAAAATTAATAATCAAATAATTGAATAAATAAATATACTAAAAGTACTTAAATATCACAATTATTGCAATAAATAATAAATTTCAAGGGCTATAAAATCTTAGGGCTGATTCTTTAATATGATATTTTTAACTTGAATAAGAATAAAACTAAATACAGGTATTATCTGCTAATTTATCTCATTTTATCATAATCATAAGGTAGATGTGAAACTTTCATTTATAATAATGGATTTTCTTTAACATCAATAGATGGAAATTTAAGTAAAGCCTCTTGTCCAACTTCAAGTTAACGTAGTTTTTCCTCTAATGTTCTTTTAGGAGCACGCATGCTTTTATCGAATTTAAGCCAACCTCTAATCAAATACATCTATTCTCTACTAACTTATTTTTCAAAGTCAGTTCCTCCCTTTATAGAGTGCTATTTGATTTAATGGTTTAAAGGATCAGCTCTGACAGTCCTTATCATTTCTTCAGTTGGTTTATGAACCATTCTAGGACTGCCAAAATTGACCTAGTATCGATGAGTATCAAGACCTTTATAAGAAACATCGTATTATCCAATACTAGGACTGATATTATGACTTCGAGTAATTTTCAAGTGTTTTTATGAATGTTGGCAACGCTGCTTGATATCACTTCTTACAAAACCCTTTTATTGGTCATCAACAGAACTACATTGTAAGTAATATTTGATTTGCTATCTAAATTTTGATTAGATTGCGTATATTTTGATTATTCATGATCGTACAATTCTGTAATGGACTTAAGCATATTTAATAATTAAAATATATAAAATTAATATTGAAAAACAAATATCAACAACACTTCTTGTTTTTTTTGGAACATTTTATTTTATGTTTTAATTTTGATTATTTATCTCTTTCGATTGCATTAATCTCATCATCACTTGTACATGTATCTGAACTCTCTGATTCTTCAGCATGTGGTTTATGATAAATACAACAAACTAAATTCATATTAATCTAAAATTTATACTATTAGATTTTAATTTTCCAAGATTTTCATTATCAATAGTATCCTCTGTCCATTTAACAGATCTTTTCTTTTTTTCTTTCTTTTATTATTGTTACACTATCTCATGTTATTGATTTAAATTAAGATGCAATATAGTTTAACTTGTTTGACTTATTGTCTAAGTTTATGAAATCATGTTTTTTTGTGAGAATTATTATTATTAATATTATTATTATTAATATTATTATTATTAATATTATTATTATTAATATTATTATTATTATTAATATTATAATTCCATTCTCAAAGAAAGGTAATAATTTTATTTTATTCATAATTTTGAATATTTAATGTATTAATCAAAGAAATATGATGATTAAAATGAAATTGATTATAATTTAGAATTACAACAATCTAAAAATAGAATTAATATATATTTTATTTCATCTTAACGATCCCAATTTCCTTGGACGAATAAATTAATTTATCACGTAATTTTATTTTTCTATAAATTGTTCTGAATTATTATGATAATAAGAAGCACTTCTATATGTACAATTTCGATAAGGAATTTAATGCTTACTTGTAATTATACCTAACACATTATTGTATTCTCCAATATATTTATTAGTTTTGATTTTAGTTGTCTGTTATATTTTAGGAAGAGTAAATTATTAAAGATTGATTCTAATATTAGATGGACTACCTCCAGGAGCTATTTGATTAGATTATAAATCTTCAGTTTTGTAATTATCTAATTGTATTAGAGCACTTCTCTAAAGTTTGGAGAGTTCATTATTTAATTATGATCTTCTTTAGAGAATTTCTAGAAGTTCTTCTCTTTTGTGTAATTTAAGCATTAAAAATATTTATTTTTGTCATTTTTATTATAATTTATGATGATTTTCGGTGTTTATATTTATTGTAATAAATTAATGTTTTCAATAAATATTGATTTATATAAAATATGAGTAATAATGGAAGAGTGCAAGTGTATGAGAAATTATGTTAATGTCTGACCACATTAGAATTAAGAAGATATAATCATCATGCAAGAACTCCAGAAAAGGACATTAATTTGATAAAAGAATAAATCAATCAAGTATTATAAATAATAATCAAAAAAAGTATCTTAAGCAACATTTTAAGACCTTATGTTACTCTACTGAATTACGTAAGACATTAAAAAAGATCATACTATAAGGTGAGTTACATGAAATGAATTATAACTGGTAATTCTTTTTAATTAATATCTTAGGGTATTATTGGAGTTATCAGGTGCAAGAACAAAAAGAGTTTAAAATCCTAATGTTTATGATGAAGTAACAAAACTAAGAACAGACTATCCATAGTCTTATTTTTAAACAATTCAATTGGTATGATTGACAAATTAAAATTAGAGGATGTTGTGAGAACTGTTTCTCCAACTTTGAGAAATAAGAATAAAGAAAGAATATATGAAAGAAATCATGAATATGAAGCTAAAATAGAAAGAATTCTTGTAGCTTATTCTATCAGAAATCCATTTGTTTCATATTGTCAAGGTTTAAATTTTATTACGCACTTTTTGGTAAATAAATTAAAATTTTCCGAAGAGGATGTAATTATGATAGTAAAATTAATAGACTTTTTGGGCATTAAGTTCATTGATAGAGGAAATAATGCCATTAGATTATTATACTAATATGATTAGTGTTATGGTAGATACTAAGATTTTAGAATATTTTAGTAAAATATATGTTCCTCAATTGTTATAGCATTTTAAGGAGATTTATTTAGAAGCTAATTTTTATGCAATTTAATGGTTTGTATGTTTATTTACTCCAAATTTACATATAGAAATAGTAAAGGAAATATGGTTAAGAGTAATGGTTTAAGGTAATCGAGCTTTAATAGCGTCAGGAATAGCAATATTATTTATATTTGAGAAAGAATTATTAAAGTTTTCAGATTTTGGAGATTTATTAGATTATTTTAAAAAGAGTTTAAAAGAATATAATGATATAAATGAATTTAGATTTGTAGTAAATTAAATAGAAATAAAGAAAAAGCCTTTATTTGAAGCCAGAGATATGTTTCGTAAGATTTTAGAGAAAGAACATGAATAAAGTTTAGGAAATGAATCTCCAATGTTAGGAAAAGTTACATGTAATCCATAATGGACTGTTTGTAATTAAGTGATACATTTGAATAAAACATTGAAAAGATCATTTTCATTTTTTGTTTATTGTTAGAAAGAACCATGTAGAGTGATTAATGATTATTGGGATAGATATGATGATTCTAGTAGTAAATGTAGTAGTACAGCATCTAGTCCAAAAAAAAAGAAATAAAAAGAATAAGGTCCATAAGTATTATTAGGAAGATAATTTCATATTTGTTAGAATAATGATCTAGATGAAAATGACAAATATTTGTATCGTTCAACATTATTGGTTCATTAAGATTTAAATTCAGAAATATAAAGTAATGAAGATGATGAAGAAGAAACTATTGAAAATAATGAGAGTGTTAAATCTATTGAATAAGAGAATAATAGAGGAAGATCTATAACTATGAATAGATATATGCCTAGATTAAGTGAATAAGGATATGATGGTTTCTATAAATAGGCTGTTTATTTAATGAAATAATAACAACCTGCAGAACCTAGAAAAATTAGTGGAGAATTGAATTTATTCCCTGAAACTAAAAATGAATAAGTTTAACAAAAATATAAAGTTGCTAGATAAAGTATTAGTAGCATTGCTTTTGCTACTTAATTTGTTCAAAAATGAATGAACAAAATATATATTTAACAAATAATTATAAATAATAATTAATTTTTAATGTACGAACAAGAACTTCCATCAAATTTAGATGACTTTCCTAATTACAATCTTAAGTAATCTGCTGAATCTGAGAAAGTGATTGTAGATGATGATCAAAAGAAAAAAGCAGCTTATCAATTTATGCAATCCTTAGAAAAAAATCTTAGAACTAAAATTAGCAGTCCTTAATAAAGAATATAAACAATTGCTGTATCTCTTGAATTGTATGATACAATTTTTAATAAAATTTATTGCAATACTCTTTATAAGGTAAAAAGTTTAATTATGATATTTAAAAGGAAACTCTTTTTCCAATGGCTGAAACTTTAGAAGATGCTTTTAATGATGAATTTGATTCAATAACAAAATTACTATTTAATGAAAGCTGTTATAGACATGCATTCTAAAGTGTACAATAACAATTCAATTTGTAAACTGCTATTGAATCATGGCAAAATTATTAATTGCTATTTGCTGCACTATAATAAAAGTATACTAAATACTGAATTAGGCAAAATATTGATCTTCCTCTACCTCCAAGTTGGATTTGGGATATTTTAGATGAGTATGTCTATCAATTCTATGTGTCTTCCAGATGGAGAAAATTACTCAAGAATGATGAAATTGCTAATTTGTATAACATCTAAGATTTTTGGAATCTAGAAGAAATGCTACAAACATTAGAAACATTTTATAATCAAAGAAATAATTCACTCTAAACTACATTCTAATATTTAGCATATTATTCTTATTTAGCCACAGCTAAACTTCATGTTATGTCTGGTAATTTTACAGCAGGATATTCTATCTTATCATCTATCTAACATTCTGAATTGATTATATATAGTAAATCTGGAGGAGCCTATTAATCATTATTTAGTTATACTGGATTCTGTTTCTTATTAAATAAGGAGTATAAAAAAGCTAATCTTACCTTAACATTGATTGTTAATTACTTTAATAAATATAAATAGTTATATACAAAATCATATTAATATGATAGTCTAATCAAATAGCATGAAAAAATATTAGCATTGTTAGCTGTTACATCCTTATTCTATCCTGAAATCGAAGATAATATAATCACACTCTTAAAAGAAAGTAGAAATAAATTATTTGAAAAATATGAAAAAATGTTGAAGTATGATTAATAAATCATTGGAGAAGTCTTTCTATAATCTTGTCCTAAGATTATCAACACTATCAAAAATTTGAAAGAATTACAAACTGAAAAAGAACTTAATCCTAATGATTTAATCATTGATGTTAAAGATAAGATACTTAAAGAAGTTTTCGAAGCCAAGAAAATCAATGATGTTGAACAAGTCTTAGCTCTTTATAATTAAATCACTTTTTAACATTTTAATAAGGTAATTTAAGTATTTTATATTCTTTAAGATACTTCCTTAAAAATATGTCTAATTATATATTGACAGAAATAATGTTGCTTTATCTGAAAATCCTTTTGAATCAACTATTCTTAGTAAATTCTGGCAAAAATCTAAATTATTGGATATTGAAGTTTAAAATGATACTATACATGTTAAAGAAGCTCCTGTTAATTAGGTATAAGTTTTTAGTATTAATATTTTAGAGAGATTTCATTAATTAATTAGCTTAAATGAATGCAAATCTTGAGAAAAATATTTTAGAGTTAACTAAGAGTTTGTGATATTTATTATAGAATTTAAAAAAGTATATTAATATTTATATAAATTATGGAATTGCCTCCTCAAATTAGATTTAAAATATATAGATCTGTCTTAGATTGCTTAATACCTGAAGAAAAAATAGATTTCAAATACCTTTTTTTATGCAAGTTGTATATTTCTAAAACTTATGTAAATAAGAAAAAATAATGATAGAAAAATGAACATTATATCATACCATCAAATTTTAGGCTGATTTTTTTGGAGAAAAAAAATTATTAGGTTTTTGAAATTGATCCTCCTATTTTATTTAGTGACATTCCTTAAAAATTCTTTGATTAATAGCGTTTACCTTTAAATTAAAGATAAGTTTATACATATACGAAAAATAATAAAAATAGCCCATAAGATTAAAATTGTGTAATATTTAAAGAGTTTTGGTCACATATAATCATAGAAATGGGGAAAGATGATATTAAGAGATTTTAAGCATTTTTATTAAAATTACCGGAATAACATAGTATACCAAAATAATTGAGAGAATAGTAGAATTTTCTATAAAATAATTAAGAGATAAATGATAATTATAAGAATGATATAATAAGAAAGAAAATAAAGATAGCTCATTAAGAGTAATTTTGGAATCATCAGAAACCAATAAAAGAGATGGAAATGAAATTAATAAGTGAATATCAATAAGCTTATACAAATAATTTGGATGCTGTATTATAAGAGTTAATGACATATTGCAGTATATACAAATTAAGTCCAAATGATAAAGTTAAATATACAGAATAAATACAATTAATAAATGATATTAAACTGAATACAGAATAAGATGAGAATCCATATATGAGAAATCGACCTCCAAAAAAGATCAAGAGTAGAGAATTAAATTAAGGAAATAAATATGAAGAAGTAAAAAGCATTTTAAAACATAGTCTTATATTTAGTCATTTATAAATATATATGAATAATAATTAATTAATAAAGATTTAGGAAAATAATATATAAAGACATTTGGATTGAAAATAATCGATGACCTTTCAAGTAAGTATTAGTTAAATATAAATTAGAACAATAAAATATGAATTTAGTAAATGATTACAATTATGATGAAGGAGCTATAGGTTAATTATTTAAATTAATATAAATATAGCAATTAGCGGGTCTAAAACAATGTAGTAAGATCCAATAAATGAAGAAGTGATTTGTAAAAATATGTATCATAATTAAGATCAAAAAGCACAAGGAACCATAATAGACCCATCATTTGTTGGCTAAATTGAATTAGAAAATGATGGAGTTCAACTTGATGAACAACCTAAATCTAAAGTCAAGACAACTAATAAAGTAGTCCCTCTTATAGAGAAGTAATATCAAACTAATTTTGAATGGGAAAGAGATCGCAATTATATTCTTCAATAGATTAATACATTCGATTTTGACAAAAAATTTAATAGTAATTTTAATCATAATATTATAAAAAGAGGTTGACATCTATTCAGCAATCAAAGAAGACTATAAATTGAGTTTCAAGATTTCTAGTAGTGCTATTAGAAGATAAGAAGAGAGAGAAAAAGAATTTTATGCAGAAGTCAGAAAAGTTTATTCTAATGTGAGAAGATTACTCTAATATTTGTTTGAAGGATTAGAATAGAAAAAAAGTGAATAAGTTATTAAAGAGTATACTGAAACTCTGAAAGAAGAAATCAAAGTTATTAGAAATAAAATTAATTAACTTTAAGCATCTGCTTCAGATAGAGATAAGTTTAAAAGCATCCTATATGAAGATTTATAAAAATAAATTGAAAAGGCTATTAATGAGACGATCTGATAATGGCATTAATGAAACAATCTATTTATGAACAATATAATAATACAAACTTATTTATTTTCTTCAATATATTGTAAACAGTGGAAATTCTGTCAATAAACTACTAAATAAAGATATTGATTCAACCTTTACTGCTAAGTATTTTTTTACATTTCTTTCTATGTTTTATAAACCATAAATCTATTTAAATATCCTTACAAATTAACTGTTTCTTTTAACTGATAATTTTATAAGCTCTTTCTTCTAATATGTTGCCAATACTTCAAATGATGCATCACATTAGAGTTCATTAGAAATTGGATCTGTCCCTAAAGCTAAATTTAAATACATCACTTCATCTTACGACACAGACAATATTTACTATTAACAATATGATTCTTAATATGAATCTGATAATTTAATTCTTCTTTTCAATTCTTTATTTTACTAGTACAAAACACTCTCTAAAGGTGAGGTGTTGTTTTATAATTATTTTTTAAACTAACAACAACTTAATTTCTTTTTGTATCCTAAATATATACAACAAAAACAGATTGTAATAAAAATTCCACTTAAAACAGTAAAAAATGTGATAATCTAAGATTCACAGTTATATTAAAAATAGCAATAGATATCAAAAAATGGAGAGCATTTTGAATCACAGGTATTTTCTTTAAAATTAAAAGATGAATTGCTTTTTTGATTGTTATCCATTAATTCATCAAAATAAATAGTTTTCCAATCTAAAAGGGATCCTTCATTATTTAATAAACTAAAATTGCATGAATTTGATTCTCTGATTTGAGTCGAAAAATTTATATCTTATTAAACTATTTTACTTTTCTAAGGGTCTAAAGAAAGATCTATAGAATAGATTGTTTGAGTATTATTAGAGCAATTAAGAAAGCTTTAAAATTTACAAGAAATTTCACCAATATTTGTTATTTAAGCATACAATAAACCAAAACCTGATGCAGCTGAAAAATTGTGAATTTCAACTAAATCTATTTAACCTTTCTCACTTTCTTTAATATCTTTAATATATGTAATATCATTTGCATTATTGATTTATAATTCAATCGATGTAGTCATTGATTGATTGAAGCTATATTAGAGGAATAAGTCATCATTTATGTTAGTTTATTTAAATTATCCATATTTAAAAATCAAATATTAAGGTTAAGAATTATTAGCAATTAATTCTAGATCATTTTGATATAAATCTTCTATTTGATTTTATAAACAAGATTGCATAAGTACTTTACATTTCTATGTTTAATTTTTAAAAGAAGAATATGATACACCAATTTTATTACAATCGCCTTGTCCTACTAATTCTTATGGAATAAGCATATAGGCTTCTGATCCAATTTAAACTCTATTATGATCTATTGGTAAACTTGGTTTCATGAAATATAGATTTTCCAAAACAGGTGGTTATTATTATGGGCTAAAACCAGAAACAATTTTAGCAAAAATGTTTTAGTCTTTCTACTCTTATATTTCAGATCCTAAATTGAACTATTTAGTAAGATTAAGTGAATAGCTTATGGAAATAGTAATATTGTATTAGATTATAAATTGAGAAATTTTATAAGAGCTTAATAATATATAAAATAAGATACCTATACCAAAGAGGAGATTACCTAAGACAAAATGCTATGCTTGTTACTGCAGTTTTATTGCATATATTATCTCTGATTAGATCATCATTATCATCATTTTATTAGATTAAGTCTTAAGAATTACAAGAACAACAAAAACCTTGACTATCTTAAATTTTATTTTTTTCTGAATTTTAGAATTCACATGTTGGTGAATTAGAAAACCAATTATCATCACAAATTTTATCTGCTGATAATGGAATTTTAAATTCATAAGGTTTACTATTGTAATCTTTAAAATATTATATTGGATAATATGCATAAACAGGTGTCTGAATAATTGAGATATTAATAGGAGTTTACAATTATAAAGTGTTATTGTTGACTATTGTTTAATTGATTTAGATTTATTAAGTTGATATGTTTTGGGAGTTTTCTAATGTTAATTAGATAAACATGATATCAGAACAATCATTATTTTATGTTTAATCACAAAGTTCAATTTATGAATTTGTTATCAGTTCTTAAGATGTAATATCAACAAGTATCAATAAAATTACTATCATTATTATGCAATGTTGATTTAATCATAAATTTATAATGATTAAGTAATATTTTAGTTAAAATTTATATTCATTATTTATATGTTTATTATATTTAATATATTTTGAAAAATTCAATAAAAATTTTGGAATTAACAATTGTCTTAATCTGATGATTAATTTTGGCTATCATTATGATCACTATATATCACTACTTAATGATTTACAGGTAAAATATTTTTATAGATCACAGTATTTGGAACTTATAACATTACCATTATGGGAAGTGTTAGAACTATATTGACATCTTTAAAAATACTCTTAACCTAAAATAGATAATTGAGCTATTAAACTAAGAAAATTCCTCAAATTTAAAAAAATAAAATAAACAAGCAAGAAATGAATAAAGTGCTGTTTCAATTAATTGTTGTAGTCCTTAAAATTATTTATTTAAAATAATCTGGTGACTCTGAGTACTCTAATATACATACAATTTATGGTCCACTCAAAATACTATCAGAATTGAATTTTTTAAATTTTCAAAATTTTCTCTGCTCAGAGTATTTTTTAATTAACCACCAAAAAAGATATACCTACTCAAGCTATAGCGAAATAAGTATAAAAGAAAAATAATGCTATTGCAGCATCTTTTAAATAGCCTAAAAATGCAAATAACGCTAGCAGTATCATTCTCAAAGACTTGATTGCTGATATTGTTCTAAATGCTCTTAATACTATATAATGAGGACTGAAAAATCTAGATGCTCCATATTTCTCTTAAATACTCTTTCTTTGGTAATATTAAATCCTATTTTTGACAAGAACTTACTAAGGCAATTATCTTTAAAGTGGCTTGAATTGTATCATAGATTAAAAATAATAGATTTATTAGGTTGATAAATTCAATTTAGTCTTCTGCAGTAGGAGTATCAATTAAAAATATTACTGAATTAAATATAATTACTAAGTTTGTTATGATTTAAAAAAAATGGCATTAGTAATAATGTATGTTACGATTAATGAAACTGACTTTTAAAATATTAAGAATCTTATTCTTAGAACTAAAATTTGATATTTAGATAAAATATGATAGTTACTAATCCTTAGAATTATAAATCATTACAAGGTATAAATTTTAAATAGTTATTAATGACATTCTTTTTAATTGATAAACATTCCTTGATATTGGTCTTGCATTTATGATTATAATTCTTCTTAATAGATTTCTGCTATTTGTTTTTAAACTGTTAATTTCATTATTGATTTATATTAAAGTATTGATAGTATATTTCTTGAATAGTGAAAACATCTAAATCTCTTTTAATTTGTTCTTTCTCATCTTAATTGTGTAGTATTGATTGTGGAAGTATCATAAATATCNTATATTTTGAAAAATTCAATAAAAATTTTGGAATTAACAATTGTCTTAATCTGATGATTAATTTTGGCTATCATTATGATCACTATATATCACTACTTAATGATTTACAGGTAAAATATTTTTATAGATCACAGTATTTGGAACTTATAACATTACCATTATGGGAAGTGTTAGAACTATATTGACATCTTTAAAAATACTCTTAACCTAAAATAGATAATTGAGCTATTAAACTAAGAAAATTCCTCAAATTTAAAAAAATAAAATAAACAAGCAAGAAATGAATAAAGTGCTGTTTCAATTAATTGTTGTAGTCCTTAAAATTATTTATTTAAAATAATCTGGTGACTCTGAGTACTCTAATATACATACAATTTATGGTCCACTCAAAATACTATCAGAATTGAATTTTTTAAATTTTCAAAATTTTCTCTGCTCAGAGTATTTTTTAATTAACCACCAAAAAAGATATACCTACTCAAGCTATAGCGAAATAAGTATAAAAGAAAAATAATGCTATTGCAGCATCTTTTAAATAGCCTAAAAATGCAAATAACGCTAGCAGTATCATTCTCAAAGACTTGATTGCTGATATTGTTCTAAATGCTCTTAATACTATATAATGAGGACTGAAAAATCTAGATGCTCCATATTTCTCTTAAATACTCTTTCTTTGGTAATATTAAATCCTATTTTTGACAAGAACTTACTAAGGCAATTATCTTTAAAGTGGCTTGAATTGTATCATAGATTAAAAATAATAGATTTATTAGGTTGATAAATTCAATTTAGTCTTCTGCAGTAGGAGTATCAATTAAAAATATTACTGAATTAAATATAATTACTAAGTTTGTTATGATTTAAAAAAAATGGCATTAGTAATAATGTATGTTACGATTAATGAAACTGACTTTTAAAATATTAAGAATCTTATTCTTAGAACTAAAATTTGATATTTAGATAAAATATGATAGTTACTAATCCTTAGAATTATAAATCATTACAAGGTATAAATTTTAAATAGTTATTAATGACATTCTTTTTAATTGATAAACATTCCTTGATATTGGTCTTGCATTTATGATTATAATTCTTCTTAATAGATTTCTGCTATTTGTTTTTAAACTGTTAATTTCATTATTGATTTATATTAAAGTATTGATAGTATATTTCTTGAATAGTGAAAACATCTAAATCTCTTTTAATTTGTTCTTTCTCATCTTAATTGTGTAGTATTGATTGTGGAAGTATCATAAATATCGAAATTTCTTGTTAATTTGCAATTTATATTTATATTATAAATAAAAGATGGAAGATGAATATGTTATGGTTAATGGCAGAAAAACTGTAAATAGTTAAGTAATAATATTAGATTCCCCGTAAGATGTATCAAGGCAATAAGATCTATAATGGAATAACTCTTAATTTGCATTATTCGATTGGGTATTTATATATATATGATTTACAATCATTTAGTTTGAAGTAAAGAATCTAATCCTATATATTCCAAGAAGATTCTCTTGTGTATCTCAATGGACATCATTTAGTCCTGTATGATATCAATAAAAAGAAATAGTAATTCATTTTAAGACCAAAAGATGAAGAAGATGTAAATTTATACCATTAAAGTTTAGGTTGTAGTGATGAATCATTGCGTTAATGATAAAATGATACTCTCTGTTGGTCTTGGACTTAAGAATAGTATCAAAAATTATGCAACTGTTAGAGTCTATAAAACCAATCAAAAATCCTTCACTCTTCTTCATTAACATCTTCCTTTTGGAACTTAAGTTAAAGATGTTGCCTTTCTTCATACTGCTAAATATACTATTACTCTTTGTTATAATGCTTCATCTCATGATACCTCATATATTAGTGTCTTCAAAACTAATACTGAATAACTCATTACATATTCTGATGTAGGTGAAAACTATGTTGGTTTGTTTGGAACCTATAAAGATTTTGAATAGTTCGGCACATTTGGACCTAATGTCTTAAAAATTTGGAAATTTAATCCTACCGAAAAATAATTGGATGATGCCTTCCTCGATTATGAAGGAGTTATCACTCACGTTGTCTAATCCAATAAGTAATTCATATTTTTTATTTATTAAGAAAAATATTCCTTATGAATAAAAAAGGAATCTTGTACTTTTATCGCAAAAACAAAATTATCAATTCTGCCAATATTCCTGATGATATGAATGAAATTCCTACTGTTATAGCTGCTTACTCAGAAGGAGTTGTTGTAGGATTCGAAAATAAACCAATTATTGCTATGTATGAAGCACATAAAGGAATTATAGAATATAGAAAACAATATCCTTTAAACATTACTAATTTATAAAGACTAGTTTATATTCATGTTGGTAAAGATGATTCCTATATTTCAATTACTGCTTAACATAAAACAAGACAAACAGAAAATGAAGAAATAAATTGTGAAATATATCTTTTTAATCTTGGATTTGTAGATTATATAAATTCTGCTTTTCGAGATCCTTTTGAGCAACTTTTTCCATAAGGTGTTCATAAAAGTAAAATTTTAAATGTAGAATCATCTCCATCAAAACCAATAATTTGTGTATTATCTGAAGAGAGAGTATTTAAAGTATGGGAATTTACTTATGAAGAAGGTAAATTTAAATGTCTTTATTCATCAACTCTTCATGAAGTACCATAATGTATGGCTTTACATCCTATGGCATTTTAATGTGCAATAGGTTATAGAGAAGGGCTGAAATTTTATTTTGTTTTGCATGATGAACTCAAATAAGTTTATTATGAATCATTAAAATAATGTAGTGTTGTAAAATATACACCAGGAGGAAATTAATTAGCTGTTGGATCTTAAAATTAAATATTAATATATGATCCATATACATATAGATTAATTTAAACAATATCAGGACACATGGGTACAATTGCATCATTAGAATGGTGTGATAATACTTTGATATCTACATGTAGTTAAGGATTAGTTATGGTATTTAATTAAACTAGATTGGTTGATCATTCATTTAAACTTCATAAAGGATTTTGTTAAACTTATGATCCTGAATATGATTTTCTTATAGGAAGTTATTCTGATAGTAAAGTGAGAATATTTAATGAGAAAGGATAGAATTTATATTATGAAATGGATATTTATCCAACTTAATATGTTTGTGTTTAAATTTTGAGATTTTTAGATATGATAGCTTTTGGCACTAGTTGTGGTAAAGTGAGATTATATCTATGGCCATTTACTTAATTTAAAGATGATTAAGAAATGTTTGAATTTCAATTACATCAAGGTCCAATCACATAAGTTAGAATGTCTTCTGATCAATAATTTCTTATTACTGGAGCTGAAGATGGATCTATTTAAATTTGTAAAGTCAAAGAATGGTATGATGGTAAAGATATGACACCTTAAGAGATGTAAAAGGGATAAAGAGTTAATTCTAAAGGACTTGTCATCTCCAATCTTTATAGTTTTAGTATACTTGCTTTTGTGAGTAAAAATACTATTGAAATGAAAAAAGATCTTATAAAAGAATTAGATTTTAGAATTTCTAATCAAAAAAGTGATTAAGAAGATTAAAAATAAGATATTACATAAAAATATTAAAAATAAGAAAAAGAATTAGAATAACATTATTAACGTCTTATTGCTAATTATAAGGAAGAATTATCTAATACTATGGAAGATAAAGATAGAAGAAATAAAAATTTAGATCTTGCTTTAGTTAATCTTAAAAAACAGAATTAAGTTGAATCACATTAAATTTAAGAAAAAACTGAAAAAGATCTTTTATTATTGTATTAAAAAAATGATGAAGTTAAATCTAGATTATAACTTATCAATGAAGAAAATTAAAAAGTTTATGAATAAAAGAAGGCTCATCTTGAATCTATTCGAGCAAATATTAAAAATGATTAAGATACTAAATTTAATGATTTATTTTCAAGATTTTAATCATCAAAAGAATCTTTCGAATTAGATGAAAAGAAATATTTAGAAGTATTCAAAGAAACTGAAAAAGAATTTGAATAATTAATAAATGAATAAAAAGAAAAAAAACTTATTAAATTAAAAGAATTATTAGAAAAAAGTGAAAAAATTAGATCTAGTAATACTAAATTTAAAAAAGAATGTGATAGATATCAATTAAGAAAATAAGAATTACAAAATATGATAAGAGAAACAGATACATAAATATAACTTGTTACTAAAGAAAAAGATAATTTTAAAAAAATAAATGAAGAAAAGAAAAATTAATTAAAAGAAAGAGAGAGATAAATTTTTTAAAAAGAAAAGGAAATTAAGAATTATAGAAATAAAAATGGTCATTTATAAAATTTTAAAAATGTTAATTCTTATCGTTTACAATCCTTATAAGAATAAAAAGCACCTCTTTAAGAACATTTATCAGATTTAGACTAAAATGTCAAAATAATGTATTAAGAGTTGACAGATGAAGCAGAAGCAGAAAAAAATTTAGAAAATTTAATAGAAGATACTTCAAATAAAATTAAAGAATTAAAAAATTAATATTTAATGAAGAGAGATTCTTTATTTTCTAAAAGAGGAGAAGTATAAGAGATAGAAAATGATATATTTAAAGTATTAGCTGATCCTGAAATTACTGATTTTAAAGAAATGTTGAAAAATGTTCATAAGTAACATTTTATTACAGGAAAAACAAATAAAGGTGTTGTTGATGAAGATTCAATCTATGCTGAAATTGAAAAGAATACAGAAACTGCAATAAGAGAAGAAATGTTAAGACAAAGAGATTTCCTGAGCAAAAAAATAAATACAATAACTAGAACTAGTAAAGCTGCTGATGAAGATAAAACTAGTTTAATAATTAGAGTTTAAAAGGAAAATACAAATTTAGTGAAATCTTGTAATGAATTGAGAGAACAAAGAGCAAATCTCATATCTCATTTATCTAATATGCAAAAGGCATTAGATATATTACAAAAAGAAATAGCTTCTTTAAATAATGGTGAATAAATTGAATTGTAACCATCAGATGAAGATGTTCCTTTATATGTTGAAAAGAACAAAATTTAAAAGTAAATATCTGCTCCTAAATTAACTCCATTTTAATAATATCATCAAGAAAAAGAAATATCCAAAGTTAGAAAATCTGAATCCTCTCTCAAAAGAGATAAAGGATAATTAGACCTATAATAATTAATTAAAGAGATGAAGACTTATAATTTAACAGATTAAGAACTCAGAGTAATAATATATTTATAATTAGGATTAAGTATAGCAGTTTTTAAGAAATGATGAATCATCATCTATTCTACCTTAAATATTAAAATATCCATTTAATTCATCTCAAGAGGAAACTTAATTAGCTGGTTTAGAATAATCCATTATCAACACGTCTTTAGAAACATAAAAACTTTAATTACCATTAATTAAATAATGATGGAAATGAATTCCTATATTAGATTTATTTACATATTATTAATTTTTTTATGAATCCTTTTATTTTAATATTTATGGTGTTATCATAATATCTGACACTAAAATTTCATTTAATTGAATTATCAAAATTCAATGATTGATAAAAAATGACACCTATGGATGTTTTAGTAAAATATAAATAATTTTAAAAACAATTATGATTAACTTCCATGTAATTATTGCAATTAATTAATACTTCTGAATTAGTAAAAAACAGAATAATATTAAATATATATAGAAATCATAATACGAATAAATATATGATCTACTTAAATTCATCACTAACTAAGATAAGTTCTTAATTATTATTTTTTAAATATTGAATTGTATTATTCAGTAGTTTAATTTAAATTTATTTTATTTTCAATAGAGAAGAGTACTTATCAAGATTCATTGATCAATTTAAGATATTTAATGTACTTAGAAACGTGGCTTTTTAATGGAATGATAATGCAATTCAAATAAATGATTCTGAGATTTAAAAATTAAATCACATTTCAATACCCATAACTTATGTAATTCTTTTGATCCAATCTTGAAATCATGAAATTCATTAATTGTGATTTATAAAAGAAAAAGAATATTAAAAAACCGAAAACCAATAAACTGTAAAATTATTATTTTAAATTATCATTTAGGAGATAAAATATAATTATATAATCACCAAACAATAAAATAATAATTATATTTGTTATGTTAAAAGAAGTTTAATTTAAGCTTAATTAAAAAAATATCAATAAAAGGGATTCAATTTATTTTGTTGAAAATTCAATGTAATCAAAAATTATAATACTGTTCAATATCTCAATTAATTTAAAGCAGTTTATGAGATTTAAACGCTTTTTAGTTTTAAGTACAATTTTTGATGAGATTAAAATAGAAAAATAAATATAGTTTAAAAAAATTTGAATGGATGATCAAGTTAAAAGATAATTTTAATTTATTAAAATTTTTTTTTTAATTAGCTCAAGAAAAGGGCAAAGAAATTTTTTCTTTTTCATTTTAAAATGCACAATTAATATAAGATAAGCCAGAGGAACAAATAATATTTCAATAAAATTTTGATTGTTAAATAAAAAAGAAAATCTATTTTTGAACTACTAAATATTATATAGAATTTTAGATTCAAATATCTAATTTCCCATTATACCATTCAGTTTCAAAATATTAACCATTTCCTTTTTTAAATAGTCCTATACCATCTTAAAATCCATCTCTAAAAAAACCAAGATATATTTTGTTTAAATATTGATATTTACCAAATCCATGTTTTTTACCTTTTACATATTGTCCTATATATTCTTCTCCATTTACCCATATAAATTGTCCCATTCCATCCATTAAACCATCTTTCCATTATCCTTTGTATTAGTTTCCATTTTCAAAATTCATTATACCACAACCATCAAATTTACTATTTAGGAATTGTCCTGCATATTAATATTTATCTTTAACTCTTTTAACAAATTCTCCTTTTTATTGATTATCTACATCTTTTGGAATAATTTAAACATTTTAATTAATCCCTAAATCTATTATATTCTCATTTTGTTTTGCAAATTTAAACTTTTCTTCTATCTTCTTACCATCAAAAAATTGCTCAGATATTTTTTTGTTTTTTTATGAGAAATCTTACCACAATCTTCCATTACCATGATACTTATTTAAAAAAAATTAACCTATATAAAGTTCTTCCTGTGTTGTTTAAAACCCATACTCACAACTTTAACCCCTCCANAATAATTATATTTGTTATGTTAAAAGAAGTTTAATTTAAGCTTAATTAAAAAAATATCAATAAAAGGGATTCAATTTATTTTGTTGAAAATTCAATGTAATCAAAAATTATAATACTGTTCAATATCTCAATTAATTTAAAGCAGTTTATGAGATTTAAACGCTTTTTAGTTTTAAGTACAATTTTTGATGAGATTAAAATAGAAAAATAAATATAGTTTAAAAAAATTTGAATGGATGATCAAGTTAAAAGATAATTTTAATTTATTAAAATTTTTTTTTTAATTAGCTCAAGAAAAGGGCAAAGAAATTTTTTCTTTTTCATTTTAAAATGCACAATTAATATAAGATAAGCCAGAGGAACAAATAATATTTCAATAAAATTTTGATTGTTAAATAAAAAAGAAAATCTATTTTTGAACTACTAAATATTATATAGAATTTTAGATTCAAATATCTAATTTCCCATTATACCATTCAGTTTCAAAATATTAACCATTTCCTTTTTTAAATAGTCCTATACCATCTTAAAATCCATCTCTAAAAAAACCAAGATATATTTTGTTTAAATATTGATATTTACCAAATCCATGTTTTTTACCTTTTACATATTGTCCTATATATTCTTCTCCATTTACCCATATAAATTGTCCCATTCCATCCATTAAACCATCTTTCCATTATCCTTTGTATTAGTTTCCATTTTCAAAATTCATTATACCACAACCATCAAATTTACTATTTAGGAATTGTCCTGCATATTAATATTTATCTTTAACTCTTTTAACAAATTCTCCTTTTTATTGATTATCTACATCTTTTGGAATAATTTAAACATTTTAATTAATCCCTAAATCTATTATATTCTCATTTTGTTTTGCAAATTTAAACTTTTCTTCTATCTTCTTACCATCAAAAAATTGCTCAGATATTTTTTTGTTTTTTTATGAGAAATCTTACCACAATCTTCCATTACCATGATACTTATTTAAAAAAAATTAACCTATATAAAGTTCTTCCTGTGTTGTTTAAAACCCATACTCACAACTTTAACCCCTCCATATATCATAATTATAGTCATTTTATTCTATTAATTTTTTATTCTTTTCCACAAAATTCTTTAATGATTCAAAATCAACATATTAAATAAAATAAATTAACCAATTTAAAAAGTTATTTTCCAAATTATTCTTTTATGGATCATATTTTCTTAAAATTTTTTCGATGTTTTCTATCTTTAAAATTTTTTTGATTATTTACTACTTGTTATATTCATTATCTTTAGAAAATGCTATTACTTATATTTACAAAAAGACTTCTTTATTATCTAAAATATCAGGTAATATTTTCAAAATCTTTAAGTTTATCATTTCATATTGAATAGAATTATTATCATTGTTTTAGAAATAAACGCTACCATAAAACCTACAAATTTAGAAATCATCTTTTATTTAAAAAGATTTCTTAAACCCTTTTACTTCAAATGAAGTAATGATATTCAAAATTTTCTTAAAACATTTCCAATTAGGTAAACATAAAAATTAGTCTAAGCTAAAAATTCTACTATCAGGATTGGCTTACCAATATCGTTCCATATATTTTTCAATTATGCATTATACATCATTTTAATTTTCTCCTTTAATTATTTCTATCAACTACCTTATATAAAATAATTTACAAATTCTATTGGAGAGAGTTATTCTAATCTTTTCCTTGCTGATTCTATATTCTATTTTAGTTGACTTTAATCTACTTGATTTTCTGCACCTTATATATTTCCTGCACTTTATATATCTTGTTTTTTTTCTTCTGCAAATACCTTCTCCGATTTACGCATATTCTTATATAATTAATAATAATGAAATATCATTCTAATATTGTAGGCATTTCTTTTATTGACAATTCATCTTTAGCTCTTCTCTAAAGCTTTTGTACATAGTTTTCATATTCTGTAATTATAAATTCATGATCTCCAATTTTAACTATACATTTTTTTATATTAATACTTATTGTTACTCCATTCTTCATAGTTTTTCTAAATTATTAAGATCCTTCAAGGGTTTAAAAAACCATAAAATATTCAAAGTTTTATCCATAAGATAAAAAGAGGTCTATGTCAGTAGTATAAGTTTCTTTGAAATAACTTTTAATCAAAGAATCAGGAACTAAATTTTTTTCTAAAATTTCAACATGAAAAATAAAAATCTATTTATTATGATATTTATCTTCTCCAGTTTTATCACTAAAATCAAATGGTATTTTAATTGAACTTTATGGAACTTTGTTCTTATAAAGATCTAATTTAGATTAATCAAGATTCATTAATTTTTTAGCTTTATAAAAAACACTTCCAGCCATATATGAATCAAATCCAGCTTCATGTTCAAAGGCTTAATTCTCATCAAGATTATTGTATTCTTAACATTCATCTCCAAAAACAACATTTGGTTCCAGATTTTATAAATTAATAAAACTGTTCTTAAGTTCAGAAAACTATCCAACTTTATTGTATACACTATAACTTTAATTGATTAAAAATTTGGTATCATATATTTCTGGAAACATTTAATTGACCTTTATAATGAATTCAGTTCTTGAATCTGGTAGAGTCTCAAAAAATTTATCATAAACCTTTTTAAATCATTATAATATTTTACATGCATAATATCCATTAAACCATTATGTAATATAAGAGGAGTTTTTTATTAACTAATTTGATCTAGTAACACTCTCACTCCAGCAAATTCATTAACTTCTTCAACATTCTATTTTTTTGTTTCCAAAGGTTCTGGTCCTTTTACAATATACAATTTCTCTCTTTTTATCAAAACATCAGAATCATATTTACAATGAAATTCATAGCTCTTTCCAAATTCTTTTTTTATCTAAAAATAAACTCATTATTTTTTATACATTTTCAATAAAATGTCTATATACTTTGACTTTGAGTCTTTTTATTGGAATTTCAAATTAATCAATATCACTTAGTTTAAGAAATTATTCAACTTAGACTTTGTATTGATTAATAAAGTTGATCATTTCAAATGTAACAATTTTATCTAAATATCTCATATCATTTCTTAAATCTGATATTCTTTTAGTTTCTCTCATAATTTTTTCATCCTAATGGGATAAATAAAGAATTCCTTCATTAAAAGTCCTATTAAAATCAAAATTATTATTTGTAAGAAATGAAATAGAGTTACTCTATATATGTATAATTAAATAATTACACTCAATTAGAATTGTTTATCTAAATAACCATCTACACCATAAGGAAAGATATAAAAATTAAATGGATGAGCAATAATACTATTAGAATTGAGTTACTCTTTAAAAGTACATAGACCCATTTAAATTGGTAGGAATCGTCTCACATTTTCTTTGACTTTCCAATATCGCATTTAAAACTTGATAATTTATTGTGGTGTACAGAATCAAGGAGAGAATTTCTTAATAAAGATGAAGCAAGCACACCTGTAAATTCAAAATCCAAAGCTACATAATTGGCTTCTTTAATGCTTTTTTAGATGAAAGCTAAATTTTGCAAATAATTATATCTAGTCAGATTCATGAATTTTGGATGATTATTGAATAAGTTTAAATTCTTAAAAATTAATATATTGTATAACACAATTAAAAATATTAAGAAATATTTGATAATTTTTAATAAAAATACATTACAATTTGGTTAAAAAATAATTTATTCATTTCTTTCTCTTCCAAATCATTCCCATAGTGATTTCATACATAATTTAATATATATATTCTTATAAAGTTAGATTAAATCCTAATAATGCTTTGTAAAAATTCTTAATTTAGCAATTATTTATAAAATATCTGCTTCTTCGAAAACATCCAACTTTTGTTTCATATAATTAATAGTAAATAAATCTTCTCTAATCAATTAAAATTTGTAAACATTAAATTAAACAACATCTCCTAATTACAAATCCTAAATTATAAATATACTATTTCAGTATATTAGTCATTAATCAAACGATTTTTCTATCTAAATCTTTCTAAAAATATCCTATCCTTATAAATAATCTAAATAAAATACCTAAATTCCATTATTTTTTCTGAAGTTTAATAAAAATAAATTGTATACTTAAGATCAATTCAGATTAAGATTTGATGTCAGATTAATAAGCAAAGTTAGAGAAGAAAGTTCTAGAAATTTATCATTTCCTTTTATTAAGGGGATGATACAATCATAATTTTAAGTCATCCAAAATAATATCAAAAGATAATACTTTTCTATTATTTTACAAATTCTTATTTAGACCTCATTGAGGTATTATATGAGTTGTGCCATCAGAAAGATAATAATAGATTATAACTTTTTTAATTCTATAATTTTTATTAGGATTCTATACAAGTGATTCTTGAAAGTAACCATAACAGCGTAGTATAGATCTATCATATTTTAACCAATATTGGTTAGATACATGGAATATAATCATATTATGGATGTTTTCATCATCCATAAATTAAATTAGGAGGAGAATTTATTTTCATAGAGTCTATAAGATTTGGATAATATGAATATAATATGTCTTTGATTAAACTGTTCCATTTATATAATTGAAAACCGCTGAGTTTTATGATGGCTTCCCTTAAATGAATCAGAAAAAGCATATTTAGGTAGAAATTGTATTTGCTTTTAGTAATTTAGAATTGAGGGATATCAAATATAATAAAAATAGAACTGATTTCAATTTAAAATCAAATTAAATATGAAATGAATAAGTAGAGGACTTAAAACATATAAAAAAATTATGCAATTTCTAACAAAAAATATCTTTCACTTATTTGTAAGGTTGTATATTCTAGAATATTAATTATCATTTAATTTTATAAACATTAGCTTATTGATGTAAATTTATATTCTTATTATAAACGCCAGTGCTCTTAAATTTTTATCAATTGTTAGTAGAAGGTTAACTTTTTTATGTTCATTGTTATTAATTCATTGTATCCTGACATATCTAAATACATCATAATATCCTATTAATCAATCTGAAAATTTATCTCGTTTTTATACTTTTTGATGGTTTCCCCTAACGAAAGAGTCAATTGAAGATAACAAAATTGTCATACTGAATAAAAATATGAGTTCAAATGATATATTTATTTATTTAACAAAACCAATTAATTTCTGACTTGGTCTAGTTTTTCAGGATTAAATCTAATAATTCATTTTAATATCCCTCAAATAATTCTATTCTCACTTTCATTCTTTAAATACTTTTATACTTCTAAACAATTTTTATGTTTATCCACGTAAATCTTTTTAACTATCAGAAAAATTTAATAATTCAATTATTTTATTCAATAAGCATATTTTACTATCAGCTATCAAATTGATTCTTTAATCTCTTTCAATAAATCTATAAGCAATAGTAATTATTTGTTTAATTAAAATTGATTATGGATTAATTAGAATAATTTCTATTTTGTTAATTTATTAAATCAATTACATTATTTATATTTGATATCACTGATACATACTGTTTTTAAAGCTACTCTATTCTTATGTATTATTTTTTCTAAGAAACAATTTCTTGAAGTATTTAAAGCACTTATTGTATTAAATAAATTATAATTTATTTAAAAAGTTTTTTTGATAAGGGATGTAAAATTTACATTATTAAATATTTATAATAAAAACTTAGGATATTAATTGAATAATAAGATGTTAAGAAATATATAGTAAAGTGTGGTAATTTAGCATTTATATATTTATAGTATAACAAAGTCAGAGATTATACAAATCCTTTTAATTTACTCATTCCTTGGTTGAATGCAATTTTTAAAAAATTTATGGGAAATTTCTTTAATGAAGAGATTAAAAAAGAATAATTTACATCAAATATGGGGTTAAAGAAGTTGACATTAAAAGTTAATTCTCTAAATTAATAAATGGCTCCAAACATACCATTTGTATTGGAATCTGGATCAATTTCTTTATTAAGATTGGATCTACATAAACTAACATGTTTAATAGAAGAAGTGGAAATAACATTAAATTTCAAGACAATTGAATAATATGAATAATTTAAAATAACTTATGATCTAAAAAAAATTACAGCAGATAAACTCTAAAAAATAAAAGATGAAATAATTAAAGCTTATAAGGTGAAGAGTGAGACTTCAAATAATGTAAATTAGAATGCTTGGAATATAATTAGATAATTTTTATAGAAAATTACTTTTACTGTTAATAAATTGGTTATTCATTTGGTTGAACCAACTCATAAAGATAAATTCTCTTTAGCTATTAATTAAATAAGTATGAGAGTTCGAAAATTACAGGAAGAGAAGGATTAAATGGTCAGCACCATGATTATTGGTGGATGTTCATTACATATTAATGAATAAAATCAATTGTTTGATATTAACAATTTTTAAAAAGAATCTTGCATATTTAGTTTGTAATAATAATATACAAATAAATATGATTAACATATTGTTATTCATTTAAAAACTGAATTGAAAGAAAGGTTAAAATTTAATAGTACACTTAGTATTAAATTGATGTAAATGAATTTAAGTTATAAGTAATTATAGATAGCAATGAGAATTATAATGAGTATAATTGAACATAATAAACTTATCTAATCTTAAGATAAAATAATTATTGAATCTATAAAATAAGAAGCACCTCAATTTCAATTTACTTGGTGTGAATCAGAAATTAATAAAAATTATTGTGATTAGATAGGAGAAATCAAAACTGATGAGATGGATAGTAAATCATTAAGTGATGAAGCTACAATTGAATTTAATGATGATTTTGAGTAAGCATTAGAGAAAAGTTATGTCAATGAAGATGATACAGAAGTTTAGTTTGAAGAATCTCAGATTGAAGGTTTGAACTAATCTGTATTGAACTAATCCAGTTTAGGAGATTTAAATCAAAGTACACTAAAACAATCTATATTTTCAATGTCTGTATTTAAAGAATTGATTAATGATGAAGATGATAAATAAGGGCTGGAAGAATTGGATGATGGACAATTAATCTTTAAAATGAAAATTCAGAAAGTAAGAATAAGATTATCAAGAAATAATATAATAGATAAATGGAGTGTAGATAATTTAAAAAAAACAAACTATTATGAATTAGAATTAGATTAAATTAATTGGTTGATGACTAAAGAAATAGGTCAATAATTAATTACATCAGTCAAATAAACAAAAATTGAAATTCCAATTATTTAGCTCTTTCATTATGAATATTGTAATTTAGGGCCTGAAAATAAATTTCAAGAGTAAAATAAGGATGAGGAGAATCAAGAAATATTTTAAAGTATAAATGAGAATTTAAATAACAATTCTTAAAATTTAGAAAATCAAATGTTTCATTCTTGCTATAGTTTAAGTTAAAATGATGTTTTAGAAAAGATAGCTTAGAAAAAAAGTGAATTCATTAAAGAATAAGGTAATTACTTTTACAAAAAGAAATGTTTGCTCTAATTATATGATGGCATAAAAGATTAAGATGATTAAAATTTAATCATTAAAATAGATAATCAATTTATATACTCTTATGAAAAGATTAAATCTTCAGGTAATGGTTTATAATTTTAATTACATCATTTAAATAATTCTCAAGCAATATCTATTAAATAGATCGATATCAATTTAAATGTAGATGAGATACTTGAGTTAATAGAAATATTTAAATTTGATCATTAAAAGAAATTAATCAAAAGTATCCCCAATTTAAATTTAATAACAATACATCACCTTTAATTTTAGATTTAAATTCAAGAAACAGATTATTTTGAGTTTTATTATTTGTAATAGATGATTAAAAATGATCCTAATACCAGCAGTGTCATTCATTAATAATAGAAAATATCATATTTTGTATTTAATGTTGTTGATTTCTAAGTTTAATAATCTAGTTCTGGTTTTATAACATTCAATTAAATCGAATGTTTAAAGACAGAATATGACAGAATAAAATAAATGTTTAATAATGAGATAATTGCTATAATAGGAGCATAGAATTGTTTTTAAATATTAATTAGACCAATAATAAAACTGATAGATACATAAGAAATACGAGTGGCAATTCCTAAAATTGAAATTTTCATTAATATGTTCTGTATGGAGTATATAAAAACATTGTTTACTGTTTTAAATGATTTTCAAAAAAGATTAGAAGAATTCAATAAAAGTAATAAGGATAGTAAATAAATTATTAAATTACTCCTTGATGAAATTATTATTAAAATTAATGTGGAATAATAATCTAATACACATTAAACAAGATTTATTTTACATGCATCTAAATTGGCAGCAGAAATGATTGGCAAAGATGAAATTTTATTAACTTTGTATAATTGTTTAGCTGTTGATTTAGATTGGAATTGTAAAAAACAAAAATAAGAGATTCCTATTTATGGTAGTCCAAATGAAACTAAAATAAAAGATTAGCCTATTTAAATATTGCATTTTAGAAATCAAAAATATTAAGCAAATCAAGTTTTATTTTATAAATAAGAACGTTTTAATAGAGAAGAATTTAAGACTTTGGTATAAAATGAAATAATAAAATCAGAACCTAATATGGCATTTTAATATACAACTGTTAAATTGAAGACTAATAAATACTTAAATCCAGATTGTTTAGATGCTCTACATGGAAAAACGAATTTGATTTCATTAAAAATTAATAAAAATTAAAAAATTGAAATTCAATATTAGCATGGAATTATATAAGTAGATGAGTAATGGATTGAAACAATAATCACTATTTTAGATTTAGCCTAAAAATGGGAATAAATTTTTATTCCAAAAAAGACCAATTTATCTCAAAATAAACCTAAACCTATTTTCACTTTAACAATTTAGAATATATGGTTAAATTATTTACCAACATATAAAAAATCTACTTTGTTAAAATAGTATTTATAGAAAAAAGAGGCAATTAAATCATTAATTGCTATATAACCTGAATAATTATATTATTCTTGGATTCGAGTTTTAATTAGAATTAAGAGTGCAACTATATCAAGTGATTTACAAGCTCACTTGAGTTCAGCATAAATTTATGTTAAAAGTACATCAAAAGATATCAAACATGCTAATTTGAGCTTTTTAAATCCTATTTTATTGGTTCCTCCAAAAAATGGACTTTTTGATGAAAATAGAAAATTTTCAGATGGATTTTAAATTGATAAAGATGAATAAGGTTTGTTGAGACTTCTTTGTTTTTAAAAATTATTTAAAATAAAAGGAATAACAATTTCAGGAAAAACAATAAATATTGGTTAAGTAATTGGAAATTTAAAGAAAGATTCAATTATCAGTTTATGGGATATTACATCAATGACTTTAGAAAAGATAAAAAAATTCATACCTGAATAAGTAAATGAAAATTAAATTTAACTTTTGCAAGATGGTCATCAGTACAATCTAAATGAAGATTTAAATATTTTTGAAGAAGATGAAATTGAACTACCTAAAAAAGATAACATTCCTAATGAGAAATAATTTGAAATTATTCTTAAGAAATTTGAGATAAAGTTAACTGTTGGTTAACATTTTCCACCTGAAGTGTTTAGTGACACTAATCCAATAAATACGGAATGCTAATATCATAATTAAGAATAATATTATCTTGAACATTCAAATTAATTATAATTAGAAGAGTTTCCATAAACAAATGATTTATAATGTTAATCTATTATCTTGAGTTTGAGAGAATTGAAATTAGTATGTTGTGGACCAACATAAAAAAACATAAATCAATTTTATTTAACATTATTACACTTCTAAATAGCAGATAGAATATAAAACTCTAAGTTTTCTAAAATAATAGGTAAAGAGCCTAGTCATGAAGAAACAAACTTTGCAGAAGTCTTTTATTAATTAGATAAAATCAATAACACAATAGATTTAGAAGCCAAGATTGTTCCTATAAGAGTTTGTGTTTCTGGAGCAGCTTTAGAATTTTTATTAGATACAATGAACAGTCGTCAATAATTAAATCCAAAGGTTGATATGTTGAGTTAATTAAATGTAGCAAATGATAAAGAATCAATTATTGAATTTTGTGTACAGGAAGGTTATTAAGTGACTTTTTAGAGTATTCGTGAAATAAGTACTTTTACATATAAATATAGAAAAATATATAAAAGTGGGTTTTTTGAATGTTGAGAGATTATATTTTTATATAACATTTGATGGAAATGGTGTAAAAACGGATGGAAAATTAAAAGGTTTAGTTAGATTAACTTCTTATGATAGTTTATTTATTTTCTTGAAGAGAGCATAAATTCAAAATTTAGTATTTGAGAATGAAAGAGAGTTCATAAAATTTATGTTTGAATAATACTAGCATCTCATAAGAAATGATTCATAATTAATTTAAAAATTGATTACTTCCTTTAAAGCTTTCTAAAATATTACAAATATTGTATTGGGGTATTAATAATAATATTATTATACAGAATTTAAACTATGTTTATGACTATCTTTAAGTAAGGAATAGTAGCAGGAGTGTGTTCAGGATCAATACCTTTAGCAAAAGCATTAGGAGATGAGATTGTTTATTTGGCTAAAAAACCAATAGAAGTTTGTAGTACAATGAGTGAGGGAATTGGATTTAAAATGGCAAATGTTGTTTTAAATCCTATTGAAAGAGTATTAGATTAATTTTCGACATTGGTATTAATCTATATCATTATTAGACTACAAGTGACAAAATTCCTAAAGAGTTTCTGAAAAAAAATAATTTAGATTAAATTAATGAATGATTAATTAATTTTTATTTATTTAATACTTTTTTATTTAAAATAAAAACTGTTATGTTTCGAGAATACTCTAAGCCTAACTATTACAATCCTCAATCAAATTTATTTAAGAATGCCGCTATGCAAAGTGTAGATTTCTATGGAAATATTGGATATTCTAAATCAGAATACCCAGTTTCAATGTAATAATAATACTACGATAATTATTAATACAATAAAATGTTTTCTTCTAAGGTATTTACTCCTCATGTTTAACCTATATTTATTGCTGGCCCGATTTATAAAAATGCTCCTATTTTTTATGGTCCTTAACATTTAAGTTCAAGTTTATTCTAGCCAGTTGAAAAAAATAGGTTTGAGAATTATCATTCAACAGATTAAATCATTCAAGACATGAATAGTTTAAAGTTATAATCCAAAAAATAATAAGAAGAAAATATTAAGAGAAGAAATTAAATTTTAAATCAATGGAATTTTATAGAAGAATAGAAATAGAAAACTTCCAATTAATCTAGTGACGAATATGAACACTAAAATCAATATTAAAATCAAAATTAAAGATATAGTCATACTTCTAGTGATAATAATACTATAAGTCTATAAAATGAGGCTTTTTAAAATAAACCATTCAACAAAAATCTATCAAGAAATAGTGTCAAATCTATTAAGTCTTAAGAAGATGAAAAACCAAAATCATCACAAAAACTTACATCCATCAAAGAAGAAATAGAAAAACCTAAAACCAATTTATCTTAAAAACCTTAGATTAATCTACAATAGAGATCAAGGAAAAGAGGGAAAAGAAACCTTAAAATTATTTTGAAGGCTTTATCTTTTATACTCATTTATTTCTTATAAATGAAGAGAACTTTATTAAAAAGAAAAAAGCTATAAGCTAGCAAAGAAAATAGTACAGGAACAGTAAATAAAGCTATACATGAAGGTGCTGATTGGATCCTACATTTTGCTGATAATGATTTAAAATAATTTTGGAGTAAGAAAGATTCCTTAAATTGGTTAGAAAATGATCAATTATCAGACAAAGAAAAAACAAACAGAATTAATAATGTTAAACTTTTTATTTAAAAACTTTCCATTATTATATTTGAAAATTTAAAAGAATCTAGTTTTAATCCAGAGTTTTTTTCATTTTTAGCTTAAATAACTTAAAATTTTTAATTCCCTCCAGATCGATATTTTTTTAATTTTGAAGTTTCAAGATTAGAATTTAATTCTTTTGGAGCTATTAAGAATATAAAACTTTAATAATAAAAAATGGTATTAGCTTTCTTTATAATGATAAGAATATTAGGATATACAATTTTATATGCTCCATGGACTTTAGGATTAAGCTATATCAAAAAATCTACAATTTTAGAATCAAATTCTATTATTATTGTTTCTGTTCTATAAGAATTAGTAATTGGAGATTTTAGAGAAATTAAAGTTTTAGAAAATAATTAAAATCATTTGAGCAATGAATTAAAAATAAATCCTCGTCCTCTAGGTCCATTAAAAGTATTTTTAAATTAATTTTAAGATAATACCTGATCCTAAAACACAATAAGAAAAAATATAATTAAAAACCTAACTTGAACCATTGATATATCCCACCTATACACGTGAGGAGATGAAAGATTTATTTGAAAAATAGAAAGACGTATTTCTAAATTTATAAAATTTAGTGGGTAGAAAATTTAATGGATAAATTTGATGAAATATATGCACGATTAGTTAAAATAACAAACTCTTGGCATTAAAATAACAAAATTTCAATAACAGCAGGTTTAAAGCACAAAAAAAATTAAAGATCATGATGATGATATAGAATATATAATAGGTTTTTTTATAGTAATTTAAATATAACAAATTTAAATAAGCAATATTTCTATTATATATTTGATTATTAACAACTATTGGTTTTTATAATATACTTATTTTGTTGATTTATGAGTAATTAATTAAATAAAACATTATAATGTTAGCACTTGATCCTACAGTAAATGGTTCAAAAAAACTGAAGGAAGAGACAAGATATGAATGTTAATATGGATCAAGATTTAAGATATACATGATCAAAATTTATAGATTATGAATTTGAGACAATAAAACTAAGTTTTATACACGAATTTGATCAAAATATTTGGAGATCATATGTCACCAGGATAAGGATCAGAATTCTTTCCAAAGTTTTTAAAATTAACCTTAATGATGGTATAATGGGATAAGGATGAATTATTTCATGATTGGTTTCGGCAAATATAGTATATTGATATTGATTTTTTGAATAAAAATATCAAAATTATTATTATTAAAATAATGAACACTACATTTTGTTAAATAAGTCCAATTTAGAAAAACATTCAGATATATTGTAATAACTTTAAAAGCTGTATAAATGTTGGTTCATTACTGAATTTTGCTTTATTTTTAGGATTAATAGAGTATCATATTAAAGTCAATAAAGTAGAAGATATAAAAAGGATTTATGAAAAAGTTAAAGATTCATCATCAGCACAAATTAAATCTATAATCTAAAATTCTGAAAATTAAAAATAAAAATTAGAATCAATTTTGACTTAAATAAGACAATAATCTCAAATTTAATAAAAATTTGACATTGTGATGGGGAGCTATTTTTAACACAATGCCATTAATAATGATAAAGAAAAGGATAAAGATCTATAAAATAAAATTTAATATTTAGAAAAAGACTTTAAAATTAAATTTTAAGTCTGGGATTCTAAAAAGAATTAAAAAATTTTAAATATAGATCCCTCTACAATATACATAATTAAAAATGAAACTAATTATTATCTTCTCCTTTATAATATGGAATGTAGTAAGTGTGGAAACAAATAAAATTTGCAGAATCTAAAATGCTCTCATAAGGCTTGTTTTACATGTATATAAAATCAATTCGAATAAAAATTATAACCATAATCTATAAACTGTTTTGAAAAAGGATGTTATATTAAAATAGAAAAATAATAATATGTGTTAATGAAAACTCCAAGACAATAGCTAAAGAAAGGAGATAATTTAGAAAAATCTATAAAAAATGATGAAAAGTTGTAAGAATAATAGAATGTTCTTTAGTAGAATATAAAGAACATCAATACTGAATAACATTTATAAAAAAATACATTAAATAAAGAAACTTAATTAGTTTAAGATAACATTTAATAATCAAAAATTAAAATAGAATAGAAAAACTTTGAATAAGAGAAGTAGCAGAACAAATAGAATGAATAAAAAGAATAGCCATTATAATATGAAAATCTTAATATAAATGAAAAAACCAAAAAAAATATTGATTCTAATAATAATATAAAAGATAATTGTCCTTAAATAGCAAAAGAGGAAGAAGAGAAAACAAAATAGTAAATTGATAATGTGAAATGCAGCCAGTGTTAAAAAGATTGTAGAAATGAAAATTTTGAGGCTAGTTGTGGACATAATTATTGTACTAAGTGTTTTGAAATTCTGTAATCAAAAAAATTTTAATATACATGTCTTCATCCTAAATGCAATAAGATAAAATAGTATAAATAAATTGAGTAAGAAAAATTATGTCATAAATGTTCTTAAATTAAAGATGATCAGACACTTTTCACAAATTTTTGTGGTCATTAAATATGTGTTTAATGTTTAGAAATCTTGGTAAAAAGTAAAAGAAATCTTACATGTCCAAAATGTAGTAATGGTTTATAATCAGAAGAGATCGAATTATTTTTTGAAAATCTCTAGTTCCAAATATATGAAAAAGAAATCAAAAACAAGGTTTCAAATTAAGACAAAAAAGATTTTTCAACAAAACAGATGCTTTAAAACTAAACAAATCAAAAAAATTGTACTCTTTGTTTTAGTCCATTTACAGATTATAATTTATAGCAATTATTTTCACATTGTCAAAATCCATCACATACAATAGGTGTTTGTTGTACAATTTTTCCTTTAGAATGCCCATAATGTCAAATGTCCTCATTAGAAATTTAAAAATGTATTAATCATATTTATCATAGATTAAATTATCTTTGAAATAAGAAACAATTAGGAATTTTATGATATGTAATATTGAATAAATATTTTTAAAATTTCAATATAAAATATTTTTATAATATTAATAATTTAATTTGTTAGGATAATGATGAGAAATGCAAACATCTACACTAAAAATCAACTAGAAATGAAAATATAAATTTGTTTAGTAGTCTAATTGATATGAATATGAAATTAGAAAATATTAAATTATTAATATAAAATTTCATATTAATTAAAATAATAATGAAATGGAATAAAAGAAATTGAAAATAACACTTTTTTTAATAATTACTAATTTAATTGAATTCATAATGATTCATTAATCAGAATCTTTCACCTCTAATTCTTCTGGCTAATTAGATATCTCTTGACATGATTGTAACTCTTCTTGCATGAATAGCACATAAGTTGGTGTCTTCAAATAATCCAACAAGGTATGCTTCAGCAGCTTCTTAGAGTGCTAAAACAGCTGAGCTTTAGAATCTGAGTTCCTTTTAGAATTCATGTGCAATTTCTCTGACTAATCTTTAGAATGGAAGCTTTCTAATCAAAAGCTCAGTTGATTTTTGATATTTTCTGATTTCTCTCAAGGCTACTGTTCCTGGTCTGAATTTGTGGGGTTTCTTTAAACCTCCAGTAGCTCCAACAGCTGGTGCAGTTTTTCTTGCAGCCTTTGTAGCCAAATGTTTGGTTGGTTTCTTGTTACCAGCAGTGCTTTTTCTTGCAGTTTATTTTGTTCTTGCCATTATTATTTATATTTTTATTTAATTTTGAATTTGTATTATGAGGGGGGTTTTAAATCTCATATACTCAATTATGATTGGCTGAAAAGGAATATTTAATAACAATATCAGGCAATTAACTAAGTCAAAAATCAATTACATATCATTTATAATCTATGGAATCAATCTTTCTTATGATTTTTAGACTTAATACATAAAACAATTGATACTCACAATTACCTTTAATTTTAAAGAAAATAAAAATATATAATAGAATACTCTTAACAGGATTTTTAATTGCATAATACAAATCAATTTACTTTAATTTTGATTTCTTTAAAAAATTATGCATTATGGTTGAAAATCATAAATTTAAATAAATAAGTCCTCTTTTATGTTCATATAAATTAATTTGATCTCCAAATACAAATTCAAAGATTCAAATGTTTTGAATACACATCCTATTTTTATCAATTATGGAGGAAATTTAAATTAAGCAAAAATAGAAAACAAAATGTATTTGAAAAAATAATTAGGGTGATAGTTTAATTAACTTTTATATAATTTTTATATAATGTTACCTTTACCTCTATAGACACACAAAAGATGCCTAAATTAGAATAAATGGATTTAATCGAATAAGGTTTTGGGTAAAATATGAATTTATACTCGGAAATTCCTGTAGAATTGTAATTTTGCTAATTCGATAAGATTCATTAAAAAAATGATGAATGTATGATTTTTAAAGAAGATTGCTCAATTTACATGTATGCAAAAAAATACAAAAATAGTTGGCAAATTTACACAAGAGATCCTTCAGATTCATAATTTGATAAAGGGAATTTTGAATGGACTATGAAAATTGAAGAAGATGTGTTGAGTCTTTGGAAAAAGCCAAATTAATTGATATAGTGAATCTTGTAATCGAATGCATTTATTAATCATAAATGGATAATTAAATTGTGTGGCTAAAGTATCTGATTCAGATAATTATCCAAATATTCCTTCAATATATAATTCTAAAAAAAGAGGATTCAGATAGGATATAAAAAGCAAGCAAAATAAATTTTTTATTAGGTTTGCATAACAATAAAATAAAGAAAAAGCTAGAGATTCTAAAAATTGGAAAGATCTAAACAGGTGTATTTATAGTAGATTTTAAAGAGCCTATAAATTTAGTGATAACCTTCAATGTTGCTTTGGCTACATGTGAACTAAAATCAAGAATAAGAAATTAATGATGAAAACTATAAATATATTATACTAAAGATCAATTTATAAGATAACACAGTAACTTTTATAGTTCTATTTTATTGACAGGTTTATTAATGAAATGAGACATGCCAACTTCATAACAACCTTATCTTGTCTAACTATCAGTAAATGCAGTACAAGCGATAATTTTTGGAGAACCCAATTTATATTTATTTAAAATTGTCTTGGTGGCTACATAACCATCCATGATGGGCATATTGATATCCATAAAAATAATACTGTATAAACAATGAGCTTGTATTTAAATATAAATTATTACCTTATTCTAGTTTATTGATTGCTTCCAATCCATTGAATGCATAATCAGCATCTAAATTAAGAGATTTTAACATCAAAGATAATCCTAAGATATTAATCATTTCATCATCAACAATTAGTATTGTTTTACACTTACAATCAGGTACATAAGGTTCACTTACTCCAACTGATTATTATCTTAATTCACGGACTATGTCACTAGGAGAATAGGTAAATTTCACATTTTATATCTATAATCTTTTTTAATAATCTTCTTCATTTGTTTCTTCATTTACACTATCTGAATCTATTTTTGTATACTACATTTGCATTCCTTAAAAACAGTCTTTTGTAGGTTATTTAATGTAAGTTGGATCTCTAATTTAATCTTCATGAAAACTTTTAACCTTAGGTACCATAATTGTACTGAATCTTTTAGTCAATGGTTTCTTTAATCCACTGTAACTTAATTCAATTTATGATTGTTTTAAATCAATAATCACATTTTTAGCTATTTTTAAAATTCCACTTGAATTATCTTATTATGCAACCAAAGTATAATTAATATTCAATTATTAATTAATTATTTTAAATGTTACTTTTGTGCCTTTTTCTTCTTAATTATTTGAAAATCTAATTCCTCCTCCTTCTTCATATTTAAGATTAGAAAGGCTCATTGCAATTTTATTACATAAGTAGCATCCTAATCCAAATCCAGCTGTTTTTTTAGATATCTATTTTTCATTCTTATAGTCCGTTTTAAGCATTTCAGTCAATATTTCTAATTCTGTTGTTGTAAGTCCAACTCCTGTATCCACAATTTCAAAGAAAACAAATTTATTTTGTTCAATTGATTTTACTAATAATTTTATTCCACCTTTGAAAGTAAACTTTTGAGCATTCGAAATTAAAGTTATTAAGATTTGCTTAAGTCTTCTTCTATCTGTAAATATTGTTTTCTCATTTAGAAAAATGTCATAGCTAATAGTTAATCCTTTTTATTATAAAGAATGAGAAAAGATGTCTGTTACTTCTTAGAGAATTTCAATAATCTTAATATTATCACATATATCTTACATCTAACTTTTCAAATTATAACTCTAATTTCTTTCCTAAAAGTGCATTAAAATCTATCATATCCAGTACAAAATGATACATTATCATTCCTGTTGATTTGATAGGTTAGAAGTATGATTATAATTCTTTATCATTATATTTATCTATTGCCACTTAGGCTAAAGCTAGTAAATAATTTAAAGATGTTCCAAATTCGTGTGACATAGTATTAAATATTTATTTTAAAATAGCATAAATATAACTTCTTTTTAAATATTTGTCTCTTTCTTCAATATCGTAAAATTGAATCTCAAAATCATTTTGATAAATGATTTTAATTAAATGATTTTCTATTTTTGGATGTGAATAGTCAATTACTTAAATAACCATTGGTATAGCATTATTTTTAACTTAGTCTAAAAAATATTTTAATGAAATTTAATTGCATTTTTAGGGTAATAACTACTTTGATTTTGAGTCTATTTTATTAATTTATAAATCCTAAAGGAGATTTTCAACTTCACCATCTATAAATTAGTAAATAGCACTTTATTTTTAAAACTCTATAATATTATATTGATCATCTAAACATAATGAACTTACTTTTGGATCTGAGATTCGCTCTCCAATATTTCTTGGATTAGAGCCATCATTATTTACCATAGTATAGTTAATCTTTGATTATATCATGATTTATGGTTTATTTGCTTCATTTTGAAGTTAATCTTAGAAAAGAAAACATTACATCACCATCATAGCAATTCCTGCAAATACGCTTCTAATAATTTCTTGCATCTCTTAAGATGTTTCGAGTATTAGTATTATGGAAAGAAAGACTAAATCATTATTTATTTAGTATTTTACCCAACCATTCTAGTAATAACTATTTACTTAGTTTATTCTAAAGTTGAATACGAACCACTATATGGTAAACTGCTGTATAAAATTTAAACTGAGAATCTGGAATAGATATAAATATTATTAGTGATTAGCATAAAAGCAGTAATCTCTAAGTTAATTCCGATTAATTCATCCTCTTTAAAAGTAATAATATTGCGAGTCCAAAAAGTTCTAGAGCCAATGCTATCACTTCTTAAGGTTCTTTATATTCTGTAAGACCTATGATTGTTGATATAGATTAAGTCACTATTAGAGTAATTAAAATTTTCATTATTAATGAGCAATACAACTAAATTAAAGCCTAATAATCATTTCCTAGCTTATGAGGCTGCAGAAGCCAAATGCAAAGAGAAATATCCTAAAATCGAAGTATTCAAACCTATATATAAAGGAATGCATGGATGTTTCTAATTTATAAGTTGATATGAAATTATGCAAATAAATGTTAGAGAAATTTTCAGAATGCTTCAATGTACATAAGCCAGCTGCATATATATAATTGGGAAAATAAAGAGAATGAATTTTTGTTTTTAAGTCATATTTAATATATTACAATAATAATTATTTTATAGATTATTCTAGCATTTAATAATTAAAACGAGTACCTTAAATTTATTCTAACATCATTATTCATAATGAAATTCAAAATTAAAAAATTTTTAATCAAATTAATTTAGCTTTTTTGGGTGTTATTGCCAATGAAATTATATTTTTATTTTAATCCGGTCTTTGAATTTATCTGATAATTTTTGAATCAATCATATCTAATGGGATTTTACTGATGATAAGATAATCTTCATTGAAGTAGAAAAGGGAATTCAAAATTATATCCAAATAAATAATGATAAGGAATTTAACAATTTTTAATTATAAAAGTTAAGGAATTTATTTAATTAAAATAAGAATTATTAGTTTTATTCGGATTAATGTGGTGAATGCCATTTGATTGATTCTTCAAAATCTTTTTATTTAGTGATCTATGCAGTCTTAAACATAAATAATGGAAATAAACTAAGTTAGATAATCTATAATCTCAAGTAATTAAAGAAGTTTTAATTAAATGCAAAAAGATTCTTTCAATTAGAATTTTAATTTCCAATAAATCTTGAATCAATATACCTTTAATAGATAAATATATTGTATAATTATTTAGGAAATAAAATAAATTACAAAATTATAAATTTATTCAAAAGTTTGCTTAAGATGTTTTTTTGTATTAAACTTTGTATACTAATTTAATGAAGTGTTATTTTTAGCAGGATTTCTCTATTCGAAATAGAATAGATAAAATTTTGAAAAAACATTTTTTCCTGATATTTTAGATTTAGTGAATGATTTTGCATCAATTTTAACAGCACCAATGATAGCATGGTAAACAAGTTCCTCAAACCTTTAGTCAAGTCCTCTTTAGGATGTCTCCCCATATATTAAAGGCTTGATGTTTGGAGCAGTAGATGAATTTATAAATAGATCTCATATTCCATTCTTTTCAATTGAATCTTCTTCTTTCTTAGAAAATTATTTAATAATGTCTATTAAAGCTTAATCAAAATAATTTCATAATATTACTTAATTATGAAATTGATCCAGGCCGACCATTGAACCAAATCTATTTGGAATAATTCTTGGCTCACTCTGATATTTAATTTATAGCTTCGAAATTTATCTATAATCCCAGTATTTGATACTATTTAAATAACTTATGAAATTATTAAAAATAAGATTTTTACAAAAAAGAATTCTTGTTAAGCAACTTTGATACTTTATTTTCTAATTTTGGCTAGTTATAGTTTTTGGAATGAATAGCAAACACACAACAAACTAATTATTAAGCAAGAGGATGTGGGTGAAGCCACATACGCTCTAAATAAAAAAGAGAAAACCATTTTTAAGAAACATAAAGTAATTCAAACTTAACTCAAAATTAAGCATCATGAAAAAACTGTGTCATTTATCCTAAACTCCTATCAAATTAAATGATAAATAATCCAATTTTTTAATATTAAACTAATTAAATAAAAAGTAATTCCATTTTAGCAGTTCAAATACTTTATTTATTCTCCTTAAAAAATAATTAATATCATTTATAAATCTCGTTATACTATATTTCTATTAATAATAACTTATAAATTAATGTTCATGATCATTCATTTTCCACTTCAACACTCCATAAACGAATAGACTTATCTCCGCTACCAGATGCAAAGGTAGTACCATCAGGAGAGAAGCTCACTGATTGAACCCAATTAGCATGAGCATCTAATTTGACTATTTATTATCCTGTCTTAGCATTCCAAAAACGTATAGACTTATCATAACTGCCAGATGCTAATGTAGAGCTGTCGGGTGAAAAACATACAGAAAAGACAGAATCACTATGACCATCCAAATTTGCTATTTATTATCTTGTCTAAACATCCCATAAACGAATAGACTTATCTGCACTACCAGATGCCAATAAAGAACCATTAGGGGAGAAGAAAACTGAGAGGACTCCACCTGTATGACCTTCAAATATAGATTTTTTTTTTCTGGTCTTCACATCCCATAATCGGATAGATTTATCTCTACTACCAGAAGATAATGTATTGCCATCAGGAGAAAAACAAACAGAGTAAACAGTATTGCTATGACCATTCAATTTGGCTTTTTATTATCCTGTTTTAACATCCCATAAACGTAGGGATCTATCTGTACTACAAGATGCTAATGTTGTACCATCAGGAGAGAAACAAACCTAATAGACATATTGAGCCTGAAAATCAAATTTGATTTTTTATTTATGTGAATTAACTTCCCATAAACGAATATCTGAGCTACAAGATGCTAATGTAGTGCCATCAGGAGAGAAGCAGACTGAGATGACATCACTAGTGTGGCCATTCAATCTGGCTTTTTATTTTCCTGTTTTAACATTCCAATAACGAATTGTGTTATCATAACTTCCAGATGCTAAAGTAGCTCCATCTGGTGAGAAACATACTGAACGAGCATTATCACTATGCCCATCTAATTTATTCAATAAATTGATTTTCAAGTTCTACAATATACTATTCCCTTCCGCTTAATTAGACTAAATTCTAGTATAAGAGTTAAACTTCTTACAAAACAAATGAAGAAATTTCCTATATTTCTTTCTTCAAACTATTACTTAAGAGCTAAATTTCTACATCCAACTAATTCATGATCTTTTCCAAGTTTTTTAATTCGAAATTTCTTTCACTTTTCCAAATTTAGCATTTTTCTCCTTATTCAATTTAGACTAACATGTCCAAATCAGAATAAGATAATTCTGCAGGATTAATAGTTTTATTAATGATACCCTAATATTTTTCATCTTATCTCTAAAATCTATCAAATATATCTCGCATTTATTTGATTGATAACTCCAACTTTTCAAAAATTTACTTCTGTATACTTTCGATTTAAGGGAGCATTTAATTAAATGATTTTAAAGATGTGTTATCAACAGAATATTATTGTAAAGGCTTTATTAAATTTTCTTGAAATTTTTTTATAGAATCTATGAATTTCAAATCTACTTTATGTACATCTAAGCATTCAGGACAAAGTTTCCTCAAAAATTCACATTAATGAGGAGCCTTACATATTGAACTAATTTAATTCCCATTGTGATGAGGGCATTACATTTTTTTTTTTTAAATACTGAATTTCTTTTATTTTTAAAATTTTATTTTTAGAGTTTTTATGTTTTAGATAAGGTTTTTTCGTGATTTTTTAAACACCTTTTTTAATCAATACACGAATGCGATCGCTAGTCTTTTTTTGTTTGTCATTAAGATTCCGTCTTCCTTTGTTTTTATAAAGAGGAGAATCATTAAGATATGAATATCCACATTAAGGCAGACACCTTATTTTAGACCCAATAAAATTATTTGGAATTGAACTAATATTTTATTAACCATCATACCAGAATCTAAAATCGACAAAAGGCTGAAGGAGGAGAGTTTAGGGCTGTATTTAAATGAGTAAAGAGAGTTTTTTGACTAGAATTCTGGAAAAGTGAAGGGGTACTTATGTATAATTGGGTTTGGTCATGACTGTCACAAGAGTTCCGGCCGTAGAGGACGACCAGGGAATTCTACGCATGGTTTTGCTGATATCTATTGGGTTT